GTAGAGTTGTTATTTTATTTTTATTATTTTAATTGTATTTTTTGTTAGATTTTATTGTGTAATTTAAAATATTTATATGTGGAGTAATGTTTTGATTTTAAAATGTAAATTGGTTAATTAGATTTGTTTATTTTGACTTAATTTAATTATATTATGTTAGTAAAATTAATAATTATTTTAATTAAATATTATCATTTTATATATAGGTTAATAAATTTTAGAAATGTAAGATAATAAAATAAAAGATATATTATAATATAATTTCTTTTAATTTTTTTTTTTTTTTTTTTAGAATTTTTATTAGACGTTTTTGATGTTTTAGATTCTGAATTTTTTTTTTATAATCTTTATTATTAAAGTTATTTTTTTTATTTTTTTTATTTTACTTAATTTTTTTATTTTTTTTTATATTATTATATTTATATTTTTTTTTAAAGTTAATTATTTAACTTTGATTATTAAGTATTAGTTTATGAATATTTTTTTATTTATTTTAATTTGAGTGGAATATGTGATTAAATTTAATTAATTTAAAATTTATTGTTTTTTAAGGATTAAATTTTTTATTTAACTTTTTTTAATATTATTTTATTTTTTTTTGTTTTCTTTTTTTGATATTATAAGGTTATTATTTTTTTCTTAAATTATCTTAGTTTTAATAATTTTATTTTTTAGGTTTTTAATAGAATATTTATTTTTTTAGGTATTTGTTTTTTTTTTTTTTTTTCTAGAAAGTTTAGTTTAATTAGTATTAGATTCTATTTTTTGTTTTGTTATAGATTTTCTTTTTATGAATTTAGATTTGATTTCTAATTTTTTTGATTTTTAGTTTTTTTTATTATTTTGGAATTTTTTTTGTCATTTTGTAATTTACTTTTTTTTTATAATTTCTTTAATTTGTTTGGTTTTAATATTATCTTTTGGAAATATAGGAGAAAAAAAGGATTCTTTTGTCTTTTTTTTTTAAAGTTGGTTAACGAATTTTTTTTATTTTTTAATAATATAATAGTAATAATATATAAGATTTTAAATTTTTTTTGTAAATTCTTAATAAATTTAAGGAAAATAAAACTATTAAAAAGTATAATTTCTTAAAAATTATATTATTAATAAATTATTTTATATAATATATTATATATTATTAAATTAGTACTTTTAAAATTATTTTAAATAATATTCTATTTATATGTAAATTAATGCTTATTTGGAATGGTATAGTGTATGTTTTAAATAATGAAATTAATTATGATTTTAGTTAAAATATATTATTTTATTAATTATTAGAAATAAAATATAGAAGGTATGCTAAATTATGTTAATAAAATCTTTTAAAAAAAAATTAAATATTATATTCTTTTATATTATATGATTTTATAATTTAAAGTTTTTATATATTTAATAATTTTATATATATAAAGATTTTTATAATTTTAAAAATTTTATTATAATTATATAGTATATTTAAAAATATTTTAATAATATTTATTAATATTTATAGAATTATTTAATAGATTATTAATATTTTTGTAATTTAAATACAGAAATTTATATAATATATTAGTTATAGTTTTAATATTTTACTTTTTTAATTTATCTTATATTCTTTAATTTTATCAGTTATTATTTAAAACCTTTTTAAAATAATAGTTATTTTTTACATTATAAATATTATAGTTTATACTAAGTTTATTCTAGTTTATAAATTTAAAAAAAAAAGTAATATTATAATAATTATTAACAAAAAAAATATTAGAGTTTATTATTAAAAGTTAAAAAGTAAATATTTAAATTTAAAATATTTTCACTAAAATATTATTTTATATATAAATTATTAATATACTTTTAGTTATTACTTTAAAAAAAATAAAGTTTTATCAAAAAAATATAGAATATTTACTTTTAAAAACGATTTTCATATATTTTTATTAAAAACTTTTATAAAAAATTAATTATATTACAAGAGAAAGTAACCTCAAAGTTAAAAAAAGTATATTAAATACTCTACAAAAAACTATAAAAGTATTTATAATAAAATATTTTTAAAGTAAATTATATTATATTTATAAAGTATAAAATATAACTGTTAATTAATATATTTAGTCTATAACACTTTTATAATTTACCATAATTATATTATTATCGAACTTAAAGATATTACTTTTTGGAAGTAAATAATAAAAGAATTTTGTTTTAAGATTAATATTTAGATTGAGAAAAGATTATTTTAATATTTTAATATTATTTTTATTTTAAAATTTAGAAAAATATAAATAATAGAATGGTAGAATTATAATTTAATAAAAATATATGTAGTATTATTTTATATATGGTTATTTTAGTGTTGTTTTATTGATAAGCTAAAAATCTAAACTGAACTGAATTAGTTTATAAACTGCTTAGCAAAAACCATACCAAACCAATCCACACTTGGCAGTTTATAATGGTTTGGTTTCCGGTTTAAACCGCGCCATGTCAATCACTATCGACGACTTGGGTTTAGCCGCGTACTTGTAATAATAAATAAATTAAAACTTCTGTACAATCTTTAATATTAGATGTTATTTCTGTTTTTCTTTTATATCGAAATCAACTATAACTATATATTCAATTTTCTCTTCAATATATTCTTATTTTTTTATATTTTTTATCTTAATGATTACTATATTTATGTTATCAGTCTAAAAATGTTGCAGGTACAGGCTCACTCCACACTGCTAAGCTTTCATCACCAGCTGGCTGCCTTCCCGTCGGTGTATTCTCATTAACGAGATCACCATCTATATAATGCTCTACCATAAATCCATTAGGATCCCACCAGTAATCAAAGATCTGGCTACCCAATCTGTGTCTGCCTAGACCCCATACAGGCTTATGACCTTTTTCTTTCAGCCAATAGTGCCCCATATTCTGGCTATCATAATCATGGACTTCGAATGAGGAGTGGTGAACATGTTGAGTCGCGGCAACTGAGAGAAAAAAGGCTAATAATCCGGAGGCAATTAGAAGAAGTCATTTTAATGATGGAAGAGTGAAGTTTTGTAATTACAGTGATGGTCAACGTATTCTTTCCCTCTGTCGATATGGAGAAAAGCTGCCACATCAAACTTCTGTCTAGGGTCGTTTTGTGCATACAATATGTCTGAGGGAACAAGGTTGAAGTGATTTGTGTACCATTTAAATTGAAGTTCGAAATCATGGATCGTAAGACCAAAATGGCCGAGCTAAAAGAATATTAGTTTAAAGCTACTTTGCTTTAGCTTAGATTGGGATGGAGAATAATCGATGTACTTTATGAATAGCCGCGGGTCCAGGCTTAAACCGCTGGAAGGCACCTTTCCTCGGTTTTGAGAATTCATCATTAATTTGAAGGGCTTCTAACGGCTGTTTTTTCGGCTGTGCTCTAGGAGACGCGCCATAAATGAAGTTTACTGGGAAGCCCTCCGGATCATGAACTGTTGTCATGTGGCCTGCAATACCATCAAAACTGCTTAGTTTTTAATGGATACCCATGAGCTCAAGAATTTGGAACCACATACCTCCACCCGGCGCCTGTTTTAATTTGACAATAGGACTGTTACCTAGCTTGGAAGCCCTGTTCGGCAGTTCTTCATGTCAGTTTTGGCCATGGTAATATTCTAGTTGGGATCTAGATCCAGATATAGAGGTCAACCTTTCTAAATCCTCCCAGCTCTCAACCTCCCAAGTTCCCCCGAGAAATTTTTTTTCACTCCCAATTCCTGCATAGTAAACGTACTGATCGATGCCATAACCCCCGAACCATATAGCTGTTTCAGTCCTCTTCACTACTTCCATTCCAAAATCCAACAAGAACGTAGTTAATGCGTTGATTCCGGACAATGGATGTTGATAACGCATGTGAGAAATCTTTGTAATTTTTATTTTGGGGATCAAGGAAGAGGAGTTCCAACGAGTCGCGGGGACGTGTTCGATACTTTTCATAGCGACACTGGCTGGAACCGTGCTACCAGAATTCGGGGCTACGTTAGACCCCCCGGGCGTGTCGGAATGTGTTGAACATGTCGCATTTTGGTTTTCCATTTCAGCGAGCCGTACACGTGCCCACAAGCTTTTCCGATTCGGAATCCTCCAAATTTTAATAATGGGCTTCGAAATATCCTAATATCAACGTTGGTCTGGCTATCTTAACTATAGAGAGTCTCTATCGATGTTTTGTGCTTAGGAGGTCGAGTGAGTTCCCCAGGTTCTTCATAAATTCATGCTTTCGTCATCGACATGTGCCGAAGTTGTAGGCCGGTATTCACTAACAGCGGCTTCGGCCCGAGAACCGTGTATGCATGTCGCTACGCTAAAAATATTCCAGTTTCGAAGCTCAAAAGGACCGGCTTATCTTTACATTGGCAGTCGATAACTGTTGCATATCTCAGGAAAACCAGAACTCCTCTCTAGCATGATGCGGGATTGGGTACAATTGGCGTATATCTAATATGGTATCTTTCATAGAGTGAATAATCCCGCTCGACATATACACATGTATATAAACGTTACTGTATCAACAAAGGAGCCGGAGGATATCCGGATTTATATTCGTCGAAGCACACTCACGACAAATATCTTGGCTTTACATATATAATTGTTTATTCCATGACCTATCATTCGAAAGTCTTGTAATTGAGATTGAACCCAATGTTGATTATCCCCGAAAGAGGAACTAGTCCTAGGTGATTGTAATGACGTTAAAATAAAACCGACTTATATACACGCTAAAGTCTGATGATTTCTCGGAGATGCTGATCGGTGGCCATCCACTCCTGGTATTGCTTCGTTGACCGCTTCACGAAGCTCACAGTTGTGACCATAGTGACCTCCGGGTCTCGAGCTGGGGGGTTTTTATATTCGCTGTATTCACCACCATCGTATACTGTTGATCCCTGAATTATGACCTCTTGATAAGTATCTAGTGGCAGGCCCTCTCCTTCTATATAGCCTTCTAGGTTGATATTACTGCCAGTACTAGCGTCGATGAATTCCCTAACAGTTGTAGTTTCGCTGCACTCAAATGGTTGTGGGTAGGTCCAGCTGAGTGGCGAAATCGTTGAGATCTCAACTTTCCAAGATCCCTTATCGCCGGAACCAACAGTCGATTTCACTAAAGGCTCATCAAGGAAGCTGCAAGTGGAAATATCCCAAACGTCTTGTAAATTTGGATTTTCCCACCACTTCCCTTTTGGGAATCGGAATCGGTAGCATTCTACGGTTCCATTTCTGACTACACAGCTGATCTGATTTGCGAGTTCTTGGAACATACTATGAACAGAGGGAAAGCCCGGTTTACGGGGTCGATCAAAATGGTACCGAGTTTCTTGCAAAGCTCTAGTTTGAAATAAGTTACTCCAGACAGGTAGAGCTAAATCAGCTGCGACTTGGTCAACAATTTCGTCGAGATGAGAAAGGATTTCGTGATGTATTTCTCGAGGGAGGTCGCGAAGAGGCATGGTGCCAGTAAATAAACAGGCCCAATAAAATTCAGTAGACACTTCCTATAACTTTAGGCTATGAGAGGCGCGTGTTCTGGTGATAGGTTCCTGACAATTGAAATCAACATCTAAATTATGCCACCCCGCTTTTGTTCAATACCACGGAATTGTGCCAAGGCGCCGAGATTTGGCTTACCGTTAAGAATTCTAGAGTACCCAGTGGCAATACATCATTGTGATTAAATACATAAGATGGTGTACCTCGATCTTGTTTATATCCCGGATTCATGCAAAAAAAAGGGACTTCTATCATACAATCGATCGTTTAATGCTAAGCCCAAACTTGATGGAATTCGATCTTGGTAACAAAACCTGCTATTTTTAGAGCGAAACAAAGACGTGATCATCGTCATTAACTATCGACTAGTAGGATAACCGTTTAGTTACTTTCATACGGCCACCCACATTCCGCCCAGTTTCCACCGTCCCTTGCCCATTTCAGACTATTTACAAAAGCAGAAACTGCACACCGACCTTTCTTATCCTTTTTACAAGCTTTTAATTCCATCGTTTTATCGTTGATAACAACCCTGACAAACTCCTTCCCCTTATTATCCATGCATTGCAGCTTCTCCACGTACATTCTGCTAGCAAAGGGAACCAACTCCGCCGCGTTGAACTTGCTGGTCTGTTCTATTTCAGTGGTCGAAAGGTTGCGGATCCCTTGGAAGAGATTTAAAGCCGAAAAGATAGAAGTCATTGTGTTATCATGTGAGAAGTCGGCATACAGTTTCTTTCCAAGAGGAAAGGTAGCTGGGTCGTTATCGAGCGTGCTGTTGGTCGTAGTCGAGTCATTAACTGGAGTACTAGTTAACCGGGAGATAAGCTCATTGACGTAGCCAATACCCTGAGCTGGTCCCAACGGATTGCCAGGGCCATATCCGTAAAACTTTCCGAGAGAGAGATAGTAGTTGTATAATTTGAATTCATCCTTGCTAAATAACTCGCAAAACGGTGGCAGTGGGTCACCGGTTGGCTCCGCGACAGTATAAAACGGGCAGAGTGACATCAAGTTGATTGTGTCCTGGGGAGTTATGCTGACCCCGGAAATTTCGCTAGTCAACCACTTAATGATGGGTTTTGTGAAAGAAGTGGCATATTCAGTTTGAGCTGCAGATGCGACTTTAGAGAACCTTCCAGTCTCGAATTCGCGGCAGGTACCATGGTCCATAGTATTGTTGAATGGGTATCCTTCATAGACTAGGACCGGGGGTGGGAAGGACATCACAGGCCCGCCGATTTGCTTTGCCCTTTCGTCAATGAAGCCTTGTGCAAATTTGTCGCCTGAGTCAATGACCCGCTGTTGAGCCGAGAATCTGAAGAAAGGGACATGATCGGAAGCTAGAGATTTGTAACGGCGGTAAAATCTGACTCCGGAATTGTACATTTCCTGTTCGCCGAATGGCGTGAGGGTATCGGAACCTAGGGTGTATTGGAATTTTTTGATGAAGGATGTTTTGTGGGAATACGACGTCGCTTGGGACTGAATTTTATTGAGGGTAAATTTGATACTCTCACCGGCGCCTCTAGTTGGATATCGAGCGCCATGTCGAGATAAGACTATACATTTGCAAGGTTAGACCAAATTATGCAGCGAAAGTCTAGAAGCAATACCGTTTGCGAAGGTGACTTGGCAATTGTGGTAGATATCCAAGTTCGAATCAGTAGTAGGTTCGATAGAAAAGTAAGGTGAATAGGGGCCCCATGAACGACTTATGTCCTTATGGCAGGAATAACCGTTATCTGGTGAGTCGCAGCGTCGTTGCCTCAATATAAGTTTCCCGGTTACCCTATACATAAATCTTAGCATATGGAAACGGACCCGAAGCATTACGGGTAATCGTACAGTTCAGTCAGCAGCACCATGGGCGTTACTAGGCCCCAGATGAACATATTTGCTGTGAATACAACTAAAGACACGCAATCCTCGCGGCCATAGAGGATTTTATTATCCTCGTCCGTGTAGTTATAGCTCGATATGCAGCTTCGTCTCCAGTTCAATATTATGAGCAAGAGAGCCAAGAGCAAAATAGCAGCTTTATACCATCGAGCTCGCAACTTCCCTAGCGGAGGGCTAGGTTCAAGGAGGATACCCATGGCGCTGGCGCCACAGAGCGCGAAGATTCGAGGTTATAATTAGCAACTTATTTGTGTTGATACAATTGTCGGGGCATATATACAATCTTTCATGCCATGCTGAGTTCTGAGCTAGGGGAACAAGGCCAGCCCGATCGACTGCCTGAATCGGATCAACCCTGAAAGGCCTTAAATGTGCCCCGGAAAGGGTAAATATCGCGACCGATGACAGGCAAGCTCGGGCAGCCTCAGGCGGGCTCAGCAGCCAGCAGCTATCGGAGATACCTTTACTAAGTAGATAGCTGAGAATGTTTCGACCGCCGTGCGATCTTCCTTTAGCCTTTCAAGAGCCGTGTGATCTCTTCCAAACGCGATTGTGGTTGCCGGACTGGACAAAGTCTTCAGAATGACTGCTAGAGGAATGTCGTGAATCGTGGAGATGTTACGCGGAGCTGAACCGAACAGGCAGCCATCATCGCTTGTTTTGTTCCTACGGGCTTGGCGCCGTTCTAAACGTGGCGAGCCAAAGTCCGCTCATTGGATGAAGTTCTCGGGGTTTTGAAGACGCAAAAAGGAAGTCCGATGTATCGCCTAGGGAGGCTTCTTTTCGAAGCCAAGTGAAGTTTCCTCTGGTCCATCGAGCCTAGTAGTCAGATTCTTAGTACTATGACATAGTCTTATGTTTGGGCCTCGCAATCGGTTGGTGGTGAGGAATCAACGGTGGCTGTCACGGTGGTGGTGGTGGTTTGTACAAGACAAACCCTTCAACATCAATTCTTCAGCCCCAGCTTCCGGGTCGCGTGAGGCTTGCTTGTATTGGAATAAAACTGGCCCTCCTGATAGTTAACGGCGGACGGATTTGCTCTTACTCACAGCTATTACGCTATAAGATATGACCACGAGCCTTGAACTACAGGGTAGGATGCGATCTCAAAGTCGTATACACAGCTGCATACAATATGGCTGTCTAGGCTGCCATTCCAGGCCTCCCCACACCTTCGGCCCAGGGAAAGCTTGACCTTCCTGTCAACGCCAAGAGCCCCACCCCGCAGATTCAACGACAGTCTTGAGGGACGTCAACGTTAAATACTTGGTATCGATCCGTATCTTTCTCCAAAGTTTGACAGTCGATTCAATTTGATCGCGATTATGCCAGGGGACGAGCCAATTGAAACTTAGCTTTGAGAAACGTTGTAAGTACAAGGATTTGAACCCCCATTCGTTTGCTCGCATAAGAATTCCGTGCATATTATGGCAGTCGATGTGGAGATTAATGCGACCACCAATGCAATCGCCCGGCACATTCTCAAGCTTTCACCGTTTAATGATTCAACACCGGGTCGATGTCTAATATCATCGCAATACTATAGTTGCAGTTATCCTAGCGAGAGAAGAAATGGCAACAAGGACCGATATATAGGTAACTCCCGGAGCCCTTTGCACTTCACCTTGGCGAAGTTGAAGGGTTTAGTCCCCAAAGCCTTCCATATTCTATGGGTTAAGAAGGAAGCTAGGCCACAAATAGCTGAATCGTTACCGTATTGCAGATGAGAAGATCAGGGCCTGGATATTCGACGGGACCTGCATGCATACAGTATGCAAGGAACCTGGTTGGTCTGTCTCGCTTTCAGGATGTCTCAATCAAGGTTTGTCGCTGCAGCTTCTCCAGCCGGCTTTTCCGAGAGAAAGCCTCGCCGCTGGTAGCCTTGTGCCAATGCTCCTGATTGACAAGAAAGCTGATACTTGTGATCTATGGCAGGTTGGGTCAAGGGCTACTTCTATAAAGTGTCAGGTTTACCCCGGTGTTGATCACCTCTTATATCGTTTTACTCGATCGCCGGATCTAGCTTCCATCTCCTCCAGCAGTTGTTAATCCGAGAAGTTTATCGCTTAATTCAGCTCAATGGTCAACTACAGGGCCTTCTCCTATGCCCTTTTGGCAGCAAGCCATGTCGCTGCTGTTCCTTTCACCAGGCGAGCAGAACCCACCTCGGGATTCGTCAACCAGACTACTTGCAATGGCAAAACCTATACTTACCGTGCCTTAAATGGTTACGGTTTCGTGCCGAGCGACGGCAGAGATAAGTACGGTGATACCGTTAGCATCGGGAGTAGCATCAAAATTTCCGGTTGGACGTACGATAAAGCCACCGGGAGCTATATAGGTACTCTCTGGGGCTTGCCAGATCGTGGCTGGTATGTTGTCAGACATGTTCCCGCCTTTACCGAATTAACCTAACCGGATAACTTCGTACAGGAACGTTGAGGGAACGACCAATTTCCAGCCAAGGGTCCACAAATACACCTTCAAGTTTACTCCGAAGAGCTCATCCGCAACTCCTAATCTCGAGTTCAACTACCTCGATACAATCCTTCTTACTGACCCTAATGGTCAACCTTTAACCGGCCTTGATCCCAACACCATCCACAAAATTTCTGGTTATCCAGACCTCCCAGCAAGCTCGTACACTGGAGACGGTTGGGGTGGCGAAGGCCCAGGTGGCATCCGTGTCGTCCTAGATGCTGAGGCCCTCGTTCTCTCCAGGGATGGCGGGTTTTGGATCTCCGACGAATACGGCCCCTATATATACTCATTCTCCCCAGGAGGTCAAGTCCGAAAGGTTATTAGTCCACCGAATGCCATCCTGCCTCTCCGTAACGGTAAAGTCGACTTCTCTTCCAATAATCCACCCAGATACGACCCAAGCCTTAGCCCCCACCCCGCAAACCCAACTCAGGGACGTTCAAACAATCAGGGCTTAGAAGGTATGACCGGATCTTTTGATGGTCGTAACCTTTACGCACTGCTACAGTCCACTGGGACGCAAGAAGGTGGTCTGGAAAAGACTACAAACCGAAATGCTCGTCTTTTGAAATACGATATCAGTGGTATTGAGCCACGATTTGCTGGTGAATGGGTTGTTCCCCTCCCACAATATTATGATGTGAGCTATCTTTCTATAACAATGAAGCATATGTATCTTGGCCTTTTCTAACGTATCCCCTCTCCATAGCCTAATAAGTCCGCCAAGAACAATCCACGCACCGCTGCTCAGTCCGAGATCCAGTGGGTGGGCGATGACCAATTCTTAGTTGTCGCCCGTGATGGTAATTACGGCGGCGGTGGTGTAGATGGTACCACCTCCTACTACCGTCAAGTAGACCTTTTCGATATTTCCGATGCTACCAACATTAAGGGCAAATACGACAACTTTAATGACAGTATCACGGTCAGCACTAACTCCAAGGTCCTCAAGGACGGTATCACGCCCGCTCAATACTGTCCCTTTATTGATATCAACCTAAACTCTGAGCTTGCTAAGTTTGGGCTCCACAATGGTGGTGCTCGCGACCACAGTCTCCTGAACGAGAAGTGGGAGGGATTGGCACTTGTCCCTGCTGATGGTGATGCTGGTGATGATGATGAGTGGTACTTGTTTGTGTCGAGCGATAACGATTTTATAACTCAGAATGGATTTGCGGATGGTGGTTCCATAGCCTTCAGCGATGCCAATGGCTGGGATTTGAACAACCAGGTCCTTGTCTTCAAGGTCAAGCTTCCAGACCACTCGAGGCCGTTTGCTAGGACCGGAGCTGGAAAGGGTGGATTGGCCGTCCCCTAGATCAATTTAAAAGTCATCTAACTAATCTTACGACTCCTACTATCGTCTTATCCTAATAGTCTTTCAAATTTTATGGGAAACAATTCCACTAGCTAATAAATATCGATTCAATACAACGACATTAAAAATTTTGTCCCGGTATGATATACTGTAGATATATACCTCTTTCCGAGACATTCGGGCAAAGTTGCTTATTACTCAAGCGTCCATGATGAAAAATTGGAAGCTCAAATGTCTGCATACCACTGTGGGTGAGCGAGAATCTATCGATGCATGTTAATATCTATCTCGCACATAAACCTTCAAAGTAACGCTCATACACGTATATAAGGCCAAAGACTTACCCAAAAATTCGTCGCCTTGACGCTTGCAGAAAACTGTTGCAAGAGGGGCGAAACTTCATCGTAGGGATTCTGGTGGGTTGAATCGTCTTGAACGGCCGAAGTGATGAATATATTGCCAACTCTAAATTTTTGTCCCATGTCGTCACAGATCTGCTGCTGATCCAGAGCCGTGCCGTTGAAATCGTGAATTATAATTGCTTGTTTATACCGCGGACAGTTCGTATATGGCGCTTTGATAAACGGGGCCCTGTAAAGGTTCGAGTAATAATCCTCAAAACTAACGATGCTGTCGACGTTAGTGTAGAAGTTACATTCAATGGGCTGCCCAGGGTTCATCATGATATATGGGGCTGGGCGAGAGGGAGGGGACGACCAGACTGATTTTATGTTATTCGCGAAGGAGATGTAGTAGCTTTTTGAGGAGGCGCCGTATGCCATATCGTCAACGAAGATGCCATCAATGTGGATATCCTTCCCGGTGAAGTTAGCCCAGTTCTTGTATGTCTGAATTTGTGGCTTATACACTGAAGCGGGGATAATTGTGGGGTTACTATCCACGTAGCCGATGAAGTTGGTGTTATTGAGACTGTTGGCATAGCTGAGGACTGATTTCCAATCATCGTTTGGGTAGCCGTAGAGGTCACCAGGCCCGCTATTGGGATTCACGATGATGTTGAAGATTACGGATGGATTTGAAGTTATAGATTGAAAAAAGGGGTACCAGGCGCAAGACGGCGCAGTAGCAGATGTGGAGCAGCTCGAAGGGTACATGTAAAGGGGGAAGACCGCGGAGAGGATGTTGACCATTTTGGCAGCGTTCCTGGTAAGTTTTGGTTAGCTACCCCATGGGCCCCAATTCTAGGTATCTTTAAGAGTAGAAATCCTGGAAAGGAACTAGCTCTTATAGGGTATCATCAACACCGAAACGTACGAGAGGGTTATGTGTTGATAGCGTTGGAATTTCTACGCTTCTTTCTTGCTCGCGCATACGTGTGTGGCACGTGGTGTCAAAGCTAAGTTAGAAGTACTAGTTCGAAGCACTGGTACTAACGAATGTGCCTCTATTCTTCTCGATGGGATCGCCTGCTTTTGTAGGCTCTGGGGTCAGCTTTAGGCCGCACTATTTCAAAACGGTGCATAAGTTGTTAGGTGTGATCCGGATCAAAGAGCAAGGATTGACCGAAAGCTTCACAGGCCAAAACTCCATCAAAAACCTAAGCTTAGTGAGCCTTCAATGCAATGGTGTAACCAGTGTTGGGGCGGGTGCAACATCAGCTGCAGTACCTGACCAGCCATAGTTAACTATGTGTGTGTCTGTGGGGGTACCTAGATGGGCTGTGATATAAGATGCAAGTTCTCGGCGCCGGCCACAGACCATGGCGAGATTGTTCTAGAGGGCAAATAGGAAACATGTTAAGACCAGCCAGATTTCCAATATATAATGCCTCAACAGGAGTTTCGGCGGCGATAACAGGATGTAAACTACCACTTGATATTACATTAGGATGTATATTGTGCGAAAATGTCAAAGAGTATCTCCCCGCCATATTATCCGTAGGATATATATATACCCCTTTAGCACGGGGCAAACCCATCTGGTGCACGGTAATATCTCTATGAAATTCTAAAATATCGGCTAGTAACGTGGCATTGCAGAGCACTCCTACTTGCGCTTCGCAGTTACCATTTTTGGCCGATACGAGCTTACACATGACTACGAGGCATGTCTCATGAAACCTTCTCCCGCTAAACTACCACGCAGCTTTGCGAACAGCCATGTTATTAGAATGATTCAGGAATGTCGACAGCTAATAGGAACGATCCTTGAAGATAGGACTTGTTGCTTCGGGAGAAGTCCAATGTTGGATATGCACCCATGGAATGTAATCACATATTTACTCCGGGCTGATTCTCCATATTCGATCAATATATCGTTGAATTGGGAGTCTGGAGACACAAGCTTTGACCGTTAGAAGTTTCGCGGGTTGAGTTGAATTGAATTCTCTCTCTCTCTTCCTCCCTCTACCATATTCCTTACTCCAATCCATTTTAGGACGCAGATGGTCGCCCTTATCAGTTACCTATTTCGGAATTCCGAATTGCAGTACATTGGCTAGACTCTCACAGGTTTCCCATCCTAAACTCCTTAACAACTTGCCTCTTCCTTTTCTCATCGACTTGTCATACTCTTCGTCGCCGACAATTTTAGTCTGTCCATTCGGCCCCCATACTACTACTACCTTCTTGCTAGCAGCCTGCTCCCACTGCGAAATAAATCCTTCACCGTATGCGAATCTAAAAACTCTCGCAGCCATATCTTCTCCCAATTCTATTTCCTCGGAATTTAGTAGGTGTCTATGGTTTTGTAGCAATAATGTAATATCGAAAAGATGTGCTGCTAGTCCTTTCCATTGAGATTCAAAATTGTTGGGCTGGTGAAAATGGTAGCGCGAAACTTTGCTCGAACTTTCGGTACCGTCATAGATAGTATGTATAACTGGGAGATACCAGCGTAGGTCGGTGAGGAGCTCCATGCAGTGTACCAATGACTTTTCCGAGGGATCGGAAGATGAGAGGTCATACGCTTTGATCATCTCAGATGCTGCAGTTGGTGCTAGTGTCGACTTTATGCAATCTATGAAGTATGTTGCATTGTTAGGGTGGTTCAGAACACGCGTTTTAAAACAACTAGCCTATATTTGATCAGTGTGAGCGAGGGTTTGTCCGATGCGCTGCGATCCAGTATGTCTTACATCATGGAAACAGTCTCCAATGGCGAGCTCCTCGCACCAAGACGTTCGTGTCTTTCCAGCTATTGTATTCAAAGTAACAACATCATCCAGGAATCCATCTTCTATGCTGGGGCCAACATGAATCAGAGGTGGTAATTTTGATATCACATCATCTGGAGATAGTCTACTCAATTCCTTTCTCCTCTCCTCAGTGGATTTGTTTTCCAGGTCCAACGCTTGTATAACATCGCGGTATAGTGCCTCTTGCTGGTGCTCGACTTTTGACGGACGTAGAGTTGCGCTACCAGACATTACCAGCGCCCTATTAAAGAGCGGAGTTGAGATCTGAAGTAATGCGGAAAGTAGCACTGGTTGATCCACATTAGCATATACATCTAGAAACCCGGTATTTAGGTCTGGAAAAGATGCTACTTACTAGCGCCGGCCGACTCCCCAAACGCCGTTATGTTATGCCGGTCGCCGCCAAACCCTTCAATATGCATTTGTAACCATCGGAAGCCTAGAACTTGGTCTTTCAGCCCGTAGTTCCCAGTGTTTTTTAGTTCCTTACTTGAAAGGAGACCGAGTACTCCAAGTCGATAACTAAATGGTTAAATTTTTGGGGGTTAGGTATGGTATATATGAATAGCAAAGGAGACTATGAGTATGGCCTACTTGAAAGCGACACCTATTACTGGCTTTTTCTGCTTAACCGATATATCCACGAAGTTTTGGAGATCTAATTTCTCGTTAGAAATGATATTGGGCCAGACTTGAAAGCATAAAATCGATCTGGGTTATAAAATACCATATTGTGGCCAGGAGTTACCGCCGACCACCCAGTAGCCGCTCAAATGAAGATTAGTTCGATTTCATACTATTCAGGTTTACACCCTGAGGCTCCATAGATAACTTACCCGTGAATCCTTAAAGCCAGTGGATAGTTAACACTTAATCAAAAAAGAATTCTTGAGCCTGCAGCTACATACCAAACGATAACTGGTAACTTCTCGCCTGGTTTTAGGCCTTTCGGCACCGTGATGACGACATTTAATCCATCTTCTTCGCTCTGTTTATACTCTGCATCGTGGGGGAGCTCCGCCCCGCAAAGTGCAAAGTCAAACTTGATACCGTCTGGTATTTGTGGGCAAAGAGGGCCCCATCTTGTCGCATCATACGGCCTCGCCGGTGAAGCTATCGGGCCGTGGTGTAGTGATGCTTCTTTGAAGCGCCCAATGAAGTGAGCATATGGTATTCCCCTGTACTGGACGCTTAAGGGGAGCGGGAGACCTTGTAGAGGTCCCAGTGTAGGGTGGTCCAGTGTTGAAGTCATATCCGAGTGTATTAAGATTCAATATGTGTACTCGACCGAGAAATCATGCGCAAGCGAGCAAGCTTTGATGATTCGATTCGAGTTTGTGCTTGGCCGAGCCTGAGCTACGTCCAAAACCGATATTCAATACAAAAAAATATACACCGAAAGTTCTAACAAAAAAAGGAGCAATAGAGACTTGGTTTCTCTAAAACTCTAGTTTATCTTATTGTCGACATGACAGTGCAACGTCGCGACGCAACAGGTCAAGAAAATGCAACACAAACCACCCCGCAAAACGCAACAAGCTGGGTATTCCCCGCCTTCCGACACACCTAGCCGAAACCAAGCGCCTAATCCGGATCCACAATTGGAAACTGGCCAAACCATATATTCCTTTCGGATCGACAAACCGAGCGTGCAACTTCGGTATTTGGTAGATTGGGTGGTCAGATATCTGTGTCGTTTAGACGTATTATCAAGAGCTTGATCAGCAGGGGCGGGGCAACTGCAGTCAGCTGCGAAGAAAGATCAGAGTCATGTCATATCTCTATGTCTTACAAGACCGAGTGTTCGGGGTTATATAAATTTCCCAGGTCGGCCGTCGAGTTTTTGGTCTTGTGGTCTTATTATTACCCAGATTTGTTCAACAACGTCGTCAAAATTAGATCAAAACCTGCAGGACGTCGTAGCCAAATTCTTAAAGAGTATATAAGAACAAAATCCATACCACAGCGCTGGGCAGCACTACCAAGATGGGCAAAGGAGAGAAATTAGATTACCAGAATATCTTCCATTGGGCGGAGACTCAAAAGAATGGCGATATCCCTTCCTTCGCAGTTCGAAAAAATGACCCGTACAAGGTCAGTAATAGCCACACCCCCACCCGCCATTCTATAACTAGTCGCCAGTGGTTCTGACCAAAGCGCATATAGTACCAAGCTGGATTCAATAACCACTTCGAGTCGGAAGCGATCCCTGGAACCATTCCCCATGGACAGAATTCTCCGCGTACTGTCCGATGGGGCCTTTATGCCGAGCAGATGACCGCCAGTGCATTCGTTGCCCCCCGGCATTTGAACAAAAAGTCTTGGTTATACCGCGTCAAACCAGCCATTGCACACGACGGATTCGTAAGTTTGCCGTCGTGTTAATTAAATTTGAGGGAGTATTTAGGCGCTGACTAACAGTTTAAACGGTAGAGCGATCTCCCAGACAATCCAGACACGGAATCCTGCTTCCTTCCAATTAACCCCAAAGTGCACGTTTGTGCTACCCAGCTAGCCTGGCTTCCCCTCGATATCCCTAAAGACGGCAAAGTCGATTTCATTGACGGCCTGAAAACACTTGCCGGCAGCGGAGAACCTACCCTCCGAGAGGGTATTGCGATCCATATGTATATGTCTAACGCCTCGATGGCCAACAGAGCATTTGTCAACTCTGACGGCGATTTTCTAATCTGCCCACAGCAAGGTTCTTTAGACATTACAACTGAGTTTGGAAAACTATTTGTACAGCCTGGCGAGATATGTATTGTCCAAAGAGGCCAGAAATTTTCCGTGGACTTGCCCGACGGACCATCCAGAGGTTATGTCCAGGAAATCTGGGGGGCCAACTATGAGCTCCCAGAACTGGGACCATTAGGAGCCAACGGTCTGGCTAATCCGCGCGATTTCTTACATCCCGTAGCCAACTTTGTTGTCAAAGACGAACCGTGGAAGGTAGTTTACAAGCTTGGTGGGAAATTCTTCGAGTGTGCACAGGACCATAACCCGTACAATGTCGTGGCGTGGCATGGAAATTATGTTGTATGTTTGCCCACGTTTTTCTCAAACTTTGACCACTACCCTAACATCATTCGCTAGCCGTACAAATACGACCTGACCAAGTTCGTCAATGTCGGCAGTATTTCGGTTGATCACATTGATCCCTCGATATTTTGTGTCCTCACGGCTAGGTCGCGTGACCCAGCGGCGCCACTTGCGGATTTCCTTATCTTTTCGCCTAGATGGGATGTTGCCTCGCACACATACCGTCCACCATATTTCCATCGCAACGTCGCCTCTGAATTCATGGGTTTGTTGTATGGTGAATATGGTGGGAGGTCCGATGCATTCCAGCCCGGTGGATGCTCTTTTGAATGTGGAATGGTAGGTTTTTACGGCATCATATGTAGGGTCAGGAACCCAAATGTTAACGAGTACACGCTAGGTCCCACATGGTGTTGCATATGAAGAATACCATGCTGCGTCGTCGCAACCGCCACCAGAGATCCAAATTTCGCCCGGATCCATTGCCTTCATGTTTGAGTCCTCCCGAGCGTTTACTATCACAGACTTTGCCTGGAAGAGTGACAAGCTCCATAAGCATGATCCCACAATGTGGAAATTTGAGGATAACTTGAGCAAGCATAAAGCAGAGATCGAGAAGATTCTGCAGGCGAACAGGGAAACCGAAAGTGCAAACGGTGTCAACGGACACTAGTTTTTGTATATAATAATAATATCGCCTTGTCCCGTTTTTAATCATTTTTTCGTCCGGGGGCATAATGAACTGGTTTTTCACCCCTTCCACGTCAATAGGTACCTAGGTACGATACCTAGCTTCGTAACGATCAAGCGTGCTGGTGTTGAATTTGTTGCATTTAATTCGAAACAGCCGTTACGGTTCCTCATTTTCGCGGATATCACGAAATCCGACGGAAACGAATACAGTGCAGTGTGGTGGCAAGCTAAACTGCAGCCTCATATTGTCCCAGTGCAATGGTGTTTGGTTTGTGTAACTTCATCGACATCGAGCTCGTATTCGGCACACCGTCGAGAAATTCCAGAATACTGATCAGTCATCTAGTATCCCATGCAGGTAAGATTCTCGCGTAGGCACCAAGCCGGCAAGAGTGGGTCTTCTGCACAGCTCAACAGCCGTTCCTCGAAGCTTTAGCGTTCTAGAGAGGTTAGTTAGTTGAGCAGAGTTTCCTTTCGCAATTCTTGAAGGAAAGAATGGCCGACGGCCGGTCATTCCTCCTTGCAGTACACACTCTAGACGAAAACCTCTTATCTGGAAGGAGCGCGAGCGGTGTTAATTAGGAAGGTCTTCCGCAACATGCGGCCAACATTCTGACGTACCTACCCATTGTCCAGGCATCACGTACCTTTATATAGAATCCTCGAGTCATTGCATGAAGTCGAGGACATAAGCGCCACCTCGAAATTTTTTCCCCCTGCTCAAACCGGCCGAGATGTCGACACCATCGTCTACCAGCGACTTCGATACCATTCAACAAACCCAGACTCCTCCCCGATCACATTTTGGGTTTCTCCGACCGAGGATAACACATATCGATAAATCATTCTCTTCCATCAACCTCCCTTTCCTCTCTCAACCGACATCATATCAGCATGTGGACATCAGAAATCAACAGAACAATGGCAGTCAGAGCCCAGAAGGCGATGGCAGGAGCTCTCGGACCAAGACTTCAATCTTCAAGTCGGACGAGCACCGTTTGAAGCATTCGATCCTGCGCGGGAGTAAGCAGAAGAGGAGAGGAGAAATCGTTTTCCACTTTGTAATCTCGCTGATTGCTGTCATCTTCCTGGTGTTGCCGATCCTCTCATATAACCTGAATGGGAAAGAAGTTGATGAAACGGGGGACTATGGAAAAAGAATATTGAATCTCATCCAATATGTAAGTATCATTCCCCGCGTTCATTTCTATTATATTGAAAATTGAATTTGGAAGAATTATATAAAGGGCTGACCCATAAATTCCAAGGGCCCCACAATCTTCCCGATTATATTTGCAGCTATTACAGGCCACTTCCTCCGATCAATAGCACTTCGCTTGGCGGAGCGCGGAACAACTTTGGAAATGTTAGAACAGCTGACTCGCAGCATTACCATTGCGAGCACTGTTACTACGCCGTACCTTCTCAACTCCTATAACTTCCTCAGCGCTGTTCTTCTCTGCCTTTGGGCCATCTCGCCGCTTGGAGGACAGGCATCCCTCAGAATTCTGAAGACAGAATTCGTAGAAATCCAAACTGATATCACTTCCAACTACCTCGATCCCTTCAATCAATCGAGTTTTCTGGAGATTGGGGCAGACGTCGGTCTTAGTCTGACAGAGTCGAACAACATATATGTCTCTAGTCTGCTCAGCTCCGCAGAAGTTAAAAATAGCCCCATAGATTCCTGGAGAAATGTCAAGATTCCTTTGCTCGAAAGCTTCGAAACGAACTCGTCAGCCATTCAGGGTGAGCGAGGGTGGTACAATGTTCCGTTGGGAAATGTAACATATTCTTCTCTATTAGGGACACCTATCAGCAATCGTACTGCCAACTTTACTACGATAATCCAATCAGGCTACGCTACTATTGAGTGCTCTTCTTTGGAAATAATCGACCCAGATCTGTGTAACGAAGGCCGCTCGACTCGTTGCTTCAATACCTCAAATCCTCGTATCACGGACTGGGTTTTTCCAGCACATCCAACCGAGGGGGACGAAGGCGCAAATGCACTCTATATCGTTACTGGCTTCAATCAAACGCAAACCCTTCTGAATATCACCTACGACAGAACCACGCCCATGGATCTAATTATTCAGTCTCGCGGAGAAAGCGGAAACTCTGTTGGACATTGCGTTTTGTCTCAAACCTTCGTCGAGGTCCAGGTTGACTGCCTCAGCACGAATTGTAGAGCGTCTAAAATAAGACGTCTCGAAACGGGCCCGAAACGGCCGCCAGTGTTCGTCAATGCCCCCAACTTTGTTCTGTATAATTTCTTCTTGTGGTTTGCTAGAGTTACACCGTCGGGACATGTCGGTTACAGCAACCCAAGCCAACTCTACGTTCTATTTCCGGAAAATCCTTTGTCAATGCAGGCTGAGTGGCTCGATCTCGCAAACGCCGGCAAAGAACTTTTTGGAGCACGCATGACACAACTCATCAATACTTTTTTGTCGTCGACTTTTGGTGGCGGGTTATACCTGGGGTCGATTCCGATTGGCTTCAATAGCACGAAACAGTTCGGACGCCAGCCGCTTAGATATAAAACCTCGAAAGCGATGAAAACGGAGCTTAAACACATCTACGTGGTACAGAAGCCGTGGGCTAGTATAACTCTTCTTGCCAGCTTATTGCTTTTGGCTATGGGTATCGCAGCGGCTGCTATAAGCTTTTATACTCTCGCCCCCGACGTTTTGACAAGTCTGTCAGCTCTAGCAAACGAAAGTCCATGGTTTGATACTTACAAGGAGGGTACAACTTTGGATGGAGATGATAAAGCTGTTGCTTTGAAGCGAAGGCTTGTCAGGCTCGGGGATGTGAAACGGTTCGAAGAAGTTGGATACATTGCCTTGGGTACAGTGGATACTGAAGTCGTGAATGTAGGACGATTAAGCACGGATAGATCTTACAGATGAACAGAATAGCCAGTGCTCTCAATTACTTCAGGATTATATCCATGTGTAAAGATTTTATTTCAGGTGTTTGAGGAGTCAATTTTTAGACGAAATACGAGTTTTCACATAGCTTGCAAGCGTTGGCCCACATTCTTGAACAACACTTAATTTTTATCCCACCCTCTCAGCTGAGGTCTCCATAAGTTCAGAAGCAACCAACGGATCAAAAGTCAAAGAGATTTCTGAAGGAGCCATCTGGCCGGAATTCGGTCTCTCATTGCCCAGAGTGGGGTTCTTGATATCAGATGCAGAGGTGGCGCTCGAAACATTTGAGACGTTTGAAATAATAGACGTACTTGATGATTCCGAGTCCGATTGCTCCTGTTCGTTACCGCTTTCCATCCCTCCAGCTAGCTCTTGCATCGTAAAATCCCGACCTTTCCTTTCAATAGCTAGTGCCCGAACCTTCGTCATCCCATCGTGCCTTTGGTTCCTCCACGCTACTAATGCATTCACCATGTTTCCTGTTGTGCACAACTGGCCAAGTGCTGCTGTATATAACCTTAGTAGGTCAATATCGTATGGCGTCATCTTTTTGAGTGCCTTTGGATCGTTCATTTTACAGTCAAGTTGCCTATGGATGCCAAGAACATCCTGCCGCAAACGGGCTAAAGACTGGCACGCAAGGGCAGTCTGGTCGCTGCCTGCTCGGAGACATTTTTGAGTGTAGGCTTGTGCTTTCTCGCCATCGCTTTTCGAATCGTATATATCTGGGCCCGTTAGATACAACGGACTCTCTTGCCATAAGCGTTTGTGGGCCATCTTCAGGTATATCATAGCCAGTGACCACTCTTTCGCAGTCCGAGCCCAACTTTCAATTGTTTCTTCAAGCTCTTTGTCGGTGATTTCTATAAGATCATGGAAAATACTCCATAGACTCAGAAGAGCCGGCTTCATACACTCCCCCCAAGGATTCTTTGTTGCAAGCATTTCAGGACGCTTCCCCAGTGATACCGTTATCATAAATGTGGCTACTGCTGCTTGGTTTCCGGGCTCTCTTAACATCTCGCAGAGGTGGTAATAGTATGAACCATCAATCTTTTTCTTGTTGCGCAACATTTTGGGGGCATGAATCTCGAATATTTCTAGCATGCAAGCAATAACGTTGCCGTAAAGCACCTGTTCATAAGAGTAACAGGAGGACTGGACTGCCAGCGTGCTAAGAACGTTATTGGTATGGCAGCTGATGATCGAATCAGGGCAGAGGAGGCGGTCTTGTTCCCATTGATCTAGGACACCCATCATGGGAATGGTGTCGAAGCGGCCGAGCCCGTCATTGATAGAGACCAATTCAAATTCATCCCCTTCGGGGGCATGTCGTATATGATTTGGGTGTGTACACTTTGATGGCAGAGGCCCGGTTACCGTAGGCGGTAAGCAGGAGTTTCCACACATATGGCGAGGATTTCCCGACGTATAGCGATAAACTATAGGCTTTTCAGATTTATTTGATGCTGATGCGCCGTATTTGATTTCTTTTACAATTTGGGATAGCGGCGACCGGGCTAATGGGACCAAAAGCGTAACTATTGTTTCCGTTGATATTGGCGTCTTCGGCGCTGGCTCTCCTGGCAAAGAGAACGACGGAGCCTTTGGGGAAGGGGTTTCATGGATTTGATAACTTTTAGGAGGTTCTTGAACTTGTCCCGTCAATAGAAAGGCAGCTTTGAAGAGCCCTTGGTGGAAGTGGCGAATGGCCAGAGTAAAGACCGCACAGAGTAGGAGGGCGAGCAAGAGGGTCATAAATAAGGATGGCACAAAATTCTGCCACAAAATTACTTCAAAAGGGTTTCTTTGTTCTTTAAATTGTGATTGAAACCACATGTTGGTATCGGCGTGGAACGGAATTGTTCTTGTCATGTCGGGAAAGGAGGGGCGGGAGAGTGGTCTCTGATATAGACAACCGTTAACCACAAATCCCCGACATAGGTAATATAACACCTTGTCGTAACCTACCCTGTTATTTTCGAAGAGTTCCAAGGGGCCATCTACTCTTTTACTTTCGCTGTCATTCGAACCAGAGAGTTGCTAGTTGGATCAGCTCTCCGCCGCAGATAAATGTTGGTGGAGACCAAAAGTCGGGCTTAGCTTTATCACTCAGTAGGCTTTCGGATCGCTGTGCTACATAACGTGAACAAATGATGATTGACCAATAACTCAATTTTTGTTGATTATGTTTTGCAGACTTATATATATATCAATTTAGACAATCGTCGAGTATACCGTACGTAGAGTATTGACCTGGCCTGCAAATGCAAATGCGCGTTCGTATACATCTCTAACATCCCCGAAAAGCGCATAGCTCAGTAGAGCGTCGTATATTGAAGCCATGAAGGCATAAATGATCAATAGTCTAGGAACTACGCGCATACGCCTTGATTGATCGTTAGATAGAACCCTACCACAGGCACATTCACATGTATTAGATGGAATCAAGTGTGGAGGCGTGGAGTTTGGTTGCTTCGCTCTCAAAATATTAAGCCTCTTCAATGTTGTTTCAAGAATTTCATGTCGACATGTCATGGAGCACCAGAGCGTTGGTTGGAGTGAGTCCAGTGCTTAAACTTAACATTAGATCTATCCCACCAAGGCGAATACCCCCCTCCCCCCATGGAAGAAAGATTAACCGCGGAATATATATTACAGCGTGTTTGTTGCATGTTGGCGGTATTCTGAAACTAGTATTCATTTGAAAAATATAACAGTAACTACGAACGCCGAAATACAACAGCCTGGTTTGATTTGCTCTATGCCACAGTTTACATGTTGTACAGAACATTCGAACATGATTTCCTTGCATTGTTTCGCGATTGGGGCCAGGCTTCTTCAGTAGCTAGCTTTAATAGTGATACAATGTAATGCCCAACTAAGGCTAGGTGAAACGACTCAGTAGGTAAAATTTCAAATTGCTGAGCTAGCTGTCTTGTGACAAAGGGTGGAACGCGTCAATGGTATATATATATGCCTATAAGGACCCGAGAAAGAGAGTCCCTCGAAGGTCCGGTTTAGAACAATCTGAAGGTGGGAATATACATATAACTTACCGCGGCCATAGCCACAGATGCCATTAGTCAATCTCCTGGACATCCCGTATTGCTTCATCCATCCTAATAAAAAGTATACCAGTTCCGGCCAGGATCGGGATGCTTAACCACCAGTATTCCACCACAACTGCCCACCAATCTATCCAAACTACACCACTATAGAACAGACAAGTAGTGACGGCTGCGATTATCACCCATTGCTGTGTGGTGGTCTGGAAGATATCAAATCCGAGGTACCAAATTCCCACACCCGCGCTACCAAGCAGAAATGAGAGGATAACAAAGGATTGTAGATAACGAGAAAGGGGAGCCGCCTCGAGCGTAGGAGCGAACGAAGTATCGATGATTATTTCTGTGCCTGAAGTTGGTTTGTCGCCAGATTTTGTAGCATCGTCAGTTTTTTTAGAGTCGCTTGAATGGAATGGGCTTCCGATCGTCGCCGTTGAAGCCCCCATCTTGCTGGCTATGCAGCTATGCGGATTGTGGTGTATCGATCATAAGATCTTGAAACCGTAACTTCCTTAACCAAGTATCTATACTTGCAAAGAGCTTTCCTCCAGGGTCTTCCACAATCCGCCGGTTCACATTATCCGTGCGATTTTATTTTTGAGGTGAGGTACCGTACCGTACCGGACATCAACTAGCTATGGCTGGACACGAAGGTTTCAGTTATAAATGCAGCGGAATTGACATGGAAGGTGCAACATCAAACCTTCAGAGATTTATCGGAAGCTAGCTATTAGGAGTGTCTAGATTCGACATAAGCATTGCACCCAAGCCGGGAGAATCTATAGTTTACATAGCGGTACGAGGCAAACGTTAACTTCCCTTCGTTGCAGACTGCAGTGCGAGATCGGTACATCTATAATATAATATTATGACGTCGAGGCTCTGTGCAACACATACGTATGCATACCCGACTAGGAATGGAGTGTCTAGCTATCAAGCTTGCAATAACGTCAATCAAAGTTCAACACGTTAACACGCCTCACTTCTTAGCTTAGATAACTATGAGCCATGCTCCGGCATAGTTCTAGTTTCTGATCCTGTCAACTAGCTTTAGCTCCTACTACGATCCATCACAATATCAGAAATTTTGAGAAAGATGTTGACCTCTTCCAGGTCTGGGTACGAGACAAGTTGACCTGGTGGTATATTAAAATTATTCTATCCAGTATGTAGTATATACGTCAATTCCGAAGCTGGAAATAATCGCCCTGTATATATTATGCGCTTACACCCGCGCTCTGACGATCCACCGTAAGACCCAAAACTTTTATATCCGGTTGCTAAGGGCAGTATTTAGATGACAACGGGATTGACGGTTCCAGCAGTGGTGTCGAATTCGATGGTCAAGCCGGTCTCGACATTGCTGCCATGGTTGGACCAGAGGATAACGGCATCGTCTAAAGATATACAATTAGTAAATGTTAAACTCACGAAATGGCAAGCTATTACACTCGATCCCTAAACTTACCTGACTTCTTCTGAATGGCGACAACACCATCTTCACTATTGAGAACATGAAGATACTTGATAGTAACCTTGTTGTTGTTGGACAAGGTTACAAGGAAGTGGTAGTCGTTATCCGTGTTACCGTATGCGCTGACAACATATTCAAGAGTGATGCTGTCCCCAGAGATCTGATAGTAGATGCCCTGGACTTTACCCCCGTTGATGAGGAGATCCGACCAGAATGCAAGGATAGCAACATCAGGGAGATCATCAGGGCCATGTGGGAGAGGGGCTCCTTCGGTGTCTCCTTCGGTGAAGTAGTACCAGTAGTTTCCTTGCGAGAATTCATCAAGCCAGATCAAGCCGTTGACACTAGCGAAGACGTGGTGTGATTTAACACCATAGACTTCGACCTCAAAGTCGGGAACCTCGATACGGTAGTACGCATCGTCGATATCGGCATGAGCCGGGGCGTTAACATTACCTCCACAGCAAACGGCGGTCGGGCTAGCAAGAGCCAAGCTAGGAGCGGTGATTGTTGTGGTTTCTGTCTTAACGGTATACTTGGTCTCGGTCTCGGTCTCAGTCGCGCTAACACTGTTGGTCAAAGTTCCAGGTAGATCAGTGACAGTGATGGTCGCGAGAGGGATTGTTAAACATTGACAAGCGCTCGAGAGACGGGATGGATCAATTGAAGTAGAGAGGATATATCCTGGGGTCGAGATAGATTTTGTGGTGGTAGTGGTGCTGGTGCATCGCTTCCTGAGCTTTTCGAACTCAACGTCTGTTTCCGTCCAGACAAACGTCTCGGTGACGGTAGAAGTTTGGATTTCAGTAGTGACTGTCACATAGGCTGTGGCCGTCGGTGCAGGAGTGACGGTATGGGTGGAAGCGGGGAGGTCCAAGAACTGACTGCAGAATGCAATCGAGTCGTCGACACGCTGGGTCGCCCTCAAAAGACGGAGAACATTATCGGCGTTACAGCCGCTGCTTCCAGTCCTTTCCTCCAAAAGAGGGTGGGCCAATGAGGATGCTCCGAGAGCGAGCAGAGAGACTAATGACAGCAACATCTTCCGATTGATCTTTATCGACGACGGTTGTCTAGAGGGCTAAAGAGAAAAGGGTGGACCGGAAGGATTGGGTGAATTTATAAATGCTTGAAATCGGCTTGAGGACTAAACGAATGACAGAAAGTTTACACTCTGCAAAGCGGCCGAAAGGAATGCAAATGGTGCCCCAATATAGAGTGAATCAACCTTCGAGACGATAGACAGATAAAGAATGACTGCAGGTTAGATCACGCATCCGCAAGAACGAAAATGGAAGTGAGGAAGGAGAGGCAAATCCAATTGCTGTGGTGGATGAGCTCTCATTTGTATTCCTTCAGCCAGGCTTCGCGTAACACACATGCGCCAATATGCAGCCAGCATCGAAGACAAGGAACCGATGTTCAAGATTCCAAAGCCTCATCTCACCATCCCACCTTTAGCCTACGCAAATGCTCCAAGGCGGTCTGAGTTCTGTGCGTCAAATTCCAGTTAGCCGGTTTCTTCGCTCATCCTCAATGGTGGCGTCTTAACATGGTGGACTTTGGGTGTCCTAGCGGGATGTCTAGGTTCGGCTCCCCTTAATCTGATGCGCCAAGTTGCACAAACTAAACCTCATTTCGTCAAACCCTTACCTTAACCCAGCCAGAGCCGGTTACCCGGTGCCCTGCTAGCCAAATTTGAAGCAAAGCTTGAGCTTTGAACAGAACTTTCGGTGGGGCCAAAAGCTACGAACAGCGACAGCCCTGAAAACGTGGTAATTTACAAGTATACAGGTTGCATATGCTCCACACCATGCTCCATCCGCAAGGGCAAAAAGGGGGTAGAGAAAAATCTTTCGCCGTTCGATACCGAATAGCCCAAGATTTTGACGATAAGAAATCAAGCACGGTGTAATATGGACTTAGATAGTTACTTAACTAAGTAGCTGCTCCATCCGATTGAGGATCTGCCACAAAAGTTGACATAGGGATCACCGGGACCGCATGGCCATGGGCACAAGGCTCTTATCGATCCTACATGCCGCAGGCTCTACTATACTTAGCCCTACACATGTAAGCATAGTCATGAAATGGATTGTAATGATTGAGCGGCCTTGCGGCATAACCGTAGGGGTTTGAGCTGTGACCAAACTACTTTGTACACCTAGCTTCGCAGCAGGGTTTACTAGAACCAGCCTTTCACCAGAAAACGTTAAAACGACAGAAATGCTTTGTGAATGACAAGATCCATACTTTCCCGTGCGGAATTCATGTCAAGAGGCGACCAAGTTCGCCAAGTCCACCTGTGCTTTGGCTTGCAGCTAAACCACAAGCCGCCCTCGCAGCCTCGATTGATTCAAAGTTTTACTTCCAAAGAAAGATTCGTCCAATACATGTACCAGTTGCTTGCGGTAACAATAAGGCCTTCCCCGAACAGACCCCAAAGTAGTGGGTCCTAGAGTTACCCTTATACATAGAAAATTCTGTTCCAAATAACTCGTCTCGAATCTGTGCCGTCTACGCCGTCTTTCAACGCGATGCCAATGCAGTTACATGACGATAAGGCCCTTAGCTTAGCAAATGTTAATAATCCCTGTTAATTTTTCTTCCATTGCAAGGAACAGAATACGACCGAAATCCCTCACAAGGTTTACATTTTGGAACACACAAGATATAGCGACCCAGTTTATACCTACCGCGTGCTAACTACATTATGTACATGTATCTTATTACAACCTTAAGTGATAGAACCGGCAGTTATTATATTCTAATTTCGGGTTTTTCCTGGTCCGACTGCCGCGTATTATAACCTGTCGTCAATGAATGACACCACAATTGAGCACCCACGTTCCCTCGTATTTCGCTCTAAAAGTTAGTGTTTTTTTTTTTGAAAAGTCATGTCAAACGCGTGGCTGCCCCCGTCACAGTTTGAAGATAGAGAAAGAATCTAGCAAGTGCATACTTACATACGAGCGGCTACTCGGCACTTTAGTGGACCCATATTACAACCCTACTCATGAGAAATTCTTAATATTATTTCATTCATATAGCAACGTAAGTTTTAGTTGGGATACACAAACGTCTTGGCCATACACCTGCATGGTATTTGTAAGTTTGGACTAAGCTACCAACTAAGTAAGTACCTACTAGTTATAGATAATTTGATATTGCCGTCCACCACTTGGACCACCCGACATTTTCAAGCAAGTCAAACAGCTCCGGGTAACGCTGAGCGTCTGCGAGAGCAGTGACCATTTTCGCCTTCCCATCTCCAAAAACCCTCATTGGACCCGATGCGATCTCCTGAAATGGTGCCCAAGGCTCCTCACCATTAGCGAAGTTTATGAACGCATCCTGCATCTCGCCACTAGTATTAGCGCCATGTTCATCCAAACCATTCAAATTGTAGTTTCCCAGCGCGACAGCTACATCGAGAATGTGGCTGACTTTCCCACCCCACATCCCATCCCAAGGATTACGATAGTTGAAGTGATAGACGTATGATGGACCTGGGAACCCCGCCGCAAGGTAATGTGTTGGGGCCAAGAAGCCGATATCAGAGGACATTTGGAGAAGCGTATCGAAGGCTTGGTTTGATGGGGTGTTCGCATCTATTTGATAGTGCTGTTTTATGAGTGCAAGATCTTCCGGGTCCGAAAGAAATGACCTTTCAAAATGTGCAGGGAATGTTGCCGGAATTGATGCAACACGACCAGCTGCTAAGATCCCCAGACCCATAACAAGACCCTAGTCCAATTTAAAGTCAGCCCGATGTTCCAAAACGTGGCCGCAGGGACCCTTATATTGCCTACGTCGTCTTTGCTGTCTCCCAAAATCATTGTCTTGCACCACGTTTTTCCTGGGATCGAAAGATCTTCAGGGTCCGAAATGCAAAAAATACCATGTGCTTTTGGTAGGAAGATTCTATCAATGGCAGGAAGTGCCGGCACAACCTGGAAAGTCTTTTTCACAAGTTCTTCAACTGGCATTGTACTAAGGATCTCTTGCTGCCTGGAAAAGGGTTCCTCTGATAGGCCGAGCAGACTCATCGCTTTTCTACAACTAGGTTAGCCAGGCTGTGATGCGCCACCCTAATTAATTTAAAAGGCCGGAAAAGACTTCCATACTCATAGATCGAATCATGGGCTTCCAGAGGGGCCGGGGGTATTAAGCAACAGGAACCGCCCATGGCAATCAGTTTGTTGAAAAGTGGCTCTTCTTGCCATAAAAGAGTCGTCACTGCAGCTGCGCCAGCACTCTCTCCAAGTGCAGTGATATTGTCAGGATTGCCTCCAAAACCATGAATATAGCGCTGGATCCACCCAAAGGCTGTGACAAGATCTTTGAACCCGTAGTTTCCCCCGTGGCCTGCCTCTGTCATTTCAGTGGATGTAAGGAAACCGAGTATGCCAAGTCGATAGCTGAATCAAACCTGTTAGCAGACTATGTATATACATCACTTGGGATCTTTGTGTGTATCCAACTGGAACCCTCATACTTCACGCTGACACCAACAATTGGCTTTCCTAGTTTCGCCGAGGTGCTTACAATGTGGGCTAAATCATACTGCGGCCAGGAACTTGCACCAAGTTGGAAATTTCCTCCATGAACCCAAACCAAGACTGGAAGATCTGAATACTTGACCCCCGTAGACGAAGGTACGGTAATGTTGAGTGTCAAGCAGTCCGATTCCGACATCGTGTTTACAACGTCGTCAATTGGTAGAACTTGGCCAATGAGACCAAATTCTCCTGCGCAGGTGTCGGCGCCCTGAGGGGCTTGCGGCCCGTAGCGAGTCGCATTCGGATCCTTTGGAATATGGAGGACTGCTTCAGAGAAGCGTCCGGGGATTTCTGCGTACTTGAGGCCTAGATACTGTAGAACAGAAGGTGACTTTTGGATGCCCGTGACCCTGCCTAAATACGGATGCTCGATTGTTATGGTATCCATGATTAAAGCACAATCCGAGACAACGTAATTCCAAGAATCGTGTTTTCTTTTCAAGGAACAAAAAAAAGGGGGAAAGCACAATCACCTAAAATAAGGTAAATTTAATGTCTAAATTTTTGTTCTTTTATTCTTTACTTTGCGTAATATACCGAAGTTCAGCATGAAATATGGTGGTGATTCTGACCTAGGCACTCCGTACAGTTCTGTTCAGAAGTCAAGACTAAGGCTCTCGTCATGTCATCACCAGAATACAAATGGAGATGTCTAGTGACGTCCAACAGCATCCTAATTGCGGGGTTGCGGGTGGGGCTGTTTGTAGTTAGTCCGCCATTAGCTTCCGATGATGTCGGGCCGAGAAAACTCGTTTCTGGATCGATCTACCAGCCACCACCACCACAACACAATCCAACATGATTCTCATATGGTCATACACAAGTACCTAGGTACTTACCTAAGTAGTGATGAGCTTACCCCAATGGGTTTAGATTAAGGTGAATAGTACTTGATGATAACAAATAAAAGTATGCGAATTGGTTGGTTGATGTAACTAGGATCGAGGGCTATTCCCAAGATTGGGCCTATTTACTTAGGTGAAAACAACGCATTTTGTTTTTTACATATAACAGTAGGTATGTAGTTGCCCACAGTTGAGGAGTCTGGCGACGAGACAAGTAGTTCAATTGCCTAGGTACTATTAGGTATTCATAAATTGTAATAGTACTAAAGCCCCCTAGCTTTAAACAACTACGCTCGAAATTACCACGATGTCCTAGTCGGGCGTTATGGCCTTGAATTTGATGTATCGTTTTATGCCCAATGTTGCAGGTTTCGCGTCGGGAATCGATCTACTGGCTCAAATGAACGAACGAATATTGCGCGTATACGTGAGTAATCACGTATAACTGATTAGATCGACCAAAAATACAATTTGAGAACAAATCGCGACTATTGCTTAGAATCAATGAATAACAAGCTGCAAAACTCCGGATCCCCGTGTTACTCCTTTGACAGTTTGCGGCCACCCAACCATTTCCCTAGTATGAATACGCGACCTCTCCGCGGGAGAAGGCCCCAAAATAGCCGCCTCACAGGTGAACGAAACTCATTGGGAGTCAAGTCAAAGATTTGGAGAAGGTTGGGCCGGGTTTTTGGGTGATGTGCGAGCAGGAAGAACATTTGTCCTAAAGTTGGATGCCGGTAAAACATTCCCCGCGGGCGAGTATTCGCAGAATAGCATGTTTGGTAGTCTATTTATGCTCTCCATCAGTTCTTTGATTGAATATAAATGTCCCAAAATTTTGCTCGGATCGTTTACTTACCCGCCTGCACAATTCTTGACGTATGCGCAGCCAATTTGCTTTGTATTTTTCCAAACAACGGCCGTGAAATGGCCCGTTTCGCTCGAGAATCCAGGTCTATTGAAATTATATTTCGAAACCTCGTTATACCATCTAGGTGCAGCGGTCTTCAGTAGCTATTTTTGGGGCATAAGTTATTGCGAGAATCGAAACCCCCCGGTACTTACAAAGAAGCATAGTATGACGGGCTAGTATATGTTCCAGCAGCTATGTTCTCTCCGTATTCGTTATTCTTTGTATGAGCAAAAACACATTTTCGGGCCGACTTGAGGGCGGCCATTGCGAGAGTTGTGTTCCACTTCAATGCTGGGGCACCATGATGGGCTCTCCAAGCGTTGTGGTATTTTAACATTTCACTTCGCAGAGAGGTGCCGACGGTGCTTATGATAAACTTCGTGCCTCGTTTATCGATCTCCTCCGTGGCATCGAAACCGACGCTCCTACCTTCGAGGCCTATGTCTAGACGAGTGTCAGCGCCAGCCTCGAAGTTTTTGCCGTGCACATTCTGCAGAGCACCAAGGTCAAGCTCTGCATCCTCTATTCTAGCAACAGCATCTAAAGTGACAGCTATATCTTTGCCCTTGTCACTGTCTCCGTGGCCCGTAGGCGAACTGAGCGCGGTGGTCAAGAGTAAAGCAACAAGAGCAGTGTAAGATAGCTTCATTTTAACTGTTGATTATTCGGCAGGGATATAAAGAAGATATTAGAAACCTATTTTAGAATTTCCGGAGATTAAAATATTGTATTGTTTGTGAGATTTAAATGGTAGACGGGGTCATATGGTGCTAGGGCCGTAGGTTTATATGCACATTCTTGGAGGCAAAGTAGGCATGAATTCGACGAACGAGTGTGGAGGGCGCCAGGATCGAGAACTGGTAGCTTTGAGACAGTACCCTAGAGCAATGACGAGTCTAAGGGTCGAAGGAAACCCAATATTAGTAGTATTTAGGGGTCGGTCCAGTGTGGTCCATAGAACCTGGTTAATTGGTTTCCTATTTACGAGAATATACCACCTCATACTGATCAGCCGTAATAAACTTCCTCTAATCGACCCCATTTGAGAAACGAAAATCATTTCCGAGTGCGTTATCCAACAGTTAGATAGTTCTAGCCCGTCCTTTTGCTAATTGTTTTCCCCCAAAATCGAATGGATTCCGGAAGCCTATGGCATAGGCCATTACCCAGATGGGAAGTATATTCTTTTGTATTGTGCAATGGTGTATGCACACAGAATTTGAGTAAGACTCCAAGTTCCCCGAAAACGTCTTCGGAATCCCAAATTCACAGTCGACCGAATTTACACCTACGAACTCTACTTCCGAATTTCCAAGAAAACATTTAGTTTAAGATTGTGATATATGAAGACTCAGATCTCGCGATACCAATCATAGTACTTTGGGGTTGTATCAAACTCTCGGGACCCAGCGACTTGGGTCACAGGTTCCTGAAGTTAAACCGGAAACGGTCGAGATTCCTTCGTCCGCCACTTTTGTCACGTTTGCAGCCCAGTTGTGGTACCAGAATGATGGCGAAACAGTGTTCTTTCGCTTAGATTATAATCTTCACGTTTCATAAATTCAGTAGTAGCTGGGCCACGTAGGGCCGCGTTCCATACCTAATTTCTCGGGACATTTTGTGAGATAAGCTAGATAACCGGGAAAACAGGAAGTACACTCTGTGCATGTGAAGTTCTAAACGGCCATATAAAATACGTTTTTATCGCTCCCTATTAGTTCCTAATAGCCTACAAAGGATAAAAAGTTTCAATTCAACAATCCCATGACTATGTCGGGGTCGGCTGATCCGTACAGCAATCGCTCTGGGATATGCCCCATGGCCCAGCGCATCGCAGCCTGCCTTGGACAAGCTTGACCCTTGCGTAACTACATGTAATTGATCGAAATATAATTTTAATGGTAAACTTGGTGTATATTAGAAGTTGTAAATACGACTATAAAAAGAGGGGGAAGAGAAGAAAGAGATTAAGGCTCAACAACAAGAGATACAAAACCAAGAAACTAGCCTAATTCTCAATCGAGTTGTACAATCGTAGCAAACATATATATAATGAAAATTTCCAAATCTTGAGATGTTATATATCTCTCAGACATATACCCGAAGCTATTTAATTATTATCAAGTGTTCCCTCCTTATTGGAGGGCGGCGGTGTACTCTCCTCACGACTAGATTTGGGTAGCCTGAAAAGATCACGTTTAGCCCTGGAGATTGTCCCCTCTGGAGACCTTGAGGGAGGTGTAGATTTTCCCTGGGTGCTTCCAACGGATTTTCGATGGCTACGTGCATTTTTGAGGTAAAGTTTAAGTTTTGTTCCTGGCGAATTCCGATTTTTGGTTATTGCTTCCTCTGCTGGGTCTGGGTATGCGAGGTTCAGGCTAAATGAGCGCTCAAGGAAAGGGCGAGGGACTTCTTCTTTGTCGTAGTGCTCGAGGCTGCCGATTCCTGTTATTTCGTGGTCATGGAGATCCATATTTGTCATATAAGCCTCGCTTGTACCTTTCAACGGAACCTCATATAATCCTTGAGGGGCTGGCGACCGGGCATGGGGTGGTATATTCGATTCACATTCAAATCTGTGAATCGGCGCAGATATGGTTTTGATTGCTGATATTGAATATTGAGTTCGTGTGAAACAATTTGGCTGGGGGACGGCGAGTAGATTCGGATCGCATGACTGGGCTTTGTTTCCGTTCCAATCGATCTGCTCATGGAAACTATCTAACTCCATCGTTTCTGGAGACTTGACTGTCGGAAATTGAACTTCAAAGGCGTGCCCCCTTTCCATTTCGCCGCCTAAGGTAAAGTTAGAATCGATTGGGTTCACCCCTGTGACATCATATTCAAAGATTTCTTCTTGTTCGGAGAATGGATTTTGGTCTCCTGCTGCGGAAGTTTGATCTGAAAGGTGATTTCGGTGGTCTGACTTTATAGAGAGCTCTTTCGTAAGTCCTGTTAACCTCTCTATTGATCGTACTTTTCGAATGCCCCAAGGTTCTCTCTCAGGCGAATTAGGCTCTATGGACTCGATATCCTTAGGAGAAAATTTCGTTCTGCTACATTCTGGCATATTCAGGGAGTAATCTGAGTGCTGAGAAATTGGCGAGCTAATGTATTGATCCCGTTGTTGTTCCAGATCACTATTTGTAACTATATGCAAGATTGCTGATTTCCGTTGTTCGCGGATTCGTTGACAGAGTGAGGAGGTGGTACCGGATTCCTTAAGAAGTTCCTTGTATTTTTGGTGGATCTTTCGTAATTGAAGATAAAGATATGTTACTAGTGTTAGGAGGCCAAAAACAAGGACGGAAAGAACGGTGACTAAGACCCCAAGTAGGGCGTCGCTAGGTCTATCGTTCGGATCTTTAGACATATTGGCAATTGGCCTCTGTACCTGTGTGCAAATGCTTTTGATCCTCGAGATGCTTTACTCCAATGCTGATGAACGAGATGGTAGGGCAATCTTCTTGCGAATACAGGAAGGAAAGAGACGAAATATATATTGATTCAATCAATTGATATCACAGAAACCAGTTGCTTAGATTCTTTGTTCCGTCCAACTAGGAGAATGTAACTCATGTTATCGGGAATGCTCGATGCACGTGCGTAATGATATCAGCGTTGTTTTTGTTGTATGTTTCTCGAACAACTGCTGCAAACAGCTCAGGAATGTCACCACTAATTGGAACCTGAACAGATCCATTAATTATATCCAAAAACAGCAGTTCCTTGGGGCTCTTTCTGTAGATTTTTCTTAATTTTATATATCTTTCACATTATCAGAGAGGTATCTTGGGGATATTGGAGCCGCGATGGAATTACTATCTTTAATAATTCAACCAAATGACACGCATTTAATGACAACCATCTATTTAATGAAACCCGTCCATAACCGGTATCTTATAGAATTCACAAGACAATATGGATCAGTAAGGCGGATGAGATGCTGCGTGAAGGTAGACCTGCGTGCATCCTGGTTTTACTCCCTTATATGTGACCTTTTCATTTGTGTGTCGTTAGCGGTACTTTTTTTATTCTTATATCGAAAGGTACTTACAACATATTCTCCAAAATCGCCGGGGCAGGTGAACCAGCGGTTAATGATCCCATGGTAGCCTATGAGGCCATTTCGAATGGTCAATGGCCCTCTAGATGTGTTGGGCGACGGATGGAACTTAAGTTCGGTGTCATCTTGTGGTCGTTTCGTGGTAAATGTCGCTACTGGGCCACCGTGTGGCAGGCTTGCGATAGTAACAAGATTTCCCCGTTTGAGGTTGAACACGGGCAAGCTATTGTAACCCGGGCCAATCGTTCGAAGGAGATAGTCCTCCTGGTAGTATGGATCGAAGGTCGATATTGCAGATGCGTTTGGTAAGTCTGAAGAATTTGGACACGAGATGGGGCTTGAACTTGTGACAAGATAGAAGTCCTTCGGTGTGTTTGTTGCTGATGCCACAGCCGCGAGACCCAACAGGGATAAAGTGGGTAGACGAAGCAACATATTTGGGCCTAGGAAATATCAAATCGAAGGACAATAATTATATCTCGCGAGAAGAATGCAAAAAAAATCTTGAATGAAGTAAAATCTGCCCCGAGATATATCGATAGTGTTCTTGTTACATATGTAATGTAAAGATTAAAGTATGTCTTGGTATTCTTGGGAAAACGGGAGGGGCGGATTTATAGGTTGACCAGTGCAGTGCATATGGAAGCCCTGAGAACCTGCGCGGGAGAACGAAGCGAAGCGCGAAGCAAATACTTATCCGTTTACCGTCAGCCCCAATTAGATATGCACTGAGAGAACCTCAGCTCGTATGCAAAGTTCTATGAACTGCATATTTTTAGAGTTCTGGCATGGCGTTCAGGTCTTCAGCTAGCGGTTTCCTATTTGTGCCACGGACCACCTTTTGCGTTACATTCGGTTAACTGGCATCAGCAGATAGGATGGCACTAAGAATGATGTCGTCTACAGAGCTAGCAGAAATTATTTTCTAGGACTATATATCCCTGGACCTATATATTTTCCGGTTAATTGTGTGTTTAGTTGAGTCAGCCCCTATGCATGTTTCCGCTTCTGCCTTAGGTAGCGTTCTGTGTAACGTTCTATATGATTCATCAATCGAAAATCTTCAGGGTCGATCTTGATCTTGTCACACATGCACATTCGCATGTATATGCTATTCATGAAGCCAGCAGAAGCTCTCTAGCCATGCTGTATCGAACCTGTATTCCAATACCATAATTATAGTTGGACTTCCGGGCTGGAGGTTACATTAGAACTCCCTCGTGGGGTTACGTAGCAAGGTCCAGACGTCGGTTGACAGAATTTGACACGTTCAAGTCTAGAAGTCCAATCGTGCATTCTAATTTTTGCAAGTACTTAAGATGTAGTCGATAAGGTATGTTAATAGATAGAAGGCCTGTTTATAATTTGGTCGATGGAATTTCAGTCTATGCCTTCTGAAGGCCTCAGCATAAACATGGCAAATGCATGGTTAGATAATTTGTACAAGTTCCTGGTCCGGATGGAAGCTGCGAGCCAGTTTGAAGATACACAACATAACTGTCAGCCCCCACGGGCCCACACATTACATAGTTCAGCTGCCTCCCAAGTTGAGATGATTGGGTCGTGATGATTGTGTCTCCTTCAAGCCCCCAGCCGCTAAAGTTAGGAGTTGCTCCAAAGGACAGGGCTTTGTATGACGTGGTAGCCGTCGTGTCGATATTTAGGTAAAGACCTGTTCCGCTCATTTGGATTGTCCCACCAGAAATGATGAATTTTGCCTGGTTTGCTTCCGGGCCTAGGACAGCTTTCCCGTCCAAGTTCTGGAGGTATTTATGATAGACAGGAGCACTAACACCCCTAATTGCTGTCCCGCTTGGTGCTGGCCCGGAAGATGTGGTACTGATTCGAGTTGTTGTAGATAAGGTTGTTTGGGTAGTTGTTCGAGAGCTGGTCCAGGTGGTGGTGCTCGTTTTAGGCATGGTCATCGTCTGAACAGGCGTGGTCGTGCTTGAACTAGCTGGTGAATTTCCTGGCAAACATTGGGAATAGTCTGGCCTGGAAATCAGTATCTCCTATTTTGCAGGGGACAATGGCTCGCAAAGCCAGAGCTAGAAAAGATAGAACTAACATGGATTCAGGGCAGAGCAAAAATATCCGGATGTACAGCTCGTTGCACCAGTCCATCCTAAAATGATTAGGTTGATTCGATTCTTAGTTAAACATCCTATAAGGTGGTCCTCGAAATTCTCAAGCGGGTTTACTAACCGACGCCGCCGCACTGGCCCCACGCCCCGCTCTGGGCCGTGACAAGCGAACATAAGGACAGCACTAGAGCCGAAAACCGCATCTTCACAATCTGCTGAATAGCTTCCGAGAATTGATTCTGAATGATTAGATAATAGTTGGAGAAGGGCGCCCAGGCCTAATTTTATAAATGTCTTAACTAATACTTACTGAGGATTTGACAGTTAATGGATGATATTCTACTCGCGACCTCGCTTCCTTTTAAGGTCATTCAAACCCAGTCGCCCAGGATCAAGTTAGACATACAAAGTCGGATCTTTAACCATTCTCCCGACAAGTTCGATAAACGGTCCGCCAACCCGCACGAGCCAACAGGTAAGTGGTTATTAATGTCAGTAACCCGAATGTAAGTACACCAATTATGTTTTTGGACCCTCAAAAGCCCGTTCGAAGTTAATGTTAGTGAAGGTTTCATCTTAATGGAATGAATGTAAGCACAGATATCAACCAATGAGGTGGGTCCTACTACCTTCTTGACGAAACTGTGGTACTGAACAGCATGGTCCAAGACTTGGGAGCTTTTTATACTTTCCCCTCTCAAATATCACAACGAACAAATATATTCAAGGACTACAACTATATTTGCAATTTGATGGACATGGATTTATCTGTTGTAAGGACATACAATTCTGTAAAACCGATGACCTACTATGGCCCCTATATGAGATCAAGCCCGAAACCTTAAATAACACAGGCTATAGCTACATTAAGTCTCCAAGAATATATTTTGCAAGCCTCAAAAGTAAATAACGCTTTCCCGAAAGTTTGGAGGTCTTGGGTGAGATCAAGACGCTCCTGTGTCGTTGTTTGTGGTTCGCTGGCCAGACCATTGGGTTCCTCGTCAGAAATCCCTGCTACCCTCTTGGGCCGTAAAGATCGAGGATTTGGCGCAATACCTTGCGTTCGAAAACCTGGACAATAATCCTGTCCACTAACCTCCGCCTAGCGATCCTATAAAACGCCCGAAGGTCATCGTGGATTGTGATTATCTTGTTGTTGGACGTATTAGTATTTATCGAACTTCGAACATTGCGAAGGACTTAATTCCGGATCTCAGCAGGAGGTGGTGGAGTTTTGTTGCTGGGTCGTTCATCTTCAGGAACGGATTCAAGGGTCGATATAAGTATTCCATCACGAAAAGACAAAACTGTTTGGATAAAATCCGGATTCTCAGTCAAAAGAATCGATGTTTTTTCGGCTTCGATCATGGCCTTGAGTTCCACTGCTGCGATTTCCATTATTTCACTTATACGCCTGTTGTGCCGGCCAGAGAGCGTTTGGCGCACTTGCTCGCCTGCGCGTGTCCTTCACGTAATGGTGTCATGAAACCTTGTGATTATCCCACGAAGCTGTTGGAAATAATATTCGGCAATCGGTTCCCAATTTGCGGTAATGTCCTTAAAAAGTCTCGAGTGAATGTATGCGCTTGTCAGGCTTGGGAGCTCATAACCACGAGGGCTTGCTTCAGTGTGTTCAATCCATTGAAGAATTTCGCGGTCTTCCAAAGGAATGGGAATAAACCGCCCGGTTCGATTGTATTCGCCTCCATCTCCCTCCTCATTGTTCCGCGAATTGAGAACAGATGAGAATGCCCTGTTGTTTCCGTACTTAATAAAGGCTTCGGAAAGTTCCTTTTTAAAGCTCGAGCATGCTGGCGGAGCTTAAGATTTTCACATTCTGTAAATATTTCCTTTCCGTAACGACCATGGAGCGCTTCATCGGTTATTCTCCTCGCCTTGACCTCAACATCAGTGACAAATAACTTGTGCTCCAGGGTAGATGTGCGAGGCTTTCCGATTTTCCTGAGGGACGCATCTATTTTTTGAATATGCAACTCGATTTCTGACTGAAGTTGGGGAATATCAGTACGGCCCAGTTTCTACCCCGTCAGGCTTAGTGAGAATACCGAGGGCTTTCCTCCCTGTTTGCTCGATATCTTTGACCAGCTGTAAAACCTCTAGGTTTGCAGCATCTACATTGGCGCTTAGTACGGCGCTTTATATGCATATCGGCTAGCTAGGCTCCTCTAGTACAACCTTGACATATATCTTTAAACTTACGGGATGATACTCCTTTTGTCCTCGATATATTTTAAGTTCATCTTTTTTATCAGATCGATATCTTTACGTTGCTGTTGGTTTGCCACCAACCGAATAACTGAGAGGGTCCCAAGTTTAGCGGAAATCCGGAAGTGTGGGTACATGCGCACATGGGTATTTGGCGTTCTAAGTACCTTATAAGTCCGGGCAAATCTATAACCGAAAATTGAGCATGCTGAGGCCCGGAAAGCTCCAGGGATAGCAAGTGATCCGAAAAGGCTCTTTCGTTTGAGGCAGTATCAGTCGGTCGCTGTCCTGGTCGCGGAACACGCATGACATCGCTCGCCTGGTTCACGATTTCTAAAATCTTATCTGTTGTCAATTCTTCCTCTAGTATAGCCTTCCGAAAAGCGACGGCCGGATGCCCACTTGATTGTTATGATGATAGGTTTGTGGTAAGAAGAACGGCGAAGACAAATTTCCGTTGCGAAGCGTGTACATAGCCCAGAAGATCGGGGAAGTGGGAGCCCAGTTAAGGCTTCCAGAACTGATGATTTTCCTGAGCTTTAGTCTCCGGTAACTACGAGCCATGCCATCTATTAGCTGCTGCCTGGGAGGTTGGAATTATTAATATTATAAGAGTTTAGGAACTTACTTGAGGTAAAGCTAGAATTTTGTTTACGCCTAGCGCCCTCAACTTATCGATTTTGTCGAGTAGTTTTCTATCTTCATCCGTCCCTATAGCTCCATCTAAAGAGATAACTTTCGATTCTATGTTGCTGCCGGCCGGAGTCTATAAATATCACAACGTGAGATGTCAAGAACCGGTGCGCAGGCACAATCTGCGACTCGAACAACGGAAAAGCCACTCATCACCGTTGCTTTCATCGCAATATATTTCGCTATTTTTCGACGACGTAGGCGATTTGGCATCGGATTGAGTACGCCCCCTTTCTCTAAGTGAAAGTGGAGTGCTCGGTGCCTTATGTCGCGGGGGTGTACCAAATATGCCTCCTCCAAGAGCGGATTTTCTGTCAGTAGACATATTTATACTCTGTTTCTAAGATTGTCTTAGGATCTTTATTTAACCCTAGTTAAATCCATAAATATATTTAGACTTTGGAGAATGAAAGGGTGTGTATTAAATGTCAATCAAGAAAATAAAACGACCAGGCTTTGAGACCCGAAATAAGAGACAACTATTTTGGGAATTAGGATCAAAATTTATCAGTGGGAAGTTAACCCAACGTTACGAGAGGCTTTAAATACAACAGGAGACCAAGACGCGATGACATAGGATCAAATGGATAGACCCACAGGCGTTAATACAGCCACCCGGTCCATTTTTTTCACTACCGAGTCGTCCCAATTGCCAAAATCTCAACCAATAGGCCACAGGTGTGGGGAAATACTTAATGAAAGGGGTTATGCCGGCTCCAGAAAACGCGTACTCGGTATACTCGACCAATTATGCAACTGATATAAGAGTTCAGCGGGAATGTGGCGCAGATACCCTGAATAGGATCTCCCGGGCTGAGTGAATCTTAATCGTGCAATAAGGATATCGATCTCCAGGCTTCCCGCCACTCATTAAAACCAATTGAGACGCATCAATTGAATCAAACCCCATGAATAAAAAATTTTGAGGCATTTTTATCTTAATATGGGCCTTATTTGCCCATCCTATGTTGTTTATGGCAGAGGACATTCTCGAGGCGGCCTGGTATATATATATAGATAGACTGGTTCCTGGTCGGCATAGGTCCTTGATAATTTCAGCGCGATCGAACCAGACTCTAAGAATTGAGCACGTGTGCACGATCAACTCGACGAGTTAATATCGGGCTCGCGTGGGGTTAAATAAACTTATAGAGAGGCTTTGAGGCCTTCGCTACTTTCCTTCGCCGTTAATCAATATTTCCCATGGTACTATTATCGACCAGGCCAGGACCCTGTTCTGAAAATCGAGCTGTGTATCACACTAGCGCTAGTTTTTGGTTTTCGACGTTCATCCGACAATTATGATTGGCTACTAAATAAAGGAAAGAGAAGAAGCTAGAAGCTTTGAAATATGATTGTAATCGCGCGGTTGAAGAATTAAGGCCTTGACGGCACCAGGCTCCTGAAAAACATGGAATTATGTGGTATATACAACACAAAATCGCCTAACTTCTATGTCTGAATCCAAATAGCTAATAGGAACATGGAGATGTTAGCATGCCTCTATTATATTTGTGGTATCTGGGAACGAGACCAGATTTGGCTGCCTTGAGTCAGATGTAGCACCCATTTTCAGGGCAAGCATCTCACGATTATGTACTGGCATTTCTGTGGGTCCGGAGGGGTGTCAAAACCTTCTCGGGAACAGAATGCCCTCAATTGCTCATGAAAATTAAGTAATTGCATAATCGTGAGTTGAGGTTGTTGTTTTTTGTTGCAGTGAATACTTAGTGGGCGTTTGCAATATTAATATATTTGACAGGCCCGATCGATCCCGGTCAACGGCTTATCATGATATTATGCCTCTCGGACTTCTAAAACCTGCGGAAATAAACTGTTTTCGCGGGATACAATCATACAGCCCTGAGCCTCAAAGATTGATTGGTATATTAGCTGATACAGAACATATAGAAGCTTATATACGATATTATGACTGAAAGCTAATTTGACGATGCACGATGATGTTCGAGCTAGAACTCGCACGAACTCATGCATGAACTCCTATTGATTCCAGGAAACCCTCAAATATAACGCCTCTAGAAAAATCCAAATAACTGGCAATACATATCCAGACACGCGAACAGAACCCCCCCTAAATATCAAACCAAAGAAAAACGATTAATAGTCACAAGAAAAGTGAAACGGGTCCCAGACGCCGTGTAATAATATTATACATGCCGGCGCCGGAGGCAATAAGCGAGAACGATTCAAAATAAATCAAAGTTCCCACTTGTTTTTATTCGGGAAATACTTCTCAAAGAAGCCTATAATAGAAATGTTAGCTTGAAAATTTTCGTTCTCGAAGAGGATTTCGAGAAGATTATTTCTCCGCTTGCGTACCTTTGGCGGCCTCAGCAAATCTCTGTACTTCACTTGGCTCCTCGGAGAAAAAGTGGTCGTTGAAGCACACTTCAGCAGGCCGTTGGGCGATCCATTCTTCTGTCAGGCTCTTCACTGTATCTGGGTTCTCCATCATTCCGTAACGGGCATCAACCCTCGAGAAAGTGTGTGAATACCGATATATAGACTGTAAAGAAATGCTCCTTCTTCTCGGCTCCGTGGAAAGGAAAGCGCTGAATCCTAGCGGACCCGATTTCCTCAACAGTGCATTAATCATGCAGTCTCCACACGCACGATCTGTTCTCCTCCACTTATCAAAGATTAGCTCCGTTGGGATATTTTCAGATTTGATGCCAGGAAATATAAAGCACTCCGGTTTAATCTCGCAAGGAGCAAGTTTCCGGGTTTCGTCGAATGTACGGTCGTGGAGTAGGGCATCATCGACTCTTTTGGCAAGATCTCTCTCATTCTCCGCTGAGAGCCATACAGGCCCATCTGCACTGCTCCATAAGAACTTTGATGCGATATTTGGTTCGATATCTGCTTTTTCATAGGCGGACTTGACTTTTTCTGACACCAGCGAATCCCGAGAGAAGTCGGTTGATGTGTCGATTTCCGAGAGCTCTCCATGAAGAGTTTTGAGACTTATTGTTGTGGACCCATCCTCTTGGAGTTTTCCGAAAAGATAGCTCCATATCAACGCCTCGCGGTGTCTTTCAATTACATACCAATCGAAAAGAAACCAGAGGTGTATCGAAGGACTCTCTCCCCGGAACCGCTGTGCACTGCTGAGCTCGAAAGCAGATGGGAACGTTGATCTAAGTTCTCGCATGATTGTTCTCGAGAGTGAGTGGACGGTATGTTTGTTATAAGACCGATACTCCCAGCCAAATCTAACGTGTAGAAGGTATGCGCAAAAGTACAGGTACGGGTGTTCACCGAAGCGAAACTCGAGCGATCCGAAAGCGGGTGGGTAATCGATGGTATAGTGGGGCCAGGCATATTCGAAGACGAAGGGTAAGCCGTATAAAGGAGAATAGATGTCTGCAGATGAATGTTGGTTCGACAGGAACATGTCGTCACTGAGAATCATCACCTTATCATTATCGGATTCAATTCGGTCAAGGCGGGCCTCAACAGCACAAGATGAGAACGTTTCGGTGGCACAGGTGCCAGCCAGCATTGGTGACACTAGCCCTTCTTGCGGGATTATTTCTGGTGCTTCCGGATGGCTCATATTTAACCACAGCGGTGTCTGGACTTTCTGAGGCCCATCGCTATGCTGGGTAGTTATGATGCTAACCTTTCCAAGAACTCTCGGTATCCTCAACTCTCCTGTTTCTTTCTTCTCAAGGAAGTTTTCGATACTCCGCACACTATATCGCAGTTCATCCCAATCCCGATGACGGTTCAGGGTATCGGACCTGTAGTCGGGTATATCCATTAATCTGCTCCCCTCTTCCACACTTTGTTTTGCTTTGTGGAAGGCAGGCGAAGTTCCGTTTACCCAGGTATATATCACGTCAATAGGATGCGATTTTGCCTTCATATCACTGTTGTTCAGCTGGCCATCTGTAAGCCATTCGTTCAACCATGAAACTTCCTGTCCTTCGCCGTTGTGTTCAAGGGCTTCTTCGAATGGAACAAAGGTAACCTCCGGCAAAGATTTTGCGAAATTCTTTGCCGCTTCGCAGTTCAACCAATCGGTAGGCGGTTGGACCCTTTTCACCGTTGAGCCGGGAGGTTCTGGTGGCGGGGCAGGAATTTCTACCTTTCCGAAATGGAAAGTGCTCCATTCGGATGAAGATATGATATTTCCAACGGGGTAACCTGGCCCAAGAAACATAGAAACCTCTTTTCGTCCCCATATCATTCCTCTAGGTAGGATATCCAGCCCGTCGTATGCATAAATCCCACACATTCCAACAACAAGACCCCATGCTGATAAAAATATTACAAAGATTAACTTTCTGTAACTTGTGAATGAAGACCCCTCGGGAGTTATATGGAGGGAACGCGGTATTGGTGTATAGCCTGATCGGAATCGGGTATTAATGTTGAATAGAAAATTAACAGCTTGTTGGGATTGGTGTCTCAAAGATCGACAGAAGAGTTGGACATAGCCCTTTACCCCCGCCGAAGACGATGACCAACCCGACGACTCATTGTCGATTTTACCGAATCCATCCTCTCGGTCCATCTTAGTGAATTGGCCAATCAATTCCGTCAGAGAGGAGTGCTGAGCGCCCTAGATATAAATGCGTCTGACCAAACGTAACGTTTCGAACATATCCAGTAGAAAAAGGTCGTGAGAGTACTATATTTTGAACCGGCGGTAGGTATGGTGGAGTTGAATGATTTGATACTGCGTGGTAGAACACGGGTACGTGAGAGGCGTAGACAGAAATATTGATAAGAAACAATAGCTGAGTGGAAGAAAGATACCAACATATGAGGACGGTATTTCAGATTCAAGTATAAAACTACTTCCAACATTAATTTGTAAAAATAATCTACCGCGCAACGCCCCCACCAGATATAAAGCAAAATAGGAAGAAAACGCTAAGCTTAAGCGTATATCTTACGCCCCGTCAGTAATCGGATACAACAAAAGATCGCATTTTCGAGTTACTGGTCTGGCACTTCTACTTAAAGGATAACTGCTGCGTCCGGACCTCGAAGCGTCATTAAGGAGAAGCACCGATTGGACGCCGTGCATCCCCTCGACTTATCAACCTTGCCCTGCCCAAGGCTCTTGGATATTGCTGAAACGGCATTGCGATTGTCGGCGTCGCGTGCCCCTTGGCCTCGAAAAGGAAATGATACTCCTGTAGGAAGTCGCCAAGATGTCATCCGCATGGATCTCTTCCCGGCCAAAGTGGGGAGCTAGACGTGGATTTTATGAGCCCCATCTTATACACCTTTCAGACAGGACACTCAAGGCGGAGAGAGGAAGAGAGAGAGGTATTTGGCTGAATAGGAGATAATCATTTCTCTAATATGGAGCGCTATATTGGTTTAAATCACTGAACCCCAAACCGAATATTTTAGTCGGAAAGACAACATCCGTATCCCCTAGAATTAATCGGATCGAAGCTCACAATCGAAAGACGTCTACTTTCATGTACTGTGTAATTTCCCATTTTTTGCTCGGTTCTCAGCTTCCGGCTTGGCTGTTGTTCTGTGCCTTCTTGGCTTACCTCTTTTTGCCTATCGCAAACACTATGTGTTATGTGGGGGCAGGGATTCCAAATTGAATTGCGTGTCGCGCGACTCGTCCAAAACCTGACATTGCCGGGAACCGGTTATTAACTACCGTCCTCAGATACTGCGAATGAGCGATAATATCTTTGCCCACTATCAAAATGGCAGCTACGCAACGGACCTCAGATAGTTAGCACTAGTACATTTGCAGCACTAACTCATGCCATTAAGGGAATGCTAATGGTCTTGGCTCTATATCGAAACTGGAGCCCGGGGTCGACAGATAATCGGCTAAGTAATTTAAAAGCACAATTAATCATAGGAATCCCGCAAGCTTAGCGTTCGTTGGACCCCGTAGGGTTCGTCGAAGGATGCACATATGCACATATGCAAGTAGAGAGTTTAACCCAACACAGATTGTCTGGTGTCAAGACTGTACTGGCCGTCTCCATATTATTTCCTTTAGAATAGCAATACCACCGACCCTACCCACGATTAACTTGGTCGGCCGTGGCCTTGTAGATGGCGCATATGACCTTGATCTCATGATGTTATCTCTATGGTGTACTTTGACGGGGCTTTGTGTTGTAGATGTTGCATTTCCCGAACAGGTTTCCATATCTTCGTCTCCGCTTGGCAGGAGTGGCTTCGGCAGGACCGGCCGGGCGTCAACGGCAGATGGCTCGCTGGGCGAGAATGACGGACGGAGCCTTTCAATCCCCTCTTTAGCTCCTCGAAGGGGTGCTACCTTTGTAAATCGTCTATTCCGTGGTTGACCGGCCTCCTGCTTTAGCTGTTTTCTCCGTGTAGACGCGATTCACGGATTCACATTAGATACACATACGTACCCTCAATCGAACACCGATTCGGCATCAAAGTTAAGGTTAAAGCATGGAGGTAGCCGCTCCTTCGTTCTCATCTCTGGGGTTCGAGACCCTAACCCCTCTCCTCTACTATTCTTCCGGAGAGTCGAAGAATTCGGCTGGGTCATCAGCAGCTGCGGGGGTAAATACTCCTCAGATCCCACCAGATAGCGCACGATATGATCTCGTGATGATCTGGGGGTGGATGAACGCGGCACCCCGCCATCTGGTCAAATTTGTTCAGTTACACCGATCCCTGCAACCAGGTGTCCCTATCGTCTTCGTAGGATCCACAACGGCCTCCTGGTTCGGTTACACAAACGCTCTTCGAATCTCACACCCCCTTGTCTTTGATCTCGTGAAGGCGCTTCCAGAAAGCCCGAAGATCTTTGCCCATACTTTTTCCAACGGCGGGACCAGTGGGTTTTCGGAATTTTTGGCACATTACCGGTACGAGGTTGGAAGTGCGATGCCTCTTTCCGCCATGATTATCGACTCTGCGCCCGGTGGGATAAAGTTCCCTTCGGCTTTGACAAGGGGAGTGAATGCGTTCCTGGAGATCATTGGAAACCGGGTTGTTAAAACGATACTATACCCGATAGTTTACCTGCTAGTGACTATCGTTTACGTTCCTCCGAAGATCATTGGCATGGAAGATCCAATCTCAAGAATGCGACGGACGCTGAATGACGAGACTTTGGTGTCAGAGGGTGGGATACGAGGTTACACATACTGCAAGGGTGATGTTATGGTAGGATGGGAGGACATTCTCGAACATGCTAACGAAGCTGAGGAAAGGGGGTGGAAAGTTTCGAGGCTAGGCTTCGAAGGTGGTACCCATGTGGGTTGTTACCGTCACCATCCTCGTGAGTATGAGGAATTTGTCCGACAAATCAGGACTTCTTCTGCCGACTGATATGTTTATGAGAAACACTTAAGCACATTTCAAGACCTGACTTCGTTTCTCAATGACTACCAAATTAGATTAAATTAGAATCTGCGCTAGATGTCAAGTTACTATATGGCTATAACTATAGTACAGCTAGACCATGAGGGCGCGCTTTAAAACAAATACATCAAAATAACGCCTTTAGAAATGTGGTATTCATATGGTCATGATCTCATTGTTTCTCTAACATGGCAATGCGAACTTGAGCTTGCGGTTCGAATCTGCTATTCCAAACCATTTCTCAACCTCGGGGTTCGCTTTGGGGGCATCGAAGGCTGTGAACCAGAAGGCACTGACATCTGGCTTGGCCCACAACCAACAGCCAACTTCATTGTAGTAGTTCCTCAAGTTGGTGGTTGCTGGTGCTGCACCACCGCCGGCTGGGTTAGGATAGTTGGGACCTCCAGTGGGCCACCCTGTCTCTCCAACCCAAACCAAAGCTTTAGGATTGATCTGTTCCACGCGGCGCTTGGTATCCCAGTATGACCATTGGAAAGTTTTGGACTTGAGAGTATCTCTGATGGGGACACCCTGCCAGTAAGGGAATCCGTTGGTGATTACAACATCAGAAGCTCTAGTGACCACGTCGTTTGCACCATCAACCCAAGCGGTCCAAGTATCCGTGTGGCCAACCTAATTAAATTACTCTGTTAGCTCAGATATACTGAGATTAAAGAATATTGCATCTGAGAGGAGTTTGCCCAAAAAGCTCTTACCGGGATATTTGCGTTTCGAGTCAAAGAGCGGACCATTCCTCGTACATCGTAAATCTGACCGGCGAGCTTCTGGGGCGAAATGTCTTTTCGGTAGAGGTCCTCGGAGCCAACGCTAACAGCAGCAATCCAGTCCCATCCGTGGGTCCTGATTGCAGCCTCAAGAGCTTGCTTCTCTGCGTTGAAATGACCATCATCGGTAGCCCAAACTCCAACCAAAATCTTGAAGCCAGTACTTCTAGCGGCAGCGGCGGCCCTCATGATCGCTATTAATATGGAAAATTGATATTAGCATTGAAAATCCTTGCTTCAAACTCGTATATAGCTAAGGATAATTATAAAAGGCGTACTATTGCAATCGCTGGAGGCGTAAAGGCGTGCGGCATTAAATCCTTTCCCCCATCCTTTAATCGTCTGAAAATCTATTCTCCAATCTGTTTGTGTCTTACAACCTCCGTCGGCTTTGTTGGCTCCCATACTAAAGCCCTTGTATTGGCCAGCCATTGTTTGTGCTGGTAGAAGCATCATGGCCGCAGCCAGAGTACCAATTGCGTTGAAAAGTTTCATAGCGAAAGAAAAACTTGTCGACTTTTGTTTTCTTAAACGAGTGACGGATACAGTTAAGAAGCTGGTAAATTGAGAATTTAAGGGTGCGGCGGCCTACTTATAATACACCGGGCGCTCCACAATACACGGGAAAAAAGGGCTGGTGACGCAACCTTACGATACTCCCTTTGTTGGAATCGAATCCGACAGGCGAAGGAGGTATATGTTTGCCACCATTTAGCATGCGCATGCAAGGGTTTTCGTAGAAAATCCAGGTCGCATTCTCGATGGGCCCGCACGAACGCTGCTAAATTTGGGATCGGTTGCGTTACATCGTGGGAAGGACTCCCGACTAGCACGTGAGGACTCGCAAATTAAACGTTGGTATGCTCAAAAATTTCTGCGGGCCAGATTCCTGAGCCGGCATGGCCAAGGGTCAGTCATGGGCAGTGCATGCCACGTTGGTTCGCGGTTCCTGCTTGGTTAGGATGATGAGATTTAGACGAGACCTGCCGTTTAATCATACATACTGAAGCTAGGTCGATGATTGCTCCATGAAGTAACCTCATAGAAGGTACCAAGATTAATGATATCATGAATCTCCGCCCCTCGTCATCAGTGAGCCCATATCGCGCACGGAAATATACTCGGTCGGCCTAAGCTAACCGGGGCTCCAGGAATCCTGAACTTCCGTCGCAACGTGACGAAAGCCAGAACGGCTGTGGTCTTATCAAATTTTAGGGAAACGTCGCCGGCGCGCCGGGCATGCAGGTATCTCATAATATAATGCAGTTTATCTCAAATACGTCTGTCATTTTGTAAGTTTAGTAACACGCGCATCAACATGGCCGAGTCGAGGTCCACTTACGATGCAATGTGCATGTGTTCCAGCTACTAGGTACCAGCTGTCTTCTAAGGCAGACATACATATTTTAACCTACTAGTAGCTAAGCTAACCCGGTATTTCAAGTTCAAATCCAATTAATATAATATTGAATCTGATAATTTCGGCATACAAATGCCACTGCCTTGGATCTATATCCCGAAAAGCATCTTGGTGATATATGCGGAGTAAAGACCGTGAATCCGGATCAATCTGATATATATACCAGATATCTATTTTTCCCAGATACACTTGTAGAGATATGTCCATCTTGTATATCTATAGCTACCCCGCTGCGCAATTTTATTCTGAATAACGGATTTGGATTGATACGTTATAATTACGTTACATATATATCACATGTCGCCCTACAGCCAAAGAGCACAGGGATTATGAAAAGACATAGACACAATTACCCTAGTATATATAAACATAAGTATGAGTACTATATAACATATTCTACAACTTCGCTTTCGGCGCTTCGCCTTCCTCTTCCCCAAAGATATCGCCAACAAGATGTCCACCCCCATCTAACGGGATAACAACGCCATTAACATGACCACTGGCCTTCGCTGACAAGAACACCACTAACGCCGCAAAGTCATCTTCAATCCCAACTCTTCCATTCAAATTCTTCTTCGCCAGATGATCCAGGCCACCGTAAATATCGATCAAAGCGTTAGCCATCTTTGATGGGAAAAACCCCGGTGCGATGGAGTTGCACAGGATCCGCTGAGGGGCGAGGGCGACAGCAAGATGCTTGGTTAGGTGCATTACCGCAGCTTTGGAGGCTGAGTAAGAGAATGTAGCGTTTTGACCAGTTGAAAAGCCTTTGATTCCTGCGACCGAGGAGGTTGTGATTACACGGGAGGGGTCCGTGACTGTAGCGTTTTTGGCGAGGAGGGGTGTCATTCTACAATAGCTTGTCAGCGTCCCATCGTCACTGGCAAACGATATAAAGTATGTATATGGATAGAACACAAAAGAATCAAGAACGAAGACGGGGAAGAGAGGCATACTCTTGAACCAGCAAAAAAACACTAGTAACATTCAAAGTCATAACTTTATCCCAATACTCCTTCTTCCAACTACCATATGGAGCACCCCAAGTGGCACCGGCATTCGCAACTAGGATATCAACATGATCCGTATCCTTCTGAAGTTCCTGGACAAACCGCGTGATCTCTTCAGGTTTGGAGATATCAGCGGGAACAGATATAGCCTTTCCATGGATTCCCTTTATAGAATTGAGCGCCTTGACAGCTTCCTCACAAGCTGAAGCTTTACGGGAAGTAATATAAACTTTCGAGCAGCCGGATAGGAGTAAACCAGTGGCAGCATGGAGACCTAGACCACGAGAGCCGCCAGTGACGACCGCGATCTTGCCCGGGGTGGAGAAGAGAGCTGGGATTGGAGATATGGCGGACATGGTCAATGAAGCGAAATTAAAATTTATGAACTAAGAAGGTATGAAGGAGAGAATGGAGAATACCAGCACGACTACGATCGAAGAGGTGGTTATGTTATATCCCGCCATCGTCGCGCGGTAGTTGGGCAGCGCAGCTGCCTCGGCTGGAATTCGGGCAGCGTAGCTAAGAATGGAGACGATGTTTCTGGTGTCTTCAATTGAGCCGAGGCGCCGGCCCTGCCGACTGAATTAATTGTTGGATTTTGTCTTGCAACTCAAACTGTGTTAACAATTCGACATGGAGTGTCTACATATTAGTGTCTACCGTGCCATGGTAATTCATAGCCTCAATATAATGATTTCAATATTTAATATAGCTCTACACACATGGTTTAGTGGTATTATACTAACTTGAAGGTAGTATATTGTATGTAGGTACAGCATTCAATATACAAACCCACTAGGCCTATAGGTATCTTTAAGTATGTACGTGCATGCGTTTAATTATAGATATCCAATATGTATATACGTATGTAAAACAACGTACTCCAAATAGCGCCTTCAAATCAAAGAAGTTAACCGGCTGCACCGCATATACGTATTACACTCTAGATTCAGACTTGATTATAAAAAGCCAGACCTGGATTAGCCTTGATTCGGGGCCCTGGTCTGAATATAAATCAATCAATCAATCAATCAACCCGCACACTCTCCCTCCAATCCACCTGTCCCACCCTCCCACTACTACTGGGCCTCGGTGTTAGCGCTGCCGGATGATGCTCATTATCTCCATCTAAGGTATCCCAATGGCTCAGGTCCAAGGAGTTTGTCGAGGAATTAACTCCGCTCCCACCGCTCTCGAAGCTTGGAGTGCTCATCGGTAGGCCCGGTCGGCTCTCTTGGATCTTTACCATAGGCATCGACCTGGGTGGCAGAGAAGTCGCTCCTAACGTGCAAGCTCCAAACTCCATATCAGGACTAGAGGGGCTAGATGTCGGGCTAAATCGCGAGGTTTGGTGGTTAAACTTCAACCGGGATATTGATAAATGTCGGCCCCAAGGTTTATGCGTCTTCCATTCCATTCTTTCGTCATTTTTCTCAGACCCACTGCCTGCTCTACCTGCAGCAGCTTCAACATCTATCTCCTTATTCAATGCCCCCCTCCATTCCCCCCGGTTCCCCTCCATCTCCATCTCCTCCTCCGCCCCCAGTATACGGCCATAATGTTCTTGCAATAACCGACTATCCCTCTCTCCAAACCCCCCTCCTCTCCCAGTTTGAGATCTAACTTGACTACCCCCACTAATCATAACAGAAGACCGTTTAGAAGCTGAAGACACCGAGGTGGTCATCGATCGCAAAGATGAAACTACTTTTCCGGTCATTCGTACGACTTTGGGTTCGTTTGATAAACCCCCAAAGAACTGTCGTGCGGCGGGGACGCAGGCCGCTACAATTGCTACCGTTCCCTCGAGGAGGCAACATATTGTGAGATTGACAGATGCATCTAAATTCTTTTGTTAGTATTTACTCCGCACGGACATACAATACAAAGGAAAAAAACGACTTACTAGACTGATCCAGCTGCTCCACAATCGGTCCCAAGTAGACACATCTAGCAACGGAAATTACACAAGCACTATGAAACGATTTAATTAGTTCCTCATATCTCTCCATAAAGCCACTAAAAACTCAAATACGTACCTCAACCCCAACGAGAACATCGCCAAAACCTCCACTTTTTTCTTAAACGTTAACCCATTTAAAGCCCTCACCAACTTAACTGGCACCAGCACCGACGCGAAGTCCAATGCCAACTGAAATGCACTAATAACGTAATAAATATACAACGGCTTACAGCCCGTCTTGAATTTCACATAAATATCCCAAGCGGCCCTAACATCGCGACATTGGAATGTATATGCAAATACCGACGCGATACCAAATACCACATTACACACTATTAATGTATTATTCAGGTAGACAAATGACCTTGAAGCTTCTCTGAACAACCTTCCCAAGAAAAACAATAGTGATAGTCGAACCATGACGAGGGTACTAGTGAATAGCATTTCGTAGACATAAAGGAATTTATAATCTATGATGAGCGAGTAGAGTTTCATATCGTAGGTATGATAACCCCACTGAAATCTATTGACCCCCACAAAGACTATCGTCCACTGTGCGACCATCATAAGATACCCAATAGCCAAACAATAATCATCCATGCTATACCTTCCTCGACATTGCTTCGTCCGAATACACATTCTAATTGAAACCATTGCTGTTGCAATGATGGCAGTCGCTGCCGCAAAGCCATTGAGTAAGTCTTGGTTATACCTTGACGGTATATAATTTGGGTCGCTTAGAACTGGCGGGAGGGCCAATTTATTGAGAGGTGCACCGGATAGAACGGCGAGGTCTACTAGGCCTGCGATATCTTCGGGTGTCTGGCCGGTTGAATAGACCGTCGGGGTAGGTCTAGGTGCTATAGAGCTTGTCATTGTGACGAGTTAATTATCGTATTCGTCATGTCATAATATAGCCGCCATCGATCACAATAGTTTTACTCCCGCGATTCTGCAAATAGAATATCTCGTATCCAGACGAATAAATCCAAATGTCGAATCCTTGCCGGCCCAGCCTGAGGTTAAATGGATGTATTATCGGAAATTCGTACTATAGACTGGTCGACAGCGACCACTGTTCCGCGACAAAAAGCGACGATGAATCGAGTAAAGTTATAAAAGGCTATGCTTAGTAGAGTTTTGTGAAGGGGAAAGGGCTGGATGAAAGCCATGACACCTTTTCACCCATCCAAAAGTGGTGCTTCACCAACCTAGGAACCGACCACCCGAGATTGACTCGAACCCATAGCCCTAGTAATGGCGCGCTTTGACCTCAAAATTGTGATGAGATTTTCCCCATCAAAATCCGCATGCGGACAAGAAACACATCCAAGCAATGGGCGCATTTGGGTTAGTTTTTTTAAACCGCCAAGTTCCTTCTGGCTATCTTTTTTCTCTCAAGGAGATTTCGGTGGCAAGATTTCAAAGCATGTAGCTATATTGAATTCAACCGTTGTGGGGATAATCTAGAACCAATGTTTCGAGAGCGCAGCTTCATAATCGCTCAGGTTTAAAGCGGAGTTCAACGGTGGCCATGGTGTTTTGTTGTCTTCCACCGGCCACCACGCCTCGTTCCGCCCATGCCATACACAACACGACCGATACCTTTGCATTAGTGCGTGCGTGGCAAAGTACTAGTCACGAATCGATCGCCTGGAATGGCAAATTTCTAGCAGTTCACAAAGAAAGTTCAAAAGTCGGTTTCGATTCATGGAATCCACCAAGAAGTATATTTGCGCGGAATATTACCCTGGAGCATATGCATGTTCTCCGGAATCTTAGCGAAACCTTTCCCTTTTTGAGAGGAAGGCATGCGCATGCTTTGCACAACCACGACTGGGATGGAAGAACGGATGAAGCTGGGTCAGGCGCTGACCATGGTACTTAGATACATGGCTAAGTTGAGTATCTACTCCGCAGTGGGTCTTGGAGGGATGGAATTCCAGCAGCTCTCCTTACGTATCAGTGGATCAAAATCCAACCCGGCAGTTGAACACGCTTCTTGTTCTACGGTTGTTGTTGTATGACCCGAATTCAAGTTGCAAGTTTGGCACTGTTGAGAGCCTGAGCGGCATAAGCGTTCCATTCCAAAGACAAAAGCGACTCAACGTATTATGGACGTACACAGTTCGATAGAACTGAGTACTAATTCCGTGTGAACGGTCCACCTTCTAGCTCTTAGTTCGTTAACTCACAAATCGAACAGAGTTCAACTTTGGTGCATATGGCAGCACCGTCCCATTTTGGACTCTGTCGAGGCGAACGATTCCGATGCCTGAAAATTAGTCTGGCGATTGCAAAGATTCTGGTTGCACGAATTCAAAAGAGTGTGTACAGTACACAGGAGCAATATGAAAGTGTGTAATACCTAATGCCACTCCCATGTCCGATTCTTCCCCTGCAAGTTCACGTTGAGCGGGCGACCAAGGAACACCCATTGACACAGTACCTCGTCACCCCCTTTCCCTCCACCTCCTCTTCCACTTCGGCCCACTTTTCAGCACGAAAGACATGTCCCAGATGACCGCCGCATCTGCCACAGACGACTTCTTCCCTGAGTTTGAGTCCAAGCGAACCCCCCATAACCACCCATTTCCCATCTTCCTTCAATCTCCAGTCCGTTTTGGTCTTGATTGCACCCGGGATGGCGGATGAGAATGCTGGCCAGCCGGTTCCTGATGCGAATTTTGTGTTGGGTAGGAACAGTGGGTTTGAGCAATTTGCACAGGCGTATGAGGATGACTTTTGGTCGTCTGATAACAGCGGTAGGGAAGAAGAGAAGGGGTGTTCTGTCTGGCGTAGAATGAGGGAACGGTATTGGGCCATTGTGAGATGAGAGTAGGCCCCTGGAGTCGGAGCCGGAGCCGGAGCCGGTTCTGAGGCCTCTCCCGGATCGGCATCCATGCCCATACTTATACACGTATACGTGAGTATGTACCTGTCTGCTGACAATCGAGAGTGAATTATTGATATCGATATGCACAATCGTTTGAAGAGAATTAACTGTATGTAATTAATTAACGTACGACAAGTCCAACACCAGCAACAACTCGGCAAATCTCAATGCAACCTGCGCTTACGCATGCCTTCCTGTGACGTCTGAGGACGAGACCAATGCAACTGTCATATCAGTATATATATTTGACTGCCAAATTAATATGATTATAAACGTTACAAACGCAAACTCGATCAATTACATGGATCAATCATCAATATCACAACCTTCGGCATGTACATGTACATGTACAGGCCTCTCACTCATCCCTGTCCTCTGATCCCTGCGTCTAGCTTCGATGCTAGGTGTTGACAACATTCCATGGATCCAAAGCGAAAGGCTCCCAACGACCAGACGGCCGGGCCTTTCATTATATGCTTAAAACTACATAACTTGGGCTTGTGTATTTACACTCAGTGTACTTACTTAGGCCCATACACCACACTGTTCAAAAATAGCCTTGAATCCAAGCACTTTTAAAGGAGTGTCTGCTGATACGTACTAGCCAAAGGTACATATGCACACTAGTTTATCGAAACTCAGAATGCTGGACTGAAGCCTAGTCTATCGCAGCTATGTAGCTTGTATATATCTAGTGCAATTGAATAGCCGGTTCGCGGATTAAGCGGAAACATATGCAAAGGATACATATATGTCTATCGGGGTTCAGAATGCCCCCTTGGGTCGTGTCTAGCTTTCAATGGTATCGAATAGACATTTCGCAAATATTAAATCAAATAAAAACAAATACATGTACTTACAAAGGGGCTTCAAAGGCCTCACTAAATCCGAAGGTCGTGTTAAATTTGGCTGTTTATGTACCTTTCAGTCGAAGCCAAACTATATCCTCTCTCCCAACGTAAATTCCAAATCACGAGTTCTTTTTTCTTTTTGGCAATTCGCTGTATCCATTCCATAGATTTTCAGATCAGGGAACTGCAATTTTGGGGGCAATCCAGGTTCTGAAACAGTACTGACAGCAACTCCCTCGAGGCACTCTTCCTGGATTTGTTCTCGAATATAAACTACCGCCTTACCCACCAATTTCATATTCTTAGCATACCCTCAAGAGGAACTTTATATAGCTACAACAATCTAAAAATGAAGACCGTATCGTTTTTCGCTCGTCATGAGCCATCTAACTTCATTCACGTCACAACGTTATCTTTCCACGGGGTTTGGGCCATCGCCTGTTGGATAGTTTTCGTCCTGCAATGGATTCTTCCGAAAGGCACCCATAACCACAAAGCTATGGGCCGGTTTATTTTCTGGGTATTCCTATTCCCACTAGAAGTGACCGGTCTGCTCCTCGTTCCATATCTTTTCTCCAACGCGCCGAGGGCCAATATTGTCTTAACGTCTGGGTATCTGGTGATACCAGGGATGGGTTTTCACTTCTTAATCACTACATTTCTCGCATTTCCTTTCAGATTTCTGCGGGATAAACTCTCACTCTCACTACGTTTCATGGAACGGTTCATCACGCTCAACTTCATTCTTCAGTTGATCGGATCATCTGCTCTAGCATACAAGATCGCTTCGCATGTTGAAGTAGGGATACACCATGAAAACAACATCGAGTTATTTATTCTTACTACACCGTTTACCATCATGCAATGCCTCCTGTTATTACACCCTCATCCCAGGCCCCTCGGCCATACATTCTACATCAAATATCTAACCCTGCAAATGTTTCCCGGCACGATGATTGTCATCGCTCGTGACGATTACTGGTTCTGGGGACCTGGAGGGCTCACCAATTTGTATGCGAGGATCGGTCTTGAGTTTTTGCCGATGGTGCCTTTCTTTATAATGGTGTGGCCGACATTTTTGGGTCATAGCCACAAGAATCTGAAGGTGAAGATAATCTCTGCAACACAAAAGGAGAACGAGGATGTAGCAATTTCGGTTAAATCGACGGCCACTGCTTCGAAGGAAAGGGAGGTATCGGTGTCGAGTAGAGGCACTTTAGGGTTGCAGTTGTGGAGTATATGATTGATGTACGTAGTCTTTTCTTACTTGTTTTATTCTATTTAGAAAAAAGCCCATGTTCAGGGGTTTTATCTATGCTCAAGTACTGTGTATACATGTAATCACTACATATACTAGTATACTATAGGTACATACTTCAGGAGCATTAGTTTCGTTTACATACTGGATCGGAGTTCAAAGTGTTGCATGTTGCATTTTTTGGGTAACGGTGTGCATGATGTCACACAGGGCTCCCTTCCTTGATTCGACGTGGATCGATCTGAACTAGTACTGTACTATACAGTCTTAGTACAATATTGTAAGGGGATATAAAGTATATATCATCACGATATCATGGCCTCAATATTGATGTTAGTAAATACCAATACCACAAAGCCTCAAAAACATATACCAGCCAAGTGGTTGCCGGTTGCTTACCTCAGTACTAAGTAAACACTGATATACAATATATTAATAAGCAGCTGTAGCCATGAACTCAAAAAAGTCTGGCACCCTAACTCTCACAACCTCCTCCTCCCATTCCTTCCGTGCCAAAACACTCTATCTCGTCCTCCGCCTCTTTTATTCTCCCGTGATATCTCGCTTTGTCGAAAACCCTGCAGAATCCGGGCATCAACGTATCAAGCCCCCTAAATCCCTTTCGAAAAAATTCACAATCAAAAAACGTGATTTTTACGACTGGAGCGTCTATGATATATCCCCCAAACCCAATTCTAAACCTAAGAGCAAGTTGAAAGACCAAGATGCTGAAAAGATTCCGGAAAGGAGAATGATGTACATTCCCGGAACGGGATTTACGATTCCAACGTCATCGGAACATTTTAAGTTTGTCTCGAAAACTTTCGTTTCAGACCCTTACTCAACCGTCACTGTCGTCCTCCACCCTCTCGCCCCGAAACATACCGTTTCATCAGTTTATCCCAAATTCTTCGAACTTTATTCCCAGTTACTCGACGAGCTCACACCGAATGGAGAAATTGACATTGGCGGTGACAGTTCAGGCGGTGGAATCTCGCTTTCAATAGTTCAACACTTGAACTCCCGTGGCCTACGTCTTCCAAACCGCCTTTTTATCATGGCACCTAGTGTGGATTTTGTTCAACCCAAGGCCTCAGATATGAAAAAAGTTTCAGATCTAGATCCTCTCCAAAGAGTCGACCAAAGCCACGCTGCTCACTTGAAATGGGTAAACGGTGAAATGCCACTTTCAGACCCAATAGTTAGCCCCATTCGTGGTAACTTCCATTGCTTAAAAGGTATAAAGGTCGTAGGCCTCGTAGGTACCTACGATATTCTGGAACCCGATTGCATCAGGCTTCGTGAAAAGATGAGAGACGAGGGTATCGAAGTGGAGTGGCTTGTTGGCGAGAAAATGGTGCATTGTTGGCCGTTGATGCAGGCTTATCTGTTACCCGAGGGGAAAGAGGCCGTGGGATGGATCAGACAGAAGATGAAGTAATTAGTGCGAAGCTATAAATACCATACCTCATATACCTATTATAAGCATTTACGTACAAATTATATATTAAATTGTATAAATACCAGACTACGTGTGTTATGAAGAAATGGTATGGATTAGGAAAGCCAAGCCAGAACCGAGAAAGCTTAACCGTCAGCCAAGATAACCTCCTCACCCCTGTATCTTTTCAGCAAGTCTATGTCCAAATACTGAATAAGAAACACTCCAACCTGAAAAGGATTGGAGAAATCGATCATCGTTACCAGAGGTGAGCGTCTTCATCATTCCCATGTCATAGCCGATGCATACTCGATTATCCCCAATACTACCAAACCACAGTCCAGGCGGTTATAAACCGAAACCAAAAAACAGAAGAAAAGGGGGAGAAAAAGTAAAAAAAGAAAGAAAAAAAAATTGGGGGTTCATGAGCAGAAGGAAGAACTGGCAGCTCGCAAGTACCGTATACCACAAACTCGGTAGATATGGATCCAACCAATACCTTCCATACCCTTTCTATCGTGGCTCAAGGTGTGGTCTATTCGTCCGCTTGGAATTGGCCGACATGCATATTCCCATCGATCGATCGGGGGACAATTAACCACGGCGTGCGCGATGAAGTAAATTTAGTTATACGAGATTTCCAATCTTCCACCTTGCATGAAGGCAAGGGAAAAGAAAAAAAAGAAGAAAAATCCAAATTTTTGTTACCTGCTGCCTTCTTATCGCTCCTTTTTTTTCTACCTAATCCTTTTTTCTGACGCCCGTTTTTTATAATTTTCAGTGCTTGTAAATGCGAGCTTGCAAAATATCTCGTGACGCTCACATGAGTATACTCACAGTGTGACACTTCACATGCCCAGCCTTGCGAGGCATTTATATCAATTAAATTACTATGCATTGCCTTCTTGCCTCCTCAATTCTCCTTCTTGAAACGAGCCCCAATAAAAGACCAAATCCCTCATCGCAATGTAGAATTGATCCTTTCGGAAGCAATATCTTGAAACACCTCAACCGTTTCGACACACCTTTTTCTCTTTTGTGAAAGCCCATTAGCTCCCGCGTTACCCGGCTGAACATCAGCATGAACATGGGTGTGGGGTTTGTCGAAAGGATGTGGGATGCTAGTGGGAGTACCCCGCCGACGTCATTCGCTTTTAGGAAATGTTTGTATGTATAGTGGCCCGCCGCCCGCCGGTCCCGCTCTCAAGCGAACTTTAGCTGGGAATACGTAAACGTTACTTCGTGGGAACGGAAGAAGCAGAATCAGAAGGAGGTGTGCGTGGACGTAACAGCCTGAGCTGAGCTGAGCTGCAGCTGCGATTTTAATAATTGTCCGACCCCCGCTCGCTTTCCTCGTCGAGTATAAAACTTCGTTTCCGTGCAGAAAATATCGGAGTAAATTCAGTTCTGTTGCATGTTGTCCAGTGTATACCTAGGTATATATCATATACTTTTTCTATCATAAAATTGGTTCTCTGACAGAAACAGCTTCCATTTGGTCCATTCTTCTTTGTGTAAGTTCAAAAATACTCGCCCATCCCGAGATTCTCAAGATATCAGAATTCAAGACCTCGGAGAGAGAGTTTATATATGCTGACGGCCAATCTAGTCGACCGAAACCGTATACCTAAGCGTATATAGTTAATTTATAGTCAAAATGGTCCACCTAAGCACCATCAGAAATGATGCGGAGACAGACACTCCCATGGCAAAGCTCATGCGGATGTCCCTCGCCGACGAAGATACCCCCGGCGATACATTCTGCTCTTCTGTCTACGGTAGTAGATATGCGCTGGAGGCACTTCCCACGATCGAAATGCCGGAGGAGGAGATGCCAAAAGACATTGCCTATCGTCTCATCAAGTGCGATTTCCCCTATATCTCTCGAGCTATATCAATCAAATATGTCAATTCTCGGATCCCAAGGCAAATATTAAATGGGTGCATGCTAACAGTTGTGGTTGAAGGGATGACCTTTCATTAGATGGGAATCCGATGTTAAAGTAAGCGCAACACATGCGTGTAGCTATACTAAGCTTGGTACCTACTTAGCTAGTTGCAAGTAGCATTAGCAAAGGTGAATGTGAACTGCAGCTGACATGAACGGCGATATCTGTTACTATAGCTTGGCAAGCTTTGTGACGACTTACATGGAAGACGAGGCCGAGAAACTCATGCATGACGGCCTCAGCAAGAATTTGTATGAGATGTCCTCGTTGAATTGGAAGTCTGAGACTAACTGGAAGCCACAATCAGCATCGACTACGAAGAGTACCCCCAAAGTGCAGAAATAGTATGTGCTTATCCAACCTTATTTTCTGGTTACATTTTTAACAGCAACATCTGATGATATGTGTGTAGCAAAATCGCTGCGTCAATATGGTATGAACCCCATGATACACTACTAGCTATAGCTTGGAAGTCACCTATTGACGGACAAAATAGATCGGAAAGCTATTCCATGCCCCCACACACGAAGAGGAAGAACATTCTATCGGAACAAGCACCGTCGGTAGCTCAGAGGTATATATTCTCCATTGTTCGTACGTTATCTCGTTGAATAAAAGCTAAGTGTTGAATTACTTAGGCCATAATGCTTGCGACCTTAGCCATGAAAAAGGTCAGTGCATAATCTCACATCTCTCGAGATATATGAATTAACTTGCGTGGCAGAAATGGGCGAACGAAAGGAAAGCTGCCGGAAAGCCCTTTGATAAGCCAAATCTTGTCATGAATGCCGCGGTTCAGGGTTAGTCTGTAAATTCTTCAAAGGTATATACACCGATAATGGGTCTGGCTAATAAAGATATATCTTCATATTTATGGAACAGTCTGCTGGGAGAAAGGCATGCATTTCCACCGTCTCTATCCGTTTTCGCAATAGCATGCTAACAAAAATAAAAAAAACCTTTAGCCGCTCGTTACTTCGATGTTGAGGAACGATTTGTCTACTGCACTCAAGACAGATACGTCATCGACCCCGTCCAAGCCGTCGACCTCGTCGACGAGAACACCATCGGCATCTGCGCAATCCTGGGCACTACTTACACGGGCGAATACGAAGATGTTAAAGCCATCAATGACCTTCTCGTCGGGAAAGGACTCGAGACACCGATTCATGTTGATGCTGCCAGCGGTGGATTCGTTGCGCCTTTTGTCAAGTGAGTAATGTGAAAATGAATATGCCTACAGGGTTCTTTTTCAAGGTAGAATTGAGAGAGCTGACATATCGCTTTAGACCCGACCTAGAGTGGGACTTCCGCCTCCCTCGTGTCGTCAGCATCAACGTTTCTGGCCACAAATATGGTCTCGTTTATCCCGGTGTCGGTTGGATAGTCTGGCGTTCTCCAGAGTACCTTCCCAAGGAACTCGTCTTCAACATTAACTATCTAGGAGCCGACCAAGCATCATTCACGCTTAATTTCTCCAAGGGAGCAAGTCAAGTCATTGGGCAATACTACCAGATGATCAGGCTGGGCAAGAGGGGTTATAGAAATATTATGACAAACCTGACAAGAATCGCCGACTACTTCTCTACCGTTCTATCCAAGCGATTGGGATTCATTATTATGTCTAAGGGCGGCGGTAAGTCTTTTGTCGCGTACTGCTGGGCCAGTTTATCAGTATGCTAATAAACCGGTTGCAGGCGAAGGTCTACCGCTCGTTGCTTTCCGTCTAGACGCTTCCAAGAAGAAACATTACGACGAGGTACATTTATAGATGTGATACCCTCTCCAAAGCAACCCACTAACCTCGAATAGTTCGCAATCGCCCATCATCTCCGTGAGCGCGGCTGGATCATCCCCGCTTATACCATGGCACCGCATAGTGAACAATTAAAACTAATGCGTGTCGTCATCCGGGAGGACTTCACCAAGCCAAGATGCGACCAACTGTAAGCTAACCCCCCGGAATACATTCCAGAATCTGTCTTATACGTCCCGAATTTCCCTGACCTTTCTCTTTCCCTTTAATAGTCTACTCGATATTAAACATGCGATCGACGCCCTCGACTCCATGGCACCCAAAGAAATCGAGAAACACGCGGAACTAGTCAAGAGAACCGTAACACATACAGGACGTAAGAAGAGCCACAGCAGGCATTATAAGGGCGAGAAGCATTCTTTGGCAAAACACGGAAAGTCTCAAGCCATCTGCTAAATTGTAGATGTGTGATATATATTGTAGTCTCTTCGATCAGAGTTAAGGGCTTGATTTCTATGCATGGATTGCATATTGGTGTCTTTTATCTGATTATTCTTTGTAACTGTGAAACTTGCATTCGCTGCTCTTCGATGTCTTCCCGTATCAAGTTGTATGACGAATAGCAGTGCCTTGAATATAGACCGTCTTTTTAATAATTGAGTATACCTAGCAAAGACTAATTATTATCATCTTTGTGTCTAAAAAAGTCTCTTTCATTGTAGCAACATCGCAATCTGGGTATAAAACTATATGACGCAACTAAATGGTTAACTATGTATACAACTGCCCGCCGTCGACGTTAACTCGAGCAGCCAAAAATATTAAACTCAACTAAAGCAAATTGGTATCCTATTCATAACATAATGCACTCTCAACAGCCTCCCTTTCCCATTCCCGATTGATCTTGATCTACACCACTGCCCGCCCCCTAACCTCCGTTTCAACAATCTTTGTAATCGAATCCTTATCCCTTGCTAACTTCATAAAAACTTCTAGCATATGCCCACCACACTCTAAGGTTCCATGCTGCGTTCTAGGTCCCCTATGTAGATACTGGTCTACAGCCTCCAGAGCCTCACCGCTCTCAATATCCGGCAAATCTACCATATAGTCCTCAAATGTATCTCTCTTATTCTTCTTTTTCAGCGATGTAATCTTCGGTTTGTAACAAGTAAGTTCCGCACTCGAGGCTCTCATCTGACAAATCTCCTTGGCCTTGCAATCTGCATCACAATCTTCTGTTGTTCTGAAATCCGCAATCTTGCGGTCGAACCATGCTTGGAACGCATTATCATTCTTTTCGAACGCAACTGTGAGGTTATGCCAGAAAGCTGGAGTAAGCGGCGCGTTTGCTGATAGTGGTGGGGAAACTAGCGGTCCTAATGTGGCCTTTGCGTTGTATAATTTCTTCCATTGTGGTTTCTTAGTGGACCCGTAGGGGATATCGGCAATGGAGGTATAGTAGTGATCATAGTCCAGGACTTGGTAGGTGGATGGGTCAATGCTGTAGACTCTGAAGACTGGGTTGGCATTACGGGGGGTGACGCAAGAGGTAACGTAGGAGGTAATGGCAGCATTACTGTGCGAGCGGGCAGCTTTGTTGTTGTAAGTGATTTCGAATTCGGCCTGAGAATATCTCTAGTTAGAATATGGATGGGGCTCATGGCAGCTGGTGGGGGCGAGGGAACATACGCTATGAGTGTGGCCCCAGAACATGCCCTTGATAGTGCTACTGTATCTCGTAACGATCTTGTTGAAATAATTGGAATAGTCTGGTAAAGCATCAACGACACCCTGTATTTGCCCTCAGAGTCAGCCTGATCCCTCTTATTTTTGCAAACTCGATCGACTCGAAATTTCGGGTTTGAGGTTTACTCACAGGCGGCATATGTCCGATGATGTAGGCGGATAAACCAGCGGTTTCAGCAGCCTGGAGCTCTCCAGTAAGCCACTTGAAGACGTTTCCTGGATCCCTAGCGCGATCCATGCCGTTGTTGTCGTAGACCCAAACGTTCAAGCTGTACCAGAAGTTGGTGCTAATGCTGATGACCTTCAGGTTTGTTCCTGGATGAACCACGGAGTAGCAACCGTAGTTTTCCTTGAGTGACTTGGCCTGTATTTGTATTATCTTTGTCAACTGATAATCCATTTGTGCATATATGGCAAGCAATAGAAAACTTACGGCGGCGGCACCAATCCATTTTTGTAGCTCAATGCTGTTCTGTGTATAATATGGCAGAGCGCTATCATAATCCGACTCTGGTTCAACAATTGGGAACAAATTGACAGGTGCAGTATCATGATTTCCAATGACACCATATACTTTGGCAGAAATGCCGCTCTTCGAGATATCGCCGTACATGCCCTTAATATTCTCAAGGGTATGTTCCTGGCTCTGCAACCACAAAGCAGCGTCGAGAATATCACCTGTAAAGATCATAAAATCTGCATCCCCTGCAAGTTCCTTGATAGCCTGGAACATACTCTGTTCTAGAGAAACAGGAGTATCACACCCAGTACTTCCAAATGGACCGGCCGGATTTGATGTCTTTCCGACATCGTCACCGGGGGTGTAAGGTCTACAACATATTGGTTTGTTGCATTTTGTGTTTGTTCCGTTCTTGTAGAGCCTGTCAATATGGGTATCGCTGATGTGGACAAACTTTAGCGGCTTTGTAGCGGAAGTTTTTGGAGCGGCTTGACGGTTTGTAGATGGTGACGGAATTGTACCAGGGTATGGAAGGAGCTCGGGAGCTTCGCAGAGGCCAAATAGGGTTGAGCAGAGGACTTTGTTGGTTCGGCTGCCGATGGTCAGGCTGCGGAGAGTTTTCGCGATAACCGGGCCTTCAGTTGCAACGACACCGGTGCAAACGTCTTTGTCTTGGATCTATTCAAAATTTTATATAAGTTAATCTTTTCTTTCGTGGTTTAATAATGGTGATCATGAAATATGACTGCACGAACCTTCAATCCAGAGCAGATGGCAGTGATGACCTTGATAAAGACGGTATCACCAAGATGAGAGACACCCTTCAGTGCAGTCGTTAACGCCTATTTTGTTCACCGCTTGATTAATTATTGTGCCCGGGGCATATATTCTTTTGAAAATACCGACCTCGCATCCTACGCATGTCACGGTACTTTGGATCTTATCGATTATACCATTGACGATATTCTCAATAATCCCTCTTTTCTCAAGCTCTTCCCAGTTTGGGTCTGGGAAAGCTTTCCTAGGGGTGATAGGGGCAGCGACAGAAGCTTCCACCGGAACGGCAGCAGTGGCTGTCGAAGCCAGCAATGAGGCCGCTAATAAAATAGAGGTGTTAAACTTCATCTTGAGAGGTATGAAGTTAAAGAGGGAAATAGGAAAGTGCCTTTGAATTTTATATCCTATCTACAAAATAAGATATCGCCGAATGATCCCACAAGGCGCTCCAGGCAGTCTAGTTTGAGGCTATAGAAGGGAAAGAAACCTTAGATATCATAACTCGGCGGGGCGACTGAGATAGGATTATATACTCAAGTATACATAGAATTGTAGACGGGGGGGGGGTATGCTATACCCTCCTTCTATGTTAGACTGTTGCGCCGGCTGGCGCGCATGCTAGATCGTCGTAACGATACCCTTGAAACTCCAAACTCGGTCCAAATCCAAAGTGTTTGTAAAAATATTATAAACTGTAAACCGTTTTCTAAAAAGCAGACAGATGTTCGGGTTGAAGCGCAACCCTTCGGGTTATTCATTTCCCCACTTGTGGGTACTACATGCCGAACCTTACGATCCAACCCGCTTAAAAAAGCCGACTAAGGGAACTTAAACCCCTCCTGCACGTCATGTCATCACCCGGAAAAAGTAACACCGACTAAAGCTCTTAATCGATATAGTTGTCACTTCCAGGAAAATCCAGCCACGAAGTCTTCGAAAGGCTGTAATTGGCTAGCCATGGGGTCGTATTCCCGTTTCTTTGCTCCCTCCGATCAGAGACATATTAGCGAGATTCTAATGGGAAAGGGTTATACGGCTCTGGGAAGTTGATATTATAACCTTTCATGTCAAGATAGGTCGGTACCCCGCCCCGTGGCGCCTTGGTCATTGCTCTACTAGAAACATGGCAACTTTTCGGCCGGCACAGCGATTGAGACAGCGGGTAACAGGGGTTGAATGTCAGGCAGCCAGTCCGTCGTTTGCGCAGCGTTAGCTTCGCTTGTAGTCTTGTGTGCTTGGCTATAGATAGAAACTATATATCTATAAGTATTTGAATGGTTTTCTGTTGATGGAATCTGTTGCTGAAATATAACCTCGTGCAGCGCAGTGTACGCTGGCAATGACATCAAACATCTTAAAAAACAGGTACAGGTTGGTAGAGAAATATTTCTCGGTTTCGAAATGTTCCTGACAAGAGAGACATGCATTGCATGAAATGCATATGTTCCAGAATTCAAGCAACCCCCCAAGGCACTATATTAACATGATCATGGAGGATGGCTCGAGGCTGTCGAAAAGCGGGGTTATGCTCATGATCAGCTGCAGCCTGCATATTGCATAAAACAGGCGAGAGATCTAGTTTCGAATGCGGGTGAACATTGGCGAGGTCTCTCAAGTAAGACATGAGAGGACCGTAATTATATTCCATACACCATTTGACTACAAACATTTTGCAGGAACTCACCACATACATTCACGACGAAGGAGCGAAAATGATATGCGCGCACCCCATCGGTAGACTCCATTTGACAATCTTGGTGCACCTAATATTGGAAGAAAACAGTCGTATCAGCCGCTTGGATCAGACACACGTGCAACTCGCGGCAGGGGACTACCTAGGCTGATATCAACACTCTTACCTATTCAGGAAGGTATGGACTTGATAGGAAGCAAGCCTTCACATTCACAGGACTGCCTACGGAATAATAAAATAAGATAAAGTAAAAAACGTCGGTCTCTTCCCTTTCAAAGATTTTGATCAATCAACTGACGGGGAGTCCTCCGAGCATGCCCCAGCATTAATCAAATCTACTCGTCTATATCTCTGTTAGCGAGCGCCCACCAAAGATCTAAAATCAAGTTGCCTTGGTAGAACACTCGACGGCTCCTTGACTATAATTCCTCACACCTTCCAATCCCGTATGAAGTATTTGAGTTCAGATCAACATTTCCTAGGGGCCCTGGTATAGATATACGCATATCTTAGTGCGATGGTTAGATATCAAAGGTTGATAACCTTCTTTCCTGATCACACCTAGACCGCGGACCATCACCTCTAAAGGGACGATCTTACAAAGCATACATTTTCTGGGTTGTATTTCAAAGGAAACTGATGAATTCTTAATCAGTTCAATACACCCAGATGCATTCCAAAACGTGCAGGCCTCGGATCTCTAGCGTTAGGTGATGAGCAGGTTATCAAGATACCCATTCAAGTAGTACCGAAATGATACCTGTACAAAGTTCCCGGATACCATGGTCACTTTTAGAATTATTGAGAATAATATAATAGCAGTGCAGTTCGAACGAAGTACAAATTAATGCCCAAATCCAGATCCCTAGGTTGATCTAACCAAGCATTAAATCAGAACAAATTTTTATACAGCTAAACCCGCCAAGTTATCCGAAGCATTCAAAGCCCCCTTTCTATCTTTTATACAAAAGGAAGCTGCGATTGACGAAGGCAGACACGTCACCAAACCCCGATTTGAAGAATAGGTCGCACATCTTCCAGGTCGAATGTTACAGCTTGTTCTATCGACACGAGCTTCAACCGGGAATAGAAAATCGTCTGTCATGATCAAAGAACCGAAATTGTCCTGCTGATCTCATGAGAAAGAAATTACGTTAAGAGCTGGTGATAAGTACATATCTAGTTCTACTAGTCCCGGCCCTCTGATAGAACCAGGGAGCTCAAGTCGTCAGGAATACTTAGAACCGCGCAAGTTGCATATCGAGGAAGTTCGTTTTGTTCCAGACAGGTGGCCATGTGGTTTTAGTTTGATATCTCATTCGAATACAACTAAACACTGCCAAGAATACGCACCCCCATAAACTGCAAGGGTGCAGACGCTGCAACATAAGTATAATATCATAAGATATCATGATATACTATCACGTTAGAGGTTCGTTCCGTCGCATTGGTTCGGATACAATACCGAATCTAGCTTGCCCCGCACCCGGCAAGGCAGAAGTCGACTAGCCTCTAGGTTAAGACATTCTCAAGGGTAAGATAATGTCAAGATCCATCGATGCATCCTATCGTATGAATGAGCGACAATTTTCCTGGTAGAACCGTAACACCATTGAAAACTTCCCTGGCTTACGAAAATAGATAGATATTATTTGTAGCTTTAAGCCTGTTTTCAGCTGAATCGCAAAACTACAATAATCAGCTAACCAAAACCCATGTCGCAGTGGCGCATATGCACATACTTGGACCAAAGCTACCTTACTTTCCTTAATTTCAAGCAGGTGAGATATATCGGTACCATGCCTAACCTCTTCAACCTAAAAATCGCATCGGTAGGTAGAAAATCTGAGGAACACGTTCATGCAAGGGACTACTCGTGACTCCGCATTACGATTGATCTTCTGAGACACTGCGTGTGCATGCACACGGCATAGTTAATAGAATCCCAAAAATTGCCCACGTGGCTGACTACCTTAAGATTGGACTATAGAGTGGAATGTCTTGATTGTCTAATCATATGTATGTACTTGAAAACATTGACTTTAAGCTTCGGTCTTCCCTACCTTTGAGTCCAGATCTGTTGTTTCACCTCTGGCTTATTCTGCAAAATTCCCTCGATCTCATCTAGTACTTCTTCCGTGAGCTTTGGAATAATTTCTAAAGCTTTACAGTTCTCCACTACCTGCTCAACCTTCGTTGCACCCAAGATGACTGTCGTAACATTATTATTCTTAGCACACCATGCGAGAGCTAAAGCTGCAGTTGTAGTCCCCAATCTTTCCGCAATTGTGGTTAATTTTTTGACCTTGTCAATTTTTTCTTGTCCCTCAGGGCTACGAAGGCGGGTAATCGTGTCTTTGAAAAAATCTCCTTCTTTTGCGAAACGCGAATCTTCAGGAATACCATCATTGTATTTTCCAGTTAGAATACCATAGTTCAAGGGGGACCAAATAGTTGTGCCATAGGAAAAGCTGGAGTATAAGGGTGCATATTCGTTTTCAAACCGCTCTCGAGCGAACATGTTATACTGAGGCCTATAATTGGACCACGATCAGTTGACAGTTTCTTCAGCTAGATACGGGTTCCTGAAATCACTCACTGTTCCACAACCGGGGCAATCAGATTATATTTCTCTGCGATGGCAGTGGCCTCTTGGATTTGCGCGGCTGTCCATTCAGACTATTTTGCTTAAGTTACTTCAGGATATTTTTTTGCAGGTAGAGCATTGGGGGTATACGTACGGTTCCCCAATAATAGGCGAAGTTTAAATTTCGAATGACTTGGGTGAAGCTTTCAACGACTTCTCTCATTGGGACATTCGGATCCATTCTATGAGCAAAGACGACATCGACGTATTCGAGTTGCAGTCGCTTCAAGGATTGTTTGAGGCCTTCAACAACATGCTTTTTGGAGAGACCACGACAGTTCGGTTCTTTTCGTCCTGTTCCGAAGAATATCTTCAAATAAATAGTTAGAGGATGCGAAATGACGGCCGTTCCAAATTGTGAGTCTCAGACCTTCGTCGAGATGACATATCTAAAGAATCATTAACTATATTAATGAGGATTGCTCATATAATCACAACAACTTAATATAATAAAAACTACCGACTTACTCTTCCCTTGGCCAGTCTAGCTCCCTCAAAGCTTGGCCCTACACATTTGCTGCCCGTTAGTTATCACTAAGTTCTCTAAATAGTTGTATTTTTATTTTTTATTTTATCCTTTTAGGGGGAGTAGTTAGCCATACAATTGCGATTTCGGATTCTCCCTTGAAGTAGGATTCGGCAGTGTCGAAATAGTTGATTCCATGGTCCCAAGCAGCTTGAAGGCAATCTTTCACGGGGTTCCCAGTAACGTGTTTACCATATGACATCCAACCACCTACATTTTTTAAAAAAACATAGTTAAGCAATAGCATCTTGTTAGCAATCAGTTTCTTTACAGAGCAAATCGAATTCGCGAAGCTTAGCTTAGCTAAGCGGACGCTGTCACGGAAGTGTTGTGGTGCATGATGTTGAAAATCCTGCTGATACGTACCTAGCGAGAAGACCGAAACTTTAAGTCCTGTAGGACCAAGATATCGGAACTCCATGTTCTTGGGGTCGAATTTCGAGACTGGTGATAGTGAGGAAGCCATTGCGATCGTTTGAAAATTCACCAACGGGGTTCGATTTCTAGCAGGTTGTTGGAAAGGTCGTAATAGTCGGGGAAAGAAGGAAGTCTCAAGAGTTGCTCGTCGGGTTAGAATAATTGAATTCATATGTCACGTCAAAAGTTTTTTTCGACGTATTTGGCTTCAAAACTAACTGAAAATCATAATTGATTATATATATACGGTCGAAGTGGGGTTTCCGGTTGTCGGCTTCGTAAAATGCGTCGGTTTTAGTCAGCAATTAACAGTTACCACCATGGTTATGCATTGTGTACATAAACTATATGTCATGGTAGATTATTTCCCCGTCTCCTTATGATACAGAAATTCGATATTACTAAGCTGATGTCCGATCCGCATGATTTCCCGGCTTTCGACGGTTCCCAACGCATATATGAACGTGTAAACCGATCTACGGCGTGACGGCCCGATCAGACTGGTGGTCACTCGGTCCGATACCGAAAAGACAACCTCTTTTGTTAGTCTCCGTATGTTTTATCCTTTGCCCTGTTACCCTGTCAGGATATAATGAACGGAGGAGTGCAGGATTGCCAATCGAATCAACTTACACGAAGGTTGGATCGATATCTATATCGGTCCTGTGTTCGGGGCTACAGGGCTCTAGGCTTTTATATAATGAGAAAACTTGTCGAATGAATACGCATGCGGTAAATCGACAAATTCTAGATCTCGGTCTTCAGCTCTCCCAAGGAACTGGGCATTTTCCTGTCCTACCCACCAAGAGATATAAACGACAACAATCCAGCACCTTGCGCATTATAATATTAGTTTAGGGGACGCTCACATCTGCTTTGTTTGCGTATCTTGCGGCTGAGACTGCTACGAAGTCTAACTACATGTACATGTATAGGACAAGCACATGTTCTGGATCCATGGAATGCCCAGAGACAGAAATTAATGTTGGGTTTGATCCATGTCCGTCGGGCACCTAGTGTGCATGCACTGTTCCCAACGTCTTCTATGTTGACCTATAGCTCTAACTGCATCGTATAACTCTTAATTCAATTTCATCCGAATCCGACCCACGTTGATAACCCATACACACACACATATATATATCGCTATGTGCGCCGACTGATATTTGGATCCGAAATGCCTTTTGTCTCCTAGATCTTTCTCCGCTCTACGCTTTTCAACAAAAGAATCTGTTTAGCCAACCTGTGCAGTGGGGCTATTTAGCGGCGCCAAAAAACTGGGAATAGGGCAAGCCGGCTGGCACGGCTAACGGCACAATTGTCAGTATACCTTATAGTCATAATTGTACATATAGAAGCTTCCTTTATGATCTGTGATCTGTACATGTGTCCATTTTATACCAGTATACAAACGCAATCCAACACCGGGCTCTATTTCATCGGTCCCGGGTCTAGCAAATAATATCTAGTAGGGAGTTCTTGAAGAGGTGTGGGAGATCTGAAGCAGCCCAGGACCCAGTTCCTTGCATAAAAAGCTGATTAATAGGAGTCAGGTCCCATTCCGAGCCTTGTTCGGGAAAATCAGCCATGTGGTGTTGGCCATGCATCCCTATTTGGCTGAAAACACCAGGTTTCTACCATCGAGATCCACATGGTAGATGGGATGGAAGGGGAAAGTTAGAAATGAACCAATTCATCAGCATTGATGGCATGGACAGAATAGATTTTGCTTGCCATCCAGCGTACACAACGCCATGAAAATGTTGGGGATACGAAATTTCCTCCTCAAATATTTGATCGGAGCCTAACACGATCACACGACGAGATCGAAGATGGTGGAAGTTAGGCGTGGGGGCCATTTTCGTTTGCACTTAGGGCAGGCCTAATCTTTGTGATGCACGATACATGAAAGCCTGAGGCTGAGTTTGCATATAAGTTGCATAATCGATAATCGAAATTTTTAATATCATCGTGGTGCATAGTGAATGGCGGGTAACTGCAACTTTATCAAAGATGACCGTTATCATATCACATCGCGTGTTAATATGCTGAGCCATGCCGACATGTGTCTCGATTAAACCTTACTTCGTATATATGCGCACACTGCATTGGAAATATTTCGCGCAGAGGAATTCTCAGGCCGCATTGCACAGTAGGTTTTGGCTCGGCAGCTTTATATATCTTGTATGTTCTTCTTTCTCACATTGGCATTGGGAGCTCTCACCCTCTCGATCGATCGAAGCAGCAGCAGGGTAATTCCGGATTCTCGCCAAGAATGCGACACGGGAATTGGTAGACTATGTTTGGTGCGGCGGCTGATTGATATCGCCTATGTTTGCAATTGCCAAACTTCTCTTTAAGACCTTGGCCGTGAGACATCAAAGGCATTGCTGCATTTAATATTTTCTCTCCCAGCTTGGCGAGCGCTTTGTGATAACGGATGTGCCGACGAAAGTATCTTGGAATTTCCTATTACACAATCACAGATTAGGAGGCTTGATTCTCGCTAGCTAGGGATCTGGGGCTTGATTATACAGTATTATAAGTAGACAGATTTTAAATAAGCCGGAATATTAATATTTGAAGCTCGTTGACAGGTTTGTTTTGTGGCAGTTACATACATGACGTCCCGTAAATGTCATGTCACGTCGTGTCCGTACGCGAACGCAACATTTCAATACTAGTGCTTCCGGTAGATGTTGCCGGGCTTTCTCCCGCTAGAAAGACCGTGCGACAAATACGGTCACAAAACTTTGGGCATTTCGCAGAAAGCGCCAAATTTGGAACCAAAATCCCGATTGTGATACGCTTCTTCGCTCAGATGAACAATTTTCTACGGCTGATATAAAGATGGTTTCCTCCCTTTGGCTCGGCATTCTGGGCAAGGTTACTCTTTGGTCCCGCCCCTCACGAATGCATGGGTGTGCTGGTCCTCGATCCCAGGCACGCCAACCCAAGATGCAGCCCCATAAGCACTTTACTCTCCATACACACTTAGTTATCGATCACGTCTCCCATTGACACAATCATGCTTTAATTTGGTTTTGGGAATGACTTTTTTCGGAAAACCCAATGCCCTGGTCGGACTTGCTAAGTACTTACATTACATACATGCATCTAACTAAAATTCGACGGCTTTCTGTCAGCTCTCTCTGTTGGACATCTTTCACCATTCACTCCCTCAAGGTGGATATTTGTCACCATAGGAGGACAAGAACAACCAATTGCTCATTGGTGGGTTTCTGGTCGACTCTTATTTTTATTTTTATTCCGGTTTGCGGCTGAGGTGTCTGTATAAACATTCATTGCTGTATCTTTCCTTCCTTCTTTTTATTTCTTTCGTATGCTTCTTTTTACCATCTAGGCTTTTGCTTGGGGCATTGATCAGGTGGGAGCACACTACACCGCCTAACTGGGTTTACATATCTATTCGAGGTCGCAGTCGTACAAAAAAAACACAATCTGATATATACGGACCTATATCAGACACGATCATTACTGGCCTCGGCCACTCGCCCTTTCCTATTCGCCTTTTGGCGTCCAGTCAAGATGTTCTCGCTCAAGAGATTTGCCTTGCTGGCGACCTGTCTTTTACCTTCTCTTATTAATGCCGGCGGCGCACCGACAGACACCTGGCGAGATGCAGACGAAATGCAATCGAGCTATCTGGACAATCACAATATGGATCCAGCGATTGTAGGCAGTCCGGCATTTGGCATGCTATGGTCGAAACAATACAAACCCGGAGAAAAGTTCTTCGCAAAGCCTCTCATCTTCACTTCGAGCAAAGGGCTCAATGGCAACAAGCCGGTTGTCATTCTCTGTTCCGCGCTGAACAACATTTACATTGAGGATGCAAAGACTGGAGGAAACATCGCCACTCTGAGGCAGCGAAACGTGGGTGCGGCATTCACACAAGCAGACGCCGACAATTGTCCGGATCTTGGAGGCCCCGCTGGTATTATTGGAACGCCGGTCCTCGACCCAAACTCAGAGATCATGTATTTTTTCAGCAAATCGTATGCGGACATCAGTGGTGCAACTCAAGGTACGGCGAACGGAAAATATAGATTCCACGCCGTCGACATCAACAGCCCCACACTAGAAGATGTGTCGGGCTACCCAATTATGATTGATGGATCAGTTGCTGACAACGACCCGGGTATCCACTTCTTTGGTGGAGTGCAACTGCAGCGCCCTTCTCTTCTCTGGAGAAATGGTGTAGTCTATGGTGGTTTTGGATCGGTAAGTCGCATACTTGCTTGCCTAGCCTGGGGTTTGGTTCTGGAAGGAGAAATTAGATGTTCCAGCGCCATCAGATGGTCTGATTTCGGTCTTGACATGCCGAACATTGCGCGGCGCTAGACCGTAATGCAGGGGCTGAAATTTGACATCGCTGGGCTGCCATTTAGGCTGAAGTTTGGAAATCGAACTTGAACTCTTGGTATAAGAGAGTTCGCGCCTTGGCTCCCCACCTGATGGGGCACTATATCCTCCTACCCACTTGGGAAATACTACTCCCGCCAACACATAATTTAATTTGGGCATGGACTAACCGCTTAGTGTATCCATAGCACTGCGACAAATGGAACTTCACCGGAGCCGTCATTGGTGTCAATGTTGCAGAAAAACGCGTGGTGACATACTTCTCTACGGAAATCTCCCCATGGCTGCTACCAGGCGGTGTCAACGATTGGACGCAAAGTTCCGGACAGGGCGGTATATGGATGGGTGGCTGCGGTTTGTCTTCTGACAGCGGTAGCAGATTCTTCTTTACCACTGGCAATGGAAAGGGAAAACAGGCCCAAAAGGGGCAGAGTCTCAACGGCAAATCCATTAAACTTGCAACTTTGGGTGAAGCGGTTGTCAATCTGAGAATCGGCAGCGATGGTAAAATCGAACTTCAAGATTGGTTTCAACCATACGACTACGCACTATTCGACAATAATGATGAGGACTTGGGTTCTGCAGGGCTTATGTTGCTTGATACCAATACCTTCAAGGGCACCGGGGTCAGCAAAATGGCGATTACCTATGGCAAAAATGCATATGTGAGTATTAAAATATTACCTAACAGCTTTTGGCTAGCGTCGATACTGAGTTGGTTCTGTACACGTGTAGATGTATGTTCTGAATGCCGATAATTTGGGTGGTTACGGAAATGGGCCCGGCGGTGGAGATGGCGTTATCCAAACTATCAACACTGGCGCTTCAACCTTTGGAGGATCCGGATCTTATCCTCTTGATGGCGGTTACATATATTTTGTTCCATCAACGACCCCCATCCAAGCGTACAAACTCGGCTTCAAGGCTGATGGTACACCCCAGTTTTCATTCGCTGGTGCGAGCGTCGACAAAATTAGCGGACGTATTGGACCTCCAACTGTCACTTCATACAAGGGTCAGCCTGGCACCGGTATCGTCTGGGTTGCTGATAATAATGCGGGTCTGGTGGCTTTCAAGGCCGTCCCTGAGAACGGTGTATTGATTAAACTCAATACTCCAGCGACGGGTGGCTTGAACAAGTTCCAGCGCCCAGCTTTTGGAGATGGGACGGTCTATGTTTCGACCACAGGCGGCAAGGTCATGTGCCTCGGAAGTCCAGTTAACTTGCCCTTGAACTGCACTGGAATCGATTTTGGGGATGTCCCTTTCGGAAATACGAAAGTTGGAACCGTAACTTGCCAGACGACAACCAATTTGAAGGTCAATTACATAGTGCTCGGGGATGGCCCATACACGGCTAACAACAATACCCTACCAACGGCTCAACTCGCTGCTGGAGCGTCATTCTCTTTTCAAGTTACTTGGAACGTCCCAGCAGACACGCCTGGAATTAGAACATCCACCGTTACAATCAACGTTACCCCATCTGTTGCTAATCAATTCACAAACAATGTTCCTGTTGGCCTCAAAGGTAACGTTGTGAGCGAAGGTGCATTTATTACCATCTCACCAGTTCATTACTCCTTCAACCCCATTATTGTCGGAACCCCTTCCGAACCAGAGGGCCAAGCCGGTACCTTCCAGCTTGGAAACGCTGGTCTCCAGTCGCTTCAAATTCTTGGTTATTACTACTCAGAAGATGGTGAGACGTATCACAATATTACTACCAACGGTACCAACCCAGATTACAAAATTGTTGGAACCGGATTCAATGTTGAAACTTCCTCATTGCCTGTAATCGGAAGTACCTTATCTCCGGGGTCCCAAACTACGATTGCTATGCATTTCTATGCGGTAAACGGACAATCGTCTGATTATGGAACAGCATTCTTTATCTCGACAAACGGGGGGATTGGTCGCATTACATTATCCGGAACAGCTTCTGCCTCGCCAAAGGCTGAAGTCGCCGTTGCTACCCCTGAAGGTTTCTGGAACTTGAATTGGCGTGATACACACGATTTCCATGAGCTCGAAGCTCTTCCAGGCAATGTTGCCATTCGTACCATGAGGATTTGCAATAGAGGCGGTAGTCCTCTAGCGGTCACCAAGTCCAAGCCTGTCTCAACTACTTACCTTTACGCGGATATCGAGACTGTTTTCCCAGAGGGTTTACAGATTGCACCGAACGATTGTGCCTACGGAAATGTCAGCTTCACGCCCGGCGTTGCTTACATTAACACCCAGCCAAAAATAGTCACAGGCGCCTTCGTTCTTAACTTCAACGATGAGACCTGGGGAGGAGAAAATTTTGTCAACTTTCAGGGAACCATTATGCCACGGCAAGATGGGCCACTCAACGGTCTCTTGGCTCTTTATCAGTTTGCTGGATGTTACAAAGATTCCACTTGCGGCGCTTCTGGTACTTCCCGTTGCTTCCAACAAGCTGGTAGTTCGGACACAAACAGCGCTGTTGAGTGTATTGCGAAGTGTCAAGCCCTTGGAAAACCTATCGCCGCCACCCAGTATACGAGGGAGTGTTGGTGTGGAACTACTATGCCACCACGATCTGCTCCAAACTTCATTGACGACTTTGGTTTCCAATCCAAGTGCAATTATGTGTGCCCGGGCGATAGGGCCAACCCACTTCAGTTCTGCGGTGGTACTGGAACACTTATGAATGTTTATTACGACATGACCAGGATTTCCATAACTTCCTCAAGCACCACTACCACAATGAGTTCCACAACATCGTCTTCTCAAACTACGACATCCCCAGTTGTCGCTACTACAACATCGTCGAGCATTATCACAACTTCATCCACGACGACGATCACCACCACCACCACCACCACCACCACCACCACCACCACCACGACTACAGGACCACCACCACCTGTTTCGACTGTCCATAACCCTGGAAATGTTAACTATACCTGGATTGGCTGCGTCGCTGAGCCAGCCACTGGGCGTGCTATGGCTGGTGGACAAGTCCTTGGAAGTGAATCCTCCACTATGACCGTCAAGCGCTGTCTTGAGTTCTGTTGGCCCAAGATTTGGGTGGGTCTCCAGTATGGAGGCGAATGCTGGTGCTCTTCTGGTCCAGTTAATTTTGGAGATACCCTTCCCGATTCTCAATGCAACGTACTCTGCAAAGGGAATACCACCGAGTACTGTGGTGCCGGTAAGAAGTTTGACCTTTACCAACTGAGGGCCAATCTCACTTCAAGCTCATCCACTACGACTACAACTACAACCACAACTCCAGTGGTTACGACCCTGAGTACTACCCCTTCTACTACTCCCTCCACCACTCCCTCCACCACTCCCTCCACCACTCCCTCCACCGCTCCATCCACCACACCATCGACTACTCCATCGACTGCTCCATCGACTGCTCCATCGACTGCTCCATCGACTGCTCCATCCACCACCCCGTCGACTACTCCATCCACCACTCCATCGACTACTCCATCCACCACCCCGTCGACTACTCCATCCACCACTCCATCCACCACTCCATCCACCACTCCATCCACTACTCCATCCACTACTCCGCTGACAACGGCACCTAGTACAACGTTCATCTCAACTACTATCTCTTCAGTTTCGGCTTCTACCACCTATGCCTTTGGCTACTATTCTCTCGGCTGTTATACTGAATATGCCGCCCCTACCAAGCACGAACTCCTTAAACTCGTGGCCAATGACACTATGAATGTCGAAGTTTGTCTACAAGTTGCCAAGGCCAAGAATTACAATTACGCTGGTCTAGAATACGGTCGAGAGTGTTGGGCTGCCAGCTTAACAACTACGCCGCTGATTACCCCTACCAGCGGAGCTGGGGCTTGTACGATCAAGTGTATGGGGAATACTACACAATCTTGCGGTGGTCGGAATATGTTGAATCTATACTATTCACCCACCTCTACAGCTACCGTACTCAGAGCAAGGCGCGCACCGAGACAGTATGGTGACTACGGTGTTGATGATTAGTTGGTGTTCTAAGTCATCGGTGTTTTGTTTTTCTGGAGTTCAGGCTTTGGTGACTTACTTTTCATACTCTCTCCTGCCTCGTGGCAATATCCTTTATTACCCTTTTTGGATCCATATTTATTATCTTAATTCTTACTTTACGGTCGATCATTGTGAGTTATTTTTCAAAATTCTTTTTTAATGCTTCTTTGATGAGTTTAGATGTCGCTAGAAGCAGTTTGTCACTATAGCTTCTTTTGAATGCCTGCGTGAAATAGGCCAGGTTGGTGTGGACGTAACAAATGTAATGATAGATATGTTATTTAGAACAACAATACACATAACTTCCACTATGGCCCCTCATCAATGACTGAACGCTCTTCTTGAAAGGGAGATAAAAAAAATCTGAGTGGCAATCCAGTAAATTCGCATCCTGTACCCACGCTACAGTAGTGAATACACTAATCAACCGGCTTAAAAACATGAGCTCCACAATTAGGAGGGTTAACTGATAAGAGACGAGGCTAGCCTCCAAATCCCGGTAGCTTTGGAAGTGAGGGAAGCCCGCCACCACTGCTTCCCGTAAGTATCCCTCCCAGGCCCCCAATAAGCGCTGCCGCAGCGAGTTCAGCAAGTAAGCTAATACAATGTTGTGCTCCCGTTGTTAAGGATTGAACATCATTTATCTTCCCAAGAGTGAAAAACAGGGCCCGCGTATCCCGCAACTTGCTGAAAATATCTTCAGTCGTAGCCTGGGCCGGCTGATCGAACCTCTTTGGATCAATGCCATTTTCGAGAATAAAATCGATTTGCTATGAAAATAAGGATTTCGGTGATTAGGTACAGCCCGTCGAAACACTGCATGGGCTGTGCAAAAGAAGAATCAATCGTAGGTATGGGGTGCCCATGTTTTTAGAAAGAAAAGAAAAGAAAAGAAAACGTACTACGAATGAATCCTGGAGACTCGTAACTGTAATTGAAGTACCATTAATCGTAGCAGGCGTCATAGTACCACTAGACACTGCGTCGGAGGTCTTAGCATCTGTATCCGCAAGGATCAAACAAGCTTGTTTTTGAATCTCTCGCAAAGCAAATGTTATGGCACCATCGAGTTTAGAATAGTTATCGTTAAATTCTTGCCATGAAACCGGGGCTACGCCGTTAGATGGCGCCACACCAATGCGACTGCGGAGTCCAGGTAGTCGGATCGAAAGCTGCTTAAAGGTTTCTCGGATGAGGCCGACTAAGATGTTGTCCCTAGCGGGACATATTGAGCCAGTTGCCCCCAGCTTATCGGTAACCATAGGAAGACATTCTGGACTAGCTTTATATAGTTTTGCTTGGATTTGATGTCCGAGTTCATCATAAGCGGCTCTAACTAGTGTCAAATCCTCAAGGTTTCTAGAATAAAAAGGCGACTCGGTGCTCTGGCGAGATGATAGTCGAGCAGGATTGTCGAGTACCCTCGCGGCACTGAGTCTGGATAGGGTTACTCCGCTGACGACAGCGTATTGAATGACACTTAGTAGTTTCATCTTGCGCTCCAAGTTTTGCTAGGTAGTATTCTATCTGATACCCTGAGGTTGAGAGAAGATTCACCAAGTGCATATATAATACGTTTTCGACAATCTAGAATCAATGCACTAAGTTGGTTAGGGGCTTATATGGTATATATATGGGGATCAAGAGGACACTACGGCCATATAAACATTCAACTCACAGACGTATCTTTAAGAGGCAAAGTTAACATGTATATTAATTTCCCCTGGTTATACTATACCACGATCGAGACAGGTACGCGCCCATGACAAATACGTATATCCACAGAAGTGTAACATGTCCCGTGAGCTGAGCTCATTGGTTTATAAACTTTGGCCACAGCTAGGCGACTATTGTTTGCCTGACCTATAGTAAAGAAAATCTAGTTACGAGACCAGTTCATGTATATGAATCGAAATTACCGAGGTTTGCAAATTTGCTGTGGATTCGAGGCTAGGTCTGTTGCGCAAGACTCCAGGTTTTACACTGTTGAAAATTTTGATTTATTATTTGATAGTATTTGAACACTTTATAACGGAGGGCTGAATATTTAACCCTGTTAGACCATCCACTGCCCAGCAAGTCCGAGGCCTTTTGTGGCAATGGTTTCTCGATATGGTGTGTCCCGGTACTGGCCGGTCTTCGGGCAATTGTGTTACAGAAGATCTTGCATGGGAATCAAAGGTTTTGGTCGAGACCATGCCTACGTTACGAAGACTTAGAAGATTGACCTATTTCAAAGAATCCGTGTGACTTATATGTTATAACATACGTATTTTATCTAGTGATAGTCAGTTCGACGTACGGCCATAAAGTATTCTAGCCTATGGCCTGAAACCCATCATGGGATCGACCCTGGCTTAGTGTCGTTCCGCTAGCTACATTACATATATATACATAAATTAATAGCCAAACAACTTAAGTTCGTGTGGCACGTTACAATTGAAGGGTCTTCAAATTTGGTCTTAAATGTTTTAAAAACCTAATTGGGTTGTATCAGCATCATTTACTCTACGAGTGCTTGAATATATTAATTGTACTTACGTTACATCGTGACTACGTGCATGTGGGCGCTTCAAGCTTCAGCCGTTTAAATTTGCATTCATTGATTAATACTGTCGCTCGAAGCGCGAAGCGAAACAACAAAATTTAAAAGACCTGGTCTCGTTGAAAGGACCCGATATTACAGTCTTATAGCTTGGACCGGAAAATGAATACACCCGGCCCAGCACTACAGGGAATGTTCTAATTCTAATCTTCTAACCAAGGTTCGAATCCAATCCCACGAAGCTAGTTAGGTAAGTTGAGGAGAAACAGATCCGCTTTGTGTAACCAGGGTCACGAATCACACAACACAAAGTGTTGACCATTCTCCAACACATTAACATTCCTGCCCCGGATTGTCGTCTGGCTTGGGATGGCCCTTTCGTGGTACGGAAGGATCTCAGAACATTTGTCGAAAGCAAATCTCACAATTAATAGGGCCTGCTGAATGTGCATACTCCGGAGTTCGGTACATTTTTCTCATTCCAATATAGCAATATGACGACATATCTAGCCTCTTGCCAGAGCGTTGACTTTGGACGAACCTGAAACGGCCCTTAGGAACACCGGCCCGTATTCAACAACAAGGCAGACCCTTACCTTGTTCGGGGTATTTTCTGATTGTCGATCTAATAATTTCATCTGGCATATCTCTAACCTAATTATACCGTAATATTAGCCGTTTTAATATTATGCAAGCCCTCCAACCTGTATCTGTGTTTCTAACGTCTAGCGAATAATCACAAGACCGGTTCCCCCACTCGGTCCGTTCTCCGACCATATATTAACTTCATCCAGGGCCAAGGTTCCTGGCGGAATCACGAACAAAGCACATGATTCCCCCGTATTACTGTGCATACACTATCGAGACAATCAAGAGCTGCTTTCTGGTCATATAGTCGGCCGGGCCGATGATAGTGTGATTAGGGCACTAGATATGGGATTTGAGGGAGTTTTTGATACTTGCCAACTATCTTGGATCGAGCTTGGTAGAAACCTAGATTTAATATCTAGGCTAGGCGGACAATATCGCCAGGGGAGGCATATCGAGCTCTTAGTAATGGCTTATTCGAAACATGGGGACTAGATGGGAAGGCAATGGTTTAAATAATCTGTCGCCGCCTTGAAAGAAGAAAGAAGCTTGAAAGCATTGTTAAGTAGAAGCAATCGATGCAATCACGTAACGACTAGATTCGCAAGTTCATCGTCGTGAATCAGGAAAATGCTATCGTCAACTCTCCTCCTAACGGCGCTGGCCGTGCCAGCGGCTTTCGCCCAGTCTAATCTTGACTGGGATGCTGCCTACACGAAAGCTACGACAATGCTGGGTAAACTCACGTTGCAGCAGAAGATCAATATGGTTACTGGTGTTGGTTGGCAAAAAGGCCCTTGTGTCGGTAACATCGCGGCCATTAGCAGCGCAGGCTTCCCGGGTAGGGAACATGTTGAAATTATATAACAACGCAGAATTCTTTACTGATGTTATTTTAACACTCTAGGATTGTGCTTACAGGATGGGCCCGTTGGAGTCCGGTATGCGAGCGGTGTCACTGCTTTCCCAGCCGCTATTCACTTGGTGAGCTTGAAGTTCCGTCGACCGAGCTTGAATTCAATAATCCCGGCTAATAAAGGGAAATTCTATAGGGTGCTACATGGGATAAAGATCTTATGAGAGCGCAGGGAGTGGCTATGGGTGAGGAGTTCCGAGGAAAGGGAGTTAACATTGCACTTGCACCAGTATCTGGTGCGTTGGGAAAGATTCCACAGGTCTGTTTTCGGTCTCTATGATCCCATATGTCGGTTTTAACATGCGTGCCAGGCCGGACGAAACTGGGAGGGTTACAGCAATGATCCGTACCATGCAGGTGTTGGTATGACGGAAGTTATCACTGGGGTCCAAAGCGTCGGTGTCCAGGCTTGTGCCAAGCACTATATTGGTAACGAGCAGGAACGAAATCGAGAAACCATGAGCAGTAATATTGACGATAGAACCATGCACGAGTTGTATCTTTGGCCTTTTGCGGATGCTGCGAAGGCAAATGTTGCCACCTTTATGTGCAGCTATAATAAACTCAACAGCAGTTGGGCTTGTGATAACGACTATGCCCTGAATAAGCTCCTTAAGGGAGAACTGGGTAAGTAAACATATAACTGCTGCGATAGGGTACCACAAAGCTGGATACAAGACATACGCGACTAACCGCAAGTGAAATATAGGTTTCAGGGGACAGGTTCTGTCTGATTGGAACGCCAAAACTACCACAGGTGGTGCTACTCGTGGCCTTGACATGACCATGCCGGGCGACAACTTTGGTGATAACAACTTCGTTTGGGGCCAAAACCTCTTGAACGCCGTCAATCAAGGCAGTGTATCAACTTCCCGTCTCGACGACATGGTAAAGCGTATCTTTGCCAGCTGGTACCTCGTCGGCCAGGACCAAAATTACCCATCTGTTAGCTTCAATTCGTGGAATAACAATGGAGGCGGGGACGTGTCCGGAAACCACAAGGAGCTTGCTCGAACAGTTGCGGGTGACGGTATTATCTTACTGAAGAACGTCAATAATGCACTTCCATTGAAAAAGCCTGCTTCGCTGGCTATCATTGGAAGGGATGCGATTAATAATCCTGCCGGTATCAACTCATGTACTGATAGAGCATGCAACGATGGCACTCTCGCAATGGTAAGCTAGCGCCCCCACAATGACCTTGTTGATATATAAGTATAGAAATGGTCACTAAACCTAATTCGTAGGGATGGGGATCTGGAACCACCAACTTCCCTTATCTGATTGATCCGCTCACTGCTATCCGTGCTCAAGCCCAGGTTGATGGCACTACGGTTGTTACTTCCACCACGGACAATGCATCCCAGGGCGCTTCCGCCGCTCAGTCTGCTTCTACCGCTATCGTATTTATCAACGCCAACTCCGGAGAAGGATATCTTACAGTGCAAGGAAACAGTGGAGACAGAAACAACCTGGATCCCTGGAACAACGGAAATGACCTCGTAAAAGCAGTTGCCGCCGTCAACTCCAAGACGATTGTCGTGATCCACTCTGTTGGGCCGATCATTTTAGAACAATTTGTTGATTTACCAAATGTCATCGCTGTCGTTTGGGCCGGCCTCCCCGGACAGGAAAGTGGAAACGGCCTCGTCGATGTTCTTTATGGTAGCAAGGCCCCAGGTGGAAAGCTTCCATTCACTATTGCCAAATCCCCATCGGATTATGGTACCAGCATCATTAACGGCGACGACAACTTCTCAGAGGGTCTCTTCATCGACTATCGTCGATTTGACGCTCAGGGAATCACCCCACGATATGAATTTGGTTTTGGTCTCTGTAAGTGCCGAATATTCTAATGCTGTATCCTATTGGCGCCATGGCATTATATACAAGCTAATTTAAATAGCCTATACCACATTCTCGTTCAGCAACCTTGTGATTTCATACACCAGCACCACAACCGGACCAATCTCTTCGACTCAGAATGCCCCAGGTGGCTACCCAGCCCTCTATGAACCTGTTGCAACAATCACGGCCCGCGTTACCAACACTGGTGGCGTCGCTGGCTCAGAGGTGGCTCAACTTTACATTGGCCTTCCAGCAGGCTCTCCATCCACGCCACCTAAACAACTTCGTGGCTTCCAGAAGCTGAAGTTGGCTTCTGGTGCTTCTGGTACTGCCACATTCGTCCTCAAGAGAAAAGATCTTGCCTACTGGAACACCGCATCTCAACGTTGGGTTGTGCCTACTGGAAACTTCAATATCTTCATTGGTGCTAGCTCCCGTGACATCAGGCTCCAAGGTACTATGGGCCCCAGTGGAAGCACTACAACCACAATTGGGGGCTCTACTTCTAGCACCACAACCGCACAAACAACCACCCGTGTCACCACTACGCCTTCAACTACAGTCACAACCACCCGCACAACAACAGCGCCTACTACCACCAGGACTACAACTGTAGCGACAACTACTCGCGCTACTACCACGGCAGTTATTACCACCACTGCAGCACCAACTGGGGGGCCATTGCAAAGCAAATGGGGTCAGTGTGGCGGAGTAGGTTACACAGTAAGTTTAGATCCCAAGAAAGAAAGCTCTTCGAATAGCTACTGACTACGTTCCCTCTTGAACAGGGCGCGAGTGTATGCTCTCCAACAGCGACTTGCTCAACCTTGAATCCATACTATGCACAATGCTTGTAGTATGTTTCAATCAAGTAGTTTCTTGTATATATTTCTATTTTGATCAATTGAGTGATGACGATGCGATGATGATAATAATGTACATAAATATTTGGGAGGGCAATAAGAGCAGTTTGGTTGCTCCGGCTGTACATATAAACCTTATTAGATAAATATTATATTATATTTGAAGGACTACATAGTTTCGAAGTCTATTCTACTTGTCTTCGCTTTTGGCGCTAGAACTACTTCGATGCACCTGAGTATGGTATAAATAGCCGCTCGTGCGCATATTGTGGCCTCTGGGGTTAACGATATTTAATCAGCCGTACATTTCCAGAAATTTACCTTGTAGGTCATACCTTCATGAATTCAAGCTAAACCGTCCGGGCTATCGATCGAAATTTAATCGGTTTCGGGCGTTCCTAAAGATTGTAAATTAAAGGTATAGCTATAGCTAGCTTAAGTGAATATCTTTTAAGATAGTTTAGGGAAACAAAGAAACTAGGCACATCCTCAGGGGTTTTGCGTGGGGTTTTAGTTCGAGGATACACCGATCTACAAGGAAAAAAACGTGGACGAACGTGACGCACTGAATGCCTTCGCGATCTAGAGATCTGACAGAGATCGCCACGGCATTCTATATATCTCGGGATCTAGCTACAATTCAGTGCAATATAACTTGTATTTTTATAACCCTATGCCCCATGAATTTAGACTACTATCCCCTCTCGAAAACCCTCCTGTTGTCGTTAAGACATTAATCAAGGCCCTTGCGCACACATATGTATGACACCTACCACGGAACCCTTGTTTTCAAATTGCGACAAAATTATCCCTTTTCAGGAAGTATTACGGTATAATATTAGAATCAAAGATGGATCGTGAAAGTCAGAATCCCGCCTCATTTACGTTTCCGTATATTCCCCCGGCAGCTACAGGGCCCATGCTCTCGCCTTTTGCGATGATGATGCCGACGGGAGTTCGACTTCACAACTCTAACACAACCCCACAGAACCCACAGGCGTTCAGTCATTCTCACAATACTTTGACTGACAAAGAATGGGTATTTTTGGATTCCTTTCCGGCCTTCGGCTATCTATGGTGCTATATACTGTGCTATATGTACTTGAGCACTTTGCTAATTTGGACTCGTGCATGTACCTCCAGCTTAACAAGGTCGAAGTAGAATTCCAAAAACTCGATGGTCTGTTTGGCGGATTATTGAGGGATGGTAGGTTTCCCTGTTTATAGCTTTGTCCAAAATCCAACCCCTAAACTTAGAGACCGCCCTGGAGATTTATATCACATAAATTCATGAAGTCTCAAGAAACTAACTCAAGCTCCTCACAATAGTCAATGAGAGCACAGTGGTGATTTCACGCCTAGAACAACAAGGTGAGCTCTTCGAATGGCTGGTTCTCACCACCCCCTTTAGAAGCAATTAGTAATCCGAACTCTGGTATTTTTGCATAGTCGAAAAGGATGGAAAGGTTATAGAAGCTCTCATGATTGAGAAAAGACGGTTGGAAGCCAAGAACCACCAGCTTCAGAAAGAGTTACAGTTGCAGATGGCAACCCAGGCCCACCTCCCCAACTTCAGCTTAAAACAATGATTTCGAGGCAAGTACTCAATACAAGACCAGACTGTAAATGTAGCTAGTGGAGTGGAAAGTATCCATGTTCGGTTCCTTTCATAGTACTGCGTTAGGCAAACCGTCTGCTGATAGGAAATTTCAATCTAAATTCAAATCTGATCCACCGTATATTCAACCTGGAAATAAATTTGTGCCTTTCGCTGCTATTATGCATGGTGGGTGATCCTTGAACCCGAGGGGCTTGCAAAATACTATAAGGACGTACGCTACCCAGTCTTCACCCCGTATTTTCCGATAACTTGAGTCGGCAACGGCTTGCATTAACTGGCTAGTTAATAACGGGCTGGCAACTTATTTTACATCCTTTTAAGCTTTGTGTAGGCCGCCTCCATACATACTTAAGTAATTCTAAGAGATTGGGGTCATGTAAATTTATGCAAGGCTAACATACATGTACTAATATTAATATAATGTTAACTTGAGAATAACATTCATTGTCGAGACTCGACTGAAACAAGTTCTATGGCTTGGACAACGCATAAAATACAACATCCCCGTTGTATTCTTTGAATCGAAGTCGTAGCGAATAGAGAGAGTGGTGTGCATGTTCTTGATAACCCTGAAAGGAGAGATGAGATGAAAAAAAGGAAAGGGAAAAAAGGGGGAGGAGAAGAAGGTCTGAGAGGGAAAATAGGAGTTGAAGTATTTTATCTTAGAAAGCAGAGATATTCAAGCGGATTGAGTCGGGTTGGTTCCAGATTCTTGTTGCTTATTGTTGCCTTCCCCGCTGCCGTCCGGCTGATCTTTACCTCCATCCCCACCCCTCTTCCCACCCTTTCCCTCCCCCTCTTCTCCCACCTTGATAGTAGCTCCGCTTGCCCCATTTATCACTATTCCCAGCACGACCAGCGTCGCCCAGAGCAGGATAGCCTTCCTCCTCCAGAGTCTCGTCGACAGCATTTTCGGTGGTTTCTCTAACAGCTCCCTCGAAAACCTCGTCCGTTGATTCTTGATCAACATCGTTCGGCACCCCCTCAGCTCCCATATCGCCCAATGCATCAGCCATGAGTCCGAACGACTCTTTAGTCTCTCCCGTATCCGCAGTCACGTCATGTTCCGTTCGGGTCCCAAGCTTTTGGATAGCGACGAACGGTAAATCCTCTTCGCCCATTATGAGAGATACAATGGCCACTTTTTTATCGGTGCGGTTGCTCTGAATATTGATAAGCGGATTAGAGCAGTTGGTGGCACTGAGATAGTCGCCAGTATAGGCACATTGGACGGTCAGGCCAAAAGCACCTGGCGCAGGATTTTCGTTGCTTCTGGGGACGATTTCGAGTCGCTTGATCCCTCCAGCTGCAATGGATTTCCCCGTGGTGTTATCGAGCTGGGGTATTCCCCCATAAATGGTCGCTCTTTCGATGGCATCCATATCAGCAATGAAGATAGGGAACTTCTCATGGTTAAGATAGGGAACTTCTCATGGTTGAGAAGATAGGTTAATTTTGGAAATTCCGGTTTGGTGGTTGGATCGAATAGTACCGAAAGGGAATTTTTGCGCATGACTTTGCGGAAAGTGGTGGGGGTCGTTGGCCCACCCCCGATTTTGAACCAGTTCCCGTAGACAATGGCTTTGAGGTCAGCAGTCTTGACGTTGTACTCACGGAAATTGGGGATGATGAGCTTGGAATAGCATTTCCTAATAACAGATCGAGATTCACTCTTTATCTCAGTTAAGCATGGAGCTCTCTCCTTGATAGCCATGGTGAAGATATACAAGGTGGCTTCCGAAGGCGAATGAGGTAGGTGATCTCGAGAAGTTTCCGGAGGAACTCTGAAAATAAAGCTGTAGCTGATATATCAAGGAGAATTTTATGATAGAGTTTGATTCGATATTAAGAATCTGGATACAGGGGGGGAAAGATCGTTCTGGAGGATAATGATTGCCCTTGGTACCCTTGGTATTAACAGGTGGGGAGGTTGATGAAGGTGTAATAAGCATCATGGATGTCATTACTTTAAGTTCTGGTGGGGAAAATAACACAGAAAAAATCGGTGGCGTTCAAGAGATTCAAAGGGCGGATATTCAACGATTACGCCTTAACGCGACAGAGTGGTGATAAGAAGACAACAGAGATATTCGCTGCCATTCCTTCAATTTAAAGGTGGGGATATTAACATTCTGCTTCGACTTCAACTTCCTCGACAAGGATTAGAGGCTGGAGCTTAAGATTATTTAAGGATTCCTGCTCCTTCGCTTGGACACAAAACCCGCAGTCCTTCTCCTCTGGTATCTCGATCTCTTCCTCATACTCGGAGCAAAACTCCTCAACCAGTCCATTTGGCACCGATGTATCATTGCTCTCCGCTTGAGCCTTGCAGGATATGCGATTATGGATAACGGTATGACCGCAGGCGTATATCAAATGAGTTCTTTCGCACATCCTGTCAGCCTAGGAGCAATATAAAACGGTGATCGAAAATAAGAAAGTGCTTTGTAAGATATGCAATATGCTAGGCCCCTGCGTAGTTGCGCGTGGAACTTGGTGAACTATCCCAAATGTAGGGTTATTTAATGCAGGAACGGAGTTTGGTGGTATTAGATGGCCTTGATCCTTGCAGGCAGATGGATACAGCTGTACAGGCGGAGGTTCTGTAATCGTTTGAGACAATGTGAGGTTGGAATTAAATTGGCCTATAGTAATTGCACACGCTGCATTAGTCTCCTACTCAGCTTAATAATCTACTCTTACACGTATAAACGTACGCTATACTAGATCTATAGAGCCTCAAATCTTTCTCGTTAATTCGAAGCCGCCTATCAGAAGAAGCTAAACTAGATTCTTGCCTATAATGTCTCAGGGAGTACTCCCAGACTAAGGAAGTGCTATCGGCGGGAAACTCAAACAATTATGTAACTATTTTCATCGAATCAGCTAAGCTCCAATCCAATGCGTCTGTGTAAGACCCTAGTTTACAGAAAGGATATGTGGTTATAGTAACTTGTCTTAATCCCGTTCTACTATCTACAACAATTATTCTGCCAGACTGGTCTCGTACCCAGACATGCAAAATGCCAAACCAACAAGCAATATTATGTAAACCTCAGAAGCAAGAAAAACTTACCTAATTAGTATGATTTATAACCAGCCATAAACGTTAAGCATTTCCAAATATACTCCTATACAGCTACGGGGATCGTGAGGGGTGTAACATTGCCTATCAATATAAGGTTTCCTCGGTCTTTAGGTCGCAGAATTCACATAAAAAAACTGCCAAAGAAAAGAGTTTCAAAACAAGAGCCCCCCAGGAAAGGAATTAAATTGACGTAGCTTGACCCCGCTTGTCAATTATAATTGCCACCAATATGACGTCTACTCAACACACAAAATACCACACACCTATCATGTTAAAGTCTCGTCAAGGTATCGGTACACCGGGCTCATGCGACTTTGCCAACAGCTAGATTTTGTCTCACCCAGGTTCTTTTACTACTTTTTATGCACGGGGATTGTAGTGTCAAAGACATCATCAGGTTATTTGTTTCATTACCAATACACCTAAAAAGGAGCCAAGGCTATACACATGAATGTTCCATTTTTGTTTCCCTTAAATTTCCCTTTTAACATTATTATACCTCCCATTACCATTCCGTTACAATTGAAAAATCAAAACCGCTAGCTAGCAAGAGTATAAAAAAAATCATATTATGCGCCGGAAGGAGTGACCGTGATCGAAGAACGCTTTTGCCAAGCCCAGAAATGCATGAACAGGGGTATAAGGAGTGTGGTCGTGTCTCGTAGCCATTTGGCCATGCCAAAGAGTTAAGCAAAAAAATAGTACGAAAAAATCGAGTCCGATTAACGACTCAAATAATACTTATGAATTGGATTAGGAATTATCCCCGTCTAAAAAGGAGACAGAGGGGAGGTGAGAAAAAGCAATCAAGGATATTATCAACTCGATCAGAAGAGGGCTACCAAAGCGATAGCGATAGCAGCAAAGGCTCCCGGGGCACTGGAAAGCTTGTTTGCGGCACCAGTATAGGCTGGTGGAGGGGTGTAAGTAACGGATGGTGCAATGTATGTAGGGGTGGTTGTAGGAGTAGTCTCCTGTGGGACTGGGTATGGAGATGGTTGAGTGACGGTGTATGGAACCGGAGATGGGTATGGCTTTTCCTCAATCACGGTCTTAACGGCAGTCTCAACACTAGTGACAGTGTATCCACGAACGTCGGTATAGGTGACTGGTTTCTCCTCAGTGACAGTCTTGTAGATTTTCTCATAGACTGGGTATGGAGACGGCTGGACGACCGTGTGGACCTTTGTTTCGTAGACCGGGTAAGGGGACTGCTCAACGACGGTGTGGACTTTGGTGTGGTAGACTGGGTAGGCAGATGACTCGGTAATCGTGTGGACCTTAGTCTCGACGTCGGTGACGGTATAACCGCGAACGTCAGTGTAAGTAACAGGAGTGACCTCGGTGATAGTCTTGCAGATAGTCTGATAGTTGGTGATGGTGTCGACCTCGGTAACAGTCTTGTAGATCTTTTCGTAGTCGGTGACCGTAGCGGTGTAGACCTCCTCAACAGTGATGTATGCTATACTTTCAGTCAGCACCGTACTATTCTATATTGAAAACGAAAAAGGTGTGTCTTACCAGTCTTGTGGATGTATTTAGTCTCGCCCTCAATCTCTGTGATGTAGTGGGTTGCTCCTGGAAGGGTGATGGTCTGAACCTCGTACTTCTTCTTCCAGATTGTGGTGGGGACGTATTCGGTCTGAACACCATAGACGTTGGAGTAGATAGTTGTTCTAGAAGTTTGTTAGCTTTTGCTTTGGATCACATTGTAGTATTACGAGGATTAAGGACTTACGGGACTGGGACCTCGGTGGTGATAGTCTTGACAACGTTGTTATAGTCAGTGGTGGTGATGGTCTTGGTTTCGTAGCAGGTGGTAGTGACGGGCTGGTAGAGAGTAGTGGTCCTGTACTTCTTGATGTAGACAGTTGTAGGAACAATTTGGGTCTCAGTGCAAGTAACAGTGGCGCCACCTTCAGTGATAGTCTTAACTTCGCCAGCTTCAGTGATAGTCTTAACTTCACCAGCTTCAGTGATGGTCTTGACTTCACCAGCCTCAGTTATTGTCTTAGTCTTCTTCTTGTAGATTGTCTGAGTTGGGCCCTCAATTGAAATTGTCTCAGTACCACCTGGGAGAGTGATAGTTTCTCCGGGAAGTTTGACAGTCTCAGTCTCTCCTGGAAGGGTAACAGTTTCTCCTGGGAGCTTGACGGTCTCGGTAGCTCCCGGGAGGGTGACGGTCTCCTCGATTGTTTCCGTGTTCACAACTGTCTCTGTGTTAACAACGGTTTCAGTCGGCCCAACAACAGTTTCCGTGGGTCCGACGACAGTCTCTGTTGGTCCAACAATAGTCTCAGTATTGACGATAGTCTCAGTATTGACAATAGTCTCAGTGTTGACGAGGGTCTCGGTGTTGACAATAGTCTCGGTATCAACGACGGTCTCCGTAGGTCCCGGGACCTGGACGGTCTCAGTGTTTGTGGCAGTATGGGTGACAGTGCCTTCGATTTTGAACTCCAGTTAGCATTCATTGATTTGTAGGTCGAGTGGCGTAACGAAGATAACTTACAGTAGGAAACCGAAATTGAGGTAGAGATATATGTCTCAGTGATAGTCGTCGGTTGTCCCTCAACGGTCTTAGTATAACAGCTTGTAGTGGTAACCGTCACTGTGTGGTAATACTATATATAATCGATTAGAACCATCCATTGAAACAGTATGATAGGTGTATAGAACTATACGAACCGGCGTAACCTCAGTGATAGTTACGGTCTTAGGGTGAGTAGCAGACACGTAACCAGCAAGCACCGGGATGACCCAAAGGCATCGAGCAAAAGAGGAAATGGAAACCATATTCGCAAATTCGTAGATTGTAAGAAGTCTCTATAACGAATCTAGAGTCCTCAATATTGGGGAGTTGAGCGAACGGTGGACGTTTCTGAACGAGGCGAAACGTGCTTTGCTTGATGAAGAGCGAATGATAGATATCAACCGTATTATATTGATCTTCTTCCTCTCAGAAGTCTGACTAGCACAAACGAATGGCAAGTCAATTGAGTGTGGGAATGGGGTGAGGAGTAAGGGAGGAGAGACTTGTTTAAGTTGTAGCAAGATGTATCGTATTATATATCGATACAACCTTGGGAATCTATTCCTGAAAAAAATGAGAGAGGTTGTGAGCTCTACCAAACCTCTCCTTCCCTGTTCCCTTACCTTGTCCATCCCGCTAGTATTTTTTTTTATTTTTTTTATTTTTTTTTATTTTTTTTTATTTTTTTGTTTGGGGACAATTTAGTGATCGATACCAAGGTGGTGTTCCGTGGGGACCACCGATTGCCCTTGCAATACACAAGCTCGCTCCACAGAACAAAGTCCATATGGGCTGGGAGAATCATCCTCGTGGACATGGGTGTGTGGATTGACATGGCTACCTCCGTGTGACAGCTTCGTAGGGACAATATTTCCATAAAAATCACAGAATCGACACACCCAAAAATGCGAGAGGTTGTATCCGTTGGCGATGTTTGGGGGTGCGGGAGAGCCGGCCAAATGCAATGTTCTGTGACAAAGGATCGGCTACAGAGCTACTCCAGAGTCGATGGTTGCCCAAGCACAACATTGTTGGAAAAGCAATTGCTGCACGTGCAGGGTACAAGGGTCTTTAACCCCACTTGGATGTCTTTCTTGAACCTCATTCAGCCCTCTTTTCTTCTTTTTGCCTTTGATCGGAGCTTTGCATTACAAAATTTGAGGGCTCCCGCGCCCGCTTACATAGTGCTGTCTACTTACATGGTATGTAGATACAAGGGTGAGCGATTGACGTGACAGCGTCGTCGCCGTCGTATCGCGGTAATGGGGAATTGTCGCTCAAAGGACATCAGAGGGAAAGAAATGCGATATCCAGTACAAACTTACTCTGTAACTCTTCCAGACCCGTGTCATGCCTCTCTTCAAAAAAAAACATGCACGGGACGACTCGCAAACAAGTCGAACGCAAACAATTCAGTAGATGTAAACGTAAGTACTTACATACATTCATACATAAGTACATACATACAAGTACATGTTAATTTTTGCTTGGTGTATGTACATACATGTATGAACCACTCTGTTAGTGCTAATCATGGTCTCTTTGCTTCTTTGTCTCAATGCATCGATGATGTGGTAGCCGTGCATACGGTAACATGGGTCCGTTTGCCAATAGAGAAACTCTGTACCTGGTGTGACTATAATTGGCATCGATTCTCTTGGTACATTCACGATGCGAAAGACGCACTAAAAACCGGGAGGTTGACAAGGGACATGGCCTGGTCGACTGGTCGTACAGTAGGTCCTATTGATTTCCGTAAGGTCTTGGGGACACAACAGCCACTCAAACCGCAGACCGCCACGAAGTCATTTACAGGGCAAAAACTGCACCAGCCCATCTTTTACCCTCTTTGAACTTTTTTTTTTTTTTCTCTCTACACGACATGGTCTACGGATCGGAAGAATGACCGGTCTGAGACCTCAATCAACTGGCAACCTAGAACCCAGAACTTGGAACTGGAACTAACTATCGGAACTGAACTAAGGAAAAAGAAGGATGTTGGTGTCTCTCCGGATATCCATGTTGAGAGCACCACCACGACATCATGATATGACCATGAACGTCTGTGATACTGTTGAGTCGCTAACATCGTCGTCCAAAAACATGGCACCACCCCTCCTTCCAATTTCCCATGCACGTACGATGTGTTGATATTGCCGGGGTTCTTCCATGGCATCGATCAAACGATCGGTACCGTCTTTCCGAACCCGAAGTGTTACGCCTCCCTTGCTTTGTTTTCATAAGAGCTTCGGGATCGATCGCGTTTCTTTGAAAGCGACTGACATGTTGATGCAAGTACGCCAGCGGTACAGAAACAAAGAAAATTCTGCCGACCGCGACTTAAATTCGCATTGAAGGGAATCAGAAACATATCTTGCATTTGCCGTCCACTTGTAGTAAACTGATTGATTCTATTCGAACTAATAAGGATCTTGCAGCAAGCTTCGAGCGCCACGGCCAATTGCTAACGGTTTCTAACGTTTGCCAGCACAAAGATACCCCACTGGGGCTTTTTCCCGCCCGGACTTTGCTTCAATATGGCTGGTTTGAAGCTCCTCGGTAGATGTCATTTGCATTGGCGGGTTGCTTCAGAAAGCGAATTTGCCGTGGGGCGCGGGCACTTTGTGGGTAGAACCAAAAAGCATCTTTTTTTTCGCTGCATGATGCAATGGCTGCAATGACACTTCTATCTTTTGGACATCGCCCTATCAAAGCCCACGGATCTCAGAGCATTAGCAGGAACGCGGGTAGGGAGGTGCATGCTTGGCAAGGTAACCTTAGACTCTAGGCATGCACGGAAGACAGAATTTCTTTCTGGGGCCATGCAAAATGCAAAAACACTTATCTCCATCAAGAGTCTATCGACAGAGGAGCCCCGGGCGATAGCATTGGTCTAACAAAGCTGCAAGGTTGTCTGACCTTTTAGTCTTTTTGTTTCTTTTTTAATCTCAGGCTTTCACTATTACTTAGACCATACATATGGGAGGCATCAAAAAAATTTTCTTGTTTTGGCTGGCTTGAGACCTCCCACTAAGTCCCTCGAGCTCTGGAATACTTTATTTTTGGGTTTTACCGCGGCCGAACTAGCCATTTTACTCATCGACGTGATTCCTGTTGTTATCTCCTACGGATCTAGTTCCTCAATGAGAAAAAATGGGTTTCCAACAAGAGGTCACTACTGATTCTTTGAGCCGAAAGAAGATGAAGGTCACCCGAGAAGGTAGACACCCTGACCCTTGTACTATGCTTCTCAGCGAAGGCTGAAAATGGGATGTCCATTGGCTAGCTGCCGGCCTGAGGGAGTTATGCAAAAAGGCATCACACAGATTCTATTTCTAAGCGAGGTCTGTGAGCCTCTGTATAGTCGTTCACATATTTACATCATTATGAGGAGATTATATCTGGGGACGGGAAGTTCGGTTCAAGGCGTGCGCCGATGGGAAGCACTGTGGATATACATTTTGGGATCTGTGTTTTTAATTAAACATATGACTTGGCGTCCTTCGAGGTAGCAATTAACGGCATGCAGTTCCTTCTCGCAACTTCCAGCAGCTATGGATAAAGCACAGATGTACCCGTTTTAGTCAAAACCTTCACCCATATCGACGGTGATCTCATGTGGGGTTGCAAGGCCCAGCCCTCGGCCGGGTTGCAGCTCTACACATCATGACTGTAGCTGTTGGGTACCATAGTGTTTGACTAATATAGGCGCTGGTCCGAACATTTGAACCGCATTGGTTGAAATACAGAGTGCTACCACGGAATATTATAATTATTTTTACCTTCTAACGTTATAACTCATGATCTGTGCTCCACAATAGTGTCTTTGCGAACAAACACGAGGTCTTTGTGGCAAACAAGGGTTTTTGGCAAAATGCTAGCACGATCGTAAGAGCAAGCCATATGGCGCCATTAGGATCGCACCTCCCACGCACGAACACAAAAAATCCAACATGTTGGGAGTTGGTCTGCTCGGGACACAATATAACTTTAGCTAGCTATCGATTAAGCAAGGCACCGCCGTTCGAGAATGGCCCTGACATGGAAGCTGAACTGGTCCATCAACAGGAACACCAACATTCCTATGCATGCAGTCGACACAGGGTCGTTTTTAGGCTTCACTTCACCTCTAGTTACGCCCTGGTATGAACATGTAACTATCAACTTTGTTGTCCTCCTTTACTGTTTGTTACAACCTCGCGGCCTCGAGTCGGGTTTTCTGCCATATAAATTCAGCCACCTAGTACCTGACACCGAATAAAATTACTTAAAATCCTATCTTCTCATGATTAATTAATATAGCAGTTTCTATTATTAATGACAAAGGTCCATCACTCGGGTTCTAGATGTGTCGTTCTGCGATTCGGCCCCATCGATCTAGCTAGCTTCATCTACTCCAAAAAGATGAAGAGCTCCTTAGAAGTCGTGTATCAACGAAATCCTATCCCTTGATATTTGCGCGACAGCTCAGCGCAAGATTGTATGTATGGACAATTCAAGGAAAAAGAGGAGTGGACAGCGCAATTCGTCCATTGGACAATTCGAGCTGCCGTGGGAAGATCCTTTCCGCTCATATGCTTATAGCCCCTGCGCGACAGACTAAAATATTTCGAAAATGAGAGTGTCTTAATCCAGGCTCAAAAATGAGTACATATTTTCAATCAAAAGTCAGAAATGCACTCATGATCGGTCTGTCCCCTTGCAGGTGAACCCTCGCTACATTCCTCTCAAATATATATCAACGGCTTTTTGAGCTTGCTCTTGTGCCCTATTTCCCGGCTAGTCCGGAATCGGATTTCTGGTAGTCACTCATTTAAATATTTACGTATGTAGAATCGACCCGGAACAGGCGCCACACATAAGGGCTCCCTTGGGATATGATACCCACACGTCATATTTTATCCTTTAAAGCTTTGCATGCCGGCTTACTCCGTACAGCACCTCGACTTCTGTCGCCAACCTATTCAGACTAAAATCGAGGGTTTATATTGAAAAACGGAATTCGTGAGGGTCAGTGTGTTCGCGGGCCATGCGCATGCTTCGACGTCCTCTCAATATTCTAGAGGACCCAAGATGATAACAATGATTGACCCAGCTCCTTTAACTTTATTAATGTTGAGAAATTAAGGACTCTTGAATATGAAGCGTAAGTTCCCCAACTAAAACCTTTCGTCATCTATATACAATCCATCTTAAATTACTGCACCGAGTTTCCTTCATCACAACTCCGAATACTTCTTAAATTCCGCCAGATTGATCAGCCCTAAGGTCCAGAATCGCGACATTGGGAAATATTAATAAAGTTGTTACGGCCCTCGTGCACTTCGTGCTTCCTCTATCACCTAGAATCTTGACGGCCAATCAAATATACATGTTTAAAACTTCAAAATTAGAATATCGTCTCTCCTGGCATTTTTCTCGGTTATACAAGGCTTTTTGGCAGTCTACCGATCAATATGTCGTTGGGGTTGAGTTTTGCAAATTTGATGTTCCTAGTTTAGTTTGAAATATACCCCACGAATGTTGGTCTCGATATCGATAACTAAACGCGCACGCTAATATTAATTAATGCAAGTTGCATCTCATAAAGCTACTCGGTTTGGCGGGCGTATGTCGGAGCAGTCTTCAATTAGCCCCAGGGTTGGTAATGAAAAGAGCGATTAGAGCGTGTCCACACCTATATCAATATATATATATCATAATCTACATATCACTTTGGTATATGTTAATGGAACGATGTAACAAAAGCGAGGCTTCAGATACGTAATATATCGATACATCCAAGTACCAACGATCCTCCACCTTGCGCTTGTTTCATGATCGTTGACTCTCGATCTAATTTTCGCACTCGCAAACCCTGCGTCACGGTTATCCTCCTGTGGTCAATCAAACGTCTACCGGAGATACCACATGCACTGAATTTGTCCACCGGCCACATGTTACCAGAAATACGGTTCTCGGTTCTCGAAGACCTGCAGACATCGGACCTCAAACCTTTCTCACTCTGTTCCAAATATCACTATGAGGTTTCTCTGCCGCCCGCATTTCGTGGTCTGCGACTCTTCCTGGTGTTTATCGGCGGGTTCCAGAATTAAACAACCATTATACATCTTCTATCAAATGTTCGGTGCATCTATAAGCAAAATTATCGACCCTTAGCCTAGTCCCGAATTAATCCAGGCGATACTGAGGCAGAATTAGCCACAGCCTTCCATATATATATATATATATATTTACTTAAGTATATACCCAAGCCCCTGTGCATGTATACAAAGCCCAATATTGTGCGAAGACTGCTCATATATCAAGTTCTCTTCCTTATATCTTTATATTTTTGACAAATTAAATCCTAGTACTGGAAATATCCCAATGTTCCTCTATATACCTATAAATCCACAACATGCAACAGCGTGGTCTCATTGCAATAGCGGCCCCCAGCGTGCATAAAAGACATTGATTCTATCAAACCAATCAAAAAACAATCATGTAACCTTCACTGACCTTTCCACCGGCCACTACTTAGACCTCTATGGTTGATTAGACTCGTGTCTACTTCGGGGACCTTCCCGTCTTTCGATCGCTCAATTCACAGCCTCGCAATTTCCTTCCCTTATTCCGAAGAACTCTGTAACGACCATGTACAACTGTTACCAGCATAATTATATAATCTATAAAATCTCAAGTTACACGTGCACGTGGTATTTAAATTCAAAATGCTTGACATCCATCAGTCCAAGCTACAGGTCGCACCACCGTGAAGTACAGGGCATCAGTGATTTAAGCCAATTCTATAGATCCGGTTCCGAATTCAATCGTCAAAATTTAAGAATTATTTTCCCAAACCTCAGATTTTCAGGGAAACATGAATACCTACTCCTTCATCGACGCAACATCAATCTAGCATCAGCCCTCCACCATTTCCCGAAAGGTCGCCATCACAGTCGAGTATAGCGAGTATATCTACACCGATAGTATCGGTCGCGGTGCATGCGCTTCAACTTTCTCGATGTTCAATTTCAATTCTGAGAACACTCTATATAGCAACTCAGGCACTCTTTACTCGTTTCCTACCAGCCAGCCTCCAAACGTCTAAACCTGCTATTAACATCATACTTCAAACTTATCCAGCGGTAAGAGCTAGAGACCTTTGAATTGCATTTGGCAGACCTACTAATAGGGACGTTGTTATTACTGGCCATATCTAAAGTTGTTTGAGAAGTTTGAAGCATACAAAGATTGCTCGAGTCCCATGGCCGCGGGTCGCACGGGATACGGCTCAACAGGCTACCAAAATACAGATAGCATAGATTTTGTTATTAAGAATTGCATCCAAGGCTGGAATCACATACATCCTGTGGACAGGTGGTTGGACCTCGAATAAATCAATTTCGTGAGCAATAAATCGCGGAGATGGAATGGACCCGGGTCAAACAATGTTGGCAGAGGGAACTCGTGAGGCTATAGAAAGATGAACGGACAATCGTCAATTGTACTGTGATCTAAGAGGAGTCAAACATTGGAATAACTGCTAGGAGGGACGCCTCAATAGTTCAGCGGATGCATTTTGTAGTAGGCTAGCATATATATAGTCAATTATCTAGCTTTTGAAATATCAATATATCAACTATATTCCGGAGGCAGAAATGTTAAAGGCATCTACAGATCTGAGAGGGCCTCAATTTCGCCGGGTTGAGGAGCTATATTTTGCGCGTTGGCGTTTAGCTCAACCTAACCGTATCTTACGTTTTCATTGCCTTCTCGGAACCAGTCATCCGCTCTCATCTCTTCCTTCGACGCATAGTTCACAATCGTGCTTTTTGTCTTCGAATATGCATAGTATGCGTCAATTCCATTCTCGCTCCCCACACCGCTAGGACCTTTTGTACCTCCCCACGGGCTACTAGGGTCGTTCCTATGATGAGTATTAATCCACACAATCCCGGAGTCAATCTCCTCTGAAACCCTAAAAGCCTGACTTAGGTCCTTAGTCCATATCGCAGCACCGAGTCCGAAATCGCTATCATTTGCAAGGTGAATAGCTTCTTGTTCATCGTTGAAGCCCACTACCACTATGACGGGCCCGAATGCTTCTTTCGTCCAGATTTGGGTTGATAAGATTGTGGCATCACCGGTAACTGGGTTCTGCGTGATCTGAGTGCCAGGAGAGATAAGGATTGTAGGCGGGTAGAAGTATCCGTTGTCGTAACTAAACCCGTCGAGTGGGCTTTTGCCATGCATCCTTTCACCTCCAATAACTGCATGTGCTTTCCCACTGTCAATGGCCTCATTCACAAGTTTCGAGACGTTTGTCAATTGGCTAGAGGAAATGAGTGGACCCATCATCGATTCTGGATTTTTAGGGTCTCCCATCCGTTTCATTATTGATGTCGCCTTTTCAACGAGAGAGGTATTAAAATTCTCTAGTATACTGTTTTCAACAACAATCCTCGTAGCTGCTACGCAAGTCTGTCCACTTGCAACAAATGCCCCAAACGCAACCCCATTTACCGCTGCCGTGATATCAGCCTTCTCAAATACTATGACGGGTGCCTTGCCTCCCAGTTCAGCAGTATACTTCGCTAGATTGCCCCCGACAATCTCACCTATTCTTTTTCCGGCTTCCGTTCCGCCCGTAACGTCAACTTTACGAACCAATGGGTGGGAGACAAGCGCTTTTCCGGTGATGGGACCGTATCCCGGAAGAACGGAGAAGACACCATTTGGAAGACCTGCTTCCTTCAAGACCCTCCCAAGGAGTAAAGAAGTTAATGGCGTAAGCTCACTAGGTTTTAGGATGACAGAATTGCCTGCAGCTAAAGCCGGGGCGAGTTTCTTAACAGCGATGAGAAGTGGATGATTGAATGGTGTAATCTGGACGACCACCCCTAGGGGCTTTCTATCAATCCAATTATGTAGTTTGCCCGAAGTTGGCAGCACGGACCGTTCTTCAGTACGGAGTAGAGCGGCATAGTATTTAAACCAACGAACAAGAGACGGAACTTGAGCATTCATTTCCCGAATCACGCGGCCGGTTTGGCGGACTTCAATTGGGATAAGTTCCGGTAGGCTTTTCGTAAGAAGCTCGGCTGCTTTTTCGAGGACATCGGCACGTTCATGGCGAGACTTGTGGGACCAGACACCAGACCGGAAAGAATCATGGGCCGCCTGGACCGTATCAGAGACGTCCGCGAGGGAAGCAGAATGGCATCTACCCTCCAGTCACATTAACGCTTGTATAAACGGGAAAGAAAAAAAAGCGCAACAGATTGGAGTGTAACTGACTGTGCAAATATTTCCCCTGTGGAAGGGTCTTCGACCGGAATACTATTTTAATTTTGATGGTAGTGGGGTTAGATTGCGGTATTCGTGAAGATTGATAAAGGTGAGATAACTCACATATCCCCTCTTCCATCTACCATCTCACCACCAACCCACATCCTATAAATTGATTCGGAGGCCATGATGATCAGGAAGAGGCTCGCTCACGCTGAAACAGTGAGAATTCTGTGGTCGGCAAGTCCGGCAATCAGAATGCCATGTATGTAGTCTCAAGACTAAGATATAGCTGTGGGATAGATATCAATTAATTGCAATTGTAGTTTGATATCGACAGACGCTAGTTACTGTCTAGAAGGAGGATGCCGCTTGTGTGGCGGTCGCCAGACGGCCGACTCCGCGCTCCGATGGGCCGTCATGAGTGCTACCTATCATCGCTGCCCCGTCACTGTGCCGTTTTTCACGTGTTTATTATAATCCTTTTAATAGTGTTGAATGTTCAGGGTCTTTTGCGGATCTTGGTCGATCTAGAAGGTCGCTGTCGGGGTGACAGGGGTGATTCGCTGTTATCGCACCGCCTAGTTATAATTAACCTTATCTCGGTTTTCTGTGTGACATCAACTTCACCTTGAACCTCAACGACATCAACCAGCAACGTCAACCGTTAACTTCCTGCGATACACCGATACGGATCCATACATTCAACACGCGTAGCCACCTCAAGTACCGAGAATGACGTGCAAAAGCCATGCCGCTCGGGCACGCGATGCCAAATTCTTGACCGTCTTCGACAAACCCGTCGATGTATCTATCTTGTCGCCACAAGAACTTTGAGCACATATACTTACCTGAAGTAAGTCTGATCAGGAGAATTTCTTTGGCATAGCAAGCATTAGTTATGATTGTTGTCTCCCTCTGAATCCAGGCCCAAGTGGCCTTATAGGAATTCGAACATATAGCCTGAGAAAATTAAATTATTCTACTACTAGTTGCTTTCACTAAAACCTTATCTATAACGCCAGTCGGTACTTGATTTACTGCCGGCCCGAAGGTTTCGAGATGTTCCAACTTTGCAAAATATGGTTTGCTATAATAGAGACTAGGGAAAACAAGCCTGGGCTTTATGGATCTGCAAAAATTTTTAGGATAGAGAGCCTCCGCAGGTTATATGACCAATCCTTCCTGAATACCAACTTAAGCACCCTTCCCTCAAGAGCGCCTGGGTTTGAGGCTGCTTAAATACTTACTCCTCCTATTTTCCATATTTCGTGTGCACGGACTGCTGACCCGCCGCAGCGTCAACAGTCGGTGAATGTCAGGATGGATCGGTATAGCTGCGCAGCCGCTTACAATTAGCCATTCTAGATCTATGCGATGGGTTATATGCATAGTATATAAGTATATATCCTGCTCGGAACAACCAAACACCAAACAGCCAGCTTGCTTAGCTAAATGATTGTACCGAAATTTCGAACACTTAGACTGGGACGATTTGCAAAGGCACAGCGGTCTACAGACACCCCATCGCCCGTCTACGAATTGTCCTCGCCCGACGGGAAGTCTTATCCGAGGAATCCGCAAGATGCAGGGAGAACAATTCATCCCGCCCGGTATAATACCTTTGATTCAACGAATTCAAGCACAGAACAACCATTTGTAGTCTTAGCTCTATGGAACAGGGTAGTAAGATGCTCTGCACCTTAGTATTTAATTAATTAAATTGCAATTATATGCAGGAATCAAGCCAGCTATCACAATTTGTGAAACCCAACCCTCATAGTTTGAAGTTTATTATAATTACCTATATAGCTAGGCTTTTAAAAGGATTCTAGGAGAGCCTGCAGACTATACATAAGGTACCTTAAGCCTTGCTGTAACTCGCTCAACTCCAACCCTAACCGGATCGTACTTGTATTAGAAATATCACGTGCACGTCGACCTAGTTTATTAGCCGGAAATATTGCAGCCCCGACCATAGATCACCTTTTCAAATTACTTACAAAACGTACTGGACTATTGGGGTGGGCCGCACGATCAATCTCCGGGAAACTGGATCCCGTAGCTCTCTCTCAACATATATAGAGTCAGGATCCGATCTCAGGGCCCACAAACCAAGGAAAACCCGTAATACCTACCAGTAGAGTCACCTTATTTCTGGGTCTAGACGTCTTATGTAAGACCTTAAAATGCCCTGTCAAGATCAAGACCGGCATGCGCAGACAACTCGGTGCATGGTCTGGTTAGCCAACAATGAGCCCGATTTAGCACCGAAAGCAATGTCTAAAATTTACGATGTTATTCAAGGGAGAGCAATCCGTCATTATATCCCTCCAGCAAAGTCGCGCAGAGCTATAGGAACTTTAGCAATGATCGGCAGAATTCACAGCGCCAACGAAACATATGAGCTGGGGTCTTGATAATCTCTTTACAATCCATTGATCGAGCGCTCGAGCGATGAGAATGACGTGAGGTTGGAATTCGATATATATTCGAGGGCGCGGGTCAGTCGCAAGTCAGGGATATGTATATATATATATCGATATCCTTGGGATGAGCGCATGGGCTCTTCGCAAATGTCCCGAACGCTGAGAAGGCTGCGAGAAATTAATATATACGGGATCAACACCATGTCCCTACGACAGACAGACGGCATGACGTGCATCATCACGGTTGATTTCGGAGTCAGGTCGCGGAATAGTTATTCTGATCTCTCTTCTATTAATTCTATACAAACGCAGAAGTTCATGCTGTAAGACGGGAATTTTGTCGGGTTTCCTAACATCCCTAGCTGTTTACCGCCTTCGATTCGGATTCGTTTTTCGATATCAAATTGAATCAATATCCGACCGACGTCCGAGAGCTCCCACCAGAATTCGAAGTAACCGATACTAAAACACTGAACTTTACCCAACATTCAGAAAGAACTCCGGAATCTCATCTCATACGTATCTGGGATGCCGTGCAAAAGCTACCATAGCGACATCATGCATCTTATGGGTGACGAATACACCTATCTCATCTTTAGCTTCCGTTCGAGACCTATCTCAACACGCTGGGACCAACTGGTGAATGACCACCAACGGGAAGCCGACACCTCTGATGCATCCACAGCACTCGCCCCAGCTGCAGCCAGCAAATCCTTCCCGCTAATAAACCGTATTCGCGAGCAGTCGAGACCTACTTCTCCAAAACAGAGTTTCTGGAAACGATTCTCAATTTCACGGTTATAAACCCTTTCGACTCATTTTCTGGATCCGTTAACGTTCCGGCTTGTAAATCCGGAATATGCCCTGCAAAGGAGGTTACAGAGTCAACGTAATCCTCTACTTCATGGAAACGGAAGTTTCCCCCGAACTTTCCGAGCTCTCGCCAGCCCAGATATCAAATCGGTGGGACAAAGTCTTTTATGCCTACTACGTCCGACCAAATATTCGTCTGGCAAGCTATCTGTCCAAGCGAACCCCGCACTCTCTTCTTGAGAGAATCCAACACCAGAACCTATAAAACAGACCGGCCTTTGGGGATAACTAGTCTTGTATTAAAACGCTTCGGCACACTGGGGATAACATGGTCTGTGCAAACACCTACTACCTAAGAGGGAGCCAACAGACAGTGTTTGTCCTTACATTCTCCGACACTGCTCCGGCAAGGAAAATATCTAGAGCGTGGAATTTACACCATTGGTTTCATTGCCTCCAGCTCAAGCACACAAAGCCACCTCGATCGCGGGCTCAGCAAGCAGAAGCAGATGGTGAAGTATCTTTGATAAACAAGATCCAGGCCCAGGGTAAATCTACCGGCTCGTAGTAAATTCTCTCATTGATATTCTTCCTGTTTATATCGCAACCTTTCCTGCTTTGAATATGTATTTGGCGTTCTACTGTATTATTTTTAACCTGTTTTCATCTCGTTTTCCTTGTTGCCACAGGGTGTAGGTCCATAATAGTGACCAATGCTTAAGCTAGTTATTTATTGCATGTCAACTCTATGACAAAATCCAAAACCTATGATCCTCTTCCAAGTATAGTAATGACCAATTCCATGCCGTGAACCGAAAGAATTACTGATGTCATTTTATCTACCTCGGAATCGTTATCTCACCACAATCAAAGTCGATTAATCAAAATCCGCTTCTGTATGGATATATTACCTGGGGCGATAGCTGCCCATCACTCCATCGAAGCACCACCCCTTTTCAGACCACAAACGTACGATTGAAACCTGCACAAAGGTCTAAGTTAATACTACATGTAACACGCGAAGACTACAATTCGGCTGGCAACTTGGCTTCCAAATGCCTCTATTCCAGCTTTCCACCGACCTCATGAAAGTGGTATCTATTCAACAATTCGCCATACTTCGCCGCCCCTGGTGATACCGTCCCAGACTAGTGATACCGGGTTTGAACAGCTACCAAGCGAATTAAAGACGGAGACCCGATGCAGTGTTTCCTTCGTCTTCGCGAAGCGCGACGATAAATTCAGAATCCACAGGTTTCACCACCCAAAAACCCCCGTCCCTTGTCCACGGAACACTATGTGAAGACAAAATGGCACCAAAGATGCTCAGGGTCGTCAATATAGAATAAACGAAACTAGAATTTTCTAACCCTACAACCGATCCTCCTCCCACACGATTAGTCGGCTACGATCTGATTAGAGTGCATGTCGGATAGATGCCAATGCACTAAACCGAAGTCAAAGAATGCTTGATCAAGCAATTACAGCTGGGGCTATAGAGAAGCTGTGTGTATTAGAATGTATTTGGGTGGCCTCCTTATCAGGACCCGATCATATCTGATACGCGGGGATACAGATATATTACTACCGGAACGCTACGAACTGGACCATAGCTGCACAAAGATTTAGATCACAACAGGAATATCGATCCTCCAGCAAAATCGTGGATCAAAACGCTCTAAAAGTAACGTGTACCCAAGCACCACGGCCTCAAACAAAACAAAACTCGTAACTGGAATAAAGGCTACTCAAAACAGCAACACCTCAACTTCTAGCTAGGAAGCTCCAAAACATAGCTGCATTATGCTTCTGCATCATATACGTGGCATTACATAATTCGGATCGATATATCAAAAACGGAATATCTCTTCAACCGGACTAGAACCATCGAAACAGGGGCTTCCCCAGAAAAGGGCTCTAACCAACATCCAGGTGGATCGATAGACCCTAAGCCGCATCTTTCATCGACGCAAGGAAGAACTATGCCTTGTGGAGGGATATTTCGTCACAACATCCTAGAAGATATCTTCAAGTATGAAGAATAAAGACCGCAATATATTGCAATACTTCTCTATCTATCCATCTCATGTTGCTCAGCCGGATGCGACTTTAAAAGGCCGGTTTCGAGGGGTTGAAGGCCCATGGCAGTTCCAACATTTCATCACTGCAGCGGATCCGGATCGCAAACAGCAACCCCTAGGCCATATGCACAACCCAAAGGCCTCGTAGACATCGAACCGCCTTATCCTAGTCAATCTGCGAATGGACATGGAAGATACAACCTCGTCCGAAGTTAATCTCGGCCGGTGCCCCACAGCTGTACAGATCCAAACGGGTCGTCAACGGTTGTATCAGTACAAAACACCGCACACAAGGGACTTCAGAAGCAAGACAATTTGTCAAATTTTATTTTTCATTCAACCCTTTACCCCTTGGACCTGTTCTTCTACGCCTTTTGGCTGGAACTCACATGCGATATTTCCGTACAATTGCAACACTTCTGAATTCATCCGAAATGGGCATGTAAACTTACAAGCCTTTGTTGCAAGAAAAATTTTCTCAAAAACGCCAGAACCGACGAAAGAGCATGGAGTCCTTAACAAGACGGTATTTTATACCAGACAGGATGCCCCACCGGCCATGGCTTTTGCGGCAGGATGGGACTGTTTTTGAGAAAAACACCGCAAGATGACTTGAATTGCACAAGTGTGAAGCCCAAGAAATAACGGTTGACAAGGGACGAGTGGAATACCCTTGATGTAAAATGTTCCAGCACAGACCGTCGACCTAAAAGATGACCACACAAGGAAAGTTCAAACTTCTAGAAAAGAGTAGTGGCGTGACACATATTAATGCTTGGGAAAATATTTAAGTATCTGTAAATTTACAAATTGTTATTTTTCTTTCTTTCAAAAGTATCCCCAAAGGCTCTAAAGAAACCCCCCTAAAAAGAAAGCGTTCTTGGTTAATTTTTTATATTTCCAAAAATTTTCTTTTCCGTTTGCCCCCCAAAAAAGCCGACGCCGAACGTCAAACGCAACTCGAAGAAATTCCGGCCGGAAAAATGACATGTGCAAAAGCCTACCACAATATCGCAATGAATTGCATGACCAGCATATACACAAACGCCGATGCAAAAGTTCCGCCCAAGGAGGTTGCCGAAACATGGAACTGCTTCGTCAAAGAACACCGTTGTGCAATTTCGAGGCGAGATTGGAAGGCCTTTGTCGACCTTCGGGCTAGAGAATCACACGCAGACGGGATCCCGCTACTAGAACGGATCCAGGCCAGCCAAAGACACTGAATAGGGAAGGGTTTCTTTTGAAGTCATGACCGAGAATCTCTGAGCCAGATTCTAGGTTACGGGGATCTATTTCATATTCCATTTGCATCTGTTTCATATTTCCTTTTGTATATAGATAGACTGATTCCTCGGGCCTCATCCACCATTCATCCTTCAGGAACATCCTTATACCCGACAGATACCCTGAATATTGGGCCGAAGTAAGGCACCAGAACACAACGTCTCCCAAAATAATGTATATAGCATAGCACCGGCGTACCTTTTTCTGTTAGAAGGATTCGGGTGCATTTGGGAGTTATTACTGGTGTATTGAATAATATTTCTTTGTTTCACTTTTCAAATTTGAACATTCTCTATAATTACCAGTTGTATTATCTTTCGGGATACAACCCACTGAACGGAGTATTGCCACGCAAGATATTAAGCCACGGCCACATGGCCAAGTCCCCACTAGCTGCTGGTGAAGATCAATTTTGTTTCCGACGCCGGGTCGTATGCAACAAAGCTCGCGTGCCTTTTGACCCAAGCAAGTCACTCTGGCATCCTGCAGCCCAAGGTAATTTGGACGTGAGAAGCTATTTTGTGGCATTCACAAATTCACCTTAATGCACCCTTGACTCTTGAAAATGACCTTGAGCGTACCTACAAGCTGTGGGAAAGATCACCGATTAGGTTATCTTCCATAACCCCGAACTTGCCACCCACTCCTATCAGCTGCTTCTTTGTCCTCGTCGTTATCATCTCAGTTTCTTCGTTGACTCTTCTCAAGTTTTTCGAGTTTTCTTATTTAAACCTGGGAATCGGGCACAAGACCACGGATATTGGAACAAGACAAACCTCCTCATCCCATCCAATCAGGATGACTTGCAACGGCCTTCGTGACGCTATCATCATGGAAAGGTCTATTCTTTGGTACGGATCCAACTTTATCCACGAACCCGACAGCAGGGCTATTGGAGATATCTGGCACCATATGACACGTTGGGAGCGCCGTGTGGCGGCAAGAAGAGCAGAATTAGAGGCTTTTCACAAACAACAGGATGGGCTCCAACCTCTCGGTTTTGAACAAACCAGAGCCCCGCTGATCACCAGAATTGAGGAAGCAAACTCAACTTGTGAGCTTCGCCGGCATAACCTAAATATACGGACCGTCTAGTTAGACAGTACCAACGGAATATCTGTGTGGCATCAGCGGCTCAATCTCCTCTTAATTGCGACATATATATATTAATATATTCCCACCAAAACAATGTTTATATACCTCATCCTCCTATAATCGATAGCGTAATATCTATCAGCGCCTCGATATTCTTCAGAGCGACTTTCCCTGACCCACTTCTTAACAGATCAAATGGGGGCAATAGCGCACCGATTCTTGGAGGTTGGATACGGCGTCGCGAAGCATTACCAGGACAATATACTGTCGGATTCAATCAATAAGTCACATATGCATACGCATGTCTGGGGCCGGAGTTGTCTACCAAGCCCGTTTGATTCACATGTCCCAGACTTAGATCTAGATAGTGACTTTATCGCCCGACACCAAATCAATCTTGGGCATTTATTGACGAAGCCGTGCATCAAAACCGGGGTATTCATTGGGTCATACAGCCGCTATCCTCCAACTTGGAGCTAGCGGCCGCCTTTGCATCCTATTTACCTTCTCAACCCAGAATTGGGGGGGCTTCGAGAGCCTCAGAACTGGAGGATATGAACCCGAGAACAGTTATTGCCGCGATTCTGGATGCACTCGGCTTCACGCACTTGCATGAGGGGGAAATATCTATGGTGGTAATTGAGAGTTCATTTCAACCATGGAGGCTAGAATTGTAGTCCCGAGTAGTTTTGAGCATTGACATCGAGCCTAGGGAGTTTGATACCTAGCAATCGTCTTGCTGCAATTTTTAGATCTCCAACTTCAATGGGCCTGCTGCTCGGCTACTTGCCTCATGATGCCCCCATTCAAACACGGCTAACGGGGCGGTGGCGTTCTCATTTTTGGCAATCTCAGCACCAGGATCTCACAAACTTAATGAGTTTCGTTATAGAACTAAGCCATCATGATAGGCTTGCATAGCATCTTCATTCCCTTGTGACCTTTGGCTGCGGAATTCTTACGCCCAGGACTCGTTTGTGTCTTAAAGTTTTGCTCAAGCAACCCTAGGCCGAGCCTTTTTCGAGCGGACCTATGTAAAAGGAAAACTTCCCTCTGTTTCCCCTCTTTTGATGATTCGTCTCAAATAGCTGTATTCGGACCCCCTTCAAAAGCAACTGCTCCATTTCGTCACGGTTTTCAGCTTAGCTCGCTGTGCTCAGGACGCCATCTTCGCCGGATTCAAACTTTATGGAATGTCTGGCCTCTCGGTGGTGCGCATGATATAAGGAATGCATGGTCCTCATGTTGGCGTCATAATTCTTATTGCACTGCATACCGTCTCCTCTTTTCATCCAAAGCACCCTCATATATAACCAATTGATCGACTTCGAACCATGGTATCAACCTGATCACGTTTCCATCAGTCAAATTCCTCCTCATTTCTCCAAGTAGTGTTCAATCATGGACCGAATCCAAACTCGTCCGGGCTGGGCAGTTCCCAGCCGCCCAGATTCTCGGGCTTCCATGAATGCGAAGACCAAACCAAAAGCCAACGCACAACACCGATACGCCGCACACCACCAGCATGCACGTTCCGTTTCCAGCGAGTCCCACTGGCTACGGTTTGGCACTTTGGAGGACGTGGAGGTAGAGAAAGCAATGATCGCACAACCGCGGAAGAAACCGCTGAGGTTCACGCGGCCGGGTGGATGTTTTAAATTATTTGATGTGGTTGGGTGGAAGTTGAGAAGAGGTTTTTGGAGATCAACGAGGCGTCGAAGTCAGGACTCAGGGAAGGGGGGAAAAAGCGAGCGGAGTTAGCCATTGACAGATCAGCTGGAACAAGTGATGCAGGGTTTCCAATCGATCTAATGCATTGCTGCACTCCTCGTAAATCTATTATCCGGCTGGCTAAGGCAATAGAAGGCGAGCCGGCGTACCTGATTGTTACCGAAGTAAGCAGTGGCAACCGTAGCAAGGTTTTGATGGCCCACGAGCTAACACGATCTCTAGCTCTTGAAGCCCACCTTCACGTTGAGACGCCCATACATTCGTTCATACCTACATGTCTCCTGCAGCTCCTGCTTTCCTTCTCTTTCCTTTCCCTTATTTCCTTTTTTTTCCTTTCTCGTTTTAATTTCACATCAGTCGACATTCGCTTTCGACAATCGCTTGGGGTGGTATTGGTGTTATCCGATTTCTATTTGGACATTTGCTTTGGGGCTTGGGCGTACATCGATTTTGAAGACTACTGGGTAGTACGACGACATGATTAACGATTTTTTCAATACACATGTATATACAATGGGATGACACGAACATCAGAATCTAATGGCGAAACTATTTTAACAATTTAATATTTTCTCCAGAATTTATCACATTATACACTCTCGCGGGGCGAACTAGGCCTTAACTCTGGGGCAATCTGCCACTCTCGAGCTCTTCGATTTCCCAACTAATATTTTTTCTTGCTAAGCTCTCCATGATTTGCATATTCTCTCCCCCCCCTCCCAAGCTAGTAGTTAAAAATATATCTTCGCGGCCTAAAAAGCTTTTCAATACGGCCATTCTCCCACTTCGGTAATCTGAGATTGGATAGTTGCTGTATTCACTTCGAATATTGTTCGCATACGCTGCATAAATATCTCGAGAAGTAGCCAGGATCGCCAGATCAAGATCAAGGAAGTAAGATATCAGTGCAGGGGTTAGAGGGGTGTCTGGAATTGGGGGTGGGAGGGTATGGGAGATTGTGCAATGAATTAGAGAAGAAACTGGAGTTTTATACGATTCCTGTTATATGTATTTAGTACACAAATGGTACGCCGAGTGCGACTGACGAATAGGATGTCATACCAGCACGGGGGACGTCTGTGACACCTGGTCCACAAAGTCTTCCCAAGCCAAAATACTTTGCAATTCGTTGTCCTTAACCTGCGGGTTGTAGACTTCAGTCTCTAAGTTAGCTCCCCGCTCTCTGACTTTCAAATTCCACATTATACATCCACTAAATTCAGTAAAAACAAAAAAAATTAAGATAGTTTACCAACCAAAATCATGCCACCATACTGCGAACATAACACAGTTCTGCTCCCAACCGCTCAGCTCGATCTTTCTAGTTTTCACATCCTCAGCAAGCTTGTCCAGCATGAAGGTTATATGCGCGGTGTTGTGATAGACTCGGTGGGGTTCGCTATAGGCATTTCCCATGGGTTGAGAGTATTGACCAGGATCTGGGACGCCACATGATTGGAGGAATTCGAGGTAGCGGTGTAAGAAAGCGTATTTCGCTAGGACCGACATGCTGTTCTGTGCTACGAAAACGATCTTTTAAAAACTGAGGTGTGGTTTCAAGATATTAATACTCACTCGTTCTCTAGCTAGAGGGTGAAGAGTTTGTGGGACTGAGTAAGTACTTGGTCTTACAGAATCGGCAAAAGGATCCCAACCGGGTTGATACATATACAGAGTATTTAAAATATTTGAAACCACAATGTCCTCACACGCCGTTGTACCCAATTCAAACGCATGATCCCGTGCTTTTTACACTTAACGAACTCGCCAATTCACATTCGCAAAAAGCGAACTTGGACTTAAAGATACAATCTCGAGCCGGCCTCGACACCGTACATTAACCGGAACCCAGGAACATATGCCAAGCTTTAAATTTAGAAGTAATGTTGCTTTTTGTCAACAACGCAAGATCTTTGACCAGCCCGACATAATACTTCGAAGCTTCTCTGTCGAATTTACACGGATAATAGAGACAAAGGCCCCCGTTTTATAAGGCTCCTGTGAGGGCAAATTTCTCTATATGTCAAGCTGGAGGGCTGGAGCGATCATCATCAAATATTTTCGAGTTGCCCCAATCGTGTCAGTTTTGATTGCCTGCATGCACCTGATCATCAGGCGCGATCAAGCTTCACGATTGTCCGGATACAATCTCAATTGATCAAGCCTCGGGAGAAAATATTTAGTTGAAGTCGATGGAAACGGGAAGGTGGCCAAACTTATCGCTAATTATGATGGCTTCCTTAGTCGAGGCAAAATATTAAAAATAACGAACCGATTTTGCGAGAATTATCGATAAGGAATTACCAGATTATGGTTTGCAAAGTTACTAGCTTCATGTTTCATACTGTATGGTGAGTGATCAATTGATCAATTTTTCCGGAAACTGGGCCTCTAAAATCTAACGTTCTACGAAGTAAAGCGCAATTAAACCGTCACTACAGACATTGTACTTTGGGACTTGGATCCTTGTCCCATATCACCCCAGAGTTTATCCTTTCGCTAAATATTTAGCCTAAATCTTAAGCCGATGGTACCGAGCTGTGGCATTACTGGGGAAAGCTTGATGGACTCAGGCATACTCCGTACGGAACCACGAAGCTTGATGAGCTGCTCCCTATAAAACAGCCCCCAGGAAAACAGCACATCTCATGCTGATTGATGGAAGCCAACTTGGAATCTTTCCATGGATCCACGGGAATCTTGTCGCAAAATTATTTTTCCGCGGTAGACCTAAAGGCGAATTTGAATTCTTGAACCGAGGGATCATTCGTCGACAACCCCACGGTAGCTTCTCTGTCATTAATGCGTCTGGGAATTCGGTGTTCTACACCAGCTCCACAAACTTTGAAAGTCCTTACTAATACTTAATTATAATTTAAATTTATGGCTCAATTTCTTGTCCCCTGACGTTCTTTATAAACCCCCAAGAAGACCCGACACCATGGGCACAAGCTGTCCCATAGGTCGCGATTCAGACTCTGAACAAGAGCTTATCTCCCGCAATGCATCTACTGAGTTCCTTCCGCGCAGTTGTGCTCTCTGTTATACTGGTCCATAGAGCCAAGTCCCAAGCCTTTGATACGCCGAACTCCGCATCTCATCCTTTACGTATCTGGACCACCTCAGCAGGCAGTTATTTTAATGACTCGTATCTTATTGGCAATGGTCGCATTGGTGCCGCGCTCCCCGGTGGCGCCGCGTCCGAAGTTATTCGAGTTAATGAAGATTCCCTATGGTCTGGGGGAAAGCTTTCACGGGTCAATCCCGATGCGAATGGGAAAATGAGAGATATACAGTCCCTTCTTACGCAACAGCGAAACCCCGAAGCTGCTAGGTTGGCAGGATTTGCGTACGCTGGAACTCCGGTCTCTGCGCGCCATTATGAGCCACTTGGTGATCTCCAACTAGTGATGAATCACTCTAGCAGCACTACTGGCTATGAAAGATGGCTCGATCTCTTTGATTCTTCAGTCGGAGTTTACTATACTGTTGGTGGAGTCAGTTATAGGCGAGAGTATATTGCTAGCAACCCGGATAATATAATCGCGATCCACATCACCGCTAGCAAACCCGCTTCTGTCTCATTCAATATCCACCTACGGAAGGGTCAGAGTCTTAATAGGTGGGAGGATTATACATACAAGGTGGGAAGTGACACTACCGTAATGGGTGGTGAGAGCCAGGGAAAGGATGGAGTAAAATTTTCTGCTGGCACAAAAGTAGTTGCTTCGGGCGGCAAGGTGTATACCCTCGGCGACTATGTCATCTGTGACAATGCAGATGAGGCGACCATCTTTTTCACAGCATGGACAGCTTATCGTCAGCAGGACCCCATAAACAAGGTTCTCTCAGATCTCTCCAGTATTAGTGTCAAGTCATACTCTGATATCAGAGCCACCCATGTTGCAGACTATCAGAAGTATTTTGGGAGAGTGTCTCTAAGTCTGGGGAGCTCATCTGATACTCAGAAGGCTCTATCGACACCAAAGAGGCTAGCTGCAATTGCTTCAACATTCGATCCTGAATTAGTTGCTCTATACTTTCAGTTTGGTAGATATCTCTTCATTTCGTCTTCGCGAGTGAACACGCTCCCTCCAAATCTTCAAGGCATCTGGAACCAAGAAATGGATCCGCAATGGGGTTCAAAATATACAGTCAACATAAACCTCCAAATGAACTATTGGCCTAGTCTTGTTACTAACATGATCGAACTTACTACTCCCCTCTACGATCTCATTGCACGCCTACATTCAAGTGGGAAAAAGACTGCCCAGTCTATGTATGGAAACTCCCAAGGCTGGGTCTGTCATCACAATACAGATATATGGGCAGATACTGCCCCTCAAGACAATTATGCCTCCTCAACCTGGTGGCCAGCAGGTAGTGCGTGGCTTGTTCATCATATTATCGAGGAGTATAGATTTACCAGGGACAAAGAATTCCTCCAGAAATACTACAACACCATTAAAGATGCTGCTCTTTTCTTTACCGAGTTTTTGACTAACTACAAAGGTTGGAAAGTCACAAATCCTACACTCTCACCGGAGAATACCTTTTATTTATTGGGAACAAAGACTACTACTGCGATTACCCTAGGATCAACACTTGATAACTCTTTAATCTGGGAGCTATTTGGCTCTCTTCTCGAGATTATGGATATTCTTGGAAAGCACGATAACAGCATGAAATCTACTCTCCATGATTTGAGGGCCAAGCTCCCACCCCTTCGTATCAACAAATGGGGCGGTATTATGGAGTGGATTGAAGACTACGATGAGGTGAGTGTCAAAAAAGTATGTCACGCCATGGATTGATAGCTAAAACCACCTCAATTGAGCAAATAGACTGATCCAGGCCATCGCCATATTTCTCATCTCTTTGGCGTTTATCCTGGTTCCGAAATCACAAGCACCAACATGACAGTTTTCAACGCTGCTAGGTCATCTGTGAGCCGGCGTCTTTCCTATGGGAGTGGCTCGACCGGTTGGTCTCGCGCGTGGTTTATTGCTGTTGGTGGACGTCTGTACCTCCCAGACCAGGTTCACCAAAGCACGGTCACCTTATTATATAACTACACACATTTTAACTCAATGCTTGATACTGGTCCACCCTCAGCTTTCCAGATTGATGGGAACTTCGGTGGTACAGCAGGTATCGTTGAAGCTCTTCTACACAGTCATGAAACTGTCACAGCAACAAGCATAACTACGGCGAACATGAAGGCAAGTGGGACTGGTGATGCTACTGGAATACCTGTGATCAGGTTCTTGCCAACATTGCCACATCAATGGGCTAGCAATGGCGGTGGCTTTGTCACGGGCCTAAGGGCGCGAGGTGGAGCCCAAGTGGATATATTTTGGACAGAAAATGGAAATTTAGATAACGCTACAATCACTTCTACTACTGGAGGCCTTCTATGGGTCACCTTGGGAACTGAAACAATCGGGGCCAACGACGGAACCCAAATTTCAATCGACGGTATTGGATCTGGAACTTGGATTAGACTTATTCCTAAAAAGGGTACGAAGTATATAGTCAGATTGAAATAGTTTGCTAAGCCGCGAAAGCGATGGAGTTACAGCGTTGAGTTCGATCCTCGGCAGACTGTTCAAGTACAATTGACCCACGTCCCTTCAAGATAATTAATTAGGAAACCAGTTAATATATTGGTACCGCTTGATAGGTAGATTTCGAAGGTCATGAGTTCGAATCTACACTAGAAATCCAAACCTATCAGCCTTCGCATTATATATGTTTACCCACGGCATAGTCTAGTTACCCATGGCCTCAATTTGAAGTAGGTTGTAGCAAAACTGTATGAGTTCAATATCTACTATGTTCATACCCAGACTTGAAAGGATATTATCAAAAGATAAAGATTATATTCAACCAATTGGAAAATCTCTCCAAGAGCCCTTAACTTGCTATGCCCCTATAATATTACAGGCCCGACATGCCCTTAGCTAGCCGGAATCTTCCTTGTATTCGACTTGAGTATAACCAACACTCTCCCCTTCAAAGAAAACATTAAATCCCAAGTCTGCATTGTGCAACTTAATTTCCGCATTAGAATGTACATCAATCCACGTGTTCCCATCAGCCCCTTTCCGTCTTTTCAATTTCAGTATCTTTGCGGTATCGATTTCAAAGCTGATAGTGGCAAGCGGAATAGCACCTAGAGTATGAAGGAGCATTGGTTAGATTATTTCAATACTAGTCATCAAACTAATGGAAAAATTATTTATACCATCAAGTCTTCTGCGGGGCGCAGCTTTGTGTTCGGAGTAGTATAGTGTCCGTGTAAAGCTATGGGTTTTAGTGGACATAAGCTTGCGCTCTAGGATAGGAGTAAAACCCTTCCACCCTACAACCCGTCCGTTTCTTATTTCCTCCCCCTATGATTATTTTATAGAAAATAAATTAGCAAATAGCCGTATCAAATGACAATAAACAGCATACCATGATATCAATACACTCGGACAGAAGATATTTCTCTTAAGCCCAACTCTGCGTGTACGTATGCATGTATATGTACCTACCCGTTTTAAAACCCATACCATCTGGTCACTTGCTCTGTGCACCCCACATGAAGCATCCCAGACCCGGTCATTTTCTTCATGTTCCCCATCGATAAATTTGGTTCTCAGAGCGCTGCCATAGCTGTACCGCGCATTTCGGGAAACAATGAAACTATGTTCTAGCCCCCACATAGTCGCGCCTCTGCAAACAGCTGACCACCTTTATAAAATATTTTATGTCAACCTATTTGATTCCTAAGTGAGAAAAGCAAAGGTTTCAATTTGGGAGGCTCACGAGTCTTTCGATTGCAGAACACTAATTCCCTGACCCTTGTAAATTTTGTTAAGGCGCGAGTAAAGATACCGGGATGATCCAAAACCCCCTACTAGCAAGATTGCCTAAGTCGGGTATTGAAGTCTATGTGAATCTAGGAGTTCATTTTTTGAATTTGGAGATGAATCCTCTTACCTTGGTATTCCGGCCTTCGGCCTTGATCTGTTCCATTTGGTTTTCCACAAGGGCGTCAATCCTGCGACAAACATCATCGAATATACTGCAAATGGTCCCGCTGTTCAAGAAGCCATGTCTTAATTCTCCGAAAGCTTCTCAGCAGCATATGTCTATCGGAGGATATCTTACCCTTCGACTTCGATCAAATCCTCGTCTTCCTCTTGATCATCACCTGCTCCTCTAAGCTCTACGGAGTAAAGCCTTTTGGCATCCCCCTCGAAATTCCATTTTATCTGGTTCTCAAATTCATCCAACATTTTCTTTTTATGTCTCTCTTGGATACTGTTATACTTTAATTCCCCAACTTTGGTTTTTATAAAATTTTCAAAGGCCAGATCGAGAAATATAGAACCGCAAAGCCCTCCTATCAGCTGGTCAGTTTGTTATAGAGTTTATCATAGTTTAGATAGCCATTTCTAGTGCCTGGCACCGTGGTGATAACTTACCTTCCCCGACGCCACATTCTCTTATTTGAAGCGGGGACGTTTCGGTAACCATGTAGCTAATGAGGTCCTAGACTATTTTTAATATTAAATCAATTTTAGGGTTTGGATAAACCCTTTGAAACAATATGACTTACCACTGTACCCCCACCAGCATCACAGACAATGAAAACATCTCCTAGATTCAGCCTTTCTTCGCTGGATACTTCCTTCAATGTCGCCAATGCTGCTGCTTCGGGCTCGGTGACCAACTTTATATTCGAAGGAAGGCCGGCTTTCTTTGCTGCTTTCAACGTACGATCTTTTGCAACCGGACTCCACACTGCTGGTACGGTCAGTACTACTCGACATTCATATTCTCCTTCAAAGTTGCTGCCCTGTTTCCTAGATATATCCTCCTTGCCTCGTCCCCATAACCAACGAAGATAATCTGATACTACTTCGTCGATACTCTTTGATACTTCTAAAAGACTATCCTGAGCTGCTCTCACATCTTTAACACCTTCTGAGTAGTGACCCTGTTGCAGTAACACTTTAAACCATTTGAAGGGTTTTTTATTTGCGGTGTAGCCGTAGGAAGTAGGTTCATTGCCGGTGTATGATATTTGAGTGGGGACTTTGTCGTTCGTAGGACGAAACGAAGTTAGGGTTTCCCAGGAGTTTACCACAGAAACCTTTTTTTCACCTAAATTTACAGCCCATGAGAGGCCCGAAAAGCTATAACATCTAATTAGTAGCTTCCTTCAAGGGAGTAAGAAAGATTGTTTTGGAACAAAGAAGTTATAATTACGTTGTACCAAAGTCTATGCCGATTACAATTTCGGCCCTCTTAGCCATACCTACGTTGATAAAAAGAGGTTTTCTGTCTGGACGCCAGTAGCTTCAGTTGTCGAAATATTTGTAGTTTTTCAGCTTTAAATCAAACCAACCTCAAACGAGCCCAGATGTTGGAAAGGCGGGTTCTGGGGGGGTTAATAACCGGCCAGCACCAGCGTGCAGCCTTCAGACTTCCATCACCTAATTGGCAAAGAGGCCATCTCATAGACCGGACTAACGCGCGGGGAGAGCATCTGATATATGAAACTTACGCCACCTCAAAACCTAGTCGAAAATATGACTCGTGAGGGCAATAAAAGGTGAACAAAAACGGAGACCTCCGAGGGCCAGGATCGTCATAATCTAACTATAGGAATCGAATTCGTGTAACTTATATGTATAGTTGTGCATCACAGGTGCAGGTGGTTGTACTCTATATTTCCCCACTCCAAGGCTATGACCCTTCTAAATGCACTCTAAGACTACAATAGATACCTAGGCTCCACATTCCGGCGGTAATAGTACGTATGCAAGTTAACAAGATATATCGATATATGCCAGCACGACAAGGGAGCAAGGTTTGGGATCTCGAATCAATAAGTCTTTCAGACCCGGCCTTTGCGACGTGTAAGTACGAGTTTACGCAATCCCAGCACACTTGTTAGTGCTTATAATTGACATGATAACATATCACATTGAAAAACTTGTAACTACCTAAGTACTTATCGAAATCGATGTGGCAACTTATGGAAAAGTTCTTCTGCGTTGCATTCTTTCCACCACAGGTGCTGGTTTCCCACCGTGCACCATGTGCCTACAAAGTTTCTTCGGGTCGGCTATTAATATTTTCCGAAAATAATGAATTGGGCTAAATGCGAGAAAATCATTAATTGAAATCTCCGCTTGAAGCATAGATACCGATTCAATGGCGACAGTGACCTGAGTAGGCTTCAATTTACAGGCCATACGTACGAGTATATTGATTTCGAAGAAGCAGCTATCTTGGAGCATCCTGGCTATATTTCGTGTCGCGAGAATGGCACGAATCACTTGCTAACACATAAAACTCTCCTGCTCTGTATCGATAGCCATCGATTTGCCTCCGTTGACTCAGCGCGCATGCAGCTGCATGCGTTTTCTAAATGATTATACAACTTTTCAGTATTCCTAGATGCACTTACATGAGGAGACAACAAATCGACCGGGAATAAGCATGTTTTCAATTGATCAATAATGGACATCATCGAAATTGAAGAGGGCTAAATATACTATTTGAAAAAATGATATGAAACAGGAGATAGCCTTTTTGATGGAGACTTCAGAAGCTTTTGTTTCCAAGATTCGACTAAGTAGCATGCGAGGTGTATTGAAATTAATGGTGATATCGATATATCCGAAATTTCATTGAGACCGCGCAGACTCTAGGAGAAATTGATACCAACATATCCCCTTGTAGTGCCTGGGAACGAGACCAATGCCGACTGTTATTGAAACAGCTGTGTATGTGAATTACATAGATAAGAGGCAACCAACTAACACCCACTATTAATTCAAGCCACTGCAAGCCTGCGTTTGTAAGTACAGACGTAGACCAGTTTCAAAATTCCTATAAATGTGCGAGACCCGTTCAAAAGTTTCATTAGTATGCGCACTGCTATTGTAAGTTTAAATCGTGGTAGCCCACGTAGCTCGATTTTCAAACACATGCCAGCTCCAACCTCGAGGCCAGGCACAGATGAGGGCGGGGTGCCAGCTCATCCATCCGCCAAGGCCTGCTGCATGGCATGCACCACTAGCACTAATACAAGCTATATAAGTATACCAAGGCTAAATATATATGGATTGATATTTCAACGCTCAATATATAGCGGACAACGGCAATCATCGCGAATTTAATTCCAACAAAATTTAGCTTGGCTTTAACATTCATCGATTTCGAGGAATATTAATTGCTACGTGGGGGTTTAACCTGCATGTAACACCTGCTTGAAAGCCAATTTAGACGCCGTTCAAATTAAGTTCATAATCAGAATTACTTATATGATAAAAATTTAATTCTGCAGATCTGTGGTTTTATTGTTTTAAAACTGCATCTTTATAGCAAACTAGCAGCCCAGTCGGCAGACCACTTTGATCGAATCCCGCAAGCCCCGTCGACAAAGTAGCTAGTTAAGTCAAATTCCTTAAATACTCGAGAAAAAATATAACTTGACGCGGCTATGGACTTTTCACGGATTGTTATAGAAGGCCTCCAGAAACATGGTGGGGATTCCAAAAAGCACCCACCTCTTCAATCCCGCGTAAACCCACAGGATCATTCTTCAGAGCCTCAAAACCCAGGGGTTGATAAGGGAACAGAACAGTCTAATTCACACCACGAGGGCCCAAGCAGCGAAGTTCGCGACTCAAACCCGAAGAAATATCTACCAAGATGGAGTGAAAGCAATCGACAGAGCGTCCTAAAACCCTTGAGGGCCTTTACCAGAAGAACATCGAGTACGCACCTGGACACTAGTGTAGCCATGGCCCACAAAGAATCCAAAGTAGGGATGCATTAAAACACTAGTGTATTAGCAGAACCTGAAAGCTAACATACGACTAGCAAGACGAACCGATGGAAGGTCTCTATGACCGTGGTACCGTTGCACAGCGCCAGCGCCAGCGCGACGTTACGGATATCTATCAGAGTCACCCTCCGATTAAAAGCATAAACAAACCAGAGCGAACAAAAAACAACTACATAATTAGTCAAATGCTAAATTCAAACATGGCCTCTAGAGATACGGACCACAGCTCAATTAATTATTGGGGGCCCCCCCCTCCCAAGCTGTCTCTGAACGACGAGACAAGCCTAAACTCAAGCAATAATACACCGAAACAACGGGCAGCTGATCTTGAGGAGCAAGAGTCTGTGCAGAATAGGTGTATGGCTCAGTCCCCCCCGAAATCTACACAACCGCAAAAGACTATCAGGTTCGGACGAAGCGATTCCGGAGCTTGTGAAGTCTTCCAACAACCAGAAATGGAAAGCCTGAGAGAATCACATATGAAACGAATGGACAGCCTCCAGCGTGTAATCGATCAAGAAGACGTTTTCCATCGACTTCGAATGTCGGACAGTGAGATATTAGGTCATATCGGGGACATCTGTTTGAAAGTCAGAACATTTGCAAGCAAGGTCGCAAAAATGTCCAAGAATTCATTTTTCCTGGATAAAGCAGGCCAAACCTCAAGGTTAACGGATAGAATCAAATACGAGATAAAAATGGTAGCCCCGATTCCAGACTTGTCCATAGATTCGATACTTGCCGCAACGACAAAAGCTCGGAACCGAAGGTTCCTTATACAGGGTTGGATACATTTTACATTATGGAACTCTATATTCAGGTCGAATTTGTTGATCGAAGGGTCAGAAGCGCCAAGAGGTGGAAACCCGAGCGATCTCTGGCTTCCTGAAGCAAAATCCGCTGCTGTTGAGCGTCTGGAGAACGAATTTTCTTCGCTAGGTGAGAAATTTTGATAATTAAAGTCTACTCTAAAGCTCCGATTCAATAGTGAGAATAATTTCATGGCTAACAATACCAATAGCTCAAAGAAAAATAATAAGCCAGGCGACTTTTCACAAATGGCGAACCCTAACGTTGGGTATAATATCCTCCGTAAACCCACAGAGCGACGGGTCAGGAGATAATGGCTCCAAAACAATTGAGGCCCGCTGCCAAAATGTAGCGGAAGTACTTCAGGAGCTTATCCTTGGCAGGTGCCAGTTTGAAAATGGCAGTATCCAGGAAGAAAGCATAGGGTCGTTTAAGAGATACCTTGTTGAAATCTTTAATAGTGCACTGAGCCTTTCTTCTCGCCTTCGTACCCAGAGGGCGGCCTTTGGGCTGCGCTTTCCAACAGCACCACCATCAAAATCTCACTTTTCCGAACCTTTGCATCTAGATACGGATTGGATGCAAACGGATGACGGTTGTGATGAGCTTAGCCCTCAGCGCATCGTGAGCTACGTTATCGAGCCAGCATGGTTTAAGGCTGGAGATGCTAATGGGGAGGGCTATGACTTTGGAGCAGGGTGTTTTGTGAAAGCGAGAGTGGTCTGTCTACCCGCCACGGCCCCACCAGAAACGGTTCATAAAGACCCAGTGCTACAGGAGGCGCCTGCGTTCCGATCAGATGTGACTGGTCTCGCTTGAGACCAGTTAATTGTGACCGTGACCGTCGACCCCCCGTTTTATATTTTTAAATACCTTAGATCTATAGAGCATATCATGATTCATTATCTCGCAATACAACCCATATAGTTCGATACACATGGACAGTATATACGAGTGTATATGCGTTGGCTATAATATAAACATTAGACCTAGTCCAAAAGTCGATATACAGTATAGTAGCCTCAAATCTAGGCACTCTTGAGGCATGTTGTTAGACTATTTCCAGTTGCAACAAAGTCTTTGTGTTGTGACTTGTGTAGGGGGACAGATCGTCACCCTGATATCAATTGATCTATACCTGGCGTAAAGGTCACACAAAGATTTCTACTATTATTCTGGTGCCACTAAACTTTAAACAAGAATTAAAAAGATATGTGTAGCATTGTATGGTACGTCACTTGGAAAGTGGACCATAATATCACCCAAAGGATTACTATAAAACCTATAACCGGGAAACCGGGAAACTTAAATATTAGCGTACGATTCCCGATTCCAAATTTATAAAGCGTAACATCACCAGTCCAACAATTTTCAGAGACTATGTAGCTTTCATTGGTTCGATATATAAATTTCGCGAGCATGCTGCCTCCGAGTTCCGACCAAGTTCCTTCCGAGCTTATGCTCTTGAGGCAGAGCTATCAGTCCTTTGATCACGATTCCCGGACTTCCTATCCACCACCCTCGGATCTAGTGCAGATACCCACCATTCGTGATATCCAATCGTCACAGGATGGGTCCGAGCAAACTAGTCCTGTTCAGCTAGCACAAGATAAATACGAAAAAACAAACTATTGGAAATTTATTAGAGAAAAGAAATATTGGCGTAGGTCTAAGAAGCCCCCCGGCCTGGAGCCCCTAATTGATATACTATTTTATATGAAAACCCAAGTACTAATTTATGTTTTATCAATTTACAGCATGGTGGGGGGCACTTGGGCTACTCGCAGTTCTAGTGGTCTTGATGACTGTCTATCACAAGAACATTGTTCATTGGCTGCAACCAGTCTCTGCCAGAATTCGCTCATTATCATGGGGGTGGCTAATACCTGTCCTTGTGCTTATCACACTGTCCTTCCCACCCCTTTTCGGTCATGAGATAGTCATTGTTCTATGCGGGGCGGTATATGGTTTATGGATTGGGTTCGGCATTGTAGCTGCAGGAACATTTATCGGCGAAAGTATGTATATCCTTGGGGAAGTTACATCGGTAGATACTCGATCCTTCGCTAATATGCTTCATATAGTATTGACCTACTTCGCCTTCCGCACCATTCTACACCGAAAAGCCAAAAGCGCTGAACGAAAAAACCTTGACTATGCAGCTCTCGCCCGTATTACGTGCGAAGGCGGCTTTTGGATCGTATTCATCGTAAGGCTTTCGGTTGTACCAGGTCATTTTTCCACGGCTGTCTTTGCAGTTTGCCGTGTGAACTTTTGGGCTTTCGCTTTCGCTAGTCTTGTCACTCTGCCGAAACAATTGATTATAGTCTACCTAGGCGTTATCCTTAGGAATGAAAACGGGGGAAGACTGATCAGCAATATTGTCCTGGGGGTCACATTCTTGGTTACCGTTCTTGCTGGTGTGTATATCTTGTGGAGGCTAAATATTACTCGAAGGGCTATAGTTTTAGAGGCAGGCCGAATTAGCGGAAGGACGAACACGAAACTAAGACAGCGAGGCCTGAAAACTGCCGCCCATGATAATAAACACGGAGTGCAAACCGGTCCCGGGACTGCATGCACAGATGCCTCGTGTAGAACGTAGACAACAGGGTAATGTTTAACTGTATGCCGGAGCGTTTTAACTTTTCTTAGAACACAAAGACCATACATAAATGATCAACGAAGACAAATAGTTTAAACTCATCATGAATCAATCTCATAAGGAGCTTAGATCTGTAGGACCGAGAATATGTTACTTCTAAGAGATGCCGGGAGAGCTAGATCATATCGCATCACATCGACAAGTCAGTTCCTAAATGAGTAGTTCGAAAAAAGACCAACCATAAAATCCTTGGCATTATGTTGCTGCAAAGATTGGTGTCATAACGCCTATTAGTACATGAATTTAACCCTTGATATCTGATTCCGAATGTTCTGGCTCTGAGACTAACTCCGAATATGAATATCGTACAACCCAAAATTATAGCTCTATAAGATACAAAATAGTCTAGATATATTGAGAAAAACAAGAAGGAAACATAGAACAAAATAATATCTACCAAATATCACACACACACATGAAACGCCTGGGTATCATTAGTATACACCCCAATATAATACACACCGATTTATCTTTATTATTCGGTGGACCCATTTTGGAATTGAGAGTTGTTCAAGTATTGTCTTCGATCGCTTGAAAAAGCTGCTTCATCGTGAGGTTTCCAGCTATCTCTCCCTCCCTCTCCCGCCGGGATTCTGGTAGAGCCATTGTTGTCCTTATCTATATTCTGCTGCTTGCGATTGAACCGCGAATCCCTAACAAAAGCAGGTAAAGGTGGTCTGAATAGTTCCCGACCATCAATTTCTACCGGAATAGCATCCAAAACAGGCATCTCTATTGCTTTAAAGTCTCCAGGTACTTCCGTAGGGGGGATGTAACCAACAGCCTCGGCTGTGATTTCTGTCTTTTTCGCATCGATTTCGTACAAAGGGGCCTCTTTGTTGGCCAGTTCCGGCATAGCGATTCCGGGGAGTAAATCAGGGAACTTTCTAGGTCGTCGACGGAAAAAGAATACCGCGATCATTATTCCAATGATTGCCACAACCCCGCCTACCGAAGCCCCAACTATTACAGGCGTGCGATTCGGGGGGGTTGGGGTTGGTTCGTCTCCGGGCAGGTCCTGGCCTACCGAACTTCCGTCGAAACCAGCTTCGAGGGATCTGGGATCAATTTCGCTGTCGCAGACATAATCCCCTTTCGCAAATCTCGTTCGTATCTGTTTTTCGTTCCACGGCGTGCAATTAAACGGGGCGGAGCTTCTGATGATAAAATTCCCACCGACATTGTTCAATTTGGGAAAAGTCAAGCTTTTGCACAGGATTATGCAGGTCAGTAAGAAGGATGATCTATTATAACGTAATAAAAATAAACACAGGGTCCTTATGCATACCTCCATATCGGGCCTTCGAAAAACATATCCCTCGAAACGGACTTAAGTGATCCAAACCCGCCAATATCTTTCAAAAGCGTGTTTCCAGTAAAGTTTAGGTCTCCTTGGACTGTTTCCAAAGCTGGCACATCAACCTTAAAGAGCTTTTTTGCATTCTCAACAAGAAACGATCCATTATTGTGACTGCCGATGTTAACGAGGTCGGGATACTCAAGTTTCGTTGCCTTCAAATTAACTAGTTGTAAAGTATCGCTGATATTCTGAATGTTTGGCAGCTCAACAGAAGGCGCTTCCTTGACATATATTTTGGGGATCCTTTCCAATTTGGGCATACGTAGACCAGCATATACAGGGTCAAGTGCCGAATCTATATCTCCGAGACTTAGCGAACTAGCTTCCATGTATATCTCCTTATCCATCTCCGAAATATCAGGGAAGTAATAAACTGGGACGACCTCGTCAACCGCTAGTGAAAATGTATTCCCGTAGAGCTCGAGTTCGTTTACACCCAGTGGGAGACTGGATAAGCGAATCGTGAGGCCTATGTTATCGCTAAATGTCGCTTTTTCGCAGGTACCGATTTTAAGACTAACCAAGCTTAAAGAAGTGTCATGAATGGAGACCCTTCCCCCAACATCAACCGGACGAAAGAAATCGAGATATGGGTCAGAATAGTTGTAGGGCACATTCTTCCCAAACTTTGAGACATCGAAATTTCCATCGATTTTGGTAAGGCTGGCGAATTTTATTGCACGCTGCGCCGGGTTTCCAACTTTTGTCATATTGCCAGACTCCGATAGCCCATCTTTGACGAATAAATTCCCACGAATGCGTTCGACCCCAGAGATATAGATTGAATCAAAGGCAATAGATATTCCCAGATTCCCACCGAGCTCTGTACATCCTCTAACCAAGTTATCAAAATCCCTTTGATATCTAAGGACTATATTTTCCGCATTGCAGTCTGGTTTTGCAGTTACTACGTCGACCCAAGCGATCAGGTAACAAATAGTATAAAATGCGAGGCGGGAAATTTTGGAGATATAGTAGTAAGAATGTTCTGCCATTGCCGCCGTGATAAGTAAGGCGTTTGGCGTTTTGCCCCGACCGATGCGGCTGGTCCAGTCCGCAAAACGCCTACGTTTCGGTGTCCGCCGTTGTTACTTTGCTTGGAAACTAGGACAGGATCCTTAGTGAAAAGACAACACAATTCGTTTTGGTGGCTCTCGGTCGCCCGTCTGAACTAGACTAAGTGAAAAGCATTGATAAAATCCATCCGTAAGGGGCCCAGGCAAATTTTCAGTCGAGAAGGTACAGCTGTAAATTTTAACAGGAAAAAATTTAACATTTCAGAATAGGAGGGTGAGAAAATGTGCGCCTCACGATTGATATATATATATATATATATACATACTTGTGATCCTGCTCATGATTTATATGGTTTTGGATAACGTGCTGTGAGCGCGCAGGTGTGGCACAAGATCAATCCTCAGCGTTTGGGTACCCTGACCGAGCCAATGAAACAAAAATGATCAATTCCCAGGCCATCCATTGAGCTTCCCGCGTGCCCAGCAGCTTGGCAACCTTCGAGCATTTAAGCGCCCTGAGACTTGGCGCATTTCTATCCAAAATTAGACATTCAGCCGGTGCTGAGCATCAAATTAATTCGGGGTCTCTCTTTTCCTTCGGTGACCCTTATAAATCTATTGCCGGTAAATAGGCTTACAGGAAAGATGATCGTTTCGAAATTGTAATATTAGTTTGGCTGTGGAATCCTATATAATCGGAATCATGATACAAATGAAAAAAAAAAAAAAAAAAGGTATAAAATATACAAATATCCGCAGCGGGGGCGACTCTCGATACTCAAAACAACACAGAAAATGAAAAAAACTCGCTTATATTAGCATAGGAACAAAAGGAAGACAAAATGAGATACACTAAAGGAAAACAGATGTTGGTTTAGTCATCTGTTGGGGAAGAATCGTCGGCAGAAACAGTTGATGAGGCTTCGACAGTTGACTCGGTAGCATCGGCGGAGGTCGGAGTAGGGATCTCCTCGACATCTTCAGCAACAGATGTTGGTGCCTCAGTAGCAACGGCTTCGGTAGTTGGCTCCTCAGCGGAGGAAGTGGTCAAAGTGACCAAAGTGGGTAGATCAGTGTTATAGGCCGGCGCTTCTGTTGTGGTTGGGGCGACAGTAGTCGAAGTGCTAGAGAGATCGGGGATTCCGACCTTGTCTGGACCACCATCCTTGCCAATTCTGCGAGCGATATCGGTGAGGAAAGTCCATTCTCCGTACTGAGTCCATGGAGTTTCATCAGTAGCCAAAGTAGTGTGAGAGATGGAGACAGAAACCTTCAAGCCTTTGACATTACGAGCTCTAACTGGCCGACCGGTCGAATCGGTAACTCTCCAGCGGAGGTTCTTGATAAGGAATGGTTTCGCATCTGATGGATTCAAAGAAGTAAGATTCTGACCGAAGGAATGCACCATTGCATCTGTAAGAGGGACACTGCCAGTGATTTCGGTATTGATTGTAGCCGAGTCAGTGCCAGGAGGGGCTTCCATATTGTGAGTGAAAACAACATAATCACCGACAAATTCTGGCTGGGAGGTCCACTTGTTGTAGTCACGGTCGGGCTTTCCGAGAAAGAAATGAACGCTGTAAGATCCATTCAAGGCTGCTCTGTCAGTAGAAACGTCAACCCGCCATTCGTAATATTTGTTGTTGACGATTGAGTTATCGAGCCCTTGATTTTCTTCAGACGTGTAAAGGTCTCTCTTGCGTTTGGAGGAAGAAGTAACACTGTTCGCGTACAACCTGTGGACTGCCTCCATAGCAAACCTGCGGAGACCCGTTGGACTGTTGGTGTAATCATGCCTTGGAACTTCCTCATACCCGTAACCGAAAGTTTCGGTATATCTGACAGTGTTTGAATTGAATCTCCAGCCAGCCCTAGTAAGCCAAGGTTCCAACGGAGAATTGCCGTCGTCGATTTGATTCGATGGAACACCATAAGTTCCACCACCGTTTTGCTGGGGTGTGACGTAACTCTTGGGGTTGACAGCTTGCCAGATAGCGAAAAGACGGTCGACATTTGTGTGATGGAGGAAGAAGACAGGGTCAAATGAACTGTAAGGCACAGAGGTCATGTGGCCGTATGGTCCACCAACCCAGACGTGAATACCATCGTGGATCGATTCGACGGAAGCACCATTATTGCCGACTCTGTTACTGAAAGCTCCCCATCGAGCAGGGTCACTTGCAGTGTTGATTTTTCCTGGTTCCCTAATATTGGCTTGTTTATCTGAAGGCAGCGATCGAAGCAAAAGTTCATGAACTTGCTGTCTAACATTGTTACCGTTTTGCCGGAGAGTAGCCCGACACTCATTGATATTATCACCAACTCCAGGCACCTCAGTAGGTGGATGTCTCAATGTACGGAACCAGTTCCTGAAACGATCGTTCCCGAAATTGGAACCCGCATTGTATGTGTTGGGGTTGAATTTGAAGGTATAGAGAGGGTTCTCCCACTCTGGGAAGTCTTTCTCTTTCCTAGCCGGGAAGTACTTGAACTTGTGTGTCCGAGCGTAAGCTTGTGGTGGGAGGTCGGCATTGTCCAGTCCCCAATCCCAGTATGGAATACGGAGTTGTTCGAGAGCCCTCTCCCATTTGACCCTCTCCTCGTCCCAATCTTTCTGATTCCACCCGTTCGGCGCTTTTGGAGCGAGCGCAGGTCTGACTTCCAGGGCGGCACTCGCCCAGAGAACTTCTTCAACATAGGCAAGGTAAGGGCGATGCCATGTAGGGAACTAGACAAGTAGCAAAATAAAGCCAGATATCAGCCTGGATTCTTCAAAAAAACAAAAGTATATATAAAATCAAAAATCGCCGATAAGAGCATACCAGGGTAGAGCCATGTGTGCAATATCCAGTGCCAGTGAAAGCTCCATTTGCAGGGTCAGAGATAAGGGCTGAGCCTCTGGTACCTGGCTGTCTGTTATTCCATGGCACAAATGGTCGACCATGGATACCAGCGAGCTGCCACCAGCTGTTTTTGTCGGCAGGAGATCTGGTCATTGTCCTCCTCAAGGCAAGAATGTACAAATCATAAACTCTTCCAGGTATATTGTCACCGGCAACTGCATAGGCAGCAAGCTCTCTGATTTCTCGACGGTTAACCATCCTATTGCCAACATTACCAGCCTCGATTCCGCCGACAAGACCTTTGTTTGTATCTGTCATCTGATTTTGGGAATCGATTGCTCGCTTCTTGAGGAAGTTATCGTGAAGATGCCCTACACCGCGGACTTCGATGGGTCCAAAGTCACCTCCAGGGCCAGGAGGTGAGAAAGGAGCAGCGTGTCCAAACTGCACCGTGGCTACCGCCACTGAAACTAATGTCGATATCTTCATTGTCGAAAGTATAAACGATAGTGTCTGATTGTATTATATATTAAGAGTAGAGAGAGTGCCGTCGGAAAGTGTTTTGTTTGTTTGAAAAGCTGTCGAAAAAATTCCTCCCCAGGTACTACCCGAGAACGAGCGTAAGATAAAGCTAATGGCGCCGAAGATATAAAAATATGAAGTGGTATTAGGCTACCCTCGAAAACATCGACTATATATATTCAAACGAGAGTTAATATGGAACGAATGAATTCAAGCAAAGACTACTTGTGTATACAGATGTCACTGCATACGCCAAGATATACTTCGCTTGTAGAAATGCAATGGTATTATTCTAAAATAAAAATAAAAAGAGAAAAATGATCTTCATGGAGGTGGGAAAGGTAATAAATATTATATTGGATACGTGACCCCACAATGGGGGTACTTAGGGGAGCGCATGCAGAATAAGTCGCTCTCAACTCAGAGCGCGATGCAAGATTGGCTGAGATAACAGGGCGCTCTGTATGTATGCTGGGAGTTCTTTGGGTAATTGCCAAAGGTCAAACTCGTTCGGTGGTGCCAACGAATCAGAGCCCAGGGGCAAGGGTAGAGGCCGGACATGAGGTTACACTTTACCCACCTTGAATGATATCGATGTCTCTCGCTTTACCTAATTCCTCAACGTGTCGGCTGATTTATTGTCGATGCAATGCGAACAACTAACACCCAAAAATAGTACCAGCGGTGTAGTATTTGGCGACCAAGGGCGGAGGGAAAGTCTAAGAATGAAAATTTTCGAACAGAAGAGGGGAAAAAATATATAATAATACCGAAGAAAGAGAAGAAGAAGAAAAAGAAAGAAACAAAGACAAAAGAATCAAGTACCGAGAACCAAGAATACGGGAATCGATACCTGAGAAAGGTAAGCGTCTATGCTGGAAGGACCTCGTAGATCAAGTGTACCCTCGCACGACGGTGGCGATGTAAATTTATATCAAAAGAGTGACTATTAGTGAGCGACAAGAACAAAAAAAAATAGAAAGAAAAGAAAGAAAGAGACAAAACGTCTTCGAATCTTTAATTCCTTCAAAACTCGAATCTATCCGCAGGTAACGGGAGAATGAGAAAAAAGATAGAAAAGAAGAGGAAGCATTTGGAGATCTTCCAAGCCTTTTTGTTAAGTACTCCATCTCTCACCTCTCCTCCTTGAAGAACCCTCATTTCGCACAACGGGCAACCGGGCCAGGAGATTTCAGCCTACAGAAGGGAAATAGGGGGGCTCCACTCTCGAAAAAAGCTTGGTGCCAATTTGTGGAGCGCATCCCTGCCCTGTCAGAGCCACATGCTCTCACCAACCAATCCTGATTGAAGTCTTCAGCTTCTGCAGAGAAAGGATGGGACTGTGGAACGGATAACTCGGGCTCCCTGCAGTTCGGCACCCTGAACAAGCTCTCTAACAAATTTAGATGTCGTCGTCATCAGTATTGTCGAGATCACTTTCAATGCTTTTTGCATCCGTCGAAGTTGGAGAATGTTCGAACCAACAAGCGCTGTTTGTGTTGGCAAAAACGCCCACGCTAACACCCCTTATGTTCATGCGGACTTTGACTTGGAAGTGAGGGTGTTTCCTCGGCGAAACAAGATGGACGAGATCTGAATGTCTCTGCAGATGACCGGGGGACGGGACCAGATGATGTCTCTCGCGGCATGCGTTTTTGGTACAATAATATTAAGTTGCCGCTCAACTTTACGATACCTACAATATACAACATACCTCTCAGAGCTACAGGTACGGGTACAGGTACAGGTACAAAGATGCCCAATATCAAAATTAATGTATGTATATGGTAAGGAAAACAAGGCCTTTGTCGAACAGCCTTAGTTAATAATCCTGGGAAAAATATGCATGCAGTTCTGCACCATCCATGTTTCTGTAACCTCAGTCCTTGACGCTTCCCTATCGAATTGCCTGTCATTCGACTAACCATGGTCTGACCATCGACCGATTAGCTTAAAAAACAACACGGCGGGGTCCACAGAGGTGACATGCTGCTGGGAGACCAATTTAAGGGGTCAGTCGAAAGACGAAACAGAACTCACACAGCCTCGCTCTCAAATCTAGTAGGTCCAAAGACGTAAATCACAAAACTTGGGAGCAAGGTGTTAATACAACGGCTCGCAGGCCAATGGTTTGGCGAAAAACCTTGGAGTGGAAAGAAATTAACAACATTGTAACCTTTTGTCCACACGAAACCTTCTAGCGAGATATTCTCCCTCCTCATCCCTTTCGCGACAACCTAAAAAAGGGGAAATTTGCATTTTTATTTGGTCAAAAAATGTGCCTGACCAGGGTTCCTCGTAGCGTGTTTCTGGGCTGAGAGTATTGCTATCGATATCGGAGGGCTTTAACGTTAAGGGGAAATCTTTCCTATCCTTCGTACTTACATATGGACGGAGTCAGATTTGGGATCGCACAGTCGGCCCAATACTCACAGCATGGTGGATCCAAGTTTGACATGCGATGTCGTATTAGAGACAAGACGCCTCCAGAGACGCCCCGGGAAAACACGACAAATCGAGGTATTTGTGCGCGCGGTTTGCAATATTTGAAACCATGAATGGCAAGGACAACCATTATTAATCCTAATTAAAAACTTCCGTCCTCGACCCACCACATAAATAAAAAGCAATAGAAAACCCTACCGAAAATGCCAAGGTCTTCGGCAATCATTTGCAGTGACAAGAAGTTAAGAACTCGACCTGAGAAAAAGCTATTTTACGGGGGAAGAAAAAAATAAAATTAGAATAATGAGCTCAGTTCAGGTCTAGATGTTGCCGGCTCATGCAAGGCTTTATCTTGAGGAGCTAGCTAAGCTATCGAAGGTTGCAAATGCTACGTTGACCCTGATACGCAGAACTCCATTGAAACCAACTTGATGCATATGTCATAAGTTCGATATATATCGATTGTCAATATGTTATATGTACTGATCAAGTTACTTCCCGATGACTTACCGTGTATTATTCAGTTAATTAATTAACGTTAAGTATCCTCAATATTGAAACCCCAAACCCCTATATTCCACGAGGCATCAGCTTTGCCGCCCAAGGACAGCTCGGGCCGTTCCTCGCTAGCTGCACTGCCTCCAGCGTTGTATTGCTAATTAATCATTTTCTGGAAACACTAATGGGAAAAAATATGCAACGCATGCACTTTTTTATTTTTTTAATTTTTTTTCAAATTTTTTTTTTTTTAATTCCGCTAGTCTCTCCTGTCTCGCCGACATGCCGATGATCCGGTCGAAGATGCAGGACAAAGTGTGATAACGACTGTTTCTTTGATTCGTGTAATTGAAGGTCTGTGTGCTCCGTACCGCGCAATAGGTGTCTCTTTCATGCCGATTTGAAATGGATTAAATCGGGGTTAACGGTTGTGGGTCATCGATATAACTTGAAGGATTGGATTCAACCTTTACATAAACACTAGTTGTCAAGCCACATTCGTAACTACACGTCCGGATATCCAAGGTATACGTATATCAAACCAACAACATGAATCACATCAAGCCGTTACCGCGCCCCCCCGTTTTCCAAAGCGGTTCTTACTTTAATTCTCTAGTTACTCGCTTTGAACATACTACATATTAAAATGGTGTTTCATTTTGCGATCCCTCATTACGTCGGCGGCTCTCCTCTCGGCTCTCGGCCCTCCGTCTCTCGACGCTCGTTAGCGTAGCCGCCGTTTATAATAGGATTTCTAAGGAATCACGTCGGTATCAGTTCCTGTGATGTTCATATTTTAAAGTGATGACTCCGTAGAAGAGCTGCCGGATACGTACCTGGATCTCCTCTTCGTCGAGAGGCGCATCACTAAAGGCTATCATTGGTGCGTCGTATACATCTTTTCCCAGCTTCCCCCAGCTCGACATTGATATTTCTGTGTCAACAGCTTGTTTGGATGGCTGAATTACTGGTTGGTTGTGGCTACTAGGATATTCAACAATTTGTTGGACAACATTTGTATTCGGATGGGTTCCGGTTGTCAAGGTTGGAGGCTGATTTGTAGAAGACGCAATCGTAGCTGGGGTATTACGCCGTCCACGACCCGTAACTGTTTTGACAATAGTCTCCACCCCTTTCCCCGGGAGGGAGGCGACGAAGCTCCCAAATTTTCGGAGAGATGATTTTGACCTCTCTTTGCGGTCATTCTTTTTCGGTTCGATCCCGTATAGTTCCTTCAATCGCGCCTGCACCCGTATGCTTTCAGGGTCGGCCTTTTCCTCTTCCTCTTCCCGTTCTGGTTGGACTGGGGCTTTCTGTTGGCGTGATCGAAAGGCACTCCTAGGAAAATATGATTGATCAAGATTAGCTATTTTAGAGAGGTTAATTTCCGGCTCAGTTTTAGATGGTAGCTCCTCGACAGTCTTAGGATCGGTTAGCGTCTCAGGCCCGGTAAACAGCTCTTCAACATCCTTCAGCTGTAAGTCTACTAAGTCTTCGACGTCCTCCCCGACCCCAGGGTTATGATCCGTCGAAACCGATCCTCCGCCTTGGATATCATCCAAGTTGTCGATGTCAGCCACAAATTCACCGACTTCGTTACCCCCCCGTGCCGGCGCTCCGACTTGGTTTGTTAGTGTAGCTTGGAGCTGTGCTTCGAGGTCTTCCTTGATTTTTTGTTCTTGCTCCTCGGTAGGTTCTTCGACGTCGTAGAATTCCTCGTCTTCGGACCTTACTGACTCCCTTCCGGGATTATCCACGCCAGCTGGTTCTAAAATTATATACGTTAGTCATTCCGTAGAAGCAATCTTATTAAATATCCTCTCCTTTTGGCGAAAAAAAACATGTTCTGGGGGTTTGCTATATGCGTCAAATCTATAGGGGCTAGCACCTGAGAGACACTCCAGGTCGTTAGCAAAGGGCCCTGGATCTGTATCTTCATCAAGATACTGGGGCTCCTCTGCGACTTCATGGCCCGGTTGGATTGGACCCCAATACGGGGGAACAGCTACTATATTTCCATTCTCGTCGAACCTCTCCTCATTCAGAATGAAACCCATCCGTTTTCCTTGCGAGTTATACTTAGGAAGATCGTCGGGACGGCGTTGGAGAGCAAAAGGAGGAGGAGGAGAAGGACCAAAGAGCTTGTTCCCACCAGCATTGCACGCAGGCTTTGAGTTTTCAATCGGGTCCTCATAATCACCGTCATCGTCAAAAATGAAGGAGGCATATTCATATGCTGGCTCACCGGTATTGGGCTCAACGCCGAGATTAGATGATCTCTGAGGTTCTTCAATCCGTTCTGGTCTGACCTGTTCAACCTCGGATTCTAATTCTATTTCGGCATATGGATCAATAAGATTCGGTCCACTTTCTAAGCCTTCGAGGTTAATGTTATCGACGGCGTGGGTCAGGCCAATTCCTTTAAAACTCGGAGGCTCAAGAGCAGGTTCGTTGCCAGGATCCGAGAATCTTGGAGTCTGAGGGCTGCCATCCCCTTCTTCTTCTCCATCCCCACCACCTTCGACCCCTTCCTCGTCTGTTATCCTAATGGTAGTTATTTGTGGGCTGACGATAGGTTTAGGCGAAAATGGATTGTTTTCCATCTGTCTCTTGAATAGGTGTTTCTGCCCATCGTCTTTTACCACTGCCGGTAGATATCGGGCTACGGCAAGAGTTGAAAACCCAATGGCTGCGAATATAATCAGTTTAGACCGCATGTCGGGGTTTTTTTGGCGACACAAACTACAATTTCGGGATCTGCAATATCGCTTTAGGCTCCGAATTGTTTCTTCAAGGGATGAATTTTCCTCGTGAGGATGGAAACCGCGTGATAGAACTGTGACCTTCGCATGGCAGAGTTATTTTGAGCATACTTCTAGCCCCGCGATGTAGTACCGTAGGCCTCATAATAACGCAATCAAATGGTTCTTTTGAAGTTCAAAACGTATATTCTGCCTCTTAAGCCCTCACACTCAGGTGCTCCACGACAGCCTCGGCGCTGCAACACAGGACCATGTGGTAATTTGTAAATGTCTGTAATACTACCCATGAGGTATCTGAAGTAACCATAAAAATACTGTACTACGATGACGGATACAATCTTCAAATACCAGACCCTCATAACGATTTTACTCTTCGTATCGATAGTAAAAGCATGGATGCTTAGACTTACGTTCTCTAGTGACGGGGCTAAGACAACTCGGGTTCAGACATTTGAGCAATTATACACAAACGGAACACAAAAGTATCTTGGAACCCCTACCCACACAAACAAGTGTATCGACATATGGACCCCGGTGAATGTAAGTAATTACCCCAGTATATTTGTGTTATAAGCCCGGAATACGTATTTCAATGCTAACTATATATTAATTCTTCCTAACAGAAGCCAGTACGTATGTCCGTAGCTGCAACGACCCGACCCCCTTCTAATGATGTTGGTACTAACTACTTATATGTAAAATGTAGTATGTTGACGCTCAGCATGAATCAGGTATCCGCCAGGCTGCCGACATGTCCGATGAGTTGATAAAATACAGCTTCACCGAGGGCGTTTTCAATCCCACGACCTTCATGCTCTTTTTTTACAACGATACAAATTGCGAAGGACTCACTCCGAAACTTGGTGCGAAGGGACAGGAAGCCTTGTTCAATAGAAGACTAAATGCACCCCATGCAGTGTATGATCTATCTGGACTGTCGGGGACAACATTGAAGAAGCCGAGGAAAGTGCAAAGTTTTTACGTTGCGACTGATACACCACGGTATTTATATAAGGCTGCGAAGGGTAACAACTTGATGAGTATTGCAGACTCGAGTTAGGTCAAGCTTCAGGTCTGGGATCTACTAAGAGATTTTGCCTATCATGGATAGTACACAGGAATTTTTGATAGGCGTTCGTGTATTCGAAACATTATGTCTAAGTGTAGAATTTACTATAAAGTCTAAATCTAAATTAAACCCATCTAAACATGGAAGCTACCGGCTCGCTGTCTCTGAGCCCCTCCATGTCGCTCTTTATACTCTTTTGCGCTTTCAACCCTTGCAAGACCTGCTCCTGTCGACATACCCCCGTTTCCTTCCGGTCTGCCTCCAAAACTGGCCAATACGACCGGGTTATCAGCAGTCAGCGCATCCATGGAACTAAGTTCCGACTCTGAGAACCATTTCTTGAAATACACCCATCTCAATGGAATTAAAACACATATCAGAATGGGGAATCCGACGGCAGCAACTGTCTGCGATATCGCAACACATATGGCGACTGATATTAGCTGGAGGAATATATAGAGCGCGATTTTTTTCGAGGGTACTTTGTGAAGCGGATCGTCTGGAGGGCGGAATCGGCTCTCGCTAAGCAAGTGGACAACCTTATGGGTTATCCCGTTGCCTTCGATTGAACCCCACTGCAGAATTTGTTAGATTGCACAATTTAGCGAAATGTGAAGGAAGACTTGCCCCAACTGTTAGAAAAACTCCGGCAAATATGGTTCTCGGCATAGTTCCTAAAACCACGAGTAGTGGCCTGGACATCGTTCCGAAGAGTAGTAAAGCCATGGCGACATGTGTGACTCTTTGTTCAACCACTTTTAAGATCCGAACTTTCGGCCGTCGAATTTCCTCGCCTTCAACATCCTCGGTTCTGATAACCTGTAGGTCGGTCTGGTAGACACATAGAGAATCGGTATGAACGGGTGCCTGCGGGACAAGGCCGTTGGGGAGAGGAATTCCGATGACAGCAGAAACAAACGATGTGCACCCAAGAAGGAAGAAGTCCCAATGGAAGCCACCAGGTTTCTTCAACGGGTATTGTTTAGCCTGGGCTGTCAAACTGCTGACATTCTATATCGAAATTGTTAAAAAAAACATAAACATCGAGATATCCGGAAACCAGAGTCCTCACATGATCATAATAGAATAGCAAAGTTATGAGAAACCCAAAGGGCATCGAAGCGAATACCCATTTAACATCGAGATTCCAGAAATCAATCTAAAATGTATTGTTTAGTATATCTCTGCGCATATCTAGAGGCAGATTGAAGACTTACCACCCAATCTCGGTCAGTTGACGGCTGAAAGGCTTGGGTTATTGGGAGGAGCTGAACGTGCGTATCCTTTAAATTTCCAGGTATATGACAGAATCCGACCCAGAATACCGTCGCGATCTTTATGCGGGGTTAGCAAACTCCAGTATAGGGTTGAATTTCGTGGTTCCCCTCACTGGATATGCATAGTCTGCGATGAATCCTCGAACTGTCGGATTGAAGAAGAGCCCAGAGCCGAACTTCTCGAGAGTATAAACCGACCCGAAATAGAGCATAGCAACAACGATGCCCATAAACCCGCCGGACGTGCTTTCATCGAACTCTGCAACTAGTTCTTCCACACCCTTGACTTCAAAGCATTAGTCTCTTTGACAACGCCAGGGATGATACTTAGGAAGCCATACTCAGATAGATAATTCCAACATACATTCCAAACGTCTCACTTGAAAAATCCGTCACATATCGCATATAGTCACAAAGATTAGTGATTGCGGTGAGCCAATGGAATATGGCCGTCCAGATCCCCGTCCAAGCCATAAATTGGGGGTATATCGTTGCATCGTAAGGAGTAATGATGTTGTAGATAGTGTAATTAAATAGGGAAATAAGTCCTAGCACGAGTTAATTCGCTGTCGAGGAGCGCTGGGCCAAGTTTGCAAAGCGTGGTACCTGTTACTCTGGTCACGAGGGAGATTATTAGTGAGGGGACAATAAAAAGCTAAGGGAAATATGGACAATACGAACCCGACAATAGTAAGAGGCTGTGCACTAAATAGGCCGAATACACCAGCCGCGAGAGCTGAGGCTAACAATCCCTCGTTTATGCCATAGAAGTTACCCGTCCTCCGATACATATCAAGAGTATAAGCCAATGCTGGTAGCAAGCTACAAGAAATTTAGTTTTCTTTCTTAGATGCCTACAAGCCAGGGGACGAAGAAGGTATAACTGACTTGACGAAGTATATTCGAATTGTACTCGCGACCGCCCTATATGTGAAGGCATCCGTGAAATCGCTCGGGTAGTACGGTAGCCGTCGCTTGATATCGTGATACATTCCCCGAAATGGGCGTAGAGGTCTGTATTTCCGCCATCCTCGTGCTCCGATGTATGTGTATGGATTCCTTGGCTCGTAGGCACTCTCGTGGGTCTTCTCGCGGGCTAAATCGTTGTCGTCGCCATCATCGCCGCCTTCATTCCCACCAGTGCCTGCTCCATTTGCGAAATGGGCGTGCGCATGATTATCTGATTTTCCGGACACCGTTTTCTTGATTTGATCTGGGTCAGCGTGGTTAGAACGCAAGGACCCGATAGAGATAGCGTCGTCGTTTGCTGCATTGGACGACCCAGCAGTGTGTCTTTGACGAAACTTCTGCAGTTCTGGTTCCATCTCGCTTGGTCTTCAAGTTTCGCCTGTCGTTCGGTGTTCTCCCCAAGTTCATTGAGAAAAGTTGGGCAACGCGCACGAGAGAAAACAAACAATGCGCCGGAAAGGGCTCTAAAGGTCGAAATTGGCGGATGTATCGCGCATTCAACGCCAGGCCTTCATCGGTTTTTATTTATTTGTTTATTCTTAAAATAAAAATTAAAAAGAATTTAAGATTAAAATTAAATTGTAAAAAAAAAAAGAGAAGGAAAGAAGAAAGAAAGAAGAACAATGTGAATTGGAGATGGCGACTGCTGCCGATTCGATTCCGCACCAGGGCATCACTACAATTAGTTTCGAGCTTTGAAAGGCCTAAACCTAAAATAGTCAAGGTTTGGACCAATAAACAAGAACTCGGAGAAGCCTCGTGAAAATCGGCTACTCAACATGCTGTGTAGATTCATTGTATGTATGGATTTTTTTGTAATGTTTTCATTTAGCATACTGCAGGTTTTCGAAGGTAGATTTCGTTCCAATCTACTTGAAATATCTTATTCAATTCGAGCTCTCTATCTCTCTATACAAGGTGTGTCTAGATCGCTCAGTCCTCAGTAACGCTCTCTGTATAAACCGTCATGATATCCTCGATTTTCCCTGCAGCAACAGTCTTTAAGGCCTTATGAGCGCCGCATTCGGTGTCATAGAAATTCATATCTTCAATGCTCGCGAACACACTGATAGCGAAAAGGTTGAAGCCTTTGCTCCTAGGGTCATCTTTCGCAATAGTTTTCCCGGCGCTGACGGAAAGGATATATGGTTTACCGTCCTAAAGAGCCTCTATTAGCAATACATTTGGTATTAACCATATTCATAACTCTCGACAGTGTACACCCGACTTGGGGTACGTACCTTTAGAGCGTTTTGTTTGACGGTTTTGTATTGCTCGAGGATAGCGTCCTGATCGGCTTCATTCGGGATCTTGAACAAGGTCACTCGCTTGATGGGACTCATAGCTTATGCAGATTAAAGGATGGACCAGTCGAAATTGTATTGAGATATAGATATCGAAGCTGGTTCGTCAATCTCGGGAGTGAGAGCAAAGTTTATATAAGGAATGTCCTAAGCTAGCTACGACTTGCTTCGGAATGTTTTCGTGCGGGTAGTACGCTAGAACGTCAGAGGCGTTAGACGTTGGTGTCAATTGAATTTATGCAACTAGGATGCGATCAGCAGCGCATTATATATGGAGGATGCTATATTAGATTTAAACAATCAGTTCATAATAAGTATATCTCAAGACGAAACTTTTATGGGCACTGACCTAACCAGTCGAATTGCATGCCGCTTTTCAGCAAGCTCAGTTGATCAATTGATTGGGAGAATCACGGTTACCTTCGGCAGAAACATGCTGGATCTCGCATCGGCAGCAACCGTCGAACCCATTTTTGCCGAGTACCCAACACAGTTTTTACAACAAAGGATTAGTGTTCGGTAATTGGCGGCAATAGCACACAGAAATTGGGCACGAGAGCCAGGGATGCGTGGGCCAGCCTAGGTGTATATCGTAGTAGGATGCCATGAACGCGCAAGAGACATGCTTAGTTTAGTCTAATTTCGTCCTGCTCCGAGACGTTGCAAAGGCAGCCTAATCGTTGAAAGCGGATTCATGAAAGGGAGCTTGACGGCGGGCTATACGTATCGGACAGCTATCGAGAATTCCCTAAGTATTCCGAATATTTCTTCCTTATCCCATGTCCTGTGGTTCTATAGCTAATGATAACTATATTTAGTTTAGAATCCATTAGTAAACTTCGCAATTAATCCCGGGTAGACGAACTCATCAATTTTTCACCGATAAAGCGCTATATACTCCTGATAATTATTTGCAGACCTTATCAACTCAATACTATGGTTGTATTCAAAACATCAAACTATGGTTTTAGCCTCGAATTTGAGCCTTTTGTTTTGCGGGGTTGGCCTGCAATTCCGAACTTCTGGACATTTCCCTAACTCGGACACTGCATAATCTTAGGCAAGTCTGAGGTTTCTTTTGACAAACCTAAGTTTAATGAGGTGTTATTTCTACGTCTATATATCGACTAAGTAGGGCAAACCTACATGCGCTAATGCAATGCTATACTAAGCCTCTATTAATCTCGGAAAATCAATTGATCTAGAACACTTCTCGTACTCAACATATTGGGCTTTAGAATTTCCTAAATCGGAATTGATACATAATCACAGGTACAACTTGTGTCATATCCATTGGAAGGCGCTTCGTCGGTCATATATATTTGGCAAAAATAATCATGACAACATTCATTCCTCAAAACAATCATCTCGAAGAACACGCGGCTGCAATTAGCGCACTAGCCACGAATATACAGGCGGGGGAGCTATACCGAAATATGTCATTCACTCGTCTCATACCATCTATTCAAAGTAGTATATCACCTCAGAATCACCAGTTGACATCTCTGCTGCAGCGTTTACTAGCAACCGCCGCGTTCCTTCGCCAGTATGTAGATGGGCCTGTAGAATACCCCGTTAAAGCAGAGGCGAAAGACATGAGTTTTGTTCTCTTTCATCAAGCCCATTCAGTTATTCCGAATTCTTCTGCCGAGGGAAAATGTGTAGTAGTTCTGAGTTTGCAGTTTTCAAGAACCGTCACGAGCCCACAAATGTTTATTAGCCTCACCTTTGTACCACTGTCGCTGGTTCGAGAAATTGAACCAATGAATATTCACGGCGATACTGATTATGACATTCAGTTGATATTTTCTGATCTGCCTTATCTAGAAGAAGCATGCGGCCCTGTCTTTGAAGCAAGTGCAGTCGTGATTGTGAGACGTGATATTGGGGAGTGGCTGAGGATGGCAAGAGCACAAGGAAAGTTTGAAGACATGGCATTAGAGATCGTGAGGGGTCCAACGAGGGCCTTCGACGAAACTGGAGAGTGCTGGGTAATTTCGTTAGTTTTATTATAGGTTCTATTTAAACCGCCCAACTTTTATAGATAAACCGGTCTCGATGGTATAGATCTAGATATTTTTCCTGGTTTACAAATTTACGAGACCAGTGTCGTGTGTCGTCGGGTCGGAGCTCTTGTGTGTTGACCAGGCCCATTTGTGTTATTTCCCGTTTCGAGTACCCCTTTTCCCCAACCTCCGTCGATGTACATACCGGCTAACTTAAGCTTACATACGTGTGGGCCCTCAAAGTATCTCGAACACCAAGAAGTTAGGTCTCATTTAGAAGACAAATAATAAAAGAAAGAATTGGGAGGGGGAAAAGAGGCCTTATGGGGAGGTCTAGAAGCATTTAAGGCGACCGTTGGTTTCTTGGTTGCTTGTCATTCATTAGGAGATTATGAGGTTGCATCTGTCCGTTATCGCTAAAGCAGGTCGATCTGGCGTGGGCCCGACCGAGACAAAAGTGCAAGATTTCACAACGGACGACACATTGCCATGGTTTGATAAAGGAATTCTATTTGCGCGTTAGTATCGATCGATTCCAACGTGGGTGTATGTGTGGGTATAGTTGTAGATTTAGATGTAGATCTGGGAACGGGACCAATGTAGAAGTAATTTAAACATCCTTCCAAGGATTCATTTCATTGCCATTAAAATTATTGTTCGTGTAGACTTAGCAAGAGAAAACGAAGGAAAAAAGAGAAAAAAAGCCCTTGAAGATAGTGGAAGATTGATGCCAACCAAGTGAGAGATAAGGAGTCCAAAGGTGAAAGGGTATATTATGTACATGAAATTGTGAATAAATGGATTATATTGTATGTTCCCTTTAAACATGCAGATGTGTATGTGATTCTGGACCGATTCTTGTGTATCATGATCAAGCTCAAATGGTATCACCAAGTTATGCGGGAAAGGAAAGAACAGTAGCTGTCTGATAGCCAAATGTTGCAAGTAATATCGATATTGGCTTAAGCAACGATAGCCATAATGGCGGCGATAGCACCTGCCAATGCGAAGCCAGAAGCAGGGAGGATCGAACCGGCACCGCTGTTAGGTGGAGGAGTTGCAGTTGGAGTACCAGTTGGGTATTCAGGAACACCAGTGGTAGTAAGATTTCCTGCTGGTGGTGGAACATATGTTGGAACGGGGCTGCTGTCGGTTGTAGTAGCATTGGTAGGAGGAACTGGTACAAGAGTAGTTGGATAACCAGTTGGCGCGCAGTCGGTACCAATGACGGTTTCAGTGACCCAGACGGTCTCTAAATATAACATTAACGATCTGGCCAATTCAAAATACTAATATGGTGAGGACTATCACGTACCCTGAGCGGCAGCGGCAGCGAGGGCAGCAAAGGAAAGGATGACGGCAGTGAATCGCATTTTGATAGATTTGGGGTTTTGGATTGAAATTGAGTAAAAATTATCGATTAGGATATCAGTTGATCGAAACTGAGTGAATGACTGAGTCCGAGGAAAGAACGATTGTTTTCCTTTGGAGATTTGTTATTTAAAGCGATTGACTGGAGGCTAAAGGCTCTCTTGGTTGATATTCAAAGAGTGAGTATGAGTTGAAGGATGAGAATATCGGTTGAACCATGTGCGGGAGGGCGATTGTTAAATACAGTTCTCTAGCATATCGGAGCAAGCGCTGTTTCTTTGTCCCAGAGCAAGAAATAGTCTTGTCCAGTGTGCCAGATGATTGCATACACAGTATTTGCACTTTTCTTATTCTGACCGCGACCGCCATAGTTAATCAATGGTTGTGATATAACTCCGTGCTGCGACGTACAACTAACCCTTGTCCGAATTGCTTGTTGTTTTTTTCCGCCAAGGCCGACCCATCGTTCGCAGCCAATGGCAGATAGGCGCTATACGTCTTTGGGGGTTGGGGGCCGGGGTCAGCCACAAGAATGTTCTGTTTATCGAGGAAAACTGGGCCTATCAGAGCTTTTTTCGAGGGTACTGACGCAGCTGATTCCAAGTTTTTAGGTCATCCAGGTGGCTTGAAAGAATAACGATCTACGAACAAGAATTTTCCAAGTTTCGATCTGGTTGACAAGCTTGTTCGGAAGCATATCCTTGATCCTCTTGTTTGGGATAACTTGGACAGATTATCCTAAAGATAGTCTTTTCTCCCAAGCAAGGGTGAGCGAAACTGACGTCGAAACCACAACATCGTTTTTCATTTTTCGTGGCACGGGTGATAGGCGTCAACGAGACTTATGTCGTACGCGCAGTCAACACGCAGGCCATCATGCTAGTTGGCACAGCTGGTTTTTGTGCTATGATCCACAATTGCAACCAGCTGTTTCTAGTATGGATTGGGTATGGCGAAAGAGATCTGTGCTCGTTTGTCTTTATCCCCGTGTACTTGCGGTAATTGGCGAGCTTAAGTGATCATGTCCAAAGAGTCCCGTGGTAGAGAGGAAATTGGTTATCGAGCGTTATTAGATCTCCTTATTCCTGCGTATCGCTGGGTAACTACAGCCATACTCAAGGTCGCTGGCAGTCCGATTTGGAAGGCAAAAATTATCTCAGAAAAAGCTTGAACGGCAGGTTGTCACACAGCATCTGCGGTTGATTGTTAGCTTGCATCGTGGGTTGAAGGTCACAGAAAACCATGCATCCGTCGGCTCATCTTTCCTCTACAATCCAGTCCGCAAGGGCAAACCGCTCGCGGAGATCTTCCGTTTCCTTCATCTCCGCTTGCATAAATATTTCGTGGTTAAGCATCATTTAGCCAAAAGGTGCCAAACGCGCATATGGTGAATCTAAGAATGACAACAGATCGATTCAGAGTCATTTCCACCGAAATTTTTTTTAACTAAGAAGCATGATCTCAAGATGGGATTTTGAGTGTCAAGATGAGTGTTTATGGACGCCATCGCCGCTGATTATCGGAAGAACAGAGCACTTATGAGCCTGGTACCTGCATTGATCGCGATTCGGTTCATTTGGCTAGGCCCCAGATGCCATGTCTAGCCGATAAGCTCATTTCAAGCTGTCTGTCAAAGGGGAAGAAGTCTGGGCCTTCGCTAGCAATATTGGCAAAGTCTAGGGAGCATTGGAGAGCCGAGTTATATCGCCTTATACATACCCAAGTAATTATTATCCTATGGTCATCTTTCGACTTATCGTTGGAGGTTACGAGATAGTGGTCTTCGACGGCTGGCGGGAACGATTGCGCTGGCATGTCAATCTCAGTTTTGGCTGGGGACTTAGGTATCGTTGGCCTCATAATGTCTCGACAGCCTGCCAACCCGGGAACAACACAAAAGGCGAAGCGGAATACCACACAGCAACACGAGTGCCCAGCTGCCGGTGCTCTAATAGCTGTGTGTATATGGGACTCAAACAACCTCGGCTACATCTATGATCTTTCGACTGGGATGGACTCAAACGACCTTATGAGGGTATGTATCCTTATATAAGCTTCTTTCGAGGTCAGCCCGACTCTGATTCGGCCTTAATTAGTTAGGCCTTATATACTAAGACGTACCTGCTCAAAAGCCGCGATTCTACGTTTGATGTCGTTGATCAGGGCACGTTATACACTGACGGTTCGGCATTATACGATAGAATGGCAATGGAATCTGAGAGGATAGATTCCCACCAGGATATATTGTCATGAAAAAAATGTGGTATGTTGTTATAGCTGCTATTCCCTCTCGCAAATCCCTTCAATCTTCCAGCATACTACATACACGCTTTCTGCGCTCCTTCCATCCGGCTATCGACAGCCTCACGCGTTCTTTTTTTCGTTGCAGGCCTCCCGGAGTGGAGTAGATCTGTCTATCATACTTTTTTTTTTGAGCGCCAGTGGTCACTTGGACCCCTGCACATCCTTATCGCACGATGCACCATCGAACGGTGAGGCATGCATCACTATTGCTGCTATTAGCCTCGTGTATACCCGTGCTTACCTTGCCTCCAGACCGATTCTTGTCTAAGAGCTTACCGGTGCGGCTCTTAAACGAGAGAGCGGTTGCGGAGGCAGCAACTGGCGATTATAGGGAAGGGGATTTTACAACGGAAGCATATAATCGGCTAACTAGTCATGAGATAGATTATGAAGAGGAAATAGAGCCTGAGAAGGCGAAGGGGGATGGTAAGACGGGACCCGTTGACAAAACTGCAATTGGGGGGCCTGTGGAATCCTCATCGGATGATACGGACTTGGAGGAACGATATCTATCTTCATCCGAATGGGGTCCTAGAACATGCAATGGGTGCATTGGTACTCTGATAAAGTGGCTTGACGATCATCGGGCGGATTTGGCAAACTTATCGCCTTGGTCAAAAGCAAATTTAACGAACTGGGCGAGGGCATTCACATACTTCTCTGAGATTGCAGATACTGGAGGTTATGATACCGGGACTGAAGTTTTGACGGGGTCGAGTTTGCCGTCTTACTATAGTTACATTGCACAGGTAGTATATCCGCCGAGTCTACTTTTCGATATAGAATTATATCCTAATGACGAAACTAGGCAAAAGATACAGATTTTCAAGGAATCTCAGGAACCGTAACCTCTACTAGCGTAGGACCTGGGGGCGGTACTGTTAGTTCAGCGTCAAAGTCTAGTGCTACAGGAACGACAAGTGTCAGCGTACCGACAGGCCTCGGTAACTCCAACCTTATTGGGGGCGGAGGGGTAAGTGGGGGCAGTATTGGGGGAGGAGGAATCGATGGAGGAGGTACAGGGAGTGGGCCAAATGTGGATGTCCAGGGTGGCGGAGAAGCTCCGTCTGGGGGCACACTTACTTTGACGGCCGCCATTGATACTACCAATGAGACCACTAAGGCTACTCTAAATTCTCAAGCCGCTACAGGCACTTCTACATCTGCAGCAAATCAACCTGGGACGGATCTAACCTACCCAGCTGGTGGTATTCCAACTAAATTGATCAATCCAACCTCGACTACAACAATCCCTGAAGGGGGCACTCACCCGTTTAGTGTTAGCTACTATTCAACAGATGGAACTTTAACTTTAACAGTAATCTCAACTCTTGATGATGACCTGGACTGGCTTACAGGAACGACTGGTACTGCAGGTGGAGCTGTTGATACCGGCCTAAGTTCTCTCGGTGGCAATACCAAATTGCTCACAGGTACTTCAAGCTTTGTATCTGGGACTAGTACTCTTACGACGGTACTTACCGGACCGGGTTCCGGCGGGACGTCTATTACTAGGACTGTTACTGTTACTTTCTATCCTCCAACTTCATCAAACGGGGTGAACTTCTCCCTCACGAACACAGATGCCAACCTTATGACTGGTACTACGGCCGCGACTACAGCCACAGATACAACCACGCCTAACAGTTCACAAACTAGTGGCACTAGCATCACCGGTTCTATAAAATCACAGGGAAACTTGGCCTCTACGGCCACTGGGACCGGCATCGGTACTCCCACTTACACTCAAATTGTTGTACGAAGCAGTGGAACGGTAACCAAGACAGTTACGGAAGATCCTGGTACTGCTACTAGCACGGCAGCTGACTACCTTAGTTCCCTGTCGAGCAAGGTTAATCTGGCTAGCTCGGCTCTGAACTCTATGTCTAGTTTGGTGGATCTCATTACTTCGACTACTGGAGATGTAACTATCACTAGTGGCACCACAACAGTATTGGTAACGAACTCAGTTACTTCCTGGACTACACTAAGCCCTCCAGTAACCCCGTCGAGCTCTACACTTTCAACTCCAACAACATCCCCAACATTTACTTTAACTACTTCAACTTCGATAACTTCGATAACTTCGATAACTTCGATAACTTCGATAACTTCGATAACTTCGATAACTTCGATAACTTCGATAACTTCGATAACTTCGATATCAACAACATCGAGTACACCCCCTGATAGCCTCTCAACATTGTCTTCAACATCTAGTCAAACGTCGGCGTCAACGTCGTCTATTGACACAACCATGACTAGCGGTGGGCTGACAGGTTCGATTAATACCCAAGGAAATCTGGTATCTACATCAATGGGTACTATCACACGGGAAACCACAGTTGTTACTTTTATAGTCCAAACTATAACGGATGACTCCACTTATAGTGATCCGCTTACAACCTATGTGGTAACGGATGATATTACCGTTACGAGACTTACAACTTTAACTCGAAGGCCGAGCCATACGTCAGCTTTTACGACGAAGGATATCTTTACTACGGAGGAAATGGTCACAACTATCATTCTGGGGGATGATACAATTACTAGCACCATAATGCAAGAGATTACAATCCATGCTTCGACCACTTCTACTACGAGTCGAGGAACTCCTAGTACAATAATTGATCTTGTAACAACTGATATATATACAACGGCAGTAGAGACAAGGGTTCTGACAGATGATTATACTTTTATTGATGGTTCGACGACGTACACCGAAACCGACGACTTTACAATATCAATTCTAACAACCCTGACGAGCGAGCGAACTATCCATACTACAGTTCCAATTTCAGTGACCAAAGATCTTTTTTTCATACAAGGCGTAACGAAAGTCGTAACTGACGATCTAATATATACTGATGGCTCAACAACTCTAACGATCACAGATGATTTTACTATCATCGGCTATACTACGTCGACGAGTACCCATTTCCCCACAAAATCACCGAGTACTCACACTCTACTGGCGACTGTAGATGATACTACTCATATTGGGTCCCTCAAAGTGGTGACCAGTGATCTGACTTACACGGATTCAACTACAACAGAGATTATTACGCAAGATTATACTATTATCGACTATACCACGTCTACTCAAACTATTCTCCCGAGTCGAAGTGGGACCATTGATACTGAAATTGTCACACAAAATTCGTATACTACAATGGGGGCAACGAAAATTGTCTTTACGGAGCTTACGTATAGTGATCAGACCACTACGCATACCTCAACGGCCATCCTCACCATTGTTGATTATACCACTTTAACATCTACCCTATCTCACCCAGGAGCAACGGCAGTAGCTGAATATATTACGACCATTAAGTCAACGATTACGGTTACTGATGACGTTACTGTTAGCAATCAGTATACGACATACACCTTGACAAATGATTTAACCGTTACGCAAGATTATAATTCGACATATACCTCGGGGGTTACGCCAACGGCCGCTTTGACCGTCTTTGCAGGCCAAACAACTACGATTGAGCAGGAGATCGTGGTGACAGAGGATTTCACATATAGTCAAGTAGATAACACAATAACTGTCACGAATCCTTTTACTTTGACACAATATAGAACTGCGACGTTGAGCCGTGGGTCAACTGTTTTCCGTCCTGTTACTACGACAGTCCAACAGCAATTGGTGGTCACGGATGATATTACGTATAGCGACGATTACACTACGTTCACAATCGAGTCCGGCTATACAATAACCAACTACCAGACGTCGACGTACACGGTGGCGCACTCTGGAACTAGAGCGAAAAACATTACAAACCCTGTCACTTTTACGCAGAACGTCGTAAAATTTGTAACGGATGATATCACCGTGACTTTGGACGAGTTGACATACACGATAGCTCAAGATCTTACTGTCAGCCAGATAGAAACGTCAACGAGTACTCGTAGCACCTCTGTACAGCCCCCAGCGGTGACTCACACGAATGATATTACGACGACAATATCTCGGATATCGGTATTTACTGATGATACCACTATTACGGACAGTAAAACAACGTACACGGTGACGGCGCCTCACACTATGGTCGTGGTTTCCACAGCCACATCCCATCAATTCGAAACAGTGTCCCCGCCTGCTGCAACCATTACGCAGGATATCACCAAGACGGTCTCACAAACCACGGTTTTGACCGACGATACAACAATCACTGGGAGCCAAACAACCTACACCTTTGCTTCTGGACATACGTTAGTTTTAGTGTCAACCTCTACTAGCCATAGAACTGAGACGACTCAACCTCCCACGATAACCTTTGAGCAAGACAGTACCACTACTATTTCGCAGGTGACCGTCCTCACCGATGATACTACTATTACGGGCAGCCAAACTACCTATACTCTAACCTCAGGGCATACTTTGGTAACATTGCTAACTTCGACCAGCCATCGGACTGATTTCAGTCAGCCTCCCCCCACCACGGTCCAGAGTGATATCACAACCGTTGTTACACAAACGAGTATTTTAACAGATGATACCACGATAACTGGTAGCCAGACAACGTACACCTTGACGTCTGGGCATATATTGATCTTGACAACTACATCGACTAACCATTTAACGGAGTCGTTCCAACCGCCGCCAACGACAGTCGAAAGCGACGTTACAACCACCTTAATACAAACAACCGTTCTCACTGATGATACTACTATAACTGGTAGTAGAACGACATACACACTAACCTCAGGCCATACTCTGCTAGTCACAACAACGTCTACCAGCCATCAAACGGAGTTTACACAGTTAGAGCCAACCATAATAGAAAGTGACACAACGACGACTTTGATTAAGACAACTGTTCTTACAGATGACATGACGATAACAGGAAGCGCGACCACAATAACTTTCACCTCCGGTCATACTCTACTATTAACCTCTACTTCTCAAAATCATCAAACAGAGACAATAATACCGACAGCGACGGTCACCGATGATAGAACATTCACGATATCGCAAACAACAGTTATTACGGATGATACCACGATAACAGGGATATCGACTACATATACTCTGACAGATGATCATACATATGTAGCGGTGACCACTTCCACGAGCTATTTGACTCATTCAACGGACATAATAGTTCCTGAACCGGGAACGACCATTACTAGCTCGCTGGGGCCCCAAACTTTCATAATTTCAACGGATTCCACAACAACTTACTACGGGACTGAAAGTGGCACAACCTATACAACTGTTATATCAGGCACCACAATCACAGCCACTTCGATATCGTCGTCAGTTCCACGGTCTCCTGATACACCACTATCAAATTCTGTGTCGTCTACAACTACCGAATCAGAGAGTACTACTAGGTATACAACGCTTCTTTCAACCGAATTCATAGTTTCAACGACAAAGAATATCATTACAGATGGGGTGACATTGACAACATCTACGACATTGACGGATGATATTACGACCACGAAAACCTCAGTTATAACTTCGAGCCACACAAGTGTGCTTACAAACGGTGTCACAACAACTATCGATGTTACGAGCACAAAATCCTATGCCACAACAATAACAGATGATATTACTACAGCGACAACGATAACCACTGACAAGACAACCACCAGTACCGGTAGGGTAACGGTAATACACTCTGTTGAGGTCACAAGCGAAGTCGACATTACGTCTACACATGCAGTCACCCTGACTCTAACGGATGATGAGACAACATATACCACAGCTATCCAAGTTGTTTCCAAGACCGATACGGATGCAATTACCCTCACATTGACTAACGACGTGTCGACATACACGACAGTTCTGAAACCCGTCTCCGTCACAGAAACCCATGATATAACTTTAACTCTGACGGATGAGTATACTACATATACCACTGCCGTGGACACGGACGTAATTACAGAAACTGACAAACTCACCCTAACCCTTACAAATTCAAAGACGACGTATATAACAGAAGTGGATTTACCCACTATAACGCATACAAGCACCCTTGATGAGACCACCTACGTGACAATACACACACCTTTGGAAATCACATATACCGTGAGCGAGGATCATAGTACTTACGTCACCGCTATCACGGAGGATATTACTATTACTCGAACTAAAGACTTCACACATGTCATCACGGACGATGTTACGATACACACCAGTACTATCACCGATTTAGAGACTGTAACAGTTAGCACGGATGCTACTCGAGTTATTACTGAGCCACATACCACCATAACTGAGATATTCACAGATGTAGATACTGTCACGCTAACTGAAGATTCTACTATTACGGTTACGGATGATGAATATACGTATACGACAGTTTTCCACGGAACAACACAAACGCTCCCTGGTCCACATTGGAGCACTATATATTCTACTGATGAGGAGGGTACCACAACTAGCACGGTGCTTCATACGTCGGAGTCGACATCATATAGCACGAAACATGTCCCGGGAACCAAGCGTAGATCTAGTAAGAAGCCGACTTCGACTTCGAAATCTACATCGAAACCTACGACCTACAGCAAGCCCACCACGTTGGCACCGATAACATCACGTAAAACAACACCCACCGCCCGTCCAATCACCCACCCAACAACGGAGTCGATCAGCTGGAGCTATTCGACATTTAAGACAGGGACCTTCTTCAGCACGGTACACACAACGAGCCATTTTAAATCGTTCACCACAGTGCACTTAGCAAGGAAGCCCACGACATCTCGGAAGATATCATCCCATAGGACTCGAGGCAATGCACTTCCGCAGGAAACTGCTGGGGTGCACAAGCTGATCGAAGGGGATAAGAATTCTAGCTTCGTCAAAGTGAATGATGGCCATAGGCCGATAAGAGAAGGGGACGATATGAAGGTAGCTAAAGGGAATGAGGGAAACAAATACAACTGGGAGAGCGAACTTCCAAAGCCTATAACAGAGAATGGGAAGTCTAAGAACTTGAAAGAAAATAAAGGGCACAAGTCGACCAAGGTCGAACAGGGTGCCACACAATTCAAGGAAAACGGCGAACACAAGGCGGGAATTGGGTCAGAGGGTCAGAGATTAAACATTGAAGATGAGGGAAACAGGTCGAAGAAGGTTTCGGATGGTCATATACCCGTCATAAATGGGAATCATGGAAACAAAGAGCTCGAGGGGATGGAAAGAAAAGGCCAGATTAACGAAAAGGCAAGAATTGATGCTACAAAGAGCCATACGATGATGTCACCAAAATCGCATGCCCGCCCGAACCCCCAGCTTGAAGATGAATTCCTTCATCATGGTAAAAATCTGAAGCAGAATCTACCCCGACGGAATCGCCGCTTTCTTCGGACTACCTGGCTTACAGCAACACGATTAGCGGTCACAGCACCCGAGACCGCTCCAAAACCGGAGACTAGCCCTACACGGGCAGCGTAAATAGAACCAACTAATTCCGTGAATTGTTGTCTCTTATTACATTTCTATAGCGGTGTACAAAACGCTCTGGCAGCATGGATGTGAAATTATCTTTTGTGCAGTTTGCATTCGCGTAATCTGCTGATTGCGGCATCTTCATTGCGTCGATGAATAATGACTCTGATTAAGTTTTAGGCCTGATTTGAACTCTTTACAATACAGTCTCTTCTTTCGCTTTGTAGCTTGATAGATTGGGGTATTTTGGTATTTTTTGCGGATATTTTTTGGTAAATAGGTACCTAATGAAATTAAACTAAACATATGTTAGCTAGAATAGAATTCTGTTTTGTAAGAAACATATTTGATGTCATCCATTCTCGGCGACGATATTCTGATATCGATAAAACCAACGAAAGAATTTGAGGACGGTTATATAATATATATTACAGTATAGTATCGCCCAGTTGAGAGTTTCAGAGCCAAAACTGAATCCTGTCAATTGGATGATGTAGGAAAGCAGCCTGGCTTTGCTTGGCTGTTCTAGTTTCGAGACTGATAGGAAAGCAGTCTCGACACCACCCCGACTATCTCGACACTAAACCAGCTTAGCTCAGTGGGAAAGTACAACAAAAACAACACATCTGCTCTGGCAAAACAAGCTCATTTAAACCTTGTTGCCAAGTTATTAAGCGAGCCTATTGGATGTCCTGCCCATGGCGGCCATCGTTCTGGAAGTGATCGGCGCTAATTAGTCCTGACCTGCAGCATCTGTCGAAGGCTTGAAGTCCTTCAAATTCGCGTCGCGTTGAAGCCCCTGTTTTTCTGCTGTGGCTATATACGGGCAATATTTCATGGCTTCCTTATGTTCATGGTTAAGTGTTAATTCCGATTCGACTTCAGTGCATCAATGTTGCATGACATTACAACGTTCGTACGATTATGAGGGATTTATTTTCGTGGAGAACGGTAGCTGTTTATATGAGATATTCTGGATGGGATCGATTAATGCGATTGAGGAGGTGTCCCGTTCTGCTTATCGTTGCAGTAATATTGGTCATATTTTTTGTTTCCAGCACAGCCCCAATGGATCCAGGGACGGAACTTTGCTCGACCTTTTGGATGCATTTTCTTTGGAGTTATAAGCCGGCTTGCGCTTGGCTAGCCATTTTATAATCGTGTCTACGATTACTGGACGGTAAATATTTCCCAAGTTCTGTCGTTGACATGGAGGAAACCTGTTTCTGATTCCGGGATTCCTTGCATTAGACTCCTTGCTCGTTTCCCCTCAGTATGTACCCGAAGTACCCACATGTACAGACCGTGGTGGTGTCACACAAGGACGGCATGGTTATCCAACACTAACTTTTCTGCCTCAAGTGTTGGTGAATATGTAAACTATTTAGCATGCGCATATGCATGTACATGTTACCCTCTTTGAAACCCAGGGAACGAGGCGGCCCAGGTTGTAGTTTTGCGCGTCAGTGATTTAAGTTTGCCTAACGAGGGGTGTCTCAGAAGGATGAGGCAATGCAAGCGAGCTAGCTCGTATACTATCAGCTCCGCACCGAGGTTTAATATTCATGTGAAAAGGAGTGGGGTATGGCGTTATCTCTTTCATCACGCCGTTTAACGTTTGTGCTAGGTGGTAAGTCTTTCCTATAAGTTCCCCAAGTTTCTCCCATGGATTCTGTTTCAATTTCGTAAATTTTACATAATTTTAGTACATATAAGCTATTTTTTTGCAAGTAGTCGTACGAGCTTTTACTCTATCGAAGCCACATCCTATACTTCCTTTACCATCTTTTTATACCCGGGAAGCAAACTATTATAGCCACGTTGTTGCTTTTCTTTTCGATCTCAAGTCAGGGATGCATAAGCAGGGTGGTGATGATGGAGACGCAATAACCAAGGTAGATACCGGCCGGGATGAAGCGCTTGTCAAGCGATTTTCTGCGGCTGGAGACTACGAAGACGAAGATTATCATCAATGGGAAGGGGATGTAAGGAAGAAACAAGTGTTTCACGGAACTATGCTGCTTTGGTAAATCTAATTAGACCCGAGACTTTGGGGCGTGTTCACGCGGAAGGCTAACGTCATCTGCAGGGTTGCTTACCAGGCTACCGGGTAAGTGTTTTTACGGTTTAGTCTCGAGGGTCGATCGCGTATCGGTTGATCGTTGCTTGCTAATAGCTTTATACGTATATAGAGTTATATATGGCGACATCGGCACCTCCCCTCTCTACGTTTTCAGCTCCACTTTCGCTTCAGAGCCATCTTGGGATGACCTTGTTGGCGCACTTTCCCTTATCATATGGTCGCTCACTATCATTGTTACAATTAAATATGTGTTCATTGTTTTGCAAGCTGACGATGAGGGTGAGGGTGGAACCTTTGCGCTGTTCTCATTGCTTAGCCGATACGTACGCATAACTCTCCTGTTGAATTGTTTTGCTACGGCGATATTGCAATTGGGATTTGTTTTTAACACTTTATAGCTTCACATTGTCCGACGGGACCCTATGGATGTGTCTACACTTAAAATGAGCAGGTATTCTACAAACGAGCTAGGGAGCTCCCATAACGCGGTTCGTACGACCGTGGAAGAGAGTAGATTTATTAAACTCTTACTCTCAGGACTGAGCATATTTGGCGTCACACTCGTTATGGCCGGTGGGTAGCCCCTCGATCTCAAGGTTCTATAACCAGAAGGCCCAAGGCTTTTCTAGAATAGATAATAATAGTTTTTGCTGCGATAGATGGCGTTCTGACCCCAGCCCAGTCTGTGCTTGGGGCCATTCAGGGGATCAGAGTCGTTCAGCCAGATCTCAGTACGGGAGCAATAGTTGGCATTAGCTGTGCGATACTAGTTCTCTTATTTGTTATCCAGCCTTTTGGAGTCACTAAATTAACGGTCGCATTTTCGCCAATCGTTGTACTCTGGTTGCTATTCAATGTTGTCTTCGGAGTTTACGTAAGAAAATCTAGTCCAAGTCAAATTTAGTCCCAAGACTAATTCCATTGTCCGCATAGAACCTAGTCAAGTTTGACCATACTGTGCTCAGGGCCTTCTCTCCCTACTTTGCCGGTGCCTGGTTTACAAAAAATGGGGCTGAAGGGTGGAAAGCGCTTGCCAATATTCTACTTTGTTTTACAGGGTATGCGCTACCTCTTGGAAACAATATTTCAAAGATCCGTCCGAACCATTTTCCTGACGCGTAATATCATATACAGTTGTGAATGTCTCTTCGCTGATCTGGGCAGCTTCTCCAAGCGCGCTATTCAGATCAGTTGGGTTTGTTTTGCATATCCCTGTCTTATAATAGCTTATGCGGGCCAAGCTGCATATATATCTCGGAATGAAGGGGCATACTCGAATCCGTTCTTTAATACGGTACCGCCTGGGACCTTTTGGCCGAGTCTGATCTTATCGATACTTGCTGCCATCGTTGCGTCGCAGGCCACGATCACAGCTACATTTCAATTATTAACGCAGATAATGGCGCTAAACTACTTTCCCAAACTCAAAGTTGTTCACACCAGCACAAAAATCCATGGACAAGTTTATATACCTTTTGCGAACTGGCTTTTATTAATCGGATGCGTCATAGTCACTGCGGTCTATAACAATGTAAGTTACCCGGCCATTCGCGCAGTTCCAAAGATCCGAGATTTTTACTCACAACCAATCTTAGACGACAAGCCTAGGGCAGGCGTACGGTGTTTGTGTTATTCTTGTAACATTTATCACAACATGCCTAGTTAGTATTGTTGCAATCGTTGTTTGGCGCATGAACATTCTTATTGTGACCCCGATCTTTTTCATCTTTGCCTGCTTTGATGGCCTTTTCTTATCTGCAGCGCTTACCAAAGTCCCGACTGGTGCTTGGTTCACTCTCTTGGTAGCAGCTATTCTGGCATTGGTGATGCTTCTCTGGCGATTTGGAAAGCATAGGCAGTGGTCTGCTGAGAGAAATATGCAAGTCCATGATAAGGCGTTCCATAACGCGGTTGTCACTAAAGGGGATGGAATGAGGTTATCTGGTGGCAAGAGGGCTGTCAGTGGCATGAAAGGTAACTAAGGGCTCCGGGCTTAGTGGCTCAGATACACGGCCCTCTTCCTCAGGGCTAAATCGAAGCCCTTGTAGTATTTGGTGTTCCCACTACTAATAAGCATTGAATTCATAGGCATCGGAATTTTTATGGACAAGACGGGATTTCTCTATCCCACTGTCTACACTCGATTCCTTAGGTCCTTCGAGGCTCAACATGCTATCACAATATTTTTGAACGTTCGATATATTACTATACCTAGCGTAAAGAACCCGCATAACGCTTTAATTATATTATCTTTGAGTTTGGTCTAATGAATTGTCATGATTAATATACAGATCGAGAATGACCAACGGTATGTTATTACGAAAATCGAGGCCCTGCATAATACATACCGCATTATTGCTCGATATGGGTATAACGAAGCTGTCCCCGAAACCCTTGCCGAAATCATCAAATTGAAATTGGGCGACTATCTCGCCTTAGCCGAACAACCGGCCTCTGAGCCGCCTGATGGAGTTTCTGCAAAGCTTGAGACAATTACGGAGAGTACCGATGCCCCCCCTATGAGGATGTTGCCGGGTAATGAGATTACAGTTGAAAACACAACCCGCCAACGTCATGGCCGACTGCAAGTTGAGACGAATTCCTTAACATCTGAAAAGACGGCACTTTCTTCCGCGTTTGAAGAGCAAGTTGTTTTCCTTCTTGGAAAGCAAAGACTTATCGAACGTAGAGACAGGAATAAAATTTCCAAAGCCATTTTAGCCTGTTACACGTGGTTGAGAGAGCAAACAACCAATAAAGTCAACTTTTTAGGGTTGCCGATTGATCAAGTCGTGGAAATCGGGACTATCACGGAAATATAGGATTTTGAACATCGGTATTTAGGCTGAAAGCTCTTGTATGCAGATGATCGATATCAATTACGATCTTTTGTATTGGCAGAACTATTTTGTATGTTCAGTTTACGTACGTATTCATATGCTCCTAGGTTAAGTTCTATCATTATATATCTTATCAATCTGCTTCGCGCGAATTCGCTTCGTGATCGTGCGTGGTTCAAGGTATCCTAGGTCTTTTAAGGAGGCAGGGAGCTAGTAGAGAATAGAATTTCGAGAAATAACTATTTGAATGGGGTATAAATGTCCTTGCTGAACTTCAGCTTCACCATGTTTAGGAGGTAAATTAAATGATATGTCTCAATCTTTTAACCATAGATCTATAGGACACAACACAGCCCAAGCCCTTAATGTCGTCTAGCGCCCCGCTGAATTCATGAAAGGTTAAAATTTAAAACTGAGACTTGCTCCCCGGACCCACCACGATGCAACTCGGGGGAAGGGATCATGGGTTTCATATTTACTTGGAGACGAATCTACCTCGACTACGCACAGTAGTACAATCCTGCATCATATTGTTCCAGATTTAGACGCAAGGCAGACTGCGATTTTTGGTAGGAGACGGCGAATTTGTGCAGAGTTTGTCCGATCACTTTAACCACCAGATCCGGATCCTTGACTCGACTCTATATACGAGGGAACACCCAAAGTGCGTTTTGTGGTAATTTAGCCTTTGATCCATGGTTCAGGGCTAAGCTGGAACCATGGAAGGCCTCGTCCTAGCGGGAATGCGAACCGACAAACTTATTAGCGGGGTATTACTAAGTGCGCTGTCATATCGCGCGAATGTTTACTCTTGGCGAGATTTGAATTTACATGGGAAGAGCTTCCCAATTAGGTATGAATTAATATTGCTAGGAAACAACTTGGAGGGCCTAGAGAAGGGAGAAACGGATCAGCTTGTTGATGTTCCGTGGTTCGATACAATCGATATCAATATATTTCTAATCTGGCTACTTTGGTTTACGAGATAACTTGCTACTGAAATAGTATAAATAAAAGCGACTGTCTCTGCGCCATGATTGTGTTTCCGATAGCTCTAGTTCAACATTGAGCCCAGAAGCTTCAAGAATCGAGAGCCAGCGTTCTTCTCTACTATATCGTAAACTGTTAATTGCTCAAACATTTCTTGCTGGGCCACTCAAACTCCATCTCGAAATCGAATAGAGAATTTCCATTTCTTAACCGCCGTGCCGACAAAATGCTTTCAACTGGTATTGTACTACTTGCATCAGCTGCTGCTGTTGCGGCCCAGTGCCAATTGCCATCGACATATAGATGGTCATCTACCGGAGTTCTAGCCCAACCGAAAAACGGATGGGCTTCTCTCAAAGACTTTACCTACGCTCCTTACAACGGCAAGCATCTCGTCTACGCGACTTATTACGGATCAGCATATGGGTCCATGAACTTTGGCACATTCTCAAACTGGAACGACATGGGATCAGTAAGCCAGAATGCGATGTCCCAAGCGGCTGTTGCGCCTACCTTATTCTATTTCGCCCCTAAAAGCGTTTGGATTCTCGCGTACCAATGGGGAGCTACTGCATTCTCTTATAAGACATCAAGCGATCCGACAAATCCAAATGGATGGTCATCTGCCCAACCGCTATTCAGCGGAACTATCTCGGGCTCCGACACCGGTCCTATCGACCAAACCCTTATTGGCGACAGCCAGAACATGTATCTCTTCTTTGCAGGAGACAATGGCAAGATCTACCGCGCTAGCATGCCAATCGGAAACTTCCCCGGCAATTTCGGCACGGCGTCTACAGTCATCATGAGCGATACCAAAGCCAATTTGTTTGAAGCGGTGCAAGTTTATACACTCAAAGGGTTAAACAAATATCTAATGATAGTTGAGGCAATGGGGAACAACGGAAGATTTTTCCGTTCGTTCACCGCTACTAGTCTGTCCGGAACTTGGACAGCACAGGCAGCGACTGAGAGCAATCCGTTCGCCGGCAAGGCCAACAGTGGTGCCACTTGGACCAACGACATCAGCCATGGAGATTTGATTCGCATCAACGCTGATCAGACTTTCACAGTCGACCCGTGCAACCTACAGCTTCTCTATCAAGGACGCAACCCGAATGACAATGGCGGTGGAGACTATAACAAACTGCCCTACCGCCCGGGCTTGTTGACATTGTTGAACCCAGGGACCAACACTGGTGGCTCAACCACCGCCGCCGCCACCACCACAAGAGCCGCAACAACGGCAGCTCAGAGTACTACGGGATCTGGAAATTGCTCGCCGCTTTACGGCCAATGTGGTGGGGACGGGTTTACCGGGCCAAAGTGCTGCTCTTCAGGAACTTGTAAGTACATATCCAGAATCCCCTTAATGCTCGGACCGATAAAACTTTTAAATACAACCAAATCGCTAACACCTATTGCAGGCAAGTTCAGCAATCAGTGGTACTCGCAATGCCTCAATTAGTTACGCAAAGGAAATGCGATAGGTAAAATGCCGGTATACCGATGTACATAAACTGTATAATTTGAAAGATTATGTAAATATCATGGAGGGGCTCAAGAGCGTCCGTGTCAGCATGTTTTGTTATAACTATAGTATATTTTACTTTACCTCTTTTTGTTCTGTTATATGTACAATGGTCATGTCACTATATATACAGGTGTTTAGCTGTAACTGTATATAATTATATTATATGATCATATATATGACCTAATGCACCATTGTTAATATAAATTCCCACCTGAGGAGGTACTTGATAAACCATATTGACCACGCCGCCTATTTATCGGAGGGCGAGACGATGGATCCGAACGGAAGGGATAATCCTTTATAGAGATGAATTTAGGGCTTGAGGTCTGGGCGCCGATGTTGTAGCCAGGAAGACTTTCTAATGGAATCTGGAGCCGTGAACTCGTGACCGTACTTAGATTGCCAAGGGTCGTAAAACTCGCCACGTTTATGTAGTTAGCCGGGTTTCTTGCATAACTTGCAACTTTACCGAGGGTATGATGCTCTTTCCCCACCACTGACCAGTATTTTACTTTGAGATCTGACTAATTGGTGTTGTTCGGCTAGAGAATATGGCACTCGACAGTGCAATTTCTTAGGAGCGGAGTTATTAGCCTAAATGGCGGGTATTTTAAAACTTATCGAGCGGGACCTTACGCCTAAAATAATCGGAATTTTTTCAGTCCCAACCGTTGAAAGCTTGAATAAATATATTTCCTTCCGATGAGAAGTGCACGGCTAACGATTTTATGGTATGTGCCGAAGATAATTCTCTAAGAGCTGGAGTCTGCCTTGCCGCTGAGTCGGAACTAAGCAGCCATAATATGATCATCAAAATGATCATGATATTCTTTGCCCGGATCAAAAGGCCTTTTACTTCCTACGAGCTATCTACTAATTAAGAATCTTGTAATTTGTCCCAACTTGAAACACGACTCGACCAATTACACGTGGAATGTTTCGTGGGTATACTCCCACCTCTCGAGATTTCTTGCAATGATATAGCGGTTTTAGACCGGGCAAAAAAAATCATATTCCGAGAGTGTTATACAATATTCGTCGCGTAGGGGATGAGGATTCAAATTTGCGGATCTATATCGATAGGCCGGAGAGTTTCAAGTATGAAGGAAAAGCTTGAAAGATTCGGATATAAAATGTAAAAGAATCCCCCTTCAGTTAGAGGGTTCGGAAAATAAAATATCGAAAGCCAAGCTGAAGAACCGACACAAGGCTCCATTGATCTGTTTCTCTTGTTTATGAAATATAAATTTACATCTTACTAGAAACATACGCCATGATCGGTGTTATTCAAACGGTTCTCCTGACCGCAGGCCTGGTCTCTGCGGCATCTTTGCAAAGTGTTTCAGGATGGGGGTCGAATCCATCTGGCATTCAAATGAGTATCTACGTCCCGGATCGATTGGCTAGCAAGCCCCCCGTCATTGTCGCTGTAAGATATCCCTGTTACTATTATTTGATATAAAATTAGTGGACTTTCTAATTGCGCCTGTAGTTACACGGCTGTGGCGGAACTGGTCAACAAATGTACTCCAGCTCCCGCTTTCAGACCTACGCCGACCAGTACGGATTCATTATGATATACCCAAGCAGTAACACCAAGCAAGGGGTGGCATGCTGGGACAATCATACCCCACAGAGTCTCACTCACAATGGTGGTAGTGACACCCAAGGAATTGTTCAACAAGTTCAATACACTTTGAACAAGTATAATGGAGATCCAAACCGAGTTTATGCAATCGGATTCTCATCGGGGGCTATGATGACAAACAACTTGGCGGCTGCGTACCCAGATGTATTTGAGGCCGGAGCTCCATTTGCTGGTGTTCCTGCAGCCTGCTTCGCTGGCTCTGGTAGCTCAGCCCCCGGAGCGAGTAACATGACTTGCGCAAACGGACAAGTTATTAAATCAGCTCAAGACTGGGGGAACTACGCCCGGAATGCATATCCTGGATACACTGGTCGTCGAACTCGTATGCAAATCTGGCACGGCTCTGCTGACAGTCTTGTTCTCCCCGCGCTTTTCCAAGAGGAATTGAAGCAATGGAGCAACGTTCTTGGAGTTTCTTTGACATCAACAAATTCCAACAACCCGGAAAGCGGGTACACACAGTATCTCTACGGCGATGGGAAGAAATTGGTGGGATATATGGCCGCGGGTGCTGGCCATGGTGGTGTTCCCTATCACGAGTCAATGGTTCTCGACTTTTTTGGTGTGCTTACGACACCGGCTACCTCAACTATCACGACCACAAGGACTACGACGGCAACTACGACAATGTCCCCAACGACTACTCCAAGGACCACCCCAGCGACAACTACCCCTCCCGTAAGCCCTGGAGGCTCTCAGAGCAAATGGGGACAATGTGGTGGAGTGGGATGGACAGGATTCACAGCTTGTAGCGCCCCTGCAGCTTGCTCAACTTTAAATCCTTACTACGCCCAATGTTTGTAAAGTGTGCTCTGGTCCGGATCCACTGACCAACTGAGCAGGTCGTGGCTAGTCGAAAGAAGTTAGCTTATTAGTTCTAATAGTGGATCTAATGGTGCGAGGGGATGCCTGTATACAGCTGTATCAACACCTTTTCCTTATCCCTTTGTATCTAAATATTTCATTTAGTAGTTTTGATGAAAGTCTTCATAGAATTCCTATATCTTTCTAAAAATGCCCACCGTTGGTGGTACAGCCTTAGTTTAAATCAAACGCCCCATCGTACATTATCCTCCAGGTCTTGGGATGAGCAGATATTATAGGTTGACCTTGTAGTTTTGATTGCTGCAGGGCTTCTAGATTGTGGCCAGCTGGGCCGCCTAGTAGCTATAGGTCTATAGAGATCATGATATTAGTGGGCCGCGGCCGGCCGGCAGTAGCTGGTACAAAGTACCGGTACCTATACATATACATACCGCAATATGCACGCGTATGCCAGTTGATTTTGTTGATAGGTCCTATGCTGTAATGTAGTCCAGCTTCGATAAACCATGGATGTGAGGTTAGAATTTGGTGGGTCATGTTTAGTAAACTGCGAAGAAGTACCTCGCGATCACGAACCCGAATATGAATATGTATAGACTAGCCATAGCTACTCTACCAAGTGGTACCAACCTGATAAGCTAACTAGGCCCGGCCCCGGGGCATATTTTAACTCGGTTTTGCTCTCAGACCCGAGTACTCTCGGGCAACTAGAACTAGCACAGCATGTGGCTAGTACACCCATCTGTAAAGTCTAGCCAACAAATGTATACAGTTGCTTAATCAGCACTATAGTACTGCAGCCTATATCTATCTACGTACAATATATTTGAAGCAACGCATATATTGTGGAATCTCCAAATTTTAAATCTTGATGATATCTGGGTTCAATCTCATTCAATAGAAAGTATTTCCTCTTATTTACAGAATAATATAACAATGTACAGATACTAGCTTGGGTCACTCGTCTGCGAGTGGGCCTCTAGGCTAACCCATTACTCAAGTACGGGGCTCGTGCAACAGGAATTTTTGTAGAATTTGGAGTCACATAGCGAACAAAAGCTATGAATCTCATCGAAGTAAAGCTAAGAGATCCATTTAGGAACGAAGCATTTCTGTACCAAGTACGTGTCGACATTGCCGTTGGGGACTTCAGTCAAAACATAATTCCAGGATGGCTGCCACCCGCCTGCAGCCCAGGAGGTCCAACCAAGATAGACATCGCTATTTGCGCTACGCGGAAAAACGTGTTAGAAGTGATACGAAAAAAGAGATCTAAAGTGATATACTTACTTGAGGAAATCCAAGAGTTGGCACATGTATAGACCGCAGCTCTCGACGTTACCACCACCGACCTCGCTCAGGAAGGCTTGTCTCCCTACTTTTCTGAGCCAAGTGGCTAGGGGTTGGAAAGCAGCATCGATATTGTTTGTAACACATTCAGCGTGTGTTCCACTGTTATCAGAGTCCAAGTACTTGTGAACGTCAAAGACTAGGTTTGTTTTTGAGCCGTCTGGATTGGTGATTTGGTTGAGAAGGTCCCCAGAACCGTTGCTGACGAATTCACCCGCAGAAGTCCAACCATTTCCGGGCAATAAAATCATCTGCGATGTTGCTCCGGCGTTTCGGATTGCGGTTACGACTTTTTGGACCGTCGCAGCCCAAGTATTTATATTGATATCATGAGGTTCGTTCATTACACCGAAGACGATTCTACTTTGACCAGCGTACTTCCGAGCTAGCTGCGTCCATATATCGACAAACTGGGCATCTGTAGGGCCTCCTTGTCCAATTATAGCATTGTTCCAGCGGGCATAGTTATGGATATCGACGATACACAAGGCACCAAGGTTTAAGCATCCCTGAACGAGTGTATCATACTTGCCAAAGTTTGTTGAGTGGAGAGTACCACCTAGATTGTTGTTAAGCAGGAATTGCCAACCTGCAGGTAGACGGAAAATATTGAACTTGTCATCGTTGACGAAGTGACGCATTTGAGTAACTCCGGTGACTGACACGTCAATGATTTCTGGCATGTTTTGAGTACCAGTGGTCGCCATGCCGAAATCAAATCCGGCAATGTTGACTCCAGCATACTTGACCTTTTTGCTAGAGCTTGAAGGGGTGGGAGTGCGGGAACTCGCAGTAGTGGTTCGAGTCGAGGCTGTTGTGGTTCGGGTCGTTGTCGCAAGTGTCGTAGTTGCTGCATATAGTAGAAAATTTGATAAGTTTTTTTTTTACTTCAAGTGGTTTTAGTTTAGTCGGTGAGTGAGAAATCATTACCGGCTCCTGGAATGCACTGAGAGTAGTAAGGGTTTTGAACGGAACAATAATTTCCTGATTGACAAGTCGTGGGACCCGTCCAACCGATCCCACCGCCTACAATGAAGAATTAGCGTATGCTCGATTAGAGATCCTCGAGGATTCAGAGCCATTATGGTGCTTTTTGAAGCTTACATTGACCCCAAACAGATTGCTGGCCGAGGACCTGGTTTGCCGTGGCCAACAAGAGTATGGCGGGCGTGACTTTAGATAGGACAGCCATTGAATATTGTGATAGGTGTAACTATGTAATATATAATGTATGTGTCGATCCAAGTATAGAATGCCCAAATGGAATGTTTAATGCGCTGTATAATTCCTTTGGATCGATTTGGTTGATGGAGTCTAACTACTTGTGCTGTTCGTAAACTGCTGGAAATATTGGAATCTTTATATACATTCTCTTGATATATTATGATACTACAGCTCCAATAGCCAAAAAGTTGGAATATCCGATGCCTAGATTAATTTCAGGCTGATGCATCATATGATAGCTACGATATGATCAATCGAAATTGTCGTCCGAACGGGCCTAACGGCACCACGGAACACACAGAGTCTATTCCGCTATACCCTCGAAATCTATATACGAAAGAAATCTCTAACCACATGGGCAAATACCAATATAGAATGATTCTCTTTTTTGGGCTTTGCCTACAACCCTAGCGATAAATTTTGCATACAAATTCATGTAACTGCCTTCATCTTTTGGTTTCTATAAGACGAGGAAACCGAGGAAAAAGAAACCCAAAAAACAAGGGGGGGGCTGTAGATGGAAAGCGGGGTGTCCAGAGTATAGAAAAGGTTAATGGAATACCAGATAGCGCATAGCTGAGAGGTCGTGAGTAAGAGTCTTCAAAGCTACCTAGCCGAGTTTACTCAACATTACCAATAATTTGCGTCTAGACGTGTTAATGACCCCTGTTGCTCTGTCTGCCTTGTCGGAGGTTACCATGGAATATATACATGATAGTTCGAATGAACATGTGCCTATGGCCGGCCATATGGGGCCATGGGGACAAGCTTACAAGGAGATTGCATTGAGCGCCTGAATCAATATTCGAGGCTACGGCTGCAGACCGCTACAACACGAACTGGATACTAAAATGTAACAGCCGGTTAATTAATTAACTAAGGCTAGTGCTGCCTTTTAACCATTTTTAAATTCACCCGTTACCCACATCTCTAAAACTCGGTGTAGGTTTGAATGGAGCCAGATATAATCCCGGCCGTGTAGTAGTACTTTCCAACTCGGTCCGTTTTCTCCGATGGAAGAAACCTCCATTTAGCACGGGTACATAGCTAGTCCCCATAAACCGGGTCTTCGTATTATCAAACTACAATGTCCTACTCAATAAGGTATAGTATATCGAATGATATGTGATGCCCCTAGCCTTTGGGGCCCCAGAATTAGACTACGAACCCCGAGATCTAGCTGAAACCTTTTATTGGCAAGCTGTTCGAAAAGTTTATTCTAATAGTAATCCACGTGCCTCAAAGAGTGATTCTAAGGGAACAAGCATTTGACAAGGAACTGGCACATCTAGGCTTTCCTCATCGAAAATTCGCTTGCGGATGAAACCATTGAGTAACCCTGGAGAATTCGATTTTTCAGTTTCTCTCCCATGGTTAACCTCAGTTTGTAACATTGGTTGATGTGTTGGAAGGTGGGATTTCGGTCCTAGGATTTGACTCTATTTTATCCGGCTCTCTGTCTCCGGCAAATCAGCTCTAGTAACTAGCCTCCATTAAATTCAAGAACAAATATCTACTGACTGCAATATCTCAAACCCTTTCTAGCCGATAAATGCCCCTTTCCACTCATCTGCAATTGCTCCTGAACCCTCCAAAAATGGCAAAATTACTCTTACTTGGTAGAAGATATTGAATCGATACCTCAAGTACGCGGCGCAAACGTCAATGCAATCAAGGTTATAAATTTAGTCAGGTACTTGGAGCCGAACTCAAGGGCTGTTAAAACTGCACTGTAGAACAGAAATACCACCTTAGACAACTACCTTCAAACTGCCTTTGAATTGAGTTCATAACAACCCACTGTGAAAAGAAAAACTAGTCGCACTATCCGAGTCGAACCTTGGTATTAACGCTCTCTAGATCTCTAGCTTTATACTAGGGCCAGGTCGTAGTTGGCTATATACCCGTAGCGCTATAGCCTAGCATCATTTCCCCTATATTCTGTAGGAGCTATTATTGAATTAAATTAGTCTCAGCTTAAATTTCTTTTTGGGCCGTAGCTAGAGTACTTGAATGAGAAGCAATAGATCTTCGAGTGTACGATATATGAATAAAATCATGATCATATAGTTCTCCCTCTTGTAACACAAGAATACAGTGCAATCTCTAAAAGGTGCACTGCTATATAATCTAGTTTTATTGGTCCAGCTACACGGGTCTGCTATCGTTACTCTTGCAAATTTCGAATCTAGTGCGATCTATATACCAAACTATCTATTTATCAATCCGGAATTATCGGGAGGCATATCTGCACATTATAATTCTACTATTAATCTTATCATCGTGTGATATTGGTCGGACGTTGACCCTTGCTATGTCAGTATGAGGAGTATCACCCTAACCTGTGAATACTAGTTACTACTTTGTCTCGCACCTAGACCTGGAAGGCTACTACTGTAATGCTCTTAAAATTTTCCTTTATATAGATGTCAAACATCCGAGAGAATTACGTATTGCCTTAGCTCCCTCTCTCTTTAGAGACCACCGGCTGATCTCTATCTATATATTAAAAGGATATTCTCGACTTTTCGTCTCTTCCCATCCATTATTCGCCCGGTCTACCACTAGATTCACAGCATTGGTGCATTTGTCGACGTCGCGAAACTTCGTTAATTACTGAACATCCACCTCCAACTAACCACCTAGGTCCCTTCAGAGAAAAAGCCACTTCCGTCTGGTAAAATATCCCATGATAATGAGTAGTAGGTATAGAAGATGTAATGGAGCGTCATACTAGATATCACTACCAATATTTGGCCTACTGATAGCGGAAGCCAGCTCCGCTTGGGTGTACTGGCCGATAAATATTTGATATCCATTGAGCCTCGAGTCAACGACGATGTGTGACCGAATATCCGCAGTTCCAAGCGAGAATACTTGCCTAATATTTCTTTTCAAACCCACATAGGATCGTATATTTCGTCTGAGAGGCTTCCTTCGGGTTTTCCTTGTTACCATTAGTCATCCTCTAACTTTACAGTATCATCGTCTCGTGTAGGAAATCGGAAATTCATAAGAGAAAGCTACGGCATCGGTTTCGCAGATTCACACGCCGCCAATTAGTGATCTTTATAGGCACAAATATGCGCACCCCCGACGTGACCCTCATTTCATGCTGATAGTCTCTGCATCCTAGCGTCCCAAAATATCTCTCCAAGGCTGTCGGGATGAAAATTATTCAGGGGCCAACAACGCCAACCTGAATTTAGTAATACCCATAGAAGGAATCAGCTCGGTGGTCTCATTTGAGCTCATTTATCTGAATTCCAAGATCTTCTGTGAATTTAAATATTTTCGCGGGACGCGAAGTCTGATCATTACTTTTTGGTTATGGAGGATATGTACAAGGTTTTAGACGCTTCCACCTCGGTCGCAGAAGTTGTGAACGCCCAAGATTATAGTGATATATACAAATAATATAAGGATGAGTTGGGAAATCTTTTTCGATGGGTGCCGTTGTGGCATCGGATCAAGAACGCCATTTCCCCTCCCGAAACAGAAAGAAACAAAACAATCGAACCCAATTGAAAATGCCTGTCTAAAATGCAGAATGGTATCTAAAACGCTATGCCGCCGGAAAAGCTATAAGTAGAAAACCGGGAATCATTATAACAAGAAAGGAAAGAAGAAAGGAACAATAGAGGAGGAAAGCATAGCCCGGTGCCATCGAAGTCATAAAATAGCTGAGGCGATCGAGGGACATACTGAAGGTAGATGAATCAAAGGAAGCGAATGCGGATTAATAGGAGAAAAGCTTAGGGAGATAAAGATTCACTACTCTTATCCCTTTCGAGGTCCTTTTCTTCATCTCTTGACCTATGTGAGCTTGTCGCACTTGGTCGCCGGAATGTATCCAACGGAATGAAGTTGCTGAAACTTAGGCGCTTGCCGTTTCCTCCCTTGTCTTTAGACTTGTGGGCCCCTTCAGCCTCAACCTTTTTTCGAATGTCTTTGTCGATTGGGGCACTGATATCATCTCGCACATTGGCTCTCCAATAATCATCCCAATCGACTGGCTCAACAGAAAATCTGTCTCTATTGGAAGAATTGACCGAACCATAATTCCAATCTCTCTTTACTGTGCGTGGCGACTCTGGTGTAGAAGGTCTGTCTGTACTATAAAGGTAGCCAGTGTTGGCAATATATGACTCGGAGCTTGAGTTTGAGAATACTCTGTTTGCAGTGGTGAATGTGCTATTTTTGGTTGCGCTATCCATAATCTCAGGCTGATTATGGGGAAGTTCGTTGACAGTGACCAAAGATCGATTAAAAATGCCCCAAAAAGAGAAATGTCGGGTCAAAATAGGTTTTATAGAGGAGGCAGAAGCGCAGAGTATGGCAACGTCCACTTCTATTACAGACCAGATTATGGGTAGTGTGGAGGAGTCTAGATTCCGCACGTTAGTCGCCGATCGAAGGACTGACAAACGTCTTGACTAAAAATTTTGATCCGATCGACTCACAAGTAATATCAAAGTGCTTTAGCCCGTCAAGGTTAATGAAACGGACGATAGAGGCGATACAAGCGCTGATTTTAGAGTTAGCATCGGATATGAATTAAATTTAAGCGGGCGGTACTGGCAGACTTACAATGTCGCAAGAATGACTAAACTTGCAATCGCAAGCTTTTCTCTTCTCGACATTTTGAGGTTCCAGATCATCGGTATTGGTGCTGTCGCCAAAATGACATCCGTAGTGACATTGATCCCAGCCATGGTCTGAAGAAACGCCATCAAGTTGAGGCACTTAGCATCTTTGATTGTCCAATCCCAGCTAGCTTCTATTGGTTTGCAATGGAAGACCACAACGAAAAGTGTCATGAGAAAGGATGCCACAAGTGTGAACCCGACACCATAAAGAAAGTATCTAAACCATTTCACCGGAAAGACACGGGCGTAAAGAGTTACAACCGAACATTTGACGAGATTCAGGGAGAAGGAATAGAGCAAGCCAGCCCCATTATTTAAAATCTATATTCTGTCAGACTATCCGCGATGGAAAGAACACCCAATACACTCCAAGGCTTACTTTTGCGAAAAGACCAATATTTTCTTTCAGTCCGTCTAGATCGGCGAGATTTTGATTCCAGATATGGTGCCCAAGCCCTAGTCGAATAGCTATTCCGATAGAAACGTAAGTATCGATGTATTCGAGGCAAGACAAGAGGTAACATACAGTATATGATAATGCTAGAGCAGGCAAGTGATACCAGCTGGATGGATAATATTCATTAGATTCCCAACGACAAAGAACAAACGGCGGACAAAAATTGGTCAAGGCGGCAGAGTCTTAGGGATGCAGAATTGAACATACTGTTGCAGCAACCATAAGGGCTACAGTTCATGATCGGTTAGCAGTTGAAGAGTCGCTGGATATTTGAACTAAAGAAACTTACCATCGTCCACTTGAAATCTACTAGCAAGACCAACTCTTGCGTATATTCTCGCCCCCATAAATAATATGATCAAGCCCATAAGCACTGAGTTGACAATGATTATAAGATGAACATGATTGCTCTTATCGTTGAAGTCGATCTCCGAAAGATCAGGAAGCTGGTATCCAAAGCTTTCGGCGGACGTTCCATTGATTACATTGTCCATGTTGTTTCCCTCTCGGCGAAAAAATCTTTAATATCGGTGTTGACTTTTGACTTAAGTTGTTCGAATTCCACCGACAGTCTACCACATCCCCTCCATTGTCGGATTCCGAGGTTGCGGTCCCTTGCACTTGAAGCCGATGACGCTCTATGTAAAATCTCCTCCTCCACTACGTATTCCAGATACGATAACGACGCAGAAGATGGCAGCAGTAACAGCTTTGTCAAAACAGATCAAAAACCCCAAAAAGAAGAAAGCTTAGCAAAAAGTTATGATGGGGAAGCGCTAACTAGTAGATTATATTAAAAGCGAGGATAAACGAATAAGTGGATCTCGAACTCTTCGACGTGGGTCCCTTAGAGCTAATAACACCACTCCACGGAACGGTTCATAGGAAAAGGCAAATAATATAATGGTGAGCTAAAGACCTTACCCTGCATAGTTATTATCAATTCAGGTCTGGAGTCGAATTTACCCAGTCCCTTCTGACTCTGTTACACTGCCTAGAATGGAGCGCGGGACATCTGCTCACAGCAAGGCTTTGAAATTAAACAACGCATTCGAACATCATTTGGGCAGGCCAACCCCATGCCAGGGCGCCATTGTTCCGTGATTGATTTATGGAGAGATACCCTGTTTGCCATGTTAGAGAATCTGCAGAAGGGGTGCAGAATGAGGAGAAAGATTCTATAGAGTATGCGCACTATAGCCTAGTCAAGCTCATGAGTTTAACAGGGCTTCGCCATAGTGAGATCCACTCTTTTACTGCTTTGCATGGAAACCCTGGAATACTCCGAGTCTTCTGTCAGTTTTAGGAACCTAGCCGTCATCTTTCAGATGTATGGTCGCACCCCACGGATTCCTGGTGTTAACCTCAGGAACAGAAATTGGCCATGTAAAATTTAGTTGTGTGGCTTATGTGGTGTCGTTCCTTCCTGCAGTCTTTGCTTGCTATTATATTGGGATGTGCTTAGACTGGTCTGTGCGATAAGATACCCTAGTTCTGATAGACGAACGTGCAGCATGAACCATGTCCTTTTTGGCTCGTAACCCACAGGCGGATTTGGGGCAAGATCTTCTGGAAGAATGTCACATATTATTCTAGAAGGCCCCGAAATACAGAGAGTGACTTTGTCCTTCCTTGGTCAATCTGAGATATTCCGAACTCCGAGCGGACTTTGTTCACCTGCGGTGAGACTTTTGTGTACGACCGTGCAGATGGGGTGTGGGCTTTCTTCCTCCAGGTCCTTGGCCTATTGCGAATCTCGAACTATGATAGAAAGGCTATTTATGTTTGTACTCGTGATTTCATCTACTAGTAGTAAAGGTGTTTACTGAGCCCGCGTCGACAGAGCCAGTCATGAATCTGAAACTGGTGGCGGAAGCGAAAGGCTTACCGAACTCTTAATTGGCGAAAATCAAACTGACATCGGATCGTTACGACCTGGGGAGTACATACGTATGTACTTACACCAAGCATCAGGTATCGATGTCTACTTCCATCGATCCAATATTGCAATTAGCAACGCCTCATAGAATTGAGGCTTCCTATTTTCAACTCTTTGATGGTATCTCTTCACTCATGTGATCATGAAACGAACTATACCAACTCAGAAATTGGGATTTAGGAAAAAAAGGGGAACCTTGCAACGAGACAAAAGTCACGAGACGGTGCGTGGAAAAACAGTATCGCCAAGCCTTTCTATTCCTTTAGACGGCTATTTCGGACGAAAATTCCGATTATCCGACACCTGCTCAAGGCTTTGAGTACGCGACCACTTGCCCCGTCTGATGGTTGTACACGGTGCCTCACCTTAATTGGGTTCGAAAAAATGTACAGCATCTGTGCGGTTGGTCCGTGCTGATGCTCGATCCTTCGTATGTATTCTCTCAGATCCAAGGTTAATTCACACTCTATTATATATTATGTACACAATAGACTCGGAGAAACCCCACACTAGAACTGTTGCTTATACAGTTACATCAATATCTCAAACTCAAATAACCAAAGGAATCTAGATCCTCTCCAACCCAATTTCAGTTATTTATTTATTTTTTTTTTTTTCATATAATGAGCGCATGAGCTAGCTTACTAGTCTGGCCATACCACCCTTAAACCCTCAAAGGTTGGTGTCAGATATCAAGAAAGGAAGCATTGAAAAAAATGCAACAATTTCCGAGACTTGCATACAGCCGGCCAGCCGCCTAAAGTCAAAGAAGAACAAAATAAAAAAAACTTCACACCAGCAGGGATATATTCAGTTTTTAGAAATATCCCGCAAACTTCCACTCTGTATTTTATATCAATTTGCATATGCAGCTAACTTTTTAAAGCTTCCAAAACCTCGATATTCCTGGGAGGCTTGAGATCCAATCGATGGTCAGCGGTTACGTTACCGGATGAATTTTTGTGGTAAATCACACACGTGTGAACTGCAGGGTGGGCCATTGAAGCCGGGCTGCACTGGTCCGTGCGGCTTTCTCGTGGATGTGCTGTATAATCCTTCTAGAAGAGCCAGCCGCTTCCAATGTTGAAACATCCAGCAGGGAAAACGATTCCTGGAACCTCACTCTATTCCACCAAAACCCCTGGCATCAATGATCCTATTCCCAAAACATTTAAACGGATAAAATCAAGTTATTCCGAGTCTGATTTCATAACCCTCCTCGCCGCTTTTGGTTTACTCTGGACTATCATCTCGCTTCGTGCGGGTTTCCTTTAGTTTTGTTCTTCCGACTTCAAAGCGGCTCCAATTAATACCGATTCTGATGAACCGACTGCTGTAGAATTGGCACGCCTTCACCTGTTCGAGGCACAATGCTTCCTATTGCGCAGCGCCATCCTATACTATGTCTTTGTAACCCCCCCAGCTGGCCCTAGAAAAGTTAGGGCCGCAATAAATCCCGAAACCCATTTTTCTGAAGGCTAGATTAGCCATCGGGGCGTTTTTTTTTGCGTGTTCGCCGACACCTACCTGAATGCTTATGAATATATCTTCGCTTTGAACCCTTACTCCTTCAATTTTGGAAGTTGGGGTAAATATACGACCTTTGGAGATGAGAGGGCCACAAACATGTATGTCATTGGCCTGCTGAGGGTTATCCCACAAGTACCCCTTCAAGTCGCCTGGCAAGTCACCAAACCTCGTGCTGACAATATATGTATTTGGCTAAAATGCTAGGGTATATCTATATTTCTGCTGTGGCTCGGTCCTAATCAGCGACCAACTAGCCAGCTACCTTCGAAGCAAGAGTAGCGGTAGCCACGAGTCGAATCATATTTGCGACGTGGATATCCTAGTTTCTTCTCGATTTCGCCATTCAAACCGTGACGATGCGCATGAGCAATGCATGTGCATTCGCAAAGACCTCTCGAGCACTGAGACTTTATGCTGGAGATCGGTATCAGCATCTTATTTATAACTCTGGCAGCGTACGCGTGGCGACTCTGACAGCCGTTTTGTCCCTTCTTACTTTGAATTTTGGGTATGGGATGGGTGAATGAGTCCTGCGGAACGGTGTTCTTCAAGATGGAGTCCTAAGCTACGGGTTTATGCTAGGACTTTCGCCATTATTGGGTGCTGTGTTCTAAGCACATTGATCTGTCCTACGATTCCTCTGATTTTTTTCGGAATTTCTGGGGATTCGCATGCAAATATCCCTAGTTACATGAAACCCGGTATGAAGAAACAACCCAACTCTAAATCTGGGAGGCGAACTATATAGTTATGCCATCATGATTGATTTCATGGAATGGGAAAGGTCGACTATCTACCAAGGAAACCAAGAAGCTCTGGAGATTAACTCTAAAGAAACTTTGGGACGGCACAGATGCGGGGTTTAAAATGATTTACGTATGCTTCCCGGTATACGGGTTAAAGGCATTTCGAAGTCCCTCCTGCAGCCAGTGTGGCCATCTACAAATCTAGTTAGTTTCTGTCTCGATTTACAGAACCCCGAGAAAACTTTGAAAGGAGTGAAGGAAGCATGCAAAGGAAGAATTCTTACCCTCGTATCCCTGTCGCAAAGCCCAAATGATTCGGGACAACCAGAGTACCCCCATACCCGCTATACAGCTGTCCCACTATAGGATTAATTGTTTCATCCAACTGCAACGTCGGCAGACCCAGTTCCTTCAAATCCGGCTCAAAGTCTTTGATAAGAGGGGTATGGGTCCACAACGGATGCACAAGGCTAGTCCGAACTTTATTTGCTTTATAAATATGTCGAAATTCTAGCCGGAGGGCTTCATGTAAAGCACATAGCCCGGATTTTGTAGCAGAGTAATCAGCTGCTCCAGGGATTGGTATATAGCTACTAAGGCTCCCGAGTGACATGATATGGCCGTGATTATTCTTCACCATAGCCGGAAGAAAGTGCTGGAGCATTGCAAAGTGGCTTGTCAGGTTGACATCTATCAGTGTTCGGATTTTTGAAAAATCCTTATTGAGAATAGGAATTTTATGGCATATCCCAGCATTGAGGATAAGGACCGTTGGATCACCATGCTCGACCTTGATCTGTTCAACTGCGGAACCTAGTGCCTCCCAATCTGTAATATCGACTTGATAGTGGTGGACGTTTTTATCTGTTTCTAGTATATCAGCGGGGTAGCCCCAAGTGATGGTTATGCCTTCGTATTGAATCATGCGCTCACACGTTTGAAGCTGGGGACCTAAGCCGTTCTTATCCACCGTCACGACTTTCGTCCCCCTTGTCGCCAACTTTGCCGCTATCTTTTCTCCAAACCCACTGCTAGCTCCGGTAATCAACACCAGTTCGCTACCCCAGTCATATTTGTCCTCAACCCAGTTATTTTCGGAATTCCGTGAAAACCAACCACTGACACCAAGTATCGACTTCGCCACAGTGGTGATTGCGAAGGTGGATGCGCAGAGCAAGAGAAGGCGGGATAGAGCCTTATCTGAAAGATGCGGAGTAAGAAGGTCTAGGGCGGGTTGCCGAAGATGAAGTGGAGCAAACTTTGAAAAGGCGTATATTGAACCCGTGAGAAGAGCCAGAGGTGTCGAAACCTGAGGCATATTGAAATCTTAAATGGGAGCAGATTGTGGTGATTTTGCAATGAGAGACTGGAGGAGATCTATAGCTACCGTTGAAGAACTATAGTGTAAAATACTGTTTGCGTGCAATATCTGACAGGGACTCCGGGATCCCAAGACCATGTAGAGCGACTTCTTTGACCTTTAGTCGACAGTAAATATCCCCTCGGTCCTCTATCAATGCAGTATATCCCTGAACAAGTTCAACAGGCCGGCAAGGGGGGCTGGCTTTGCCGGTATTTATAACCGTCAGACTCTGGAGGTATAGTTCCAAAGGAGCAATTCTATTCGAGACTCAGCGATTCGACATTGGGGGCCCCACATAGTCCGATATCGATAGCATTATGCATACAATTGTGCGAACGCCAGGAAGCGACTCCCAGACTAATACAATCGAACCCCCCAAACTGGCTGCTGCAGTACCAAATAAGCGAGACTAGACTACCTGACGCAATGCGCGATATCGATACCATCGACTCCGCACCCGAAAATTGCAACGCATTCTATAGCTAGGCTAGTTTCTCGATCTAGATCAGTCTTTTGAACCGACGCGACAGACCCTTCCGATCGCTCTCATCTTTAGATTTAATACAAGTATCGATATATCTTGTAAGTAGTGTGGACTTCCGTCCATTATCTCGAGGCCCAAATGACGTCGTACTTGCAAATGCACATTAATACATTTGCACGTATATGCATACATATGTATATGTACATTCCAATGAATAGAAGGTCACCTGCCAATATTCGCATTCCTGAAGCTCCGAAATCGAGTTATCGGTGAGACCGGCTGGTCGTTGACTTGCCAGCTCGGAATTTGTTTTTTTTGAAGCACATTGAAAATTAAGTCGGAATTGCATGCAACGCCTGAGGGAAATCTAGAGCATTGAACTTCTAGACTTATATCGGCGTGCAATTCCGGGACTATGAAAGGAACCATGTGTCTATGCAGAACCATTTTTGGGGGGGAGAGCACTTAAGTGGGTAGGAAATGCAATTTAAGGAATTAAAAGAGTACATGATGAAGCTAAATTTATAAGGGCCATGGCGTCTATGTCTATGCCAATCTATTTCTAAGATAGCTCTGAAAAGAAAAGAACTATACAAAACTTAAGTATCAAGCAATCTAACAGCGTATACAAGCTCCGGTTTCTAACATCATCAATTAGTTAGGTAAGAACCACGACACCCCAGGCCTGTCCGCGAGCGGGATATCATCGGATATGTTGAATCCATATATAAGGAGCCTGTTGGTGCTAATCATATACTGTTGTGCGGTCAAAACCGGTGTCGTGTAATTATGTCTAAACCTCCAACTAAGCCCAAAATATACACCATGGACCCATGAAACGGCAGTGAATTCTCTTGTCATACGTAGGGCCCCGTCTGGGGAACCGTCAAGCGATGCAGCCTTACCCGACGGGAGAGGCACATCATAGGCATTTACGTTTTTGTATGATTCATCCCCAAGGCCTGAAATAAAGAAACTGAATTCTGAATTTTTGTAGTAGTCTGCTGCATCGGGAAGACCAAAAACAGATTGTTGATTGTTTTTGTCAAAAAACCACTTGTAGGTGACACTGACGCTATACGTGGTTTGGGGACAAGTGAAGAAGTTCCAGCCGACCCAAGCCCATCCAGTTTCGTTCCGGTATTTGTCAGCCTGGACTCGAGCATCAATAGGGGCGTCTGGTGCAGGAAACCCGCCGGGAAGTTGTCGCCATAGAACGTAGCCGCGTTCTTGGTACCTAGACGCTTCAGACAAGCTTAAATCGTAAGTTATATTTCTGGTGGTGGTGAAGTTATCTAAAGGCTCTCGCCCTCCGGATATTAGCTGTCCGCCAATTACGCCGTTAGTTGGTCTATGGCGCGGGCGACAGACAGTTGTGGTGCTTGCGTCGATTACGGTTCTAGTCGTACTACCGCCCTAATACATATTCTTTCCGTTAATATATTTTTGATTTAAACTTCGATATCGCGAGAGAGGAGATTCTTACGGTTGTCGTGGTAGTAGTCAATGTTCCAGTTCTCACCACATGTGTCTGTAATTCGATCGCAGTTGTGGTCGTCCTGGTCGTTGATGTAACGTAGTTCGTATTTATCGACAAAGACGTCGAAGCACTGGTAATAGTAGTAGTGAAGGAATAGCTTGTCACCGTGCCGAGGACATTGTAAGATGTACTAGCAGTGCTCGTGCTTGTAGAGGAATATGTAGTTTCCGTGCCATTTATAATACTTGTTTCGTCTACCATGAATGTAAGTGATGTTGGCGTGACTCCAAAATTATTATACAGAATTTCGAAATATAAACTGCATGCTGAGGCAACGATAACGGCGTCAAAGGACTGGATGTACGTGGGAGTCAAAGCTGCATCTTGGACTCTTTCCCTAAAAGCTACGTCACGCGCGCCTAAGCCACGACCCCTTCGAGTAGTGGTGGTTGAAGTAGTTGTGAAAATTCCTGATGTAACAGGTGGGCTCTTAGTTGCATAGGCTATAGTATTGATTGTCGTTAATGAAGTACACGTATATGCTGTTGTTGTGGTGGTCCGGGTCGAAGTGAAGGATGTGGTGCTTGTAGCTGTAGTAGTCCAAGAAACACTCCTGCTTGTACTTGTATAGAGAATGTTGAAGGGGGATGTCGTCGTGGTGGTAGTCTGACGTGTCGTAGCCGTTGTTACCTGTTCGATGACAACTGCACTATAATCGACAATGGAAAGTGTCTCAGTAGCAGCAGTAGTCTCCGTGGAGACTATTGTAACTTCAGTTTCAGTAACAGTACTCGTGAAGTAGAGGCCGAGTTCAGAAGAGCAAAACTCGAAATAACCTCCCTGAAGAAGGATATCTCTCACGGCATTAACCGCATTGGTCTCATATAAGACAATTGTAGTGGCGTTTGGTTCCATATAAGTCGAGGTCGGAATTGCTTTTTGGGCGAGGATAGCCCCATTATATAAAGCCTGTTGTCTAGATAAGGAATCTAGTAAGAATAGAGCAGGGTTCACAGCCATACAACCCTCTCTGACGGGACAATCTAAGTAAGCAATCTCGAGATGTGAATCTTCGTCGCAGGCCAGGAAGACCCAGTTCAATAAAAGGAGACCAACATCAGGATCCGTAATAAATGGCCCCATGGTTGCACCTGCAGGATAACTGCCGTCAAGGCTTAGCATGAGCATGATACGGTTCTCATAGCAGATGGCACGGTCATCAATTGAGTCTACAGTCCTCACAGATGTATTTGCATAAACTGTGAAGTTGCCGCCGTAGAAAACCATTTGATCGTCCGATGTCAACTGGAAACCATGGAAGTCAGTGCCATTCCTATCTCGCATAACAAGTTGAAGATCATCGTTGACATATATATTACCCTCATTGAAGGCAGCCATGGCAAAGACGGGGAAAGGATCCTCTGTGCTGGTAAAGTCGGCCTCAGCAGCAGTGTTTGTCAAAGTTCCAGACGGCACATCCGGTAGGACGTCAATACCCGAGGTTGCCGTACCGGTTGCCCCCCCAGTCCGACTACTAGTTGTGCTGATTGACGATGAACTACCTGGGGAAATACTACAAGTTGATACCCCACTAATCTGACTCTTTCTCTTAAGGCCAGCGGAGTAATACTGTGAGTATGATGCTGTTGGAACGCTGGACGCCGTCAAGTCAATAGCGCCGCAATCCCCTGGTACATCGTCGCTAGCAGTATCATAAACCGCAACATTGTTAGATACGCAGTTAACCCAGCCATAAGTAGAACCGTTACTATCAAGTTGTAGTAAGCTACTACTGATAGAAAACTGGCCATACGATTTGCCATCTGCCCCAGCAGCACGAGGGAAAATGATTATATGTCCCCGAGCCCTGCCTCTACGACGGAGGATGTTTTCTGAAAGACAAAATCCAAGACTATAGGCGATATTGATTGCGCGCTTGGCAGTGACTGTGTCTGAAAAGTCTGCGAAGATTTTCACATTAGACCCGTACGAAGTCAACGTGCCGTCCGCATTTAGAATAAATGCTGCAGTGAGACCTGATGATGGATTGGACAAGACAACATTTCCAGAGGAATTAATATCAAGGATTTCCGTGTCAGTGGCACTGAAGACGTAAAGATTTCCTGGAGTTGGGATACTGCTGGTCGACGATGGCTTTGTGGTAGTTGTAGTCGTAGTGGTAAAGCTGTGACTTGTGCGCGAAGACGAAGTCGATCTTGAAGTGCTCGAGTTTGAGGAGATACCGAAAGGGTCCCAAGTTGCTAAAAGATTCTCACAGAGTTGGAGAGAAGTGCTGCTGTTGGTGCCACTGCACTTATTGCTTTTGGTGACAGTTGGAATGAAGGTAGAGGTTTCAATTTGTGTGACAGTCATGAAACTCGTTACTGTGGAGCTTTGGCCCTGGACTAAAGGAAGGCCTATTAACAGCGAGAGAAATAAAAAAGCAGTCGTCATATCTTCCAATTGCCAATTCTTGTAACTTTAAGACTTAGTTTTAAAACACAAATATACAATTTTGAAATTGTGTGAAGGGACTATAGCAAAGTTGTATGGGAGGAAATGGAGAACGAGTGCCCAAGAATTCTATTAGGTACCGAGCTACAAAATATATAAGACTCATGTTTCGTATTTATGAACAATCGATAGGCACGTATATAGTATACATGCGGAGATCAATTCTCGAATGAAGACTATAAATGCAAGACTTGCTTTCAAATATCAAGTACGGTGATTATGGTTGGATTCGATGACGTGCTATATTTAGATATGTTTTCATTCATGTACTATTTAAGTAAAATCTTCGTGAATAGGAAAAATGGCGATCATCTAATAATTCAATTTCGAATATCACCTCGAGCCTTCAGGGCTCGTCAAAATCAAAAAGACACCTCGATTCTATCGGTCCGACTTTTTGTTTCCCCCTCCAAAGGGCCTTCTAGAGGGTAAGAAGTCTCCCGACAATACTTGTACATGAGATCTCTAGGCTTAACAGGTAAAGACCTAAGGCCTGCAAAACTAAGATACCAAATGCCATGTGAATATATTAATATTTCGCCAGTTAGATATTGGTTATCTCGCGTGTTGAACGTGTGGTATTTGAGATCTGATCTTGGCACTCTCTTCGAACACAGGGAATCCCAGAACGAACATTAAATATCAATGGATTGCCTTAGTCATAGCTGGGGACTGCTAGCACGAGACCCGATACCGAAAATTGAAGAATATTTTTAATTCTCCTAGGCTCTGGTATTTCGAAGAACGCCTATGCCTTCACTGGTCCGATCACTAGTACAGCTAGCACAAAGTGAAGCTTAAGCATATCGCTCGCGCTCCGCAATTATCGCCGACTAAATATCAATCATAATATGCTGGCTGTTTTGACAGCGCGTGTGCATGTAATTTAATAGATCAGACCACGGCCACCAATAAACAAAATGACTAAGAAATTGTGAAAGGAAAAAAGAATATATAGTGAAAACATTCGTTAAGTCGAGGAGAGGAAGTCTGGCGACGAATATTAAGCTCGTCGACCGAGTCAATATTAAAAATTAGGTTAGCACAATCTTGTCCAAGGTTGACCCATGGACCAGAGATCCCTCCCAAATCGGGTCGTATCCCTTCGCGAGCACCGATGCGACTGCCTGCTAAAAGCACCGCCCGTCGGCCAACATTTTAACCGACTCGCCTTGGAAAAAAACTGCAGGGCCTCGTCATCCAATATGCCATGGCTCTTCTCACGGCGTTTTTCTATCATTTAATAGGTCTTACGGATCTCGGCCAAACGAATAGGAAGAAAGAAGGGGGGAATGCAGCGTCGGCATAACGTCAGCCGTTTTGAATACGATAGTACTAGTTATAGCTAGCGTGTACATACATGCCATACGTGTAGATTCTGCGAGGCTGCGCGCGAGGAAGAAAAGTGTAGATTACGTATACTTATGAACTCTTTTGCGATCAAATGCGATACGAATTAGAATGGTTTAGACCTTCAATAAGGAAAAAGGATAAATAGAACCTCAGCGGATCATTTGTCAATCCCACGACTCCCTAAGATCTCCGCCCTTCAAAAATACCACAATATACAACACACTTCATTTTTAGCCATTTTGATCAAAGTCGAATTGATATCGATCGATCCCACGAGACTACGGCTGAAAAGACCATCACGACTATCACTTTCACAGATAAAATAAAAAATAGTAAATAAAAATTAATAAAATAAAAATTAAATTGAAATTAGAAATAAAAAAATGTGCAATAACCACCCACGCCGCCAACGCCAAATCCTTGCAACTACAATCATCACCAGCCTCCAAGAATACAGCAAGTCCCGCAACCTTAGGCCCTACTCTCCTTCCTCTTCCTCAGATTCATCATCCCACTCTTTCCAAGAACCGATGACTAAAGGCATAGCTTACATGCCACCCCACTACACGGAGGAGGCCACCATTGACCCAAATCCACCAGCATACGAATCCCTCGCTTCAACCACCACCCCTACTGCTACTATTATCGACGAAAAACAACAATTATACCGTTTAAGCACCGAGGAACAGGTTCCTCCCCATGTCAGTGAGGGCTATAATCTCAATACGGGATTAGATAGTTCAAACTCGGTACCACGGTATATAACACCTACTGTTTCGGCGGGCGCGGCACCGCTACCGTTGATAACGCTATCTCCTGCCACAACAAGAACGACAACTACGACATCATCCGCGCCGCAATCTGAACCATTAAACCACCTCTTGGCCTCCATCACACAATACTTTGATACACAGATCAAACTTCACTCTAGTCGCCCAGCTACCGTCCGGAAACTGGAATACAAAAAGGCAAAGAAGCTATTAAAAGCCGAGAAGAAATATAAGGACCATCTGTCAAAGGGGAAGGATATGAAATACGAAATAAAGATGGAAAAGAGAGCGGAGAAAGTGGAGAAGTGGACGGAATTTATGGTAAAAAAGAGCGTAGGAAAACATGAAAAGCATGTTAAGAAGCATGGAAGATGTTGTGATCATGTCCCTGTCAATCAACAGCAGGCAGGGACTGTTGATCACTAGAGGGCGCTGGAAGAGTGATCGGTGACAATGATGAGTTTGAATGGATTTTATGATACCTTATGATCATCTTTTTCTGTTTGTATTTCAGCGAGTTGGGGTCCTTTCTTTCTTCTTGGAGCTTACTAAGTGGCTTTTAAATTTGGCTAATAGCGTTCATTGAAGAACTTTTCATTGAAATGTCTACCTCTCCTGGATTTTATGGTATAATGTTTAGTTTTTAAGTATTTATTATATTATTTTCTGTATATAGACAACTACTTATAGATCTATTTCAAAAATCGATCGCACATGCATGAAACGAACAGGCAAAATTTTCAAGAAAAGGTATTAAAGGAGTGTATTATTGTCATTAAATTATTCCAAACCCCCAAGCCGCAAACGCCGACCGAAATTAATTTCTAAATCAAAATATATATCATTTACAACAAATTGTCGATATCCTTGTTAGGATTAACCTTTATCGGTCCCTTCCCGAACACCTGGCCATCCTCCGTAATCCCATCCTTCCCTTGGCCCTCCTCTGCACTGCCCCCTTCAACATTCTCCTCTTCCTTGTTAGGATTAACCTTAACCGGTCCCTTCTCTCCCTTCAAAACCGCCTCAACATCACATCCCTTCGGCACAACCCAACTGGTGGGGATAGCACAATCGCAATCACTGTCACATCTTTTTGTAACAGTGGTGGTGGACGGAGGCTTGGTAAGACAATCACATCCGAATGATTGAAGATTTACCATTGCAGCGCAGAAGAGTGGGTCCTCGCAGGCTGGAGCAGTGCAGGAACGAGTTGCGGTGACAGTTACGGAGTATGGGCATGTTGGAGTTGCAGTGGTGGTTGGCTCTTGACGGGCGAGATTTTGGTGGAGGTTGGAGGTAGGGGTTGGAACAGGAGAAGAGAGGACGGTAGCGGCGAAGAGGAGGGAGGCGGTGATAGAGTACTTCATTTTGAGGGTTTTGAAAATGTATATGTGTATATATATGCTATAGAAAAGGTCGTTTCTTATTTATAGATTGCGATAATTATCCCAAGTCAAGTGATTGAGATTGAAAGAATGGAATTTTATAATTTCAAAATCGTTCCGACAGTTGAATCAAAAAGTGACAGCCGAAGAATGAAATCGATTCGGTTCAAATAAAATTTTTATAAACGACTGGATTGAATAAAAACCGTCAACGGTTGTTGGTAAAAAAAGGAGAAGAAGAAAAGATAAACCCGAAGGATTAAATCGTCAACGATTGGAATGTAAGATGTAGCGATAGACTGATGATTGGAATTAAAAAAAGGACATATCAGTAAGGCACCACGCACTTTATATAGCTCCCCCAGTCCCGCCAAATAGGTATTGACTTAAGACTAATCAGTATAGTACTGCACAATGACACTTTGCAAAATCTGAAATATTCCGTTCGACAATGATTCAATTACTTCATGCATCCCGTTTCAGTTCCTTTTCTCTTAACATGACACAACGGAGAGGCCGCTATGGCCATACAAAGGGTCTGCCAAGATCCAAAAGGAAGCTTGGTGTTTTTCCACATAACGTACTATACCTCGCTTGGACCCGACGGTGCCCTAGCTCTACGGAGAATAAAAACCCTTCTAGAACAAATCGGAGGGTACACAGCCACAAGTTCCTTTTCAACGTGAACTGATCATGATATCATTGCTTGGGAAATATCCCGTTCGAAACAGGAGGACCCCGTAGATGCCGCCACACCAAATGACTAGACCGAAGTGGCTTCCAACGAAAAAAGAGAGACAAAAAGAATAAAGAGGTTAAGGTCAGGTTACATTCGGGGTACTAACTAGGTATTTGGCGACCATTAAGCCCTTATCAAATGCTAGCCTAAAGATCTGCAAAAATTTGGCGTTGTGGTTTATACATTTTATAAAAATTAAGCTGAGCTTTGGATTATTTTGGAACAAACATTTTGGCATGCGCAAGTTTGTGATGCCATGTCTTGGATTCCTATTTTATCTTGCTGGTTTGAACTTCTGAGTGAATTTTCTGTGATATGTTATCTCTGGATTTAAAATACCAGTCTGTAACTAGGGTTAATCTAGAGGGTTCGACGCGTTATTAAAATAAAGGAAAATATCATGAATAACAAAACATAATGTTCTCAAAATCATAACCGTGATTGATGCGCCTTCATATCAAAAGGAGAAGAAAAAACGCCGAACACCCTCTAATCAATAAATGATGTTCCCCAAAATGACGACGGCAAAATGGAATAAAAGGGCATCCATAAAAGATTTTACACCAACTCCCTCCCTGCAATCGGTCTCCCGCTTGCCAACTCAGATGCTGAAGGATTCCTGCTGTCTCCAATATCATTATACGGTCCCGAATACACCTGATGTCGCCCTTCATAGCCGTATCCCCCATCGCCATATCCCTTGTAAGGTTCGGGCCCCGCAGCCTGTACTCTCAATGGCTCAAATCTTCCCTCCGTTGTACCTGTAGCCTGATCCAGCCCCTGGTATTGTTGTATTCCTTGATAGCCGCCATGATGATACATCAACGGACTTCCTGCTTCCTCGTCTCTCATTCCGTTGCCATTGTTCTTGTGAGGATCGTTCATCTCAATTTCACCACCAGAAATATTAGCCCCTTCATAGCTTGTTTGCCCATTCTTGATAGCCTCGTGTTCAGCAATCAGCCTTGGTCGAACCTTTCGCATTTGCCAATAGATGTACCCTGCTGCTACAATGGTGATGGCGAAAGTTATGCCTAGGATTATGTTTGAGACTAGATGGCCACCGGAGGGGTTGTTGATTATGACGCCCAAGTATACCACTTTTAAATCCATTAGTACTTACACGGAGCTGTAAGAACGATGTGAGAACGTACCAACGAGCTGTTTGGGTAAACTGAGAAGTGTAGCGATGAAGAATACCCAAAAACTGATACCACAGGTCGCAAACACTGCTGTTGTCAAATGTGCAGGAATAGCGGATAGACGGGCGATAAACACAAACTAGTAGTTATCAACAAGTTAGTATCAACTACTCTCCCTCTCTCTCTCTCTCTCTCTCTCGGGGGCTGGTACCAAAGGGGGGATGTACTTACGATGATGCCACCCTCTCTTGTCACAGTTGCCAAACAAGCGTAATTCAAATTTCTCCTTTCTTCCTTCTCTGCTCTCCCCCTCAAAAACCCCTTAAATGCAAAATAGGTTCCAATTTCACCAATAAACGTTCCCGCTGCAACAATTGCAAACCCGATCCAGAGACCGTAGACGATACCGCAGAGAATTGCGACGATTTCGTGGCCGAATAAAGGAGGAAAGGAGATAATGAATAGGATCAAAATGGGTATTATCCAACCCCAGGATAGCGAACGGATTTTTTGAGAGACGGGAGTAAGCCACTATTTTTTCTCTCAACGGTTAGGATATATATATATATATATATATATACGTGTGTGTTTAGGAGGTGTATAGAAGAAACGTACTTTAACGATTTCTTCGTGATAGACACTAATGAGGACAGTTATGACGATGATGATTATCAAAAGAATCCACCAAGCTATTTAATTATGTCATTTCGGTCAGTGAATGTGTTGCCAATGTGAGCCTGCAGCTAGGATTCCGAGCTCTCTGCGTCGACTCAACCGATAGATATCGATATGATATAGAAGGGAAGGGACAGGGAAACATACGAATGTAGCGCTTTTTTGTAAAGAATTTCTTCCAGTCGAAGGGTTCGTAGGCAGGGATGATTGGTGGCCGGACCTTTTCGACCTTGGGCGATTGGGAGCGCGAGAACAGCCCCATTCCTTCTATTCCTCCCTCTTAAGCTTGCTTATCTCAGTAACCAAGTAGCTTATGGTATTCCAAAAGGAGTTCGAAAGAGTCGTGAGTATGAATGATGGTGGTAATAGTGACGATGGTGATGGTAGTGGTGATGGTGGTGATAGGATGGGTTGAAGAGGTGTAGGTTATACGTCCTGGAGAGAAGGAAAAAGGGAGTTAAGGCGGCGTTTGGTGGCAATTCGGTGTAGCGCAACGACGTAACAGTGCAGCATTCAGAAGGTAGCTATTTGGAGCAGCGGAAGTAACCGGACTTTGCTGGACATTCAACTTACGCTTTTTAATTTTGACGGACGGAAAAGAAAAGGAGGAAGATGGCAAGAATATATAACCAGGCACCTATACATAAACAGAGTGAGCATAAGATATTTACCCCTCTGCTAATTATCGTATCTATCTTGTAATATGTATTAACAAGAATGAAATGAATAGATCTGAAGAATTCGAATGGTTCAAGAGGGCAGAAAAGGCCCCTGTCTTCAGAAAGAACAAGCATTTCCTTAGCCCTGCTCCAAGACTGGGCTGCTTGGCTTAGCCCTTTCAGCCAAGCCATCCAGATGGGAAAACCCTTCGAGTTCGAGAAGGAGAGGGAGGACATACGTAATCGGACTAGGATTGGTCGGTAGGTTTACCGACGGGAATTGTATTAATAGCTCAGCCTCAGTTAGGTTACACCTCCATCCTCAAATAATATAAAATACCTATACTGTTGATGAATGGCGAGTCCGAGCAGAAAGGGAATAGCTTCATACTATACCCCCAAAAGAACTGGCCTGTAAGGTTGACTTTCTTTATTTCGATCGGTCGTGGTCGGCTCGACTTGTCGACTTGGCGTGATCCTGATCTACAATTACAGCTTTCGGATATTTGTCAGATCTCTCGTGTCTATCTACCGTATCGATGCGACCATATGAGGTAAATAACAGTAATATTAGTTAGGCAGATCGATCGATAAATCGATGTAATGCGGCTGAAGCTTCCTATCCACCCCGCTGAATATTGATTAAAACCAGTATACTATAATATATCAAGCACCTATAATTATACCCGTACTTCCATAGTACGCAGGATACATAGTATTGCATTGACTATGTCGCCTGGATTCGTATAGACGGCGACGGCGACGACGACGAAGGACCAGTGGTCAATTCACTCCACCTCTCCACAACATCCTTCATAACATCCACCCCCCACATGAACTCCTGCCACCTCAGATCCGCCCACAGATCTGGGTTCCCCTTTTTCTCCCCTCCCCTCGCAGCGATCGTACTCTCCCGAATCCTTCTATCACGTTCTTCCTGCTCCTTTCCATCCTTCAAATGTAATATTCTCTGCGTATCCCTCGCCGAAGCCTGTATCGCCTCCCCTCTTTCCTTTCTTATTGTTTCATATACTTTCAATGCGTCTTCGATTTTATCTGCTGATTGGATCAGAGATAAAGCAACGGTAAGAACTCCAGCGTCTTCAATGGCGTTTGCAGCGCCTTGTGCGACGTAGGGTAGCATGGGGTGACATGCGTCGCCTATCAATACAAATCTACCTTCGTGCCATGATTTTAATGGGGCATGAGAGTTTAAAGTCCATTCCATTATTTCTCCGTCGTCGGGGACATAAGATAGTAGTTGTTTGACGGTGGAGTTCCATCCGAAATAGGTCTTTAGCATTTCGGCTTTGGTGCCTGGTGATGTCCATGATTCCGTGTCGATTTGGTGAGGTCGGATGGGATGGATTAGTACCATATTATATAGTTTGTGAGAGCGGAGAGGGTATGCCATTATCTATTTACCATCATATCAGTTAATTCATCTCACCCATCTATGTATGCATATATACTAGTAAACATATAACATATGTTGGGGGTAGAAAACTTACATGGCCTCCCGGCCCCATCCATCTAACTCCCGTCTTTCCCCTCAACAATTCTCGAATTTTTGGATCCCCTCTCATCCTTTCCTCGTCAATAACAACCCTATAAGCCGCATCACCGGTACTAACAGTTTCATCTTTAACTCCATTCTTCCTCGCAATCTCCTGTCTAACAAAGCTTTTGATACCATCCGCTGCAATTATTAGGTCGGCGTGTATCCACTCTCCACTTGATAGACGTATTGAAGGCGAAAAGTCTGAGGAAATGGTGGATATTGGAGAGGAAGTGTGGATCTTTACACCTACTGATTGAGCGCGGTTTAAAAGTATTCGTTGGAGGTCGGCGCGGTGGATTACTAGCAGCGGGGCATTATACTTTTTTCCGACCTAGATTCCTCACCATCGTCAATACCCTTATTCCAGCATCATGTCCGGTTTACAATATATATAAAAAAGGAGATAAGTACTTACGCCAGGCATCAATCCGACCCATCCGATCTCCCCATCATCCTCCCACCGTCTAAGACTATTCTTTTCTAATGAAATTCCATCTCTAACAACGTCTTCTAAGACTCCAAACCTCTCTAAGATCCTTGAAGCATTGGGGGCAATCTGTATCCCCGCCCCTACTTCTTTTATTGTCGATACTGCCTCAAAAATTGTGACGTTGTGACCAGTTAGAGAGAGTCCGATTGCAGCCGATAGACCCGCAACACCAGCACCGATTATAATAATTTTTAGAGGAGTAGAAGGGGTCAGTGATGATATATTGGATATATTGATCGAACTCTGAGCGATAGAAGGCACAGGAGGGGCAAGATGCTGTGACTGTAAATGTGAATTCGAAAGAGGGGTATTGGTGCTGGTTACGGGGGTAGTGTTGGATTTGTTGGATTTTGGATGTGTTGTTGTTGGTCGTAGCGGCATCTTTTCGGACTCGAATTGATTGGAACCATTCACAGGCCGTTGGTGACAGTTTCTGGTTGATATGATATTACCCGTCCGAGATTATAATAATTGTTGAAGTTCTTGAATTGCTATTTTATATATAACTAGCAGGTAAGGTAGGATATCAAGTCGTGGGCTTTCGACTATATCCGGTTTCTTACAAGTTCTTATATTAAGTAAGTCACTAACATTAACTTTCCGGGTCCCCCCTTTCCCGTATGGCCCCGTCACTGGTTAGTAAGTTCGTTCTCAGACGCTAGAGGGCAGACCAAGCAAGACGACTCCGCAGATAAGTACCGTACTGGACAATGGAAGACTTCAAGTTCTAACAGGATCTGTTTATATCATCGGCATTGATTTCCGGCAAACCAGTTTTGGGAGTGTAAGAAATTTAAAAGAGAGCCCAAAAAAAAAAAAAAAAAAGCTTTGGTATGTACATATAGTCTCAGGCAGGGAATCAAGGCCTGTCTGTTTAAGGCTTCGCTTCGCTTCATTTTATGACAGTCCATGGATATCGTGCCAGCGAACATCCAGACCATCCTATCCTATCCTATTCTATCCCATCTTATCCTACCCTACCGCGCGTCCAACAATTTAAGAACAGAAAAAAACAAATGAAAGCTTTAGAAGAGAGGAAAAAGGAAAGTATTAATATGCATTTCAATTATGACTGGGAGCATCATATTCCGAAAGAAGACCAGTGGTTGACATTTCCTGATTTAGGGTTGAACAAAACAGCTCTGACCAACTAAGTATTAAAGGTCGAGGTTGATCCAGACCCAACATCGGTTCTCCCCATGGTTGAACCCGATCTCACTAACCCAAATCTTTCCCAACTGATAACCCCGCAAACTTGTCTAAGACGGGGAAATTCTCTAACCGAAAAGGCCACTCACGAGAAAGGGTAATGTACTTCAAGCCCCGCATTTTATTCATGACATGAGTATCGCCATCATGATATCATCAATGTTGTTGGGAAGAGAGGGATTCCTTTGAGTTCAATAGATAAGTCAAGAGATAAAAATATCGTCAAGAACACCCTGCACGCATATATCATTCACAACTGTCATCATGCATTCTATCAACAAGGGTTTATCAGGGTGGAGAACTTTTAACGGGGCCGGAGGGAGACAGAGCGAGAGAAACGGTAATAAAGTACGGCATATATACAAAGCCTCCGCTATCATTATAACAAGCACAAGCCAGTATTGCAATAAATATTAAAAGTTGAGCGAGGTAAGTACCTAGGTACCTACTTACATACACATCTGATATATCTTCTTTTTCCTTTTTATCGCGCGAACAGATTAATATACCCCGTTGTTATTAACCTTAAAAGCTAGGTATGGCCCGACGACAGGGCAGAGCCGGCATCAATCAATTAATAAGAAAACACCATGAAAAAGCCAACATTTTCGTACGATCATGACTATCCCATGGTGTCATTTTTAATATCGCCGCACAGCGCTATGTATGATGGACGATGCAGTGGAGCGGGCTGGGCCAAATACTTGCCAAAAAAAGAACTCCACAATTCAACGTCGGCTCATAACACCGGCATTTTCATCCCACCGCGTGCAATGAACAAAAATTTAAAAATGTTACGTTTGAAGTCGATTTAGAGGAAGCCGTGGGGGCTGGACCCAGCGATATGGTAAGGTTAGGTCAATGCGTTCCCCTCTAAACTCCTTTCAAGCTTTCTCTCTTTGCTGTAGCTGGTCACTGCAGAGCGCTACACTACATACTTACTCAGCTACTGCATCTGCATGTACGATTGTGGAGATCCTTTTTTGTGATACTAGTCTTCAAGTCTTGTGGAATACAAAAACTAGGAAGGAAGAAATCCGCCTTGCGCGATGCACAGTCGTGTATGACACTGACGCAGGGCCAGGGGTTGTAATGCCGATATAAGAAGCCGAAACGAAACAAAAGAACAACGACAACCACCACCAAGGGAAATATTTAATTTCTCACCGAATTTGAAAGCCGACTAATATTTTGATTTCTATTACTATGTATGCTTTTTTTTTTTTTTTTTTTTTTTTTTGGGACAAAAGATATCCACTTGCATGGCGGGTCACAAACATTAGTAAATAAAACCAATTAAACTAGACGGCTTGGAATTAGTCCTATATGCAGGTCGCTTACTCATGGTTCCCGTTATCTCGAAGCTAAATGTTCAAACCCAACTTCGGAATTCCAGACGGCTGAAAATTTCGAGCAGGCTTTTCCTTTTCTTCTCGAGATAACCAATGGGTCTCGAGCCCGCGGAGGCGGGAGCATTGATAATCCGCGTGCGCAATGTACAATTGTGGGGTTTCACGTAATTGGGGTTATCACGTTTCCTTTATCTAGCGACCCGCAATGAGTGTTCTCCGGATTTTCATTCGACACCAGCACTATTCCAGATTGCCGTCTTGATCCGTTTGCGATATAAGAAGGGAAAAATAGCACATGGAAGAGGAATTACTCTTTAGGAGTCCATTGAGTAGAATCAGGTCGAACGGCCTGAACCCTACCCGAGGCTTCTCCTCAAAGATCTAAACTAGTTTTCTTTTAGCGTCATTCCGGCACACAGTTACCGAACATTTCGTAACGATATCTTGATTTCATTGGAACACATATGTGCACGGTGATTTTTCTGGAGCGTTTCTATGGTACGTACAAAACTATGTATGTATTGCGTAGTTTCAGCACTTAGGTAGGCACTTATTGCTCCGCATCACAATACTTAGCTCGAGCCCGTTAGTTAGACCCGTAACGGGTTTTGTGACACCGGTTAACGGCATTACCATCGGGCTTTTTCTTGTCTTAAACTCTTTTCCCTCTGTTCGGCTTTTGAAACGATAATTGGCTAAGAATAAGAGCGGCTTGATTAATTTGGGCCCTCAAATTTTCTGAAATACTGTAACGGCATTTGGAGCCGATCGACTGTGCCGAGTTGATCTGAAAGTTCTAGATTGTAGAGAGGTCGGTCATGGGCAGATTAGGTTAAATGCTGACAGCCGTTGACCAGCTTATTATCGATAAGCTAAACGCCAACGATACCGAAATAACCCCTCTCCTAGCTTTAGTATGATTAAATGGGCAGTCGTATATACATGTCTCTCGGCTCAGTATTTGCAAGCCTATACGTCTCCATGCCGACTCGTAGTCGCGAACTAAAACTTAGCTATTGCCCTCCTACGATAACAATCAACTTCTTTGGCGCACCGTCATTCACAAATCCACTGTGATCCCCACCACCACTGGCCGCAACATCGTCATAAGGGTGGGCATACCCCTTCCCATCAACATTAACCTCATGAACCAACCTAGCATAATGATTCGTAACTTCTCTCTCATAAAACGCTCCTCGATTTCTCGCCGGAATCTCACAATCGCAATTTAATAAGACCGTTCTATTGAAAGCTGCGTTCAGACGTGGGATTATAGCATTACGCAGTGGCGAAGGGCCGGTTTGAAAGGGGCCGGAAGAGGCGTTGAAGATATCTGCTGTTGTTGGTTTTTTGAAAGATTCTGGCTTTTGGGAGGAGTTGAAGGTGAAAGTGGATGTGGATGTGCAGGCAGTACCTGTGACCATGCCAAATGCGCATTGGGTGTCGATTTTTAGTTCCTGTGAAGAAAAGTGGTTCCAGACTTCATCGATATATGATTCGAAATACCCATTAAACAGTGACCGATTTAGAACAATCCCCTGGTTTGGACTTAAAATCCTCAGTAATTTCCCTTCTTTATCATTAACGACAAGGTCTTTCCACCCTTGTCCATCTTTCCCACTTTGCTCTCCAAGACCCTGAGCGATGGTCTGTAAACCATCCTTCGGTAACCCGAGCACTTTTTTCTCCTCGCCCGTAGACGTCACAAGCGTCAACGCGATTGGAAACGCGACGAAATCCACATAACTAATATTTGCGTAAAGTTGATCCGAGTTGTATGTAAACTCCATAAACCCCCAATTTGCGTCATAATTCTTATCGGTGGGGTTGGTCACCGACGGTTCCACCAATGCCGGGCCAGGGTTTAGTAAGAATACTAGGGGTTTATCGATTGACAAATATATTCTTCCACCGGCGATGCGGGGTATTGTGACGGTAATTGATTTTCCGGGCTCACTTAACGGGATTGCACAGTTTTCGGATAGCGGCTGCAGGATCTTGGATGGGGAGCAAGGGAAGTATGGTGTTTTCCCGTCGGATTGGAGAAGAAACCAGGCATTTGAGTGGTCAATTGCTAAGCCGGTGATTGTGGCGTAAACCGTGGGGGACGCAGTGTGGTTTGTTAATTCGATTTCAAGAGTTTCCGGGGTCATTTTTTTTTTAATCCCGTGGTCAATAGGATTATATTTATCCAGGACTGCCTTTGGCCCTCTTTTCAGGTCAGTGACGGCGAAGAGGGAAATACTTGCGTTGACCTTGTGGTATTATTGAGCGGCTGGAGGTAAAGGCGGGGGGAGATCGAGACTTCCAGGTCTGGGTACGAGACAATGGAATCAATTGTAAATGAGATTTTCTATGAGGTTCAAATCAAGGGATGGATTTAGAGTGATATAGATTCTCATTCGGTCGCGTATAATGTTGTTCGTTCGGCATTATATCTTATCCCCGGAACAATGCTACAGTTCCAGTATCTGATTCGCTACCATCAGCGCGGGATAGTGAAGACAAGAGCTTGGAGGTGGGTGATGTCATGTAGAGCTCTGGCCATTGCATTGACCAAAGCAGGGTTAGCTGCATATGCGTACGCGCGTACGCAATTCGGTATTCAAGCTGCTTAACCCCGAGAAACACCAAAATTTGCAAAAAAAACTAGCTCTAGATATTAGAATTTTAGAGGGTTTAAATTTATTGGAAAGAAAATAAAACTCTTGGGCCCTGAGATGGAATATTTACAATTTTGTCCCCGCAATTGCGTCCTTGAAACTATTTACAATTTTTATATTTACAGTAGCAATTCTGCAAGACACATTTTCCATATCCAATAGCCCCGAAAGCAGCTTTACAAAATAACAGAAATAATCGCAAAAGGCCAACTTTTCCAAAATCCCACTATACCGGTCCAACCCCAAAAGACGCAATTAAATCTTTTGAACTTAAGTGTTCTTGGTAGCCATCTTGGCAGACCATTCAACGACGAACTTCTGCCATTGGGTAGTATCACTTGGGTAGATAGAGTAACCATCATCATAGGACTTGCCCCAGTTAGGCACAGTAGTTCCAAACTGCCAGAACATATCACCAGCAATGTTATTAGCAAAGACGGTGTCATGGTATTGCTGATGGTAAGTATCACGGAGACCAGAGTCGCGAGTGACACCGTACTCCTCGAAGAGCATTGGCTTGTTGAGCTTATCAGCAATGGCGGCGTGATCCTTGATCCACTGGTTACCCCAGTCCCAGGTCTTACCCCATGGAATTGGATACATGTGGAAAGTACCGAAGTCAATGGAGGCAAGAGCAGTAAGAGCCTCGTTATCGATACCGGGGCCACCGTTGTAAACGTAGTCGCTGCTACCGGGTGTATTGATGAAACCTTCATCACCGACGGCGACCAAATGGCAGGGATCGAGGGACTTGATGTACTCGGACATTTCCTTGGCCCAGGCAGTGGTAACGGCTGGAGTGCAAGATCCAGCACCGAGTCTGGGACCAGCGCATCGGATTTCGTTAGACAATTCCCAAGCCAAGATTGCTGGGCTGTTTTTGTAGCGGTTGACAATGGTCTTGACGTAGTTCTTGTAGATGTTCTTGATGGCGGTGTTGGTGTAGAAGTCGCCGTGGTTACCGCTGCTGCCGAGGGTCTTTTCGACGTAGAGATCGCTGTGATATGGCTTTAGTTTCCATTCCGCTTTTTCGAAATTTAAAATTGAAATTGTTCACTCACATGCCACCATATTCGGCCCAGTTGTTAATGAATGGAAGAATAATCTTGATACCCCTAGACTCAGCTCCAGAGATAACGCGGTCAAGACGTGGGAGACCACGCTCTTGAGTCTCGAGTATGGTTGGTGGGACGGAGCTCCAGTTCTGGAAGACAGTGACATAGTCTTCTTGTGGGCCTATTGCAATTACACTATTTAGCATCATCTCCATGCTGTATTTTGAGCATTAAACATAGGAGACATACCAGCGAAGTCAGCAAAACCCCAGGTTCGGAGAACCTTCAAGCCAGAGGCGGCGAATGCATCGAGGGAGGTATCGATGTCAAGGAAGTCATTTGGCCCGTACACTTTAGATTGTCAGTGTGCATTCCCATTTACATAGTCAAATACCCTATAAAGTTCTTACTAGGAATGTAGTAGGCGTTGCTACCAGCGAAGTAGAACTTCTTGCCAGCAAGTCTGAACTCCTTTCCAGAAGTCGACACAAAGTTGGTCGAGCAGGATCCATTGGCAGTGGTAGTCCTAGTGCTAGAAGTGGTAGTCCTAGATGCTGTAGTGCTAGAAGTGGTAGTTCTAGCAGTGGTGGTGGGAACAGTGGTGGCCACAGTCGTGGTTCGAGTGGTTGTAACTGGAGTGGTTGCCGCAGTGGTCGTGCGGGTAGTGGTTCCAGCGGTAGTGGTAGCACCAGGAATACCTAATTTGGATTAGTATATCTATCCATTACACTGAGATCGCGATATACCTTACACTGGTAGTAATACGCATTGTAGCTCGTGCAAGCGGCACCGGCGACACAGCTTGAGGACCCGGTCCAACCTAGACATCTATTAGCCAAAATAAACCAAGTTATCTCGACTTACAAGAACACTGATACATACCAATACCGCCGCATTGTCCCCAGAGAGCTTGCTGGGCAGCCGCGCCAGCGGCAAGAGCAGAACTGACAGCCAAGATCTTTGCCTTCATTTTGAATAACTGATTATCAACAAAACTCTGATACCAATCCACTGAAGCTGGTGAAAGCAAACGTGGAAGAGCTAAGGACTGGAAGCTATCCTTATATATTCTTGTTTTTCATAATGGGGTACCTATCTAGTTCAACAATACATCAACTAGACTAGCTGGCTATTGATGTAGAAGTTATTCGGACAGATTGGGTCCGCATGTGAACAGCTCAGGTACAATTCTGTCACAGACACCATCATGATTACCGACGGATTTAGAAGATGGTTGCCGAGTCTAATAGAACAGCTGAAACCGTCAGACGAAAATGGGACAATCCTTTGTATAGAATCTCGCGTCTGATATGGTCAAAATCTGGGTCCGTCTGCGTGGCTGGCTGGTGTTCCCTTGGCTCTTTTGTGGAGAATGTGGATCCGAAAGGTAAAGTCGAAATCTCAAGGAACTAGCAGATCCGGCTATAGAGTCAGACCATGGAAGGGATCCAACCCAAGTGGATCTGTCGGCACGGCTATGTTAGGAAAAGCTTGGGTAGAATCTTGATCTAAAGCGACGGAGCCAGATAATCCGTCGGTTCGAATGTGAGCCATCTAACATCTATGTGGTGGCTAGCTTTGCCTTAATATAATTTCCTACGCGCCACATGTGAGGTTAGAAGGAGACCGACCTTAAACTTTTGGGAAAGCAGAAATATCTGCATCAGCCGTGAAACATCCCAACTGGGGCATCTAGGGCTATACCGAAGCTAAAGCAGGAACACCGGCCCGTTTGCGTATGTTTTGGCCCAGGATCTTGGGCTGGGGTGGGACCGATGCTGCCGAGCAGGCGAGCCCGTTTTGGTAGCATCTAATTTACAACGTGCAACACCAACTGGGTGTAAACTTGCTGCGAATGGTATGGCTCGATTTGAGCGAGAAGCGCGATATTATCCCTTGCCATATTCTTCGACGATTTCAATATGCATGTGTAAACTTGGAATAGCTTCAAATTAGGCATACCTTGGTCCGTCGAGAATAGGCATCGGAGCCATTCCCTGCAGTAGATCCTCAGGGCCACCTCAGGGCCAAGGCTATATATGAGTTCATGGCAATGACGGGCAAGTATTTTTAGTAGATAGGACTTTCGTAGCAAGATATCTTAAACAGCTTGATTATTGGCTCGGGAGTTTTACAACCTTCGCCTCGAACCCATCAAGTTGTGATTTCAGAATATTTGGATTGTCTGAATTAATTATTTCTTAAACTCGTATATACAAGAATCTATTTACATGTATGCATCGCCCCTTGGTTAAACTATGATCACCAAATGAACTTGGGAACCTTTCTATTACGTCCTACTTTATGGAGTGGCCAAGGCTCCTCGCCTAAATCTAGAAGCTCCGGATCTTTTGTTTCCCACAAAGGCGTCTCTATATCGTCATGATGCTCGAGTCCTCCCCACCGTTCGTCAGGGACGTAATATTCGCATAATTTTTCACCAAGCGGGCTAAGGTAATGCCGAATAGTACTTGCTGGGTGGCCTGGCCTAGTCAATCTACTGAGCCAATTCGGATGTGTCTGTTTCCAGATTGAAGCCATCTCCCTTAATCCTTCACCACAGATGTTGTCGCTACTTTGCCAGGAACCGGTTGATAGCTTCAGTGACTTTAGTGCGAATGATATCTGTAGCATATCTAACTCGTGTACTGCCATGACTTGATCCGTTGACGTAGGTGTTTCAGTCGGAGATTCCATTGCCGACAATGCAATATTAGTCTCGCGGCTAGCGTCGTCGACCAAGTCATCCTCCAGCTCTGGCTCCTCCAACTCTTCCCAATCTCGTCCTTCCGCTTTGATTCTCCAGACAACCGCTTTGACGAAATACCACATTTTCCCATCCTCCCCAATATCTCGAATCCATCTCACCCCGTACGCGTCGAGACTGCTCTCTCCTGCCCACCACGTTATTTCCATTTCTCCTTCGATATTAACAGTTTTCGCCGAAAACTTTCTTTTATCTTGCCTCTCGAATTCCCACTTTTCTACAGCCTGCGCTGCGATTTCATCGATCTGCCCGCTTTTTCTTTCCACGCTTTCAAACTCCACTCTGATCGTTTCAACGCTTTTCGGGAAACGACATTCACGTACCCAATTCCCAGTGAGAGTCAGGCTATGGTCACACTCCCAACCCGAGAAATCGGCATGGCGGATAGTTATTGTCACAGTGCGCGGCTTAGCATGCGTGGTGTTCAAGACATACTGCAAATCCTCGCTATCTTGTAACTGAACCGACTGTGCAAAAATTCTCATATGCCGTATATTTATGTCCTCCCGCATCTCATAGATCGCTTCTAGGAGTCCAGCTTGTCGCCAGCTTGAGTCAAAGGCGTTCCAAGGCTGGTGTTCATATTCTCCTAAATAGAAGCACAGCTCTGACGTTGTCCATGGGAAGTGCCATGATTCGGTATAGATGGCTTTACAGGTTCGCAGGAGCGCAATGTCGGATTTTTGAGGCGCCCAGTAGTCTGGCCTACGGTATAGTCTATCAACCGGGTAGGGGTGGGCTGGGTCGTTATAAGGGGCAAGGGCATATGCCCAAATCAGATTGCGGATCTCGCCAGGTAGTTTGAATAGAGGAGAAATGGTTTGAGGTACTATATTTTTGAAAGATAGAGGATATTGTTTCTCGTCCTTTGGCATAATCTGAATTGTAATCAATTATGTCTTGTGGATTAATGTCGATAGGGATGAAAATCTATGCATGTATGCTATGGATCCATGGATAGATTGAAACAAATAGTTGGCAAACCCATCGTCAAAGATGGTCTATTTAATAAATTCTCACTCATCCTTCTCCTCCTCTCCATCCGTACTTTTGAGCGGTTTGATATTCCAATGAATTGCGCATGCCGCCAGCCTACTGTGGCCATGTGGCCAATGCAATATACGAAAGGTGCGGTGTAGAGTCTACAGGCATTTAGGCATGACTCAGCTCAGCATTCCGCGTGTTGATGGAGAAAAACAAGCCAGCAGCACCTTGAACGTACTTCTATATATATTTTATCTGAACTAAGTTCATCCTCCAATAGAAGGGCCTGGGCCCAGTTGAGTGATAATTATAATTAACAGAGACTTCATTGCACAAGCACAAAGTTCGAATTCTTTCAGTAACGAGGTCTGCCATTGCATGGGCCGTCCTCACGGGGGGCATCCAAAATGGCTCGGCGTTGTATTTCAAACTGCAACGCAAATGTATATCTGAGCACAAGCTATTCTCTAAAATACATTCTCAACTATGATAAACTCTATAACTACCAGAACCCGCCAACTTGCACTACTCTAGCAACTTCTTTTCCAAGGACGTCATGCATCACTGTGTTTGGATGATAAACGTCCGCCCAGAAAAGCTGTTGATTAGTCCCGGAACTCTTGGTGTCCGAGCTTAACCCGTATGTAGTCGGATTGTTCAGAACCATGGTGAATTGCGCGTTAGAATCGACCAAGAATGTATTTGAGCCGGAGTGGGAATTCTTGAAATTCGTAATGTAAGTTTGTAGTTTAGAATTCCAAGTTGCGATAACAGTCTTTTCTTGAGTTGCCCAGCTTGGCTGGCCTGAGATAAGGGGAGAACGTTCCACGGGTGGGATGTTATGGAAAAGAAAGTTTCGCCCGCCACTGGTATAGATTTTGTCTAGCAGCTTGAACTCGGCTGTAAGAAGAGTATCAATAAAAGTATTGATATCGCTCCTTGAATATGAGCTACCGATATCGTTGATACCGATGAAGGCAGAGAACATAGTATTGTCTGATTGCCATGGTGCTGTTACTGGTTTGTTAGAATATCGTGTCGTCCATGTATTGACCTGGTCTGTCATTGAAGGAACATTGACCGAGTTAACAAGGGCGTTATCAATGGTTGCACCTATAATATTTAATCACAGAACAGCGCGGGTTAGCCAAGGCTCCATAGCGAGATAGACCCATATTAAATTTATATATCAAATTCCGAGTAGCTAAAGAACACACCCGATACGGCAAAGTTATAAGTGAATGTCTGCGATCTGTTGTATTTGACAGTCACCACATCAATCCAATTAGGGCCATTGGATGTGGTCTGGCCGGGGTAAGTCGGATTTCCGAGAGGATTTTGAGCAGAGGGTTGATTCCCAGTCGCAGAAAATCCCGTAGCGGTATAGGAATCACCACTATTAAATTGATTAGTTTCGTGCGTTCAGTTAACAATGTAAATCTAGCTCAATAGACTTACAAGCTAAACCAGTATTTGAGGCTACTCGTTGGAGATGGAGATGGCGACGACGTGCGTGCTGTGGTAGATAAAGTGGTCGAGATACGGGTCGCGGTAGTTGTAGTAGTAGTCGTAATACTAGAACTACTTCCGGGGAGACATTGAGAGTAGTACGGGTTCAGAACTGTACATGTATAACCGGATATACATGTCGCGGCCCCAGACCAACCAATGCCACCACCTACAGCGCTTCAATTAGCTGATGACCAAACAAAGTCTTTTTGAATATATAGGGTCAGATGTCGAATTTACACTGAGACCACGCGCCGCCTTGTGCTGTCACACCTTTTAGTGACAGAAGGGCGATAAAAACCCCTGAAACGAGCTTTAACTTCATAATTTCTATGTTTTTCGACAAGTAATAAAGCAGACAGCGGATATCTCTCTCTCTCTCTCTCTTTCTTTTTTTTTCTTTCTTAAAAAAAAATGATACCCGAAGAATAGATGCTAAATTACACCGCCCTTCATAGCTTTTCCACTAAATATATACCCACATTTTCCAAGAGATCCAAGATCTCAGGCATTAATGCATTGCCTTCTTGAAAATAACAGGCTGTTAGGTCTGGGTCATTATATCTTCAATTAAGAAGGAACTTCGGATTTGGGAAGTTAAAATTCCGTAAGATATTACAAAATACGCGTATAGAGGCGGCTTGGAAACATGGCCAGCTAGGATATAAATTATAATGTATTTAAAAGAGCGAGGATAGTCCCTACGTTCTCACCAAGCGTATAGGAAGTAACTGCTAATTCCGATCGTCAACATATCGGAAGTTAGGAAACGCCTCCTCACTTTCGCGTGGCATTTTTCACGTTTTTGGATCCTATATTCAAGATTGGTTTCCGTTTGCCCGGTTGAAGTAAAATGGGCCCTTTCGCAGGGATTCCCATTAGCCAACTATGCGAGCGAGGTTGTCTTTATTTAGGCGAAATGGCCCGAATGCCAGACCCGCCAAACGAGCTAAAGATGTCGGTCAACTGTCAATTGATAGATCTACCTCAAGATTTCGGACGAAAATTTGAAGATTGTCCGTGTTTCTGGACTGGTTCATCAAATTTCGTGATCTTGGCATTATGTTGTGGAAAATTTCAAACTTATTTCTTCCGTCTCGGTACACCTTGGTTGAAGAGAAGATGTACCCTTCATAGTATCGATGCACCAAAAAGCCTTATAATTATATTCCCGAAGCTTGAATTTGATATTATAATAGTACTTAAAGCCTTAATAACAATATTATGGGAAAATCACCAGCCTGCTCCTTGGAAAATTTTTGGAACCCTGCGCTTGCTGATGCTAGCTTGGCTAAAACTGTTTAGTTAACTCCTAGCTAACTTTGAGAGTCGAGGGGGCCAGCTTACCAACTTAGAAAAAAAAAGCCTTTAAAAATCATTCTAGTTAAAGTACTCACTTCAACTTCATCCACCCACCAACCGTGTAATATATATACGCAATTAGTCTAGTTGCTAGTTGTTATACGCAATTCTTAATCCAAAGTCCGGGGTTTACGATTCATGTTCTAACTTAACAGCGAAAAGATCCTTGTCACCATGTTCGTGTTGTTTGTGCGGTTAATTCAGGTTCCATGCGACCTGTACATGTAACTAGCTGTCAGGGAGCTATTCCGGCCCAATCGAACTTGTAACTGGCGATGCAGCTGGGGCTCTCAAATTGCCAAAAAAAGAAAGTAATTCGAGCTCCTAGGGCTCCCAGGGAAACCTTTTCTACCAGGTTTCCGGATTAGAAAGTATCGGGTTTATGAAACTGTATATCTATACTCCGAATAGAATTCTAGGAGGCGTGTAGTTGCGAGAGACATATGTTGAGACGGTGTGCAGCAGCTAGCAGTGGCCGTGGTTAGGCCCAAGGGTCATTACTCGAAGGTTAATTAGGCCTCGGTAAATCCGCCCAAGGTACGAAAAACTCAAGCTCAAGACAAATATCCAATCGACAAATAAATCCGACTTTTGGTGAAAAATCAATTCTTGGATGGTCATATCATCTTTTGTCGATAGCCCTCTTTTGGAAATTCTTGGGCTTATCGTGATCTAGCTTTCCAGAGCCACCTCTGAAATCTTTGACGTTGCATGTTGGCGCATGTTGGTGCATGGTCATGGTCTTGAGGTGCATTCACGCGACACCGTGACGTCAAACCATTCGCCACTATTTACTTATTGCCTGAGATCCAGATGCCTGATTAGAACCAGTTCAGTTGGCGGCCCCACAAATCGGGGAATACAAGCAAAAACAAGCTTCCCAATGTTCTTGGTCTTTCTTGGGCATATCTTTTTCAACATCGGTTTTTGAAGCTGTTATCTTCATCCTGGCCAAAGGAGAGTGGGATTTAGACCCGCCTTAGGCAACCAACGGCTTGGAACTCTGAACTCAGCGAGCTGTAAGTACAGCTGTGAGTTCCGAAAAATGGAAACTAGAAAACCGCAATTGTACTAGGAACTCTGAGTTTGAAACGGAAAATGCTGACGAGATAAATTAGACTGCGGCTTTTGTAACACTGGAGATCTTTGAAGAGAGGTATCGGAGAACGCCAGAGTAGAGGAATGTAGAGATTTTAGCTCGTAAACTTATGCTTTGCAGCGCATGTCTCACAGCCTAGAATTCCTTGCCCGCACTAATCTTTGCCCGCACTCTCTTATCCGGGATCTGCGATACCTGGAGCTATTGTTACCAAATCGACGAGATGGTATCGAAAATCTTGATTGACGGCTGTAGAATCCCAATATATAGATACGAGGGCCCTACGGTACTCCTGAATTATCGTGACGTCAACTAAGTACCAAACGGAGGGAATCCTGAAGCTTTGCAATGTATGTATTGTCTGATAGAACATTTAGGACTATAGGTTCGTTGCAAGGCGATACTTAAACAGTTGATATCACGCTGATTGAGTTTTCAAGTGGTTTCTGAAAATTTTCAAAACCTTGCCCCCCGCTAGTTTTAGTTCCTGACCCGGGATCTTTAGTACGAACTCTATAGCCAAGTCTTTGATCTCGTTGGCGCATATATATTGAAGCCACGCGAAGGCTCGATATATATTCGCGGAGTGCAACACCGTCAAAGCCTATCATTGCCTGAAGGGCAGAACAACACAGCTTCTTGGGCAGAATAGTTGAATATTATTCGTTCTGCGTATAAAAAACTCGAGCCATCAAAATGACCTTCTTTGGGAAGCGTAGAGAAAGCGGTGGATCGGATGTCGAGAAGGCATCGGCCGACCCATCGGAAGGCCAAGGACGAATGGACCCGAAGGTCCTAGATCCTAATACTGGAGAGACAGAAGGACTCTCACAGGAGCAAGAGGAAGTTTTACATAGAAAGTTGAAGGGACGGCATATGCAAATGATTGCTATCGGGGGCTCTATAGGAACAGGTCTGTTTGTTGGCTCTGGGAGTGCTTTGCAATCTGGTGGCCCAGCATCATTGGTTATCGGTGAGTATTACATTGTTAAACAATCTTTCGTGATTTGCATAGTAGAAATCCAAATTGACTGACTTTGAGCATTGTAGACTTCATCATCATTGGCATCATGCTTTTCTTTACGGTTCATGCCCTAGGAGAATTAGCTGTTATGTATCCAGTAGCCGGTGCGTTCTACACATATTCTTGCAGGTAAGACTTGATACCTTTCCTCGAAAGAGCTCTAGAATCAGATCGAGGCATTGCAATTTGGATACTCTAATCATTTGACTAACTGCTATTTTTTTCAAATTCATAGGTTTATCGACCCAGCGTATGTGCCACCGTCTGAAATCAATTAGTTCGTGGAATTTTATTACAATGATCTAACATCGAGTGCTATATTTGTAGCTGGGGTTATGCAATGGGTATGAATTATGCATTCGTAAGAACCCCATCGTGCGCTCCAGTTTTTCAGAAATCCAGGCTAATCTTTCGTAGAACTGGCTCGTTGTGCTACCTCTCGAACTTACCGCCGCTGGTACGAACTCTACACTTAAATTTCCTAGTTATCGGGGAAACACCTAACACGATCATCTTAAAAATGATAGGTATCACATTACAATTCTGGGAAGGGGCGAGAGATATAAATATCTCCGTATGGATCACGGTTTTTCTCGTTATCGTAACAATTATCAATTTGTTTGGAGTCCGGGGTTATGGAGAAGTCGAATACATACTCGGAATACTAAAAATAATAGCCGTGATTGGCTTTATCATTACGGTATGATGGGTCCCAGCTGCGTACCATATTTGACGGTCAAAAACATCTGCCTAACTCCTGTTGTCTATATGTATAGGCCATAATAATCAACTGTGGCGGCGTTCCGACTGATAACAGAGGATATATTGGTGGAAGGTACTGGCATACACCAGGCGCATTCCGTAACGGATTCAAAGGCTTCTGCTCCGTCTTCGTCACGGCCGGTTTCGCATTTGCCGGTACTGAACTTGTTGGCCTTGCTGCCGCTGAAGCTGATAACCCACGAAAGTCTCTACCAAAGGCCACGAAACAAGTTTTCTGGCGAATTAGTTTGTTCTACATCGTTAGTTTGACTTTGGTCGGCTTGATCGTGCCTTCTGACGATAGTCGCTTGCTCAACGCATCTGGTGGGAATACCGCTGCTTCGCCATTCGTGATTGCCTTCCAACTGGCGAATATCGCGGTGCTACCCTCCATATTCAACGTTGTTATAACGCTTGCTGTTATTTCGGTTGCCAATTCGTGCACTTATGGGTCTACAAGAACGCTCCATGGTATATTAAAATACCCCCGCCCCTATTTTATGGTTAGTATTCTGCTAATGCGCACATGAACAGCACTCGCGGAGCGCCATATGCTCCCGTCATGGTTTGGCTATGTAGATAGCCATGGACGACCCGTGTTTTCACTGATAATAGCCCTTCTCTTCGGATGCCTAGCTTTCATTAACGAAGCCGCAGGTATGAAGCAACTTCATATTTCCGAAACTTTTTAGACTCTAACATGAAGCTGATTCCTCTAGCTGGTGAGGAAATATTCAACTGGTTGCTCGCCCTTTCCGGTCTCTCTCAGTTCTTCACATGGGCCAGTATCAATCTTGCCCATATTAGGTTTCGCCACGCTTGGAAACTTCAAGGTAACTCGCTTGATGAAATACCATTCCGTGCCGCTGGTGGGATCATTGGGTCATACATGGGCTTTGGATTAAACTGTCTTGTCCTCGTCGCCCAATTCTACATTGCCATTTCTGTAAGAGCCGTCCAAAAAATTGTAATTGCGCATATAATGCTAACAAGGTGTCTACTAGCCTTTGGGCTCTCCGATGAGTGCCAAAAATGTAAGTTGATAGCTCATTGATCGAAGTGGTTGTGCTCGAGCCTATATTCTAACGGATCCGCGGAATTTATAGTTCTTCCAAAACTATCTCGCCGCATTTATAATCCTGCTATTCTATCTCGGATATAAATTTTGGAAACGGGACTGGAGCTGGTACATCAAACTTGAAGATATCGATTTGGTAACTGGGAGAAGAGAATTAAATCTTGGGGAAACTTTACGCAAGGAACGGGAAGAAAGGGCAGGGTGGCCGACATGGAAGAAGGCCTGGCATTGGTTCTGCTAGACTAGCTTGACCGTAAGCTTGTGTATCATGAGTTCTCGTATGCGAGATATGAGGCTATAAAAAAGAGTTTAAGACAGACGTTATGAGGATATGTAATTACGTCAATGAATGAATTCGATGATAGCGTTGCATTTTTAAAAATCTACTCAGTTATTCCCACCTAAACTTATAAACCAAGCTAGAAACAGCTAGTTAGACTGCAAAAGGCAAGAGCGTCCCCCAGACTAAAAGGCAGGGCAAAGACAAGAGCCTATGCTTAGCTATCAAACATCGATATCGGCCTTTGGATCCCGCCAAGTTGGGGCTCGCGATAAGAATTCAACTGTTGTTTCATCATCATGTTCTGAGTTTGCAGCACCACAATATACAGCAACGCTACTAGTAACAAAACCCCTGCTATTACACCGATTGCAATTGCAACTTTATCGCCTGTCTGCAGTCCCCTTGATCCCTTCCACTGGCTTGCTAATTCTTCGAGACTTGTACCATTCAGCGTTGTCGTAATGGCCGAATATATAACCACCGTAACAACGCTAGCTGTACTCGTTGTGACTGTGTTTGTAATAATGCTGATGGTTTTAACGACTGTATCGGTTTGTGGCGCTGTGAGTTCCACGACCTTAGTAGCTCCTACAATAGTCTGCGTGGTGGTCTGCGTGATGGTCTGCGAATCCACTTGGGTTACAGTTGGTACTACAGCTGTATCTTTTCCAGCGCAATATCCCTGGTACATGCTAATAGCTGATGATATATCTCGTGTTTGGCCTCCACATGCTGCGGATACGCAGTCATACAGAGATTTTGTCGCTTTTGAGTAGAAGTCTCGCCGGCACCAGCAGCTATCAAGGTAGGGCTCGTAATAGTCGCAACCTAAAAAGACACCGACGTCATCACAGTTGACCCAGCCGGCTGTGCAGTATATGCAAGTTCTGACACATGGTAGAGCTGATGAGAATTCGGCCAGAGAATATATCGAAACCGTTTGTGAGACCGAAAGAGTAGTAAGGATTGCTATGACGAAGAGGATGTTGAATCTCGTAATTAAACTCATAGTTCCGACTCACTATTCTGCATGGATTTAGCATCAAGACTATCAGTAGTCTGGTTTCATAGCTTTGGTATACTTTCAAAGGATACTAAGCTTGCGCTTGGTAATCTTGGCCTTCGATCAGCCGTATCCCTGGTGTAACATGAGATCTGGAACAAAAGAGGCCCGATCGAAGCAAACATAAATATACCACATGAATATATACATGTTTCTATGGTTGCACGTCTGAGACTTACGAGGATTTTAGCAAAGTTCTGACCCTGAATCTTAATCCAAATCCAAATCAAAAGATCTATAAAAGTCGGTGGGGTTGGTATGGTGTACTTTTCAAGGTTCATCGTCGGCTTCGCTTTGCAATGGAGTTCTTTTCAAATTTCATTCCTGTCTACTATAGGGACCGTACGATACCGCTCAATTCCTGCATTCATCTTCCCTATGAGCCCAGTATTCAAAGCGGGGAAATCAAGTTCAGCCGCAGGAGGCTTTCCATTTTCAACAAACGGACCTCGGGTTTTGAATACATAGACAAGTCGCACATTGTGGCCTTGGTCTAATTTCAAGGTTATGCCCGCACGCAATTGCACATAAGCTAGTTAGTCCCATCAAAGAAATGCCATCCTGTATACATGTAATTTGTGCCTCGAAACGTACTTAAGTTAATAGAACACAGACATTGATGTTTCAACAAACTTATCCTCAGATCTAGATCTGAGGAGTCAGGAAAAAAGAAAAATTCAACACTCAGAAAATAAAAATGATAAAAAGAGCACCGCGCTGTACAGCCTGCACCTCACGGGCGCCCGGGTCCATAACGTGTTAACATCTAATGTTCCATGCATGAACGGTACAGTTGTAAACACTGAGGGTTGAATATCCTGATGTCTTTCTTTCATATGACCGTCAATAGTCTCCTTTGAGGTGTTGGCCGGCCTCAGCTTTGTCATCATTGACGGCGACCTTGTTATTTGGCGCACTCTGCAGCTCTGCGAATCGCATTTTCTACCTCAGGTCCCTACAATGCCCTTATGAGCCATATACCCCTCAGAGTAGTGAAGTACTTAAAGCTTCAAAGATAATCAACCTACGTTTATTGGTTTCGCCTTTCGGTTTTATAGCCTCCTTCGAGGAGTATAAACTTGTCGCAAGAAATGGGGATTCCAAGCAAGACACCAAGAATAAAGGAACACCAGGATACCTAGCAATTACCTTTCCCCCCCCCCGAAAGTACTAACCCTACCAGAAATACCGATGTTTTGGTGAATTCGAATACGAAGATTTTCTTTTTTTCATCTTGAAAAATGCACTCTTCTAACAAGAGAAGATCAAAGACATACGTAAGGACATTGATCATTACATTATACAGGCTAACCTCGAGACTAGGTGTAGATGCCTGCTAACATGTTTTGGTGTAGAGTCTCGCACCGTGCTGCGGATATCAAACAGTTAGTCGGACGAACAAACCAAGATGTGATAATTTCTCCTCGCCCGATATTTGTAAGAATCGGACAATGCTCGTTCGCAAGGTTGAGGAAAGTTCGGACCCAGCATTGCACTGGAAGAGACCGCATAAAAGCGATCGACACGCGCATGAGGAAATGTGTTGTTGTCTACCCAAAATGGGCACGGTTACTGGGTCCCGTCGTCAACTCAAATTAAACATTCCTCGATAGATCTATAGAAACACTTTGTTGAGCTGGTGGATTCTAGGCGCCTAGTTTACCTACGCGCCAGCTTAACTAGTTCCCAGACCTTGCCAAATTCTACAGAACATTATTTCGAAATTTCACCATATACCTTATATTACACTTATCATCATGTCTCGAGATCTCGTCGTTGTCGATAGTCCGGCGTATACGTATGTACAGGCGGAGGGATTTCAAACTCCAAGTGGATGCGCGTTGGGGCCCAATTAATGCAACAAGGCCAGCGAGCAGCTCAGACTCATGTTAACAGGTATTGGTCAAAGTCAAAATATTGAATTCAATTTGTATAGTATAGTCTAGGCTAATTTGTCCCTCAGTCCTTTAAGATCTTCTTCAGAGACATTCACCTGGTCCATCGGTTATAATTATGCGAACAGACCAGGGTTTTCGCCGTTCAAACTGCAACAGATGACGAAATATTCGGTCAACCTGCATATCTAAAGGGTGGGTCGGTGACGTTTGACAGCCATGCCGCCTCCAACATGGCAACCCTAGTGGCTGGTCTACAACCGACGAAATTGACTGGATTCATGAAAGGGTGTGGCGAGCGGACCTCTTGGCCGGATGGTCTTTATCATGCCCCATAATCATGTATCATCGCGCCGTTAGGAAAACGTGGTGGTCGTTTAACATCTCTGGGATCGGTCTCCGGAGTGTGGTATTTTTTTCGTCAAGAAACTGGGGTTGACGTCAACGCCAACGGTCAACTTGATATATTGGAGCGAATCCTGCCGTTCTCGAAGTTACAGTTGCTATTCTTGAATATTTTGCCAGGAGATAGAAAACCATACCAAATTTTCAATTTACACTTGAGTGTGCTGAAATATTCTAATACTCGTTGTTAGCTCTAAGGCTAAAGTAAGTGGTCTCTCAAGTTTTATCTTCCAGGTTGGAAACTAGCTATTGTTCGACAAGTGTCTGAACTTTTCCAACCCACTCATGAACGTATGACAACTAAATTACTATGTATTGACAGACTTCTTAATTAAAGCGCGGAGACATCGACACTTGGAAGAATTTTTGTTCTGGGAGAAGGTCGATTTATTGGTTAATTCACCCAATACCAGTTCAAAATCTTGAAGAATATATCCGTCTGTGAGCGCGCCAGCTTCACACCGAGTCCGCCAAAATGCCTATCCGCGAACCTCGTTTTAACCAGGAGAAGCTCACCATGTCTCCTCCGAGCATGAAGCCCTGGAAAATGTCGCCGCCCTCGATGTCTCCTCTTCACATGACCCCACCGAATATGTTGCTACCTAATTTCTCCCCTCCACAATTTAAATTGCCCACACTCTCAGCATCAATCTATTTCCCACCACAAACGTTATTCGAAGAGGATCTTGAATGTCCGCCTTCCATTGCGAGATTCTCACTGGATGACCCAACGGTTTGTGTTATTGGTGCTTATGCAGAAGATACAGAGGGGGATCCTGTCAATCCACAAAACGCGCTGGGAGAAAAGGGAAGAATTTACCTAGCTAGGGTAATGGATCTGGAAGGGGAGGTTAGAGGAGATGCAGCTTTCCCCCCAGATCCACCGAGGAAAAAGATTATTCCGAATATGTACGACACATTATGAATCTATCCAATCGATAGATAGATGGTTTTGGGGCTAATAATATCTTTCTCGGATCCTAGGATAATTGCAGATGATATTGAGACTCCAGGAGGAATAATTGACCTCTGCTGGTCAACCAGCGATCCAGACCTCCTTATCGCAACGACGACTACAAGTGAGGTATTAATTCTTCAGGTTACTGTCGGAAATCGTCCGTATTCTTCACGAATCGACCTTCTTTCTTCCCATCGAATTTCTGACCCTAGCAATTTGGTTGTTTGTGTCGCTTTCTCGCCCGCCCAGAATGATATCGTTGCAGCTGGGTTAAGCGATGGTTCGGTAGCTATTTTCTCGCTTCCGGAAGAATTGGAAGAGGATAATCAAATCGAAGTCATTCGTACTTGGCGCCCTTATGGCGAAGATCCAATTTTGACTCTTTGCTTTTCAAATGATGGGAAGGAGTTGTATGTTGGAGACAATAAGGCAAAGGTGTCCTGCTGGAAGATCGGAAAGGATGGAAACAAGAAGCCGGATATGCAATGGGTAGACGACTCGACATTTAAAGACGGCGATTGCGTTACAAAGCTCATCGCATGGCCGACTGAGCGGTCGCCAAAGAACACCATACCCCGTAGAAGGCCGCTTCTTCTTGTTGGTGGACTGGATGGTAATCTTCGCATTACGGATTTAACGGAAAAGCAAGTCATTCCACCCCCACTAACCCAAGAAAAGAGTATATTTGACCAGACTGAGAATGATCCCGATGGTGGGATATGGGATTTGGCACTTCTCCCACCGATACCGAGGAAATCACAGTTGGAGGATATTGACGTGGGCGTTTTTACGCCCGAAGATCACCCAAAGATCCCAACAGATCCTGATGAGAATGGTGTTCTAGTCTCTTGCATGGAGGCTGGCGCAAGGGTATTCGTCCAGCGGGAGGAATTTATGGAAGTTTTCATTCGTGATCCTGAAAAGACAAAGGATAAAGACGAAGAAGAGCTAGATGAGGAAAAGGGAGTTGAAAAAGACTGGTTCAACCGAGAGAGACCATTCGAATGGTATAATGTGGCACGCTTTCAGGAGCATAAGGGAAAATGTTATTCCGGCACGGCAGTTGCTTTCGTGGACTGGGATCCCATATTCAAGGAGAGTGGAGAGCAAAGGAAGAGGAGAGGTTGGAGACTTATGACGACTAGCTTTGAGGATAGGAAGGTTCATATCTGGCAAGTCTTTGCTGACTAGGTATATTTTACCAGTTGAACTTATCATCATATCAATTGCGTTTGCTGCGAACGAGTCTAGTTTGACTATGTTAACATGTTTTTCACGTATTAAGTTTAAGCTTCACTGAGCTTGCTAGTGTAATTACTTTGACCATCGACGTCTTTTCGAAACTGCGGGCTTGGCTCAAAAAATCTTGCAACACTATCGCGTATCTACGCTGTATTAGCTATTTTTAATTTAAATTAATTTTGTTCAATCTTCAACTCCTTAAATTCTTTCACGGTACCCGGTAGCGTTGTATCTAATGGAATCCTCTCAAAAGTTGAAGCCCCCAGAAACCCATGTACACCTTTCGTATCCTTCATAATATGCTCGAAGGTCTCAAGAGTACTTATAGGACCACCGTGAATTAGGACAATGATATCCTCCCGAATATTCACAACGGCGTCTATAATCTCTTGTGCAACTTTGGCTGCGTCGGCAATCGAAATTGCGTTTTTCGCTCCAATTCTTCCTTGACTTGTAAGCCCAAAATGAACGACAATAACATCGGCACCTGCGTTTGTCATGTCGACAGCCTGTTCTACGGTAAACACGTATGGGATAGTCAAGAAGTCCAAAGAATGTGCTAGTGCAATCATTTCAACTTCTTTATCGTATGACATACCAGTCTCTTCGAGGGCTTGGCGAAAGTTCCCATCGATCAAGCCTACAGTCGGGAAATTCTGGATACCGATAAAGCCGAGGGTGCGGAGATGAGGGAGGAAAACGGAAAGGTCTCGAAAAGGATCCGTTGCACATACTCCCGCAATAACAGGGAGCAACTTGATTTGTGGGAGGACAGTTTGGGCCTTAGGATTCCCCTGAATTGTCAGTATCTGTTGAATAGCTGTACGTATTGGCATGGCATATAAGATATCATGGGGACGAACCATATCGCAAACTATTGCATTTGCATCACCATACGGCATTAGGCCCGCTAATGAACCTAGTCCATGCATTCTATATAAGCCGGAATTATAGAGGGCTATGAAGTCTGCGTCGCCGTCTTCGATCAACTTTGCTGATATGCCAACGCCTAGAGCCAAAAGGAAGTACTATAAGCCACGAAGCTATTCTTGACTGAGGCCTGGCGATAAATACCTGCGCCTGAGCCAATAATGACTTGGTTGGCGTGTATAGAGTCTCTAAACCTCTTCAAAGTTTCAGATCGGCTAGCCGGTCGAGACATATTTTAAAATTATGATATATTAGTACGGTAAAAATTTATATGTCCGAAGGCTGTTGATAAAGTAACAGAAAGTTGCACCCAAAGCGCCGTACTTATACTTAGGCAGCAGCCAGCCAAACCTCTAGATAATGATCTGGGATCCGGCATATATAGCGAGCGTTTGGTGACGTATTTGTGTCACATTAGCAGGCGTAGACTACGTATAGTTGTCGATCATACCAGTCTGGCGTCCATTATCAGCGTCCCGCAAACCCAGCAGAAAATTGGAGTTCGAGGAAGTTTAAATTCGAAGGTTGGTTCTAACAGCTAACTACCTAGAGCTTATGCTAGGCAGGTACTAATAAAGAAGGCTGCGGAATTCCTTCGGTTTGCTAATTGAATTCCGTACCGCGAATAACTTGCATTCGATGCAGTAGTTTATGAAACTTAGACAAACACGCTCCATCCTGGGCCTCGTTCTCCTTGAAATAAAACAAGAAATGAAGATCCTAAGGAGGTTGACAGAAAATCTGGATATAGGTAGTAGGTCTCTGGTTTATAGTCATTGTCAAGTAGGAAACCGATAACCACCTTATATTAATCTCGACAGGGGAGAATTAATTCCACTTCCTTATTTTTGGATATTTCTGTTGGACGGTGTCAGCCTGACAGGAAAATTATATAGCACGCACCCAAATTATCCCGGGTCCTTGGGAGCTCAAACTGTAATATCGTTTCTCGGTTGATTAGGTATTATACATACTTAAATGAGGATCTTGTCGAGCTATAAGACTGCTGAAGATGCCCTTGGTGGTATAAATTTCGAGTTGGTAGCTGAGCTGCCCGTAATCCCGCGTGGTCTCAGCTCTAGATAGTCTCGAGACCCAGCCTCTAAACAACCGGCGTGACGCTCCGCTACTTCCGAGCTACTTCAGCTACGCTCATCAGCTTACCATCAAACTATCTTAAACATCCCCACCATCTTAACTACCATCTTAACTATTTCATCATCATCATCATTCCTTACCACTTTTCACAATAGAGTATCGTTCTATCAGACTGTGAGGTAGCTGGGTGGGATTAAATGGAAGATACCGCAGACTTGACGGCATCGGCCATGGAAGTTGGTCCTAGCTCTGGCACAGGTTTAACTAAAAGTAGTAAGGTTACCTCCTTCTATGGCTCTTGCATCTGCTAATCTCTAGAACATACAGGTACTACAGCAGAAAAAACTACACCAGAGGCTTTGAGGTCCCGAGATGCAACGGTTCAAAGGGAGAAATCCTCACTAGGTCCTCAATATGATGATAAAACCCTGATGCCGCCTCCATCTCTTCCTACGAATGTGTCAAGATCACAGTCCCCAGGAAATAAACCGTCTCCTAGGCCTTCAAGGATGCGAGTGTCCAAAAGTGCGAAAAAACCAAACCGCCCGATGACTATTCGAGAGTGGAGAGCGGCTGCTCGAAAGAGAAAGGCCGAGGGTGCCGTTAAAGAGAACAAGTCTCCACAAAAACTACCTGAACTCATGCCGGAGCCGCCACCAAAGCCGATGTCCCCGCCTCCTCTCCCATTTCAAAAACCACGGAAGCACAAGCAAAGTCAGAGAAGCCAAAACATGGGCAATAACCCGCCTAAGCGGCCTCCTAAAAATTTCACAAGCGGGTTATTAAATTCGGTAGACGTTCTTCTAACTCCAAAGGAAAAGGAACGAATTGCTATAAAGCAAAAACGAGGCCAAGATTCTGAGAAAAACCGTGCTGTTTCTTGCGAGAAGTCTGGATGGGGTGGTGGCATAAAGGGTACCCCGTCTAGTGACAATGGGCTGCGAGTAATAAGGCCTAGCCCTGGGATTTTTATGGTCCCTCTTATCAACAAGAGGAGGAATGATTTTACAAAAGCACCACCAGGAGCAGTACCTTTCAATTTTGACAAAATGGGGATGCCATATGCTAGCTCAATAAATACACCATACCCGATTTATCAAACTCCTGGGCCTTTCACAACCCAGAACAATGGCTTTCCCCAGGCCAAGTTTGATGGGAGCTTCCAGTCTTTCGATACTCAAAACCTAGGGTTGAATTCTCCAAGTCCGCCTTCCACGACTGGTCATTTCCAACATAACTTAGTGGCTACGTCGAAAGCCTCGGATAAGTTCTATTTGGATGTTATTGCCAGGGTAGGAGCGCCGATTCAGTCTAAAAATGGTTCATCTGAGGCGGCTATGGACGTTGACACAGACCCAGAGCCTACTTCGTCAAAGGAGAATTCAACTGGTGCTAGCGTCACTGAGAGAAATTCCTTTGGATCTGAAATAAACATTGGTGCTGGAATTGGTGGTAGGGCTAGTAATTTGTCTACACCAGCTTCAGAAGAGACCGCATACATCAATGACTTCGGAGTCCAACCTCCAGGTGCTTCCCAAACGAGTGGCGTACCGTCAACAATGGGAAATAAAATCATTAATAGCGTGGACGGAGCGGAAGGAATTAAAGTAAATTCACAGGAAAACGGCGTTTCAGTAGATATAGATGTCGACTCTGAATTCGAATTTGCGGGCAGCTTTACAGAGATGCTAGAGGGGGCCGACACTTCTTTTTACCCAGTTGAAGATGAAACTGCTACAAAACGAGAAATTAAACCAACCCCCAATTTTACATCTACGCCATCGGCTTCCAAGATCGGGCCGATTGATAACTCGGTCATTTCTCCCATGATATCAGCGGGTACCTCCCCAGCTCAAAATCTGCCCTTGGGTTTCAAAGGCCATGTGGATTCGCAAGCGGACCGAAGCACGAATAATGGTTTAGGGAACATGAACCCTATGAATATGGGCCCTGTGAACCGACTTGGGCCGGGACCTGAACTGATATACACACCCAGCGGGTTTCCTTCGAGATACTCAACTCCCATGAACATAAACACGAACATGAACATGGGATTGAACATGGGAATTAACTCGGATCCACTAGATTCCTTTTATGGACATAGTTTTGGGAATGTAAACCCAAATAGCCCCACGGCTCCCGGCATGCCCTGGAGCTTCAACAAAAATCCGGGGGCATATCTTAATTTCCCCAATGCAGTAGGATCTCAGCCCTCACTTCAAGAGTTTGGCCTACCTAGGCCAGTTTTGTCAACCTCTCCACCAACAGAACCCCTCCCAAAAGACCTCTTTCACGACGACTACATCGGAGAAGTCCCACCAGATCTTGAGGAGTTCAAACCCCAGAGACTTTACATCCCTTGGACTGCATTCAATCAAGACAATCTTCAGGATCTCAAGAATAGAGTTGCTACACGGTCTTCCTTGGAGACTCATATTCCGCTGCCAAATCAATTGAAGGATAAGTATTGGGTAACTGAAGATGAGAGGAGGCAAGCGGATAGAAGAAGGCCTTTTGGAGGAAGCGATATGAAAGGTACAGATCTGAATCTTCGAGGAGTCCCCTTTACAAGAGGCCCAATGATTAGGGGGGGTATGGTGAGAGATGTCCCCGTGAGAGGGGGGCCCATGCGAGGTGGTGTTATTGAAGGCGTTCCCATCCGAGGCATCCCTACTAGGGCGGTAACTAGTAGGGGAAGGGCTATCAGAGGAGTGAGTACCACAGGGGGGAGAGTTCTTCACGAAATGGTGCCTTCCGGCCCAGTCGAAAGCCCAAATACTCTATTCAACAATAGCGGCTCGCGTCAACTAGAGGATCCACACACACCATCGCCATTACAAGGATTATACAGACCAAAACTAACACCTCGAAGTTTCAAAGAATCGCCGAAAGATCCAATATCGATTCCGCTCCCGGCCCGAACAGATGAAGACGATATAGCGATGATTTTCGATGATCCCGGCCATCTCTTTGAAAACAGCGATGATGAAAGTGATAATGAAGGCGAAGACGAAAGCGAAAGTGATGGTGAAATTGACAGTGAAAATGGTGATAGTAACGATGATGAAGATACTTATAGCAGTGATGACTGTGGTGCTGACAGTAGTGATGAGGAAGATGACTTTCCTATGGAAGACGATAAGAGGCAGAAAGAGGGAGACGGAGTCATTGAAATAAATAGTGACAGTAGCAGTGATGACGACCAGGATGGCCTCGAAGAGGACGATGAAGATGACTACTTCGACGGTGGATACGATGAAGATAGTGATGGATTTTCATCGGAGGATGAGCTATCGAAACTCCGCGAGCGTTGCAAGAAAAACGGTATTACAGAGGATGATATCAAAGAGTTACTATTGGCGCTCGATGACATGGAGGCAAGTTCTCTCTCACTTATGAACCTATCTATTGCCTTAAAATCACATTCTAATATATCCTCTAATACATAGAAATATTGGGAAGAATACCCCTTCGAACCAGAAGTCGACGCCGGTCTCTCCAAGTTAATTGAACCCTTCCTGGAAGGAGCCGAAGAAAAAACTGAAACCGACGTCGTCCTCGAAGAAGCTAAAAAGAAGAAGATAGCAGAGCTATCTGAGCCACCGAAGTTTATTGGACCAATGCCGCAACTTGAAATTCAGGGACAGAAAAAAAGAATTAGTTTTCTAGACACTAACGAAGGGAAGCCTCAGAAAAATACTCTACGCCCTCCACCACCGCCACCAGTGAGACAAGGTCCCAGACGAGTAAGCTTTCTGGATATAAATAAACCATCATCTCCTGCACCAGGGAATGGGGGTAATAACAACGAAATTGAAAAGCTTCCAATGGTGACGAAAAGCCCCCTTGCTGGATTCGTAGCACCAAAGGCAAAGAAAGCACCGGCGCCGAGGAGAGTAAACACACAAGCCCCAAAGAGTACTACCGGAAACGCCGCCACGTTGCCAGTTGTCCCTTCCCAGCAGCTTGTATCTTCAGCAGCACCGAAAAAGGGAAGAGTTTCGTGGACATTTCTGCAAGCCCAGAAACAAAAAGAGGCAGATGAGGCAGCCGCAAGTCCGCCAGGTGTGCAGGATAAACCCCAACCCTTTCCAAAAATTTGAGAACAGACACTTTTACCCACTCAATCACTCCCAGTTACTAATCAAATTGAAATCGAAACAGCATCCCAGAGTCAACTCGCACAAGCTGGGGGAAGTTTGGCAATGGAACTCAATGATACGGGGTAAGGATTTGGTCTAGGAACAGATATGATTCTAAGTACTGTATGGTAGTCGAAACGGCTTTAAGATAGTATCAGACCATCTAAGATAACTGAGATCAACGAACAAAACATAGTTAGGTTGGGTCTTTATAAATTTATCTCCTAGCCCTAGAAATAAAACCGCCCCCAAATTCTGATCACGTAGGCCCGTGCTTCTAGCTTACTTAAATTCCTAGAAAATTCAAATAGCATGCCAGGGTAGAAAATCATCCTCTATTGATGACGCTAACTGAGAAGTGATCTAGAGTTACACACAAAGAAAAGGCCTTCGAAACAGAAACTTTGCCCTAAAGATTTTCGCAAAGCAATCAGAACGCCTTTGGCGCTTTCCGGACACAAAAGCTCTTCGTGATGATCATTACATATATGTATGCACGCAGTTACCGCAAGTTAGCTACTTGAGGTCTATAAAAGCCCCGTCCCGTATTCCGGGCCATTATTTCTCTTTCCTCCTGACTCAACCAGGACAAGCTTCGGTATTTGCCTAGCTAGAGGAAAATTATCTAGCCATCAAACAGTAAGTGTCAGTATATGCTTTATTCAGTATACAGATAGGTTAAACTCATCCAAATCTCCCTAGTCAAACCTCATTCTTGGAGCCCGCGAGTAGGCTTTTGTCGATCACAAGATGAGTGTATTCTTCAGGTAACCTACCCCAATGTGGACTTGCAGTATCTACAATATTTCCCCAATACACCTCTATCACGTATCAAGCTAAGTACTTTCGAACGTTACTAAAAGATTTTTTATCTGATTGCTACGTACAGAGGAAGCGATATTCCAGAAAATCGAAAGATCGAACTCGATCTAGAATACGGAAGCGAAACATTGATAGCCGACGAAAACCTCTTACATTTCAAATGTCCTTTGATTTCAACAGTCCTAGATTTTCAAAACGCAATGTCGACCCAAGGGAACCGCGGCAGACCAAAGAGACTATCACTTCCAAAGATCAAACTAGCTGCTATGGAAATCATCGTCGATTGGATGTATACTGGTGTCTTCGCTCTTCCATATAAATACCATAGCGATGATACGACGATCCCAGAAACCTTCTATGCGGCGTGTTTACTCGGACTTAAGTGTCTCCCCAAACAAATTTTTCGAGTCCTTGAGGAGGATCTTCTTAAGGGTGAGGGGAATGGGAAGATTCAAAACAGAAAAAAGCTTTTTAAGGAACTCAGAAGGGTGCTTGATAGAGTCTCGTACCCACAAACCCAGGTTGATGTTGATACAGAAGAGTTGGATCGGATTTATCGAGCTTGTCTTTGGAACACTCGACTTCGTATAGGCAATAATACTACGTGAATATCACACTGCTATATTTCAAGGGTAACCTTGGGCAGATATGAGACAGATTCAATTCTATATTCGCTAAATACGAAAACGAACCACCCAAATTATTTTCACATCATGTAGCTAAGAAATGGTAGTACAATAACTAGATAGCGGTGATAGTTTCTTGTTTATCTTTAACAATGCGGGTATTCATATACGCATACGTACTAGACAATGTTTTCTAAAAGTTTATTTATTAAAACCAATAACCTGATACTTGGTTTCCTTGAGGATCTCTCCAGATGCCATCTACCTCAGTGCCCTGACCATACAACAAACTATTCTGGTTTGCAACTAACTGCTCCATCCATTGCTTGCAAACTTCCTCGCTATCAATAACGATATTGATCTCTTGGCTATGAAACCAACTTTGAGTATCTTGATTCCCGGACCCCTGTATCCCGATTCTTTCATCCACGATCATAAGTTTAACTTCCCGTAAGGTTCCAAATTAGCTAATTGAACACTCTCAAATTATATAGGTCTCGGATCAGGTAACTTACTATGACAAGTCCTAAAATGCTTCGCTGCATGAACCGGCTTCATCATATCCCTTCCAACGTACCAATATATCTTAAACCTCATTCTCTCTTCTTTGTTTAATTGTTTTATCATATGCCCAACAACCCACTCGTTATGACCACCTTGAGTTGGTAACATTTCACCTAGATCGTTATATCCTAAACAAAGCACAATACTAACCTCAACACCTCGCTTTACGGCTTCTAGTAGAGCAGTGATTACTGGCGCCGCGTTGAGATCTGGTGTTTGAATGAAAACCTTGGATTTTGCAAAGTATATCGCTGATAACCAGGCGACATTTTGTGGTGTGTTTAGGGAAACGTTTCCAAAACCTAGAGGTGCAACATGGGATTCACATTAGTTAAGTTTATGAGATATCAATTGCATTACTAGAATCACCTAGTTGGGGCGCGCCAACTTACTGGGGTATGGAGCTCTTGGAGCAAGAACCATTGCAATATCGCTTGTGTTTAATCGTAAATGTGAGCGGAACGGAACGTTTAAGGTATCATCGTTTATTGCCTCTGTTTGCAGCGGACTTGAAACTGATCTATCTATACATAAACTTAGTATTCACAAACAGGTACAATCTACAACTCTTTGTCAAAAACTTACTTAAGACTTGAGTTATATCTTTGATTATTCGTTTGGATGGCGGGTCGTTAAATAAGCTAGGACGCATAGTGGACGCTGCTAGAGCATCAAGACCTGGAAAGGAATTGCTTCTGCTCCCATTCTCAAAGGAATCTTTGGAACTTATGGACAATCCCCACGTCGAGACGGCATGATCCCATATCTCATCTACCACTGAACCCTCAAATTGGCACATCATTTCTAGATTAGAATTATCTTGAATGTTGCAACTGTTGAGTACTGCAATTCTTTTGTCAATCACCATGAATTTGGAGTGAAATGTCCCAATGGGGAGGTTATGGTAATTTAGAACTTCAAGATCGACGTAGGGTGCATCTTTAGTCGAAGGTAGACCAAGAGTAACCCATTCGGCTTCTGCGACTGCGACTCGGGACTGGAATACCTAGAGCTTTATTTCAGCCTTCTTTGAAAACCACAGAATAATATCGAGAATCATAACAGTCTTACATGTCTCACGCTACCCCTGTCGAACATAATTCTCACTATTACAGGGGGTCTGTTATTTTGTCCAATTCTTTCTGAAAGAACCTTCAAGCCCTCTCCTATTCTTTTGGCGGCATACGAGTTTTTCCAGAAATTTGAGAATATCAGGATTTCAAATTTGGCTTCAACGATCAAGTTGTAGTAGTGGTCTGCAATATCTGGGACACTTCATTTATTAGTACCCTTGTATTCATGCTAAGGCCATAGAACTCCAAAAACTCACGTTGAAATAATAGTCAAAGGGACTCTTCCGAGAGCCCCAACTATTGACTTCGGTGCGCAACTAGACGAATCGTGGTCTCCAGATTTTTTGATATTCACAAATATCTAGAGACTCAAATAACTAAGATCAGATATCGCAATTGTGCCTTTAACAAGACATTACCTAGGCTTACTTTTGAGAATAACTCCGATGGTTGTGTAACCCCGAAACTGCCGTCTTCCGTGACAGCGCGAAGTTCCCCTTTACTTGGTGTATGAATTTTAAGTGAAAGAGGCTCCCCACTTATCAACGATATCATGGAATCTAGAATTCCAGGGCTTTTCTTCGAGTTATGTTGCATGGCGACGTTGGTGCGTATAAATCCCACGGACGTTAGGTTTAATAAATTTTAGAATACAGACGCGCGTATATTATATTGTAAACGTATAAACGTAATGGAATGTCGTATCTCTAATGGGATAAATATACAGATCCCTTTAGCTCTATGAAGTCTTCGAATTTGAAATCTTGGATGTAAACGTATTGTAGGAAGGTGAGCTTTGGTCACGCCAGCTTATGTTGGTTTAATTAAGGTACCCCGTACATGTATATGTATCCGTGCGAAGCTCAGGGAAACTCGAAAATGTATTCCGATGTTACCGGTACACCATGACGTCAGGCAGAGTCAAATTGCAACAACACGACTTCCTTCTTGTCCATAGTCATAATATCGAGTCCCTACCAATGCAACCCCGTGATCGTGAATTCATGAATCAATCCATCATGAATGCTTAAGTAGATAGAGTGCAGTTGCTTCATATTCCTAGGACTCGCGTGTATGGTCAAAAGCCCAAAATTTTCCAAATTTTATATTTCAACTGAAAGCGCGGCCGCTTCCCTCGCGGCGTCATCGTCCGGTTTCAATCCCGCATTCGCAGGCCCGAACACGCATCTTCCCGTCCGAGAATCGAACCTGCTCCCATGCACTTTCCAATTATTAGCAAAGAAATAAGTAAATGCTAAAAACTGAAAACAGATATCTTCAACTCACAGGGACAATCGAATGTTTTCTCGGTCGGATTCCACATCAAAACACCGTAAGCATGCGTGCAAAGTCCTGTGAACTGCCTGGTTTTCCCTTCTTCATCTTTATATATTGCTAGCGGCATTCCGTGCTGTGTTCTGTCTTTTGATATGACAGCACCTGTACATGGCGGTAGCTCTTCGATGTCGATTGCGGCGTACCGGTCCTCTCTAGACTTGGCAATTAATTCTTCTAAATGAACCTTTTCAATTTCTTGATCCAATAGTTTCGACTTCGGCTTCCTGGAAGCATCATAGACATTTTCCCAGGTATTCTTAACGCCGGTGATTTGATCACTTAAGATCTTAGCACCTATAACTCCGTAATTAAATCCAGTGCCCGAGTCGCCCGTTATCACAAATATATTTGTACCAGGCTTCTCGCGACCTATGAATGCTAAATTGTCATTTGAATCAACAATTTGACTTGACCATGAAAATTCAGGCACCGTGTTCGCCGTGGGAAAGTTTCTGAATACCCATTCTTTGAGTGTTGCAAAATGGGGTTCGTAGTATTCGATATCTATGTGGGCTGTTTTGTGTCTACCTCCGGTTACGATGAGGTATACTAGATTTGGGTCTGGATGGGACGCAACTGATGTAGTGAATCCTAGGATGCTAGTTAAGCCGGTGACAATGTGTTCCAGAGCCTCAGTTTTTGGAATCGTGTTTGCGATGTGGTATGTCCTATTAGGATATTCTAATATTAGCATGTACCCCTTAGCTTAGGCTTAGAACATATCTGTAGGCTCTTATACCGGTAGTAGGCATTGGCCATTATGTAAGTTCGAGATCCTATAGGATTCTAGCTGTTAAGCTATTGTCATTTCAACATTTTTGGTAAATTTTTAACCCACGAATAGGAACATTCATCGCCATCACAAAGTTTTTGGCCTTAATAGAGCAACTCCTCCCATCTATTTCGATTGATACTCCATTTCCATCCCCTTTATACGCTTTGACTCTGGTGTGCGTATAGCAGGAGAATAAATCAGAGTGATTATCAGAAAGGTAACGTAGGATACCATGTAAGTATTTCGTAGGATGCAAAGTCGCACAATCGGTAACTTTGAAGGTTTTTGAGTCTGAGGCCCTGACTTCATCGAGAGCTTCGGCAGCTCGAGTGGGCCCTGCAGCATTGCTGTAAGCCTCGATCTCCTTTGAAAGATCGTCTTTGTCGGCTAAAGATATGTGGCACGGAAGCTGTGTAAAATCGCATTCAATGTTCAATTCTTTTGCAATTTCTTGGGCTCTCCTAATTGCATATCGGTGGCTATCGTGTATGGATCTGGTGTTTTCGATGCCATGCACTTTAGTTCTGATGAGTTAACTGACCGCGATCGATTTTACGAGTCGGTTTGTATTAAGGTACGAACATTTGATAATATCTTGCCACTTCATCCCTAACCAGTCTCCCAATACTCCATTACTCCTTCCGGATTCCCCAGATGTTACTTCCCTAGCTTCGAGAAGAACGACTTGAACACCTTTCTTGACCAACTCGTATGCAGTTGAGATCCCAGCAACACCCGCTCCAGTGATAACAGTATGAGTTTCTAGATCCTCGCTGAGTTTCTTAAATCGTGGCCATGAAGTATATGGATTACTTCGAACCCAGACGGGATCATTGTGACCGGATGTGAAGCTTAGACCCGGATTAGTGGAGGTACCATTGGCCGGCATGACGCAACACAATATATGGACTTGGGGATGTTGTAGTTTTGGAACGGCGTTCGGATAACATATACAAGCCAGGACTTTGGTAACGATATTCGATATTCTTCGGCCGACTTATCAATTCTTCAGAATTCAAGAAACTAAAAAAATTGTCAGAATAGTGGAGTCTTTTTTGGGGGTTCTTCTACTCACTCACAACCCCGCAAAAGTTGCAATTTTTCGCTTTGCTTAGAAGCGGTTGACGTAAGGGGCGACCCAAGTGCTCTTGGACGAGATTCATGATTCAGATAACCGGTGGCTGGGTCAATCGGAATGAGATAGTTAAACGTCCTGCAAGTGCTATTGGCTTGCTATGTATACCGATACTTATACGATCATCTACTGGCTGCGATAAAAGCAGTTTTCGATTTTCTGTGGAACCCCACGCCCTCGTCTAACCATATCGCATTTATATTTATAAAGTATCGAAGGATAGTACAATACGAAACTTCTGGAATAATTCTAGAATGAATATTGTCCCTTGGGCTCGAGCTGAGAGACGTACTTCGATGCAGCTGAGTTGGGAGTATTAATCATACACACTAAATCTAGATCTATCTCTAGATATTCTGTCACTATAGGTAAGGTCCCCACATCGAAAGTTGCGTACTATCTTAACTCCGGCCGACTAGAATCTATCGTAGGACCATATTTCCCTGTTCTAAACATGGCATATTACCTGTATAGGGCTTGGCAAAACACCTTCAAGTAGATACGAGTTAGGTAGGCGTCATGATCCGCCGGCATATACGCGAAGCTAATTTATAGTCACAGCACAGCAGCGAAATATCGCATCGCCTATGAAGCTTCCGCTCACATAACTTCTCTTTTATAGCATAGCACGGCACAGCACTCTGTGTAGAAAAATAAACGGATGACACGAATGTACAACAGCGTGGAACATTAACGAAGCTAAGAAAGGCTGTCTCCCGCCATGGCGCCAAGACAAGCGAGAATTTTACAAACGTTGATCTTTCCTATACTATTCGGGATTCCAATTAAAATGTGGAACTGATACTTGGTGGGCCTAGGATGGATAGAAGCATAAGCACTCTTAACCAGAGCGGCCTTGGAACTAGGGTATCTAAATTATTACCATACGTTGTGGAAGTACTATTTCAGGAGTACAAGCTATTTTGCATTGTTATCGTAGCCCATCAGAAAGTAATATTAAAACATTGATAACTAAAGTATGTGCTGGTGGGAATATAATACATATTTACTTTCTCACAACATCGAGAATATTCCATTAACTGATGCATGGTGGTACCCTATAATGTGCCTAATACGACCATATCACATCCAAGACTTCACCAAGACTTCCAAGCATTCCCTTCCCGTGTTCCTTACATACCCGTAGAAACCCCACTCACTGAATTTAATATATTTGCCTCTACCGCCAAGAAAAATATCTCCGATTGAGAGTATTCGACCACCTCTCGAGATGTCTCTCTCACAAAGAGGAAGTGTTACGAGAATGTCTTGGTATATTGAATTCCTCGTCATCTATCCGTGACTTGGAAACGTCAAAATGGAGGCCAAACGATAAACCCCCCTGCGACCACAGCCAAGTGTTTCACCGCCTAGTCTACCATATTTTACAGTCGCACAAGAAATTTGATGCTCGGCGCGGCAAAAATGAGGACTCCGGTTGTAATATGAATCGAATCAGTCTCGAGAAAAAAAATGTGTGAGAGGTCCTCTAAGGCTTCCAATGCCCAATTTTAGCTTCAATCTGATACCCTAATACTGAATTCCATCCAAATCACGAGGTTTGCACAGCCCTCTAACAATCTTCCTTGGTATTTTTTATGTGAGGTCTAGGTCTCTAGGTAAACATCGAAATATGATTTTGAATGCAAACAGTACGGGGCGAAATAAAATTTAAAAAACTCTAATGCTTCCAAGAATCATACGGCGTACCTTTAACCTTAACGGCGTTTACTCGTCTTTCTCAATAGGTATTATATTGCCTAACATGTAATGTATAGAATACATACTTGATCCCTGACTCGACCGAAATATATACATGTATATGAACCTTAAAAAAACATGAACTCATCCTGCTGTACAGCTGTCCCCCCACCGCCAAGCTGAATATCGGCGTAACTTTGCACTGAATGCAGGCTACATCCAAGCCCTCACCTAGTTCCTAGCTAGCTAGGCCGTCTTGGTAGATACCACAACCGCACAAAGTTACAATTTCAAGAAATGAATTCATAAATGTACAGATAGAATACTGATATACATGATCATAACCCCGACGAAGGTAGTAGAACGGGTGTCGTATCATTTCTTGGATTACATCTGGTAGATATTGATATTTCTTGGAAGTTCTCTTGGAGAATATTTTGTAATTGAGACGTGTAGAAGAATATTTTATAAATTTACCCCTGAAATGTTTGAAATGCCGCTTGCCGCCCTTCGATATGAAGAGGAAGAATTAAGCATATAAGAGCGGCATCGTCGAACATCTTTGAGGCTTTGTTTTATTGTCTTTCACCAGGATATGATATTGTATACACAGAGTAATAATATATCAATATATACAACTACGACTCCAAGACAGTCAAAATAATTCAACACGTCAACGCGTTTCTTCTTCAAAGCCTCGACGTCGACGCTCTCCATTCTGAATACTTTCTGATAACTTCACCTCCTCTGACTATCAACCGAACATCATCACCTCTCTATCCTATCTTCACTCCCCATAACCACTTCAAACCATCAAAGAGCTTTTAGCCTTGTTTCTTTGTTTTCTCCATCGAAAAGATGCCTTCCCGTCCATTCAAAGTCGAGCGTGCTGCGGATCCAGCCGTTCGCTATGAAAAATACCGCATCTCCACTAAGGGACAGCAATCATGGTCCGACACTCACAAGTTTCTCACCATTGCTGCTTTGACCGCTATGCTTGCTGGTAAGTGTTAACATTCCTTAAATGCTATCGAAGCTGAATATGGCATTCGTCTCATCCTAAGCTAACGGGTTTGCTTCCTCAAATGATAGATTCTCGCAACAAAGCCTCGTCCAAAGGTGATGGCGACAACAAAGACTGGGATGTATGCCACATCAAGTTCTCCCTTGCCGATGGCAAATCTACTACTCACAAGGCGGGCAATGAGAGTAAGTTTCTCTATTTTTTTTTATGGAATAGGACTATAGAGCTTGGTAGTTCACCTATCGGTTCGCCTACGTATCCCAATGCCTGCAAAGCTTAGCCATGTGGGCCTAAAGTCTTGACTTGGCCTCTGCGTATACCATGCACGGCTATAGATAAATATTTCCGAGCTCTATTACATTGGCCACGCGTATATAGCAAACAAGGGAATCGTAGCTGACGTACTTCTTTCATGATAATAGTCTTCCGTAAGGTCGATAGCAACCTCCTCTGGATCGATAACCACAGACAACTTCGCTAGTCCGAATAGTCTTCGGACCATCATTATCTTCGTTCATCGGTTTTCGAGGGTTCATTAGGACGGTGTTTTTTCTTCTTTTTCTTTTCTCTCTTCTTTCTTCTGGGCATGGTTTTTTGCATACTCTCCATTTGTTTTTCTTGTTCGTGGGCGCTTTAGGAAAAGTCTTCTTCGATATGTTTTCGTGTCTGGCTGTCTTTTCATATTTCTTTTACTCTGCATTTCGCTGGGGTTTCTCTGTTGTATCTGCGGGCGTACGTACGTTTCGGCGTTTTTGTTACTTCTAGTGGTTTTTTTATCATTATGACGGTAGTCGGATTCGAGGCTAATCACAGCAGCTACATTGTCTCTACGTTCGACCATGCATGCAATCGAATCGATCCGGAGACGGTAACTGCTGCCCTCACCTTGCCTTTGCAGCATCCGTTCCACTCCCTCAAAAAGCAGCGTTCCAATACAAAAAAGGGAATGTTCGATGAATGATAGCAAAGGCTGCGCCGGGGGATTCTTTCTTAGGAATTGGGTTCATGGTATACAAAAGGCGTCTTAGATTCAATGAAGAAGAAAAATTATTATATTTCATCCCGTAAATCGAAGCATACGCTCATAATTACAATAATCGTTAAACAAAGGGCTTAAAATGATAACAAACAGCGCCGAAAGTAGATCTCATGATATTTCACTGCCCCTCAAGCTTCAGCTTCCCCTGCCCCGTTGTCCTTTCGCTCCCGGTCTGGCCTCTCCACTCCCTGCCCCAACCGTCTTCTATTCTTCAGTAACCAAAATAAATAAGGCTCATCCACAATCTCCCCTTTCCTCTGCTGAACATCTTCCAAACTCGCTCCCGTGATTTGTACATTCCCCAAGAAGCAGGCGACAATCCCCGCCAACGCAATCAGCGGAATAATGGAAACATAACTCCAAACAACAGCCTTCTTCGCTACTTCTTCCACCATTCTAAGTATCGGTTCCGGTAATTTGTGGATTTCATCAATACTCTGCGCTGATTTCCCCGTCTCCTTCCCATCGAGTCCTGCAGTACCTGCTCCGATCTTTCGGAATCCCGCGTTAAGTTCGTTGTTAAACACCGATCCCATCATCGTTAACCCCAGGGTCCCACCGAGGGGGAGGACGAAGCCCATTAGTGAGACTACTTGTGCTATCCGTCGAGGTTCTATGCCTACAGCGTGGAGGGTTCCTGGCATGAAGCGAATACCCGTGCCTACACCGGAAAGTGCAAGGAATCCGTTGACCATGGCTACATTCCTTATCGTCAAGGCGTAAGTGAGCAATGCCAGTCCAACGGGCTCAATCCAAGAACCCAGGAACATAGGCAACCAGGTCTGTTTCGGATAAACGTTGCAAATGAACATGGCCATATAGGATCCCACCCCCAGACCCGGTGTATAATACAATAGCTGAACACCAGCCCTCCAAGGCGGATATCCCTCTACGATAGTGAAATAAACACTAACGAAGTAGAAGGCGGAGAATAACGCCATCCCGGTTGTGAAGTTTAAAAAGCTTAGGACGCCAATATCTCGCTTTTTGAGTAAAGTCCAAGGGAGCATGGCGGTTTGGTTAGGGAAGACTTTGGACATATAGTTCCCGGGTTCCATTAGATGTTCGTAAAAGAAGAAGAAGCAGACGAGGATCACGCCGACGATCAGAGGGACCAGGACTGCCGCTGAGGCCCATGGGTAATCGGCACCCCCCCAGAGGAGGCCGAGGATGAACATGCAGGTGCCGAGCAGGAAGATTGTCAGGCCGCCGTAATCTATCACTGACATCTTTTCAATGAAACTATGTCGTTCGATTGAAATCGTGTTTCCATGTGTATCTGTTGTGATCTGAGGCTGTGGGCCTAGTAATTCCTTCCGAATGAAAAACAAGGCAACATGCGAAAAGGCCGCCATGGGTAGATTGATCCAGAAACACCATCGCCAGTCAACATTTGTCAGATACCCACCAATGACGGGTCCGACTCCAAAGGATATACCATTAAGTATAACGAAAATGGTGTTATTGGTAGAGTTTTCCTTCAGCGAGACTTTGTCTGCTAGGATAATTCTTGTAATGGTTGTGATACCAGCATATCCAAGACCTTGAATCGCCCGACCGAAGAGAAATAGTCCGTAGGGCTTGGCCAGCGCACATATCAATGATCCGATCAGAACACAAAAGATTGCGAATTGGATCATGGAATGTCGACCAAAGACGTCGCTAAATTGGCCGTACGTCGGGACGAACGCAGTGGAGGTTAAGGTGAAAGCGTTGACAATCCATGAAAGTTGGCTTATACGCTCTATTCAACCATATATCAGTTTTAGATCCATCGAGAGGATTAAATAAATAAGAATTTAAAGGTAGAGGCGTACCGAAATCCGAAGCAATAAGCGGCACAGCAGTCGCGATAATCGTCAAATCCAATGAATTCATAAAGCTCGGCAGTAAAAGCGTAAGTATAAGTTTCCACCTATACTTCCTTCTTCTTCTTGTATCCTCTTTACATATTTCACACTCTGGAATCGCTGGTCTGGTAGCATCATCTTCGGCTGTCTCGCCTTGCGCTCTAGTTCTATCTTCCTTTGAGGAGAATACGTAGGATATGCCCTTTTTCGCAAATGACCGCGAGTTCACCCATTTAGCTACCCGCGGGATATCTCTTGGCTTTTCTGATGTAGGATCAAGAGGTTGAACTTCGGTATCGCGAGAAGGAGCGAGGAGTTCAATATTGTCCCGCTGGTGTTCGCAGGGTTCCTTCTGCTTCCCCATGACGGATGCGTGTTGCTATTGTTGGAGATTTGATGTTCGGCCGAGCTAGATGAAGGCCTGATAAAATTGGTTGAACAAGGTCTTCAAAGAATAAATAGGTACTTGAGTATACAAAATTGTTTGAACAAAAGATCGAAAGAAAAGGCAGCGTTCAAACGAACATTCGATATGAACTTGCTTGGCGTCTCGGGATGATGGTTCTTTTGAGGGTGGATACTCTCTGGAGCTTATATATCTACCAACGCAAAAGGGTCTGATGAAATAAATGCCCAGAATACGATCCAAAACGGTTTAGTCCCGATCAAAACACGACCCGAAGAGTTCAGACAACGGGGATCCTGGCATAGCTTAGGCAACTTACGACCCGCTTAGATGTATTGCATTGAGGCGCAAGCTAAGTGTCGGCGTTTGGAGATTGCAGGTCGAGCCAGAGTTCCTTGAAGGGCTGAGGTGGGAGGCTCGTTTACAATATGGGTCTGCAGGGTTCAATGTTGAATTCATGAAGTTTAATTTTCCAGAGAGCACTGAATAAGAACTTACCTGCTTCTGTTCCCACATACATGTACCCTTTTGTAGTTTCCCATTGGATCTATTAGCACTAGTTAGCATACTGGATCTACGATAGCTGACTAAGTTCCGAGGACCGATGGTTGGGGGGCTTGGAAGCTTGTAATTTCATGTCTTAACGTTATCCCACTTCAAAACATATGGCTTTCGGCACAGTTGGTCCGTTTGTTAGTGGTGCCAAACTTCTTGAAAGGAGCTTGAGGATTGCATTAGCCAGAGCATTGCCACTGATACTTCGGCTTCGTGAACATGAGTTCAACATGCCTGACTGTGTATTCATGCACATATGGTCTCCAATATTGGTGCGGATAGAGAGCTGCGCCAGCTTTGATCATCATATGAATTCCTTTCGCATTCCATAACGTGATGAAAGTTGAAAGTGGCAGGGGAAGGAAATGATAAAAGTTAATTTGATCGAGATACAAGCACTTGCTGCTTTGACTGGTTTGTAACAAAATATTCTAATCGGCTTATACCTTAGCGGAATCGTTTGGTTCGAAGCCTTGAAGTACGCCGGCTGACGAATGTCCTGACGTTTGGCCATATGCATCCTTGTCGATTCAAAGTTGCAGTGTCGAAATACGTCACAACCGATATCCGACCGAACTAAGAAATACAACAGCCTCAACAACATACTTTGCCTAGAAGGCTTGCGAGCACCCGGATTCGAGACTAGACCAATTGGTGCAAAATAGTTTTCGTTTGACTACTATGGTATCGATTAGCTAACGCTAGCTCGAGTTTTTTTTTCATTTTAAATTTATGCTTATACGTCCTAACTACTAGCTACTCAAGTAGCTTTAGTACACTTGAAGAGAGGGCTTCACTATTAAGTACAAGGATATCATTCATTCGTTGGAGAGAAAGAGATCGATAAACATCAAATACAGCTAGAAAAACTAGCACAAGAGATACAATTATTTACTCCCAGGGATTGCGGCTGGGAAAGTATGTTTTCCGGGGGTCAGGGCGCCGCGATGGCACTCTCTGGTCCCCACCCCCATTATCCCATTCCCTCACCAAAGCCTCTCCGAAATCCTCCTTTCTCTGTCCCCTACGCTCATCAATTCTCGCTCCCCCTCCTCCCCCTCCCCCTCCCCCTCCCCTTCTTCCGTATCGTGGGGATACATCAAATCGCCCTGTGCCTTGTAAAAATGGTGTTTTCCCCCGACACGGTAACGCCAATTCAGTTAGTACCTGGAACCGTTTCTCATATGTCCCCAGTAATATCTCTACAGCCCGACTTTTCTCAAGGGGCTCTGAACATTCAAGACGGATCCATACCGCATCTGAATAGATAACCGCAGCAAACATTTCTTCGATTTTATTTCGAACACCAAGTAGCGAGGCCAGTGTAGCATCCGTGACTGCCCTATGCTCGGAAGGCAAGTCTTCATTTCTAACCCTTGCGACCTGTCCTCTGCGGTGTAATCCGAAGTAAAGGATCGGATGTAATGGCGATGGGATTTCGTCATGGATATACATAGCAGAGGATGGATATTGATAGATGTTTTCGAGAAACGCCGGTAGAATCTCCTTTTCTTTCAACCTCCACTCGATGCCGCAAACAGGGGCGAGCATATTTTTATATTCGACATCTTTCTCCAATAAAAGCCGGCGGTTTCCCATTTTAAGTGTGATACCATCGGTCTCGCAGGGAATCCAGCATCTAACGACAGGATCCCAGACTGAGATTGAGACTATGGGATTTGGAGGATCCAAGGGTAGGACGGGCGTGAAAGCGTGGAAGGTAATGCCCCCCTTGGTTACTGGCTTTAATTTGGGGTCATGGACATGTGGTATTGATTTCCTAAAATCTCCGGAGTATCTTCTTTGCAGTTCCGTTGTCTTTGTCGCTAGTTTGATCAGGGTTGATATAGCTGGCGTCGGTCGACGACAAATAACGGCCGGCAGCATGACTAGTTCTTTTCCCAGCCTAGCTATATATAGACACTCAGATATCGATCGTAATTTAAACTTGTCCTTAGAGCTGCCACCAGTTCTAGACCGTACTTTGATAATCTCGGCTCAAGCATCGATATCGATATCGACCATGGCCACTAGCAGCTGTCGTATGTGGATGCATCTGCAGAGTTTTTCTTGTTGTCGACTGGTTTTGTGTTGCAGCTTGCCCCGGTTGGCTTTCAACCAACACAATTGCCAGTCTCGTAACCAAGCTGTGCACAATTGCAATTGCACCCATGCGCATGCTTCATATCGATTATGCGATGCAATTGCAATTGCAAGTGCGAGTAACGTAACAAGACCCAATTAATTCTTGTTTACGAGATAAACAAGACCAGTCTGCAGACGAGGCCACGGTCAATTTGTATTTTAACTCGAGAAGACTTCGGATAGGTTACATCGGGCATTCTATATGAGTACATAAACGATCTATCTAATAGCTAATAATAATCCTCTGGCACTACGTCTTCGTATCTAGAAACAGTCGTATCTCCCCTCAAATCAACCTCGACCTCGGCCGCACCAACCTCACAAATAACTCGAATCTCGTCTCGTCGTTCCATTACATACCTCGTCCCTTCAAAAGCAACTACATCTAAATTCCGTGCTCCATCTCTTATCCATCTATAAATCCATCCTGAAAGGTACCTAGGGTCGAGAGACCCGGCGTCTTCGTATGCCGGCCATGGCATTGTTACGTCGACCAGATGCTTTAATTTACCAATACCATCGTATCTGTGCATACCATCTCGGTCGTCCTCTAAAGAGATATCACTGCCATCTTCTCTTCGGGATGATTCAAGCTGTGAAATCTCTAGTACTTCGAGGTTTGGGAATGTTTCTGGAAGGGCGTCGATTTCATTCTTGCTCGGGATCCCGTCGGCTGTATATTGAAGCTTTGTAAGTGAGGTGAAACAGTGGGGATGACCAGGATCGGAATATAGTCTTTCTTTGTAGTTTTTCAAGGTATTAGGCTTAGGGCCGTTAGGGCGAGGCTTCGACGATACTGTCAAGGTTTCAACCCGTAAGTCCTCAAGATTAGGCGCTCTTGTGAGAGGAATGTAGTAAAAAGTTGAGCCTTTCCAAGATGTTGTCTTCGAACTGATGAGAGGCGTGCAAATACCGTCGACTGAAATCCTCGCCGTAGTCAAAGATGATAGTTCTGGTACCTTCGCCCTAATCAATGCATCTACCTCGTTGTCCGAGATTTTTTCACCCAAAAAATACTGGTCTTCAGGTAGCAGCAATGTAAATATGTCTTCATATCGTTGCGGATCACTGGTTTCTGCATCTTTGTTGACCTGAAACTCTAGACACTGAAGATCCTTGTAGAACGGCTGGGCGGCAATTGCACTCATTGCCGCAGTGTAGACATTATTCTCTAATACAGGTGGTATTTTGTAAGACACATAAAGCTCTTGAACTCGAGGAAAGAGGTTAAGAGCATCCGTCCAGATACGAAGTTGAGTAATCACTTCGGATATCTCTTGATCGGTTCCTAATGGACGAAGCACCTTTCCCGCGATAGGTTTGTCGAATTGTATGGATCTAAAAATTATATAGTCGACTAATCAATATATGATACTATCGATACACAGATTAAAATTAATTTGATGATCTTACCGAATAGCAGTCCTATACTGCTCACAAAGACCACCGTCTTGGAACAATCTGATCGATTCGTCGGTTAAAGTAATCGTACTCGTGTCGAACCGTCGCGGGAAACACACCAGGTAACAGAGTTTTGAGCATCTCGAAAGATTGTGAAGGTCCTTATTTCTGAGACGCTTGATGATTAAGATATTAAGCTCGGCTGGAAAAAAAACGAAAAGGATCGCGGGGATTCCCATTTTGCGAAGTTGTGCTTCGTTGCATCTTGATCTTGAGGTGTCTTATGTCTTAGGTAAGTAGATATCATACTAATGTAATCGATTTGGATATTAGTATCGAATCAGAATGGAACCCAGTTGCCGGCCCAGGTGCTAACTAAGCTTCGCAAGTGGTATTTATACATACTAGCTGCAAGTACCAAAAAGCTTACAAGATCGAAATCTTGAATATGATGGGGCTAAATCAAAAGCGCAACAGCATCTCGATCTTAAAAATTCCGCGAGCCGGGCTGGCAACATAATTAACCGCAGAAATATGCGAGCATGAATGAATGAATGAATGAATGGGTCTGATCAAAGCTTAACTTCAGCCCAGTTGAGGCTGGCCAGGTTGATTGGATGTTCGCTGATGTTTGCCTGAGTCTTCTCCATAAAAGGGAATTCAGACGAACAAACGGATTTCGAATGCAACGCCTCAACACATCGATCTAACTGCCTGATTTGGGCTGATCCAAAACGGATCGTCCACTGAACAGGCTGCTCAATATTGATGTTATCTCACAACATCTTCTCACCGGTTTCAAAATAGCAATCATACTATTTTAGCCCCTCGCTTTCTTATCTCTCGTTTGTTTACATTTCAAGCTTGATAACATCCCCATTTAAATACGAAAGCCCTCCTCCCCAATGGGTAGGCTATCAAAGACGGTTTTACAATGCATGAAGTGCATTTGGTTGTTTCCCCAAGATCTCGTCCTAATCTCGGAGGGGAGCTAGTCTTGAGATACTGCTTTGTTCTCGAGTATAAAACTTCTGAAGCATGCAAATCTCCTGTTTCATGAGTCAGGTAATTGGTGTATGAAGTTTGTAAAAGAAGAATCGGAAACATTCGCCATAGCTTCATGTCCCCATTGGACCCCTCAGCTCGGTAGATATCATCTATCATGTCCGTGGACCTGCGTCGGGCTCTACATGCATACCATTTTGTTTCCGGATGGAACGACAACTTTATAAAGACCCTCGATGGGAACGAGCAAGGTATCAATCCAGCTAGTCGTCCATATCTATTAATGACCCTTATATACCTTCCCAATTCTGTTCGATCCTCCGAAAAGAATTAAGACGAGACGCGACGCCCTGGCGGCTTTCCGTAACGAATCTTCTTCGTCCATCTTATATAATTTATATCAATTCTTATACCAATATTTAATCATGCATTCAAAACTTTACACAATTATACCCCTCCTATTTCTATATATTCAAATCCCATTCATTTCTGGCGAAGCAACCCCAGCCCATGAAGAAGTAGGATTTACTCAAGACCGTATCGGAGCGAAACACCCCCCACGAGACTCTGTAGTTCCGTTAGAGGATCCAATAACCTTCAGTCGACCCACAAGGTCCGAGGTCGATAGACCCAGACGTGTAGTCCAACTAAACGGTAGCAAATTCCCCGCGGGGCCCTCATTCCCACCTATCCCAGGCTTCAACCCTCTTAAGGGCGACTTCATCCGCGGCGGCCTTGTAAGGGTAGTTTCAATCCCTCCAGAGCGAAGGTTAACAGCCGCTCCAATTGCTGGACCTCTGAGACCATCCATAGGTCCCACTCAAACATTCCGAATCAGTGTTAGGCCAATCCAACCTGATATCGTTCGTCGCCAGGAGGAATTTGAAAATATCATCATAACTCCGGCGCCGGAGCCAACTAATGCTTTTGTCCCTGACGACTGGCCGACTTCTTGGACTTCTTGGACCATAACAACTCGAATTATGGGAATAGAAGGTGACCTGGAATGGGTGGAAATGAAGCCTGTAGTACCGTGGAGGGAGCCTGCGCATGCGTCGCCAGTTAGAAATGGAAATACGGGGCCTGGCCTTAAGAGACCAAACCATAGTAATACCAGTACGACTATGAGCGTGGAGACACCCCGGAGTTCTAAAGATAGCGTTGATGATACTGTGGATATTCAGTCTCTGCAACCACTTGCGCCAGGTGGTGACCCCAAAGAGCAGAACTCGCCCGTGGATCCTGATTCCGAAGAGGTTTCCCAGGATACTCGGGGTTTAGATCATGAAGAGTCACAGATTCCTGAACAAAGCCTAGAACCTATTAGGAAAAGAGATCGAATCCAGAAACTGAACCGCAGATCCAGGGCCATGAAATCCTAGAATCTAGATCTGCATGAGCTAGGCGTACATATACGAGAGTGTATTTGTTCTAGTGTAGTTGCATACCTTCACCTTGACTGTGCTTGTATCTTACTGAAATAATAAATCAAATATCAATCAAGATCGGTTTTGTTTGTGAGCGGTTTGCATCTACTAGTGAATGGATTGTGACGAGCTACATGAACACGCATCAACCGGTTCAATTAGGCTGTCTATCCTCTAGAAGCCTCTACCTACACGATGTATATCGATGCCCATTGAAAATAAAAGACAACAAGAACTCATCAAAATCAAAAAAACCCTCTAACTCCCAGTGGCATTTTCCCACAGCGTGTATAACTAATCCCTCCCATAATTATCCCATACACCATCACGGACTCAAGTGCTAATCAAAGCCTGCAGCTTCACCTTAAATTCTCGAGCGTCCAAATCGTCATGGCCATCAATGACCTTCCCACCCCTAAACAACTTAATCGTGGGAACGGAAGTGATTTCGTACTCTTTTCCGACGTCAACGGCCCGTTCGACGTCGACCTTTACGAAATTGACATCGAGAAATTCTCCCGCGTATTTGTGGAATACTGGAGCGAAGGCTTTGCAAGGGGGGCACCAAGTAGTGTAGAAGTCCACGGCGGTGATTTTGTCTTGGTTTATTATTTCGTTGAACTCAGAGATGTTCGCGACTTCTGTGGGGTGGACACCGGATTCTTCTGCCATCTTGATATTGAAGAGAGAGTAGAAAGGTGGGCAAAGATATTATTATATATGTAGATATTTTGAAATGATGAGGTTTGAGATATTGATGTTGTCTCGTACCCAGACCTGGAAGGAGTATCTGGTATGAAGCTGATAGAGAAGAGATGTCCACGATCGGGATGTTAACGTGGGTATTTTATAAACCGCATTGCATAGCGGGGTAATCTAAATGACTCCAAGAGACGTACGGTACTAGCTGGCGTACCGTACTCAAAAAGACGCTGAGTGAATCCTTTCTGGCATGCAGGAAGTACTACGTGCTAGCCTCGAATATACTCACGACAAGGGTCCGATCAGCCTTGTACAACATTAGGGGATTCGTCAGTGCGGGATATTACCTCCAGCCATATGCGGAATCCATGTACCAAATATGAGCTCATCGATTGCAATGAGTACATCAGTTCCGGGATCCCTGTCAAAAATCCAACAATTCTGATAACAGTATGTAGTTGCGGATTACAACCCGTGTCACTGAGATTGTGAATTCATGAAGGATGAGAATGTACCCATGTGACTATGTGTACTGTCTTAGCTAATTCGCGTGGAATGACTGATTGGCTTTCATTAAATCGAGTCGAGAATATTATGGTGCGGAGGTCAATGCATTGTCGTTTTACTTTTACCCATATATTACACTTTTGTCACAGCATTTTATTCTAGGCATCCTAGAAATGAATCGAAAGTCCTATCAAAAGATTAAAACAAATGGCAAAATTTTAAAAGATATCGGAGTAGTTCTAATTATAATATATACTGAAAAAATAGATTCGATTTCTTGTCCACAAGATAGGCCTCACAGGTTCCACCAGCATTCTATGTTACATTTTTCTACAATACAATGCCACGCCGGAAACATCGCCCTCATCACCACCCTCATCTCATCCCCAGGTTTTAACTCCCTGACAAATTGACCATTCGCGACATGACCATTCTCCCAAAATCTTACAATACCATCCCACTTTGCTTCATCCCTGTACCGTAAGTCCCTTTCCCGCAATGGCGCCTTCTCAACACTGGGTTCGTCTATTCTCGAGTCCCAGACAACCTCATGGTCCGTGAACTCTGGTTTAGCATGGACGTTTCTCTGTAAGATCCATGTACCAACTTTGTATTTATCGGCGTCTTCTTCCCTGCGTTGACTGTATCCATGATAATAGTGCCAACAGTAGAAAGCATCAGCATCCTTGCTTTCATCGGTGTAATCCTCATAGACTTGGTCAATAGTCTTTCCGTTATAGGATTTTCCATTGATGTTGGACTTGTCTGCTAGCGCTGCTAGCATAGGCTTTGACATCTGCTGATCGGACTTATTCCTCCACAGCTCAACTTGGAGCCAGCTCCATCCAGCCTTGTATGTGCCATGGCTTTCGGGGTAGCTGCTACCTCCTTGGTCTCTGCTCCTGATATTGAAGACAAGCTTGCTAATCCCTTTATCACTTTTTGTCTCTGGGATCGTGGCGGTTAGGTAGACTTGTGATTCAAAGCTTCCTGCTATCGCTGTTTCCTCTCTAATGCCAATTATAGTATGGTGCACATACATTGCCATCCCCATTATGTCCAAGGCCAGCTCAACTGGAAGCTTTTTGGCAAGTATAGAAAGGACCTCCTCCACTTCATCTTCTCTCATTGTTCTCGTCTTTTCGTCGAGATTATTTGGAGTCGGAAGGAATTCCCGAGGTTCTGGACTGTTTCGGCTGAAGAAGCGTCGACGTCCTCGAAGAGATTTTGATTTCTTAGGACGGCATACACGCCGGAGTACCGAATAAAGGGTCAATTGGTCAGAAGAGGAAGAAGTTATAGTTTTTTCGTCGTGCGCGTGCTCCGCGACCCCGAAAATATCATGGACGGTTTTCGAAACAGGAGCGCGACCGACTCGTGGAGATTTCCTGGTCTTGCAAGCCCAAGGATACTGGCGCTTATAATCAATGAATGAAGTCATATCGAGCTTAAATCGAAAAGTTCAACTGCGGACCAGCTAACCACGATCCATTGTCTTATATAGACACAATTCTGAACGTTCGAACCAGCCGACCGGGTCCCTCCGTGCAGGACTTCCGTTAACCAACGGACAGTTTGGCGGGAAAGCATGCATCACATACGTCTTTTGGTACACCGCCACGACACAACAGGCGGATTTTCTGTGTGACTCCTTCCGCAGTTAATGTTTCATTTTGGAAGTCCGGCCTGCATAGAGACTCACTTTGTGATCATCTCGTACAAGGCAACTTCCGCTATTAGACCAGTCCTTACCCGCAAGTATACTACTAATATACTTTGTGCATGTCGTTTTTTTAAGTTTTTCCAGCTATCGATTATCGAGCTTCCAAAAATTCGGTTGCTTATGCGCCATGTTGCAGATTGCATATGTATACTCTGCGTTGTTGAATTTTAACTGGCAACAGTATTATCGTCGGCAAACAGTTCCAAGATTATTTAATTAAAAAAGGAGTATCATTATGATGAAAGGAGTAGGTATTTGGTTTAATATGGTATAGTGTAGTAGCGTGATATCATAGATAGGGAGCTCTTTGTAGTAGCTAATAAGTTAACTGGTTAAATCAAGGGCGAAATATGAACTTGGAATTTGTGTTCAAATCTAACAAGTGGATTAATCGATTCATATGGTATACAGAAATATATAAAAAATAAAATAAAAACTCCAGACCAGAAACTCCATGGATCCAATTGAAATCATTTACAGCCTGTGCTAACAAGGAGGCGCGATGCCGTGCCCGTATACGTAAGGAAAGGAATCCATGCATGTGCCCAGACGCAGTATCAATGTTGCGCTGTTAACACCAATCCCCGTCGGATACTACAGTCTCAAATGTCAATTCCTTATCTTGCTTCCATATCCTATCTCTTTCGCTCGAAAACCTGTCCGCCATGCCTTCCGGGACGTTCGTCGTGGGCTCCCACGAAGGATACCATATCACCTTCTGTGCTCCTTGCCAGTCGTTTGATCTCCCAGAATATCTTGGTTTATATCTGTGGGTCTCCTGCAAAACACTTTGTTCCCGGTAACTCATAAATGTAGGTTCCCAGATGACGAGACATAAATCTATTGTTTCTTTTCCTTCTCTTATTCGGCGAAACCTACTTACAACTTGTTTTATCGATGAAGCTCCACCGTGTTCTGATGCAAATGGGGGTTTTGCATAATCGTCGTCAAATACCGCCAATGATAGGAGAAGGGAATTGCGTAATTGGTTCATTACCGCGTACGGTCTGTCAGGCCATTGGTCTCTAAAGATGTTAAAGAGATCTAGTAGGAGCTCGCTCTCACGGCATATCCGTCCTCTAGAATTTTGTTTAATATCCAGAGACGGTAGGCTAATCGAGCCAACCCTTTGGACTGGCCGGGTACCTTGCGACTCTGCAGGGGTAGTTGGCCGCCTCTGAAGTCCTCGGAATAGTGGTTTTGGGGGTGGTGGAGGCCCAGTACGTAGTGTGGAGGAACGGCGAAGTATTGGTGGGGGACTTAGGGACTCTGCACGAACATCGGGCATACTGAACAGCCTATTAGAACGAGGCTGGGGTTGTGGGGATTGTGATGGAGAATGCATTGGAGATTTCAATTGGGGCGCTTCTGTCGTCGAATGGGAGAAAATACTGGTACTTGCTCTCCGAATACGTCTGTATAGCAATCGGAAAATTAGAGCAGCTCTAGCTAAACCACGGGATAATCTATCATGATGCTTTTAAGGTACTGCTTACGGTGGTATCCGGTCTTTGGTAGAGAACTTTCCATCCATAGCGGGATTCTTTGGTGGTATATCAAGCTTTACCCTTTTGGCCGGCTCCACCGCTGCTATTGTTTCTCCGGATGTTGATTTATTCGAACTCTCTGGCTTATCAGCTTCCACTATCGGGCTAGAGTCCAATTTGGGTACGGGGACAGTATCGTCGCTTGATCCCACACCATTTTGGGTTCTCCCTTCGTCCAATGGGCCAACTGCGGAGCTTGGCCGTGAAGTATCCATTGGGTTTGCGGCCTCAGCCTCTGGTTCCGTAACGTCCGACTCTGCTTCTTCGTCGATAAATACCAATTCCGGCGCCACGAGTATCGGCTTTTTCTCGAATTTCGTTTTAAACGGATTAATAAAAACCTGAGCTGCCGCCATCGTGAGGGGTAATAATTCCGAGGGATTTGCAATCAATCGCAATAGCTTTGTCGAAATGCGGCGGCCTTTCCGAAGCTTTAGTTACCCTCTTTCTTTTATATCAACTTGTAGTACACAGGTGAAAGTATTTCGAGGAAAAGCCGATGAAGAAAACCCAGTACCAAATTCTAAATTTCGATTTCCCAAAAATTTCTTTAGCCCCATCGATATGCATATATGCGCAAGACCTAGCACTTTTTACAGCATCGCAATGCGTCAACTAAGCTAGCTGTGCACTGTGCTAGCTGTGCTGTTATATTTCAGGGTGAGTTGGGCAAATATGCGTTGTCTCGTTTTGCACGCAGACACGTGGCGGCGGGGACACGACTCGATATGAGCAGCCTTTCCTTTGCTTTCATTTCCTTACCCTTTTTAGCGACTTGCCGGCTGGAATGAAGCGGGTGGGAAAATGGGGTCCACGGCACCGTGTAGCCTTGAAATTTCAGTTTGGGACTGGTGCAGGTATTCTGCATATGCAAGACTGTCACATCGCTGCCAGGACAAGTGTATTGGTTGTTGGCACGCTCGGTTGGCAGTGGGCGGGGGTCGGTCAGGCCAAACGCTTCCAATAGTTGGGACGGCTAAGCTAGCTAGGTTGACGGTTCCTGCACCCGAAGACCTTGAACCCACCCGAAGCTAGCGAAAGTGCGTGATGTGAGATTTCTTATAGATGTAACGGTGGAATAAACGGTGGAAATTGTATGTATGGAGTGATATGGATTTTGGTTCCTGCATTTCTATCTAATATGGTGATAATACATAGAGTTTGAAACTAAATGATCAATGATACGGGTCAACATGTAGTGCGCTCGCTCCCAAATGATATATAGATGTGAATAGCAAGCCAAGCAAATGCAATAGTTATAAGAACTTAGCTAGAAAAGTATGAATAGTCGCATGGTAGCTGGAGTTCTTAAGATAGATGTTAGCGTGGGGTGTACATGCATGTGAAATGATGATATCGATAGTTGTAAGCTTAAGAAATGAGGACCGACGAAGCAAAAGTAAAATCAAGGCAAAGAGCTCCCGGGGGAATTATAATATAAAATGATAGTTTGAAGGTACGAGACAAGTCAAAGACAATGAATTAAAAAAAAATCACAAAAAATAATAAATTGAAGTGCTATGCTTGTTGACGGAAAGCTTTCGAAAGAGGTATCGCCCGCGAGCATTAAAAGTGATATCATTTCATTTTTGGGCCTCCAAAATACCCCACATAGCGACTTGAAAAAGAATGGGTGGATGGACAAGTTCGGACATTTGAAATGGGCTTTGCAGGCACGTCGACATCGACTATGCGTCAAACGGGTGTAAGTCGCAGCAGCAGTAGGGTCCTGCATCATAACTCCCAACATTGATCTCGAAGTTAGGTATATCGTCACCAATGGCTCTCGCGCCCTTTACGTGTGCCGAAAACTCGTCCAGTCCCTGAAGATGTCTTGGAAGGTTCTTTGCTGGCTCCCAAGATGCGCACCACTTGATCCTCACGATATCTAATTTCTCGTCGGGGCCACAAATCTCTTTGATCCTGTATCGATGTGTATCGCGGAGGTGTGCCTTCTCTCTTTCGCTGATATACATCTCTTTCCAAAGAACAAGACAAAGATCGATAGGTGTTTTTCCAGGTCTGTGACGTCGAAACCGGCCGACGACACGATAAATGCTCTTTTTACCGCTAAAGTCAGAGGCGTAGTAGGCCCTTTGTTCGTCCCATACAGCAATAGTGGTGATAAGAGAAGTCTTCAAATGCTCCATTGCTGGGTGGGACGTTTTCCAGTGTTCGCGAAAGCTATCTAGCAGATCGAGTAAAAGGTCGCACTCAGACTTCCCCTTACCATTTTGTTCTATTTCGAGACACGCGAGACGAATTATTCTGTAATCCTCGTCGGCTCCAGTATCTCTTTGCCGAATAGTTGTAGTCGTGCTGTCCGTTCTTGCAGGACCGTACGGTGGAAGCGACGAACTAGAACTAGGAGATGTGTTGACGGCAGTCTGCCCCGATAGAGGCCGTAAGGTCTTATCCTCAGATATGTCTTCGGATTCATGTGCACTCATTTGGGGGTCTTCGAGACTCATCGGGCCTAGTTCCGAGTCGCTGACTCGATATGGATATCTGGTTGGGGTAGGCAGTCTCTGCCTCTTAGGTTAGGCAGTCTTTTGTATTTTGTCTTGGGTTCCAAAAATATAATGGGTTTTAGTGTTCGTATTTATTTAAAAATGAACCTATTTCTTCGCCCAGGAGAGTTCTTTGCGAAGTTTAGATTTGTTTGGTTTACTTCTTTAACCTTTTTAGATTTTTGTAGCCGTTGGGAATCCGAAGAGTATGTGAAGAAACTAGAAAGCGGTATATTATTTTTAAATAATGAACTATATATATAACTGCTAAGTTCTAAGCTGCTTGCTAAATTGAAAAAAATTAAGCTGGGACCCTGTATCCTAAACCCAGAAAAACTATTAAATCCAGAAACCCTGCTAATTTTGACTCACTTGTTCACGGGCTTACTAGCCGATAGCAGGTTTCATTCAACCACGGATGTTACGAACAAGCAATCTTTCAGACATGCTAAACTGCGTGCTGCCGCGGGGAGTGATTCTGTATTCTTATCCAAGTGCGGCCCAGCTTCAGTAACAATCGGGCCGTCCACGAAGCAAATATAGATATTTTAGGATAAAGTGATAGATATGAGCTGGTACTGGGTGGCCTAGTAACCTTGAACTTGTGCGCTAGTGCTATAATTTTTTAAGCATGCCTCTAAATCATAATTTAGAGACGAAGACGGGATGATATAAAGGGGTATTGAGGTTCGGGGCCAGCGGAAATAAATTATGTGCCACAGCGTGGGATTGGCCCTTCCATACCGAACCAACCTTAGTAACAGCGTAGCGATAAGCCGGCTCGATCGAAGACAGAATAAACAAGATAAAATACATAGCTTTTAAGACGTTCGGCCAGGCTTTAGATTTCTTGTTCTAGGCTATCGATATCGCATTTTGTAGGCTGTGCGTGATCTGCTAATAGGTACATGTATGCAGTGCAAATAGGCCGCGTGAAATGGGTAATACAAGCCTCGCAGGACTACACCTAAACTACTTCTGGGCAACTCTCTCCTATCTTGAATGCAGCACTTACATGGGAAACATGAAGGAAAAAATCACGACGAAGAAATTTAGGATGCTTTTGGGCACCAACCATGAAATAAAGCAGGAGCATATTAAGTTCACAATTTGAAATGTCTCCTGACGACTAGACAACTGATGAAAGTGACGACCAGACAACTGATTTGTTGTACTTTTTGCGTTGACCTCGGGGCGCCAAGACCCATTGTTCATAGATTCTGCGGGCTCATTAAAAGCTTCTATTTCTCCTTTTCCTTTTCCTTTTCCCTTTTTACAAACTCAGGTCTAGCGACAAGACAAGCACAAAAATAAAATGCTGTCTTTAGCTTCTTAATAATATAGCTCTCATGGCGGTATGTTAAACTCTAAAGGAATATTTGTATAGCAAGCCTATGCTAACAAACCACGCTGTATAAATAGGACAAACCAGCAAAAGCGCGCATCCGCGACAATCAACGTCGCTCTCGAGCAAACAAAAAGGAGTACGTAGCCTCCTTGGAGCAAAAGATCGCAGAATACAATGCACAAGGCGTTCAAGCAACTATAGAGATGCAAACGGCCGCAAGGGCTGTTGCTCTTGAGAATGAACGGCTACGAAAGCTCCTGGGCGAAGTAGGAGTATCGTCAGAACGAATAAATTCCTATTTACAATCGTTCAGTGTATCTCCCGAACCTCAAACTCAAAGGCTGGAGACACCCAAGTCTATGCAGTGTGAAAAACTTCCAAGGATTACGGGATCTTGTGTGGGCCCGTGTGGTGGCTCAAGAAAGTCAACTGACGAGAGGGTGTTGCCTCCGCCTGATATGCCCGAACCCGAGGTACGCGAGGTCAGGCCAGACGAAATATTTAAAACCGGGCCGAGCTTTTGTTCAGAATACGGTGGGGACCCGACTCTCGAAACACCGTGTGAAGCAGCCGCTAGTATAATCCTTCAGATGAAAGGCCATGGAGACAAGAGTACACTGTACACTAAATTCGGTTGCAAAAGCGGCTCCATTGCCAGCTGCACAATCAAAAACACGGATCTTTTTCGGATAATGGATGAAGAGCACTGAAAGGCTCTCGCCGAGGCTACCCGAACCTACTTGACGTTGCATATGCATATATGCATATCGGCATGTGGAAGTCCCCAGCTACGTACACAGGTACTCTCCGTCAAAACAAACAGGGGGTATTCGAAATCAATTTTTTAACGATTCGGTTGCCATCTTAGGCCGATGCTTTTATGCTTCATATGTTGCAAGCAAAGACCAGGTTGCTGGCTAGCCTATCATTTTTTACCGAAAGGCCTGGCGAAACAGCATGCTAGTGGCACTGCGTGCCCCGCCCCGACTGAAGTTGGAACGGAAGACAAACGAGACAGTGTTATGTTACCCAAACAAAATCACAACTTCAGCGCGAGAAAAGAAAACTAGTTCTTGACTACCTTAGGCGTCATTTGAAACTAGTTCAGCCGCCTGATGGCCCGGACTTTTCGACTTGCTGGAAGAGGCACAACACGCCAGCCTGCGCATGGCGAACTCCGACACGAATCAATGCCCATCATATGGAAGTTTCGTAAAATCAACCGTTTCAAAATTTCGGTCACATTGCTCGACGCAACATCCTCGAGCTACTAATAAGAAAAATAAAGCTATAGCACTTGTAGTCTATAAATATATATATTTTAAAGTATAAAGAATATATTGAATCTTTCCGCCGCCATGATTCGATTCTTAATCATATCGCACAATAACTAACGCCCCGCTTAGCGTACCATGAGGCTCTCTTTGCTCTGGTCGAACCTCAACAACATAGGCAATGTAACTTCCACTATCTCCAACCTTGATATGTTGAATATTTCCTCGAGGTAAAGTCTCTAATCCTAGTGCTCTGCTTGTATACTTCTCCCAAGCCTGTAAATTATCCTCCTTACCCCGAAAAAAACCTCTCATCAAGCTGCTGCGTCGTTTTTCGGAACGAATAGAGCGAGGATATGGCCGCTCACAAAGTAATTTGATATCACAATTAATCCTCAGAATATCCCTTTGCTGTCGTCTCGGAAGTTTTAGTAAGCCGGCATGATGCCTTTCCGGTGTCCATCTGCCTCTTTCAACTGGTCCAACAAGTTCTCGAAACTCATCGCCTTCTAGTGTTATCCCGTAGTCGTTAATTTTTAAGAATCGAGGCATCGTTTTATGCCTGTTTTCCTTCACAAATGTTCTCTGTGGCATGTGTACTGCCAGTACTGAGTGTGGTTTGGATTCGGAGGCGGCTAGAAGGCTATTTAGGTTTCTCGTTAAGGCTGTTTGTAACCGCATTATCTTGGTCGGGTCTATTCCTTCAGGATTCTCAGAATACGAAAACTTTGTATTCCCATCCGGGTCCACAATTGGCGCCTCATCTTTGGAACCCTGAAATCCAGCTTTTTCATTTAACATCTGAGAGGAATATTTTTCGAGCCCCTTCTTCGTAAGAGGAATTTCCCATGCCACCAAAAACTCCGGTCTTTCCCACGCTGGTATCTTTGTATGGATTTCTTCGGATGGAGCTTTACCGTGCACCACCTGAATAACGTAGTTGTACGCTCTGACAATCGTGAACATCTCATCATCACCATTCCCTCCGCCAAAAACCGTTCCAGGCAGAAAGCTTCTCCAGATCCTTCCCACTGACGGAGCGATCAACTTGCTCCCCAAATCAGATCCAAGTCTAGTGCGAGTCGATGTATCTTGCAATTGCTGCCATGATAGTGTTCTTTCCATCTTTTCCTGGTCTAAATCCTCATCCAAGGGGGCATATACCCTCATACAATCTTGATGCCTCCACCAATAGGTCTTTACAGCGTTTAACCCACCGTACTGGCTCATTCTTGTGATATCAAATGCTGTAACCCCTGTCCCCGTTATTATGAATACCAACTCCCCAGCTCTATCCTGTTGTATATGAGTATCTGAGTTGTTCCCTGAGTCTACCCTTGATTCAAACGGGATGCAAAACTTCGATAACCCCATTTTTTCTAGGTCTATCAGCACCACCGCGGGAAGATACTCTTGTAGTTTCCAAAATAGCTGTGACCCGTGACCTTCCTTTCTCGCACCTTGAATCGCGCAAACGGTTTCCATGTCATCTCTTGAGTATCTTAAGAATGCAAACTGCTGCGTTTTCGGTATTATCCCTGCAATGTAATATGAGTTTAAAACATATTCTGCGTGTGGGAATTGATTCGGCGGTAGTGAAAATGTAGCAAGGGGATGTCCGAAGCTTTTGGGTTTCAACGAAATAACTAAACCAAGGCTTTTGGTCCTGGCGACAATCGGGTACCATGTTCTTTCTTCTTCTGATGGTAATGGCGTATGTGCTGCAGATAGGAGGGCGACACTATTAAGGATATATGTATCTTAGTCCCATGGTTTCTTATGCTCATGGAAGGAATACTCACACGTCATAAGGATCCATTACTTTTTCGTCCTTAATCCACGATAGTTCTATAAATAAAACCTCTCCTTCGAAGTCGTTATGTATGTTGACTTCAAATTTTCTCATCCCAATTCCCTTGCTCTCAAATGACTCCGCCGGCCACCAGCTCCCTGATATCCGCTCTTTAATCCTTCTACCTGGTTCCATAACAATCATACCCGCACCACTCTCATTATACTCGGCCAGCGATTGTGTCGTAAACTCCCACGTTTTATCGATCAATAAAACAGTAGAGTTAGAGGGATTAGAAAGATCACAGAGCGCCAAGTCACCAGCCGCTGTTCTATAACCCACTACACCGTCCCGATTTGCGTTATCGCCAGCACTACGGTAGGCATGACTTTTAGTGAAATATGGTGCATCGAACTCAGTTAACCTCAGACCATCTATAACCGTTGCCCTGGTTGGAGTTCCCTTCCTAATCCTAGACCGAGGACGGAAGTAACTGTCAAATTCAGCCTTTGCACTATCCTGCGGTTCTGGGAAGATGCCGTGACGAGAGAGGTAGTGCGAGCATACTGCTGGTGAAGTAAATAATTTGTACGATGCATGCGAAAGAGTGCGCAATCTTGAAATATCGGAGGGTGAAAGATACTCAAAGAGAAGAACGTGAATATCGAGAGGGAGGAATAAAAGTGAGGGTCGAGTATCGTCAGGTACTTGAGGCCGACTAGACATTGTGTGAACTAGTTCAATACCCGAACGACGGAAACCCTTTCCGACCTGATTGTTAATTTTTTTTCTAGATGTATATATTTAAACTCTCTTCGAAAATACACCACGGACTAACTATGTGTCTCCAAGGGCAGTAATGATAATTGCGAGCGCTGTATTTTATGTGTTTCGGGTCTTCAATGCTCGTGTCGGTGTGGTGTTCGTGAATACAGTTAAATATAAATCAACATTTGAACAATGTCGAAATATTGAATCTCGAGTATAGTAACAAAACTTCAAGAGTCTCAAGGATACTCTCGGTTTACCATATATAGGCATTTCTAGACCTCAGCTGAAGATAACGGCTGAATTCAAGCTAGTTGTGCATTGTGTCCCGTCCCCAAGTTATGCAAAAGGATCTGACCGGGATAGCAAGCGCTATTTTTAGCCCCTCTCTACGAAATTACCGACCCACATTTATAGAAAGCCTTACAAGCGTGCCACTGGTTCCTTGCATGTTACCAGTCAAGCAAGCCTCGTACTTCGGAATTAGACAATAAACCACTAAATATATACCAAGAAAACGCTTCAAGTTAGTTTCGTTTTATTCTTATAACTTAATGACTCCGATTGAGGCTACTATAATATTCCTTTGACTTGAATACAACAAACCCTTTTTAGAATTTTATCCTGCGCTTTTTCTGTCATTGAAACGGCTTTTGTGATTGTCCTGTCAGCGTTTGCAATGCTAACATTACAAGATCTCTTTCTGTAAACTCAAATTACAATCTTAGAGCAAACGGTTCTTAAAAGCTAGTGATTCATGTATATCTTAAGATATATCCAATAGACTTTCGTGTGCTACGTAGACTTGGAGTCTTGCGGCCTTGGTCGGGGTCCGCCAAAACAGCAGATCTTTCTGCTCCTGGGATACTGATGCCAATCTCCCGCAATAACCAACTTCCCGTGCTCTATTGCCCAACTGTATGAATTTTCCAAATTCATTTCGTCAAATCCTTCTTCTTCTTCTTTCTCAAAAACAACCTCATCGTCACACTCCCTTAAGGCATCTTTTTTAATATCCCTAAATCTTCTTTCTGCGGGATGATCCAATCTCAAACTATATCTACCCGGCAAAGTGGTCAAAGGCCAGGCGGTATACGTCAACTCCTTTAGATACTTGACATTCAACGCATCTACCTCCTTTTCCGTAAGATTTCTAGCAAGCGCATCCGGATGACTCGTGGGATGCAAGAAAGCCGGGAGCATCTCGATATCGAGGCTTGCTTTTTCCCACTCCGATATGATGTTTCTAAGCCTTGCTCTTACGAATGGCATCAGTATAGACGTCACGGATTTTCGCCAGGTTGCATCTCGTGGTAGAGTATCATTATCGATTGGCTCTCCAGTGTTGGGGTCAGATGGCCCAAATGCTGTGACTCGGAGATCGTAAATCGCTATTTTTGCGCGACGTATGAGATGCTGATACTGTGGAGATGGAATTTGAATGACTTCATCCTTTTTGATTCTTGTGAATGGGTAATTGCCACGGGATACCTCAGTGGTATATTTGACAGTTTGACTATATCTATGGCAGCCAATAAACAAAATTCGCAATGCCCCGAATTAGTATAGTTATTCTGTTTATGACGCCTGAATAAATATATAGTAAGGGGGACTCTTACTCCTCCCCGAACGTTCGACGATAATGCACGTCCTCCCAGAGGGTTTGATAAGTAACAGAGAAATGAGAATTACAATTCTCGATCGGTTTGCAAAAGTCGGTACCGATAATTTTGAGACGTATGGGGAAAACATTCTGAGAATAAAGCACCGTGGAAGCCTCTTCATGGACTTGCTTGTTTACTCGCAGGATTGAGAGATTCAGCGATGGTGTGTTGAATGGGACCCAATAGCTTTCTTTACTAGGAGGATCCGGAGTGGGGCTTATGTTGAAGATAACCAAATATTCATAGATTTGGTTTCGGATTTCAAGAGGGACGTTAAGGAATGTGCTCGCCATCTTGGATAGTTATAGAGGGTGATAGTAGAGTCAACTTTCCGAGTCAGTTCTGGCTGTAAGGATATCGATGGGGCGCGCAGCAGCTTGATCGCAAGTAGAATACCCGGCAGGCACCGATATAATACTGAAAATGGGAGTAGCCTTTCAGGGTTCGTACGATCGATAGGCACGTTGTGCTTTATACGGAGCATTATAGCGGGGTTGGGTTAGCTACGTTAGTCCATTCCGCTCTTGAATCCGAAAGGATCTATTGGCTTGTAGTATCTTGGCGTCGCTGCACACCAAAATCCTGTCAAGGCTGACGTCTTTCGGGATACACGTTTCCAGAAAAACACGCCTTGAAGTTCCTTTTCTAGTTCGGCTCCTGGGGTCATTACAGGCAATTCTTGACTGTGTCGTCATACCGTTTTAGGTTTTAATTAAGCTAAGCCTTAAGGTTAGCATTGTGTTAGCAAGGGATCTAACGATCTGATTATGTTAATATATATACACTAAGTACATATATAAATATATATCTGCATTTACGTAAATTACCAGTACTAATAATGCGCAAAATCCAGTTGCACCAAATTGGTGTCGCTCCTAGCGTCAATGTTGGAAGTCCGGTGTATAAAGTTCCAAAACGGACAAAAGCCCATTTTAGAGCCCTACGTATATGTAAGGCGTTTATATATGTGAAAAATTGGGTTGCAGATATATATGCTTTCAAGATATTTCAAAAAAAAAGGCGGGGGGGGGGGGGTTTGAATTTCTTCTTGTTTTTCTTTCTTATTTTCCTTCTTATTTTTTTATTTATTTTTTACTAATTTTTTTATTTAATTTTCTCGCTTATTTTGAGAAGCGGTTTATTTTACATCTTATTCGTCTTCTCATTACTTTTTTTTTTAGGAAAAAAAAAATGTATGTACGTCGATGGCATATATACAACTCAACTTTCATATGTAAATACGTCATACATATATACACATGGCTGCTAACTTTTGTCCATTTCGGCCCGTTATACGGTGCGCTACATCATATATATATATTTATTCAGTTAATACTTTTATACAGGACAATCTGGTCTCGTTCCCAGACGTCACAAAGGGCAGCACCCCAAGCAATAGCTCACCATATGCATATTCTTTCTGCTGGCAAAGTTACAATACACCCAAGAATCTCTAAATTTAACGTATTCGCATTCTATAAACATGTGTGATCCACTAGGAACGCTGGCGGCCCGCCTTGCGACCTTGCCTTCTGAATATTTATTCAACGTAGCTGGGTAATTCTATCGAAAACCATGGTATATGAGCCCACAGCTTAAAGATCGCTTAATATCCGCCCTCAGCATCATCAATCTCCTCTTCTTGTGGCGGTTCAACTGTCTCCCCAACCTCTTCTTCCCCTCCCTTCCCACCGGGCTTCTCACCCTTTGGAGCCGGTGCCGTAACGCAAGGACCCTTAGCAGTCCACGCAATTGTAGGAGTACACCCACAATCCCCTTTACATACAGTATTAAAAACCGTAGTAGTAACTTGTTTCGCTGCCCCAATACAAGCACAATCATGTTTCAAGTTAAACTTCATATTGGTACACCTCCTCTCTGTTGGGCAAGGGGGTGCGTTTTGTAGACAAGTACGGAAAGCACGAACTGTTGTTGATGGAGGACATTTGGGGAGTTCTGGGGTCTGCGCGCCTATTTTGGTAGTGCTAGTAGTAGAAGGGGTGGGGGGTTCTTCTTCTTCTACTTCTTCCGTTTGGGGGGCCGGGTCAACTACTTTGGTGACTGTTGTGGTTTGGGTCACGGTCTTTGTGATGTGGGAGATAGGACACTTTCGGGAGACGATTTTGGTGATTGTTGCTGGACTACAACGGCCAGGGTATCTGGTGGTAGATGTGGTTCTACTTGTTTGAGGGAATGGGGTCCGTGCCGCGGCGCTATGTATAAGAATCTTGTTAATTCGTTGTTCTATGAACCCGTACTATAGTACACGGCACTAAAGAAAATAGAATCGACCTGAATAGATTTTAGGAAGAGTAATTGATGTCAAATACGTACCCGGCGACCAAAAAGGAAAGAATAGCAATCTTGATTTGCATCCTGGCGGTAGTTTCTACGATTCTAATGTAGACTTAAATGCAAGAGAGTGTACGGTCTTGAAGACAAGAGTGATTGAAATAAATCAATATATAAAAGAACGACGATGTAATTTAATGAGAGTAAAAGAGGAGTAACCTTCTGAGAGACTAACAAGGAAATAGCTATCAGGGACCTTTATATGAGATCAAAGCTTCCATTTCCAGGTATAACTGGCCAGCTGGACTTCCTGCCGCTTTATATAACATTTCCTAGAGCCTTATTCAAACTTACAAACATCACCCTAGCTATTCAACACTCTGTATAGCTCTCACATATGTACATCAGGACTTCTACAGCCTATAATCAAGCATCCGAACGATCTGACCCATCAGGCGACTCTAAGCGAACATGCCTCCCCTCCCGCTGTCACACAGACAAAATGCCATTGATCGATGGCAAATAGAACTACCATAATGTAACCATAAACTTCTCTATCTCACTGGACACAACGTCCTTTCCTGCGCTTGTTCATCCCCATCTTGAGCCCAAGATCTGCAGAAATTAGCCTCGAGACCAGTGCAGAAATGCTTAATTTGTCACCCTATGTTGCATGTTGTATTATTTTGCGTTGTCCGAACCGACTCCGGGTTGAGATGCTTGTATTGTTCCTACTAGTTTTAAGCTTAATTCCTTTGAAAACCGGGCGGGGGAGAGGAAAGGTGCATACCTTGTATTTAGAACTGTAGGGCAGAATAAAAACAGGGTTTTATCAGAAGCTTGCAAATTGGGATTTTGAATTTAGTTATAATTGCCTATTTTTTCAGAAAAGAAAAATTTGGCTTGCGTGCAATGCAATGCAATCTTGTTGCTAACTTAATGGTCTTAATACATGGTTTGTAGAGAAATGATGAACGCCACTATGCATGAATGCTAGGAATATTCTAAGAGCTAGTGATCGAGTTAAAGTAAGAAGGGTGGGGTGGACGGTGAAGTAAATGAGAGATATGAAGGTGAAACATATATGAACAAAGAAGTTGAAGAGGCCTTTGCCAACTAATAGCTTATAGTAATACAACGCCAACCCTGCCATCACCATTTCAATCATGAGTGTCATAACATGCTTCTTTAATATACTGCCCCTCTATCGCCTTTTAATAGCATCTCGAAGCTCCTCTTCCCTGGCGGGACCTTTCCAAATTCCGCTTCTTCGATGATTCTCTCGTGCCCATCGGGGCCTATCGTCAACCAATACCACCCACCGCCCTCTTTCTTCTTTAGCTCCATTCCCATAAGAGCCCCGCATCTCTTTCTATATTCCTCGTCGTTTAGATACCGTTCTCTGACACTCGAATGCATGAATTCCCTTGTAAGTCCTGGTACAGGATATCTTCCAGGAGTTCTATCCTTCGCGGGTAAAAACTGCCACCATCCATTCCTACTATCGTAGATGGTACCCATGCCCCAACCTTTGCTCCTCTTAAAACTTTGCGGCGTGATAGAGGCAGTTTCATCACCATCTAAAACATTTCCGTATTCATCGTAAATCATAGTAGGGTTCTCTGTATTCGCACAGATGGGTTCGAGATAAGACCAGTCGAACCTTAACCATGGAGAAGTCTTATCAATCATCCATGCTAGCGAGATATCTGCCAATTCGTGGTCCGAGTATCCGCCACCGATTGAAGAATGTGCACCCGGCATCCAGACTTGTTGAAGATTAATATCGATATCTGGAGCTCTCCTGTCTGGAAGTGTATTCGTTCTGGGTAACTTCATTTTACAGCCTGTCTCGCCGAATTTGGGAGGGTCTAGGAACCATAATGTCGGCGAAAAGTTTGATCTCCGCTCGTCAAGGGCGAGGACTTGGAAGGCGTTTTCGACAGCGGGAGAGAGCTTGGTGTCGTAGAAGCCGAAGGAGGCGTTAAGACCCAGTTGTCTTGTGATCCAGGAGTCCGGGAAACCGACAGAACCGACAGTATCAAATACACCACAGACTTTGATGATAATATTACGTTGGGTCTCCCAGGGAATCCCATCAACATTAGCCGCGATCCTTCGTTGCGTGAATGCAGAGAATGACTCCGGTCCTTTCTTGTATTCCTGGTAGATAAGTGCGAAATCATCCATGCCTCGCTTTGTAAGAAGACCGATTTCTGAGACGAAGGCAGCGAGAGCACGGACTGTATATGCACCACGGGAAAAACCGAAGAGATAAATTTCGTCGGCAGGTTGATCTTCGTAAGAGTCTTGGTAGTTGGCAGCTAAGAAGGCGTATGCTTCACGGACTGCACTATCGAGACCGAATCCAATACTACCAGCGGCAAGCCATTGAAGCTTTGTAAGCTCTCCGGATCCAAGACCGGACTGGTAAAATACTATTTGCTGGATTTCGATACCCGGGGTGGTATATCTATCCACACAGTCCAGAGAACGAGCAAACCGTGTGACATTGGAAGGAATCGAAGGAGGACCCTGGTCAGAAGATTTCCACGTACCGTCACAACAACAGATAAGACGCTTGATGGTCTTATCTGGGTGAGGTACGGACCGTGGATTTGGAGTTCGAGGATCCTGGGCGAGTGGATAGTGACCTGTTGGTGGCCATGTTGTATGATGTGAAGGACGTTTAACATCTGGTGACACTTCGGGACTACCACCATGGGCTGTTCTAACATCCGGCCATGTAGTTGATGGTGCTGGCCCTCTTAGAAGAGGCGTAGACTCCGTCGTCTTAAGCTGAGGCCGACTTCTCGACATCTTAGATTGAACTTGGTGAAGTTTTGAGGGTTGAATGATTTGATATCAGATCAAAATGATTTGTGGGCGTCAAGTAGCCCGGGAAGAATAGTTTGCGTGAGGCTGAGGGTTGTTTGCGTGTTGTTGAGGACGTTGCAATTTAATCGATCGCGAGGGTCTCGAATATGTTCGAGTTCTGGTCAATGTACTGTCGTTGAATATAAAACCGCAATCGAATCGTCGAACTTCTAAACTTTTTAGAGAATGAACGAATGCTTTATTGGGGAACCTATACTTTCTATCCGACTAGCCGAAAGCTCAAAATCAGTGCGATAGATGCGGGGGATACCCAACCTCCCTTTTATATAGACCACCTGTACTGCAATGCTTGTTCGGGCTGACGTTTGGCAGGACCCAGCGCCGGAGTCCGGCAACCACTTGAAACGCAAGCTGATGCGCCCAAATGCAAGGCCTCGTTGGCGCAGCTAAATCTCATTCGTTTAGTGGGAGTAGCTCGAGGATCCAAGTCCACCAGCTACCTAGCTGTGACTGTGCCGCCTTTTTTTTTCTTCCCTTCCTGAACCGTGCCGTCATGAGTGCAATTTTAGATCAGATCTATAGCATATGAATTTTCACCGGAGTGTCCTATTTTCCAGGATCTAGATGTCTAGATTTTCATAATAATTGGTCAGACTGGCCCATTTCGAATTTTTATTTTTATTTTTATTTCCTTCGCTGTGAATGATGCAGGTCTGGTGAAGGCCTATCGTTATCCTCTCGCAATTCATTGCGAAACAGGCCAGTGTGGTTGCACAGGTATGCGTGTGGTAATAATTAGGCCACCGGCTGGGTTCAGAGCGGCCCATGGATCATAGCGTCCGGCCGTTCAAGAGCCTCAGGTGTGAGACCCTTTCCAAATAGATCTGGCAGGCGCAGCCCTGCTTGGTACCACACGTAGACACAGTTTCTGGGGGAAAGTTAGCATGGCTTAGAAGTATCGATGTCGTAGTTCCCGCGATGCACTAATAAACTTAACAGCACAGCCATCTTTTGACGAGATCTTTGGATGATGACTGTGCGGGGAAAACATAGCTATGAACGGTATTAGTCAGGATGATTGTCTCCGCTCCGTCAAACGGAATATTTGCCCATTGTCGGTCGGATTTCGTTCTCCCGTTCCCTTTTTTTCGATTCTCTTCCCTTGTTCGTTTGTCGAGTTTGCATAGGACGTGTCTCGGATGCGGACTTACTAACTATAGGTGGTCAGGCGTCAACAAACGAACTATTTTCTCACCTCAGCGTTCACCATCCTGTTCGGGTCGCAATTCGTACATCAGATGAATCACGAGTACACGAGTACAAATTTAAACGTCATTCCCCCAGTTTAGTCTTTTCCAATCGCTCGGAAACGTGGGATTATAGCAAAATATCTCTATAGTCTACATCTCGTACACCTAGAAGGCTCGAACATTCCTGTAAGAAAAAGAAATGGGACTCGGACCTTACAGATATAGAGATACTTAGTCCATAAATCCATACGTCTGTCGATCCGTGCTAACATGTATGCGCTCAAATACTCAGGTTTCATGGATATGTAAGTATCTATAGCTATCTTGATCTTACTGCATGCTGCACCCGCGATTTCGATATCTCGGTTAAGAACGGATGGCATTATTACCCCTGCAAGACGAATTATCAGAAATATCAAAAATCCACTTGATTATCAATATTGTAGTCCAAATACTCACCTGACCAAAAGATTGCGAAATTTTTGATCTTTATAATCATGACACACTGCGTGCGGAAATAGAGTGGACATATTGCCCTCAAAAAAAAAAAAAAATTAGAAATTAAAAAAATCTGTGCGACAGTATAGCGATGCCGTAGCTCCATAGCTTAGTTATGAAGCTGCTATAGGAGCATATGCACATGTACATATGATGAGTACAAGTAACCTGGATGTCTCGCTGTGACTATTGAATATCACTTAGTCGAGGTTGTGGATATAACTTCTGGCTAATGGAACCAATACAATACATTTGGCATTAATATCGTGAAGGATTAGTGTCCATCGCAGCTTATAGCTTGATCAGCCAACCCCCATGACGTCCACGGAGTCATATTCTCTGGATGTTTTAGATTTCGTAGGTACGTATAAATGTATATGTAGAACACTATGTCACCGACGATAGCGACCGACTTTTTATCACAGTTTGAACATTTCCTATTCTGGAAAACAATATTTAAACATGTTCCAAGTGGTTACAGAGGTTTATGCTGAGTTGGGGGCCTGTCCTGACATGCCACAATGTTGTGGTTTAAACCACGTTGAAGAGGCCAGGAGGGATCCATTGTGTCGCTATGCATGTGCAACATAAGACAGTGCAGGGAGAACCCGGATTCAGCCTTACAAAAGAATTCCATATCGGTCGACCTGGTGATCTGTGGATCCTCGGCCTATTCTAGGCTTCCCAGGCCATAAGGTCCTTCGCTAGCTATCTATCGATATATAAGTAGGTATATACTCCCCATGGAGATAACTTTATGATCAAAACGGCCACAACACAGTTGGCATGTTGCATTATTTCCCGGCGTCCGTCGGCCGAGATCTTAGTTTCCGGTCCTACTTCTCTCGGCCGTTGAAGACACCCAGAATTCGAATTATAACTAACTAGACCCTGATACTCATGGAATTCAAGTAGCCTCTGGTAGATAGTAGTTATCATATCCCGCAGAATCTCTAATCTAGATTGTATGGTTGGTCCTCTTGGATTTCGGAAAGTGCATCACAAATGCACGCCATGACATCCTAGATTCTAACGGTAGTTAAGTTGGGTATAGTGCTGACCTACACCCCTGCCTTTCGTTCGTCGACGGGACCGCGAATTCGAATATTACTAATACTGAATCTAAAATGTTCAATATCGATCCGGATTCATGGATCCAAAAACTTCACGCAACTTCCTGACGTGTATATTATAATATCGTATGCTCAGACCAAAGACCACAAACTTAAATAAGAGTGTATATTTACCAATTGCCGAGTATACCTAAGCGGTAGCGGAATTCGCAATAATGGCCCCTCCCGGCGGCACCACTCTCATAAACTACAACTTCTGCACTCGTTCCGTCTTCCTCTTTGTCCCGACATATTTCCTCACTCTTCTTGTAACCTCCACTCTTCTGATATCCACACCGAAAGGCTCTCTCACACGATATGCCTCTCTACCTATTATCGCCTACCTCTGCCTCCGAATCTTCAACTACGGCGCCGCTACATTCCCACACAATGTTGTCGGTCTAATCGACTGGGCCGGTAGCGCCTACAATGTTTTCTTAATCTCAAGCACCCTCCTCCAGCTCGAGGGGATTGATTCGACTGACCCCGTTATTTCAAAACCCGTCAATGGTCGTCCGCCAGGATATTTCACTCGTCTTTGGAGGGGACTTAGTTATTGCGTTAACGTCCGTGGGATTAACACTCCATACCAAATAAAAAATGTTCCGGCATTTGACTCCAAAAGGCCGGGGTGGGTTCCTTCGCGTCGAAGGTTTTTGGCTACCAGACAGCTTGGTTTATAGTGCTCTACCTTGCACAAGACTTTTTCTATTCTCAGGAAATTACCAAGGAAGATGAAGTCAAGTTCCTTGGTATTAACCGCGAGAATTTATTCTGGAGACACCCGCAAGATGGATCTATTACAGGCGATGAAATGGGTTATAGAATTGCGGTTACAAGTCTAATGTGGTCGATACTTATCCCTCTTTCCGTAAACCTACAATATACCTTCCTCTCGATTCTGGCAGTCAGCACCGGTGTTTCGGAACCAAAGAATTGGCCACCACCATTTGGTAGCCCAAAGGATAGTTACACACTCCGCCTCTTTTGGGGGAAGTTTTGGCATCAAACTCTCCGTTGGCATTTTAGCAAACCGGCACAGTTTATAACACGTAAAATATTTCAACTACCCAAGACCGGTTTGATACAACGATATGTCAACACCTACGGAGTATTCCTCATTAGTGGTATCTGGCATGCGGGGCAATCGTGGTTAATGCTTCGTTCGCAAGGCCCGGAAATTCAACAGGCTGGTTGGAACAGAGAACTATTCTTCTTTACGGCCATGGCAACTGGAATAATGATTGAAGACGGGGTACAATGGTTATTCCGTAGCCAAAAGGTTAGGAATGGGGAAGAAAAGGAAGGGTTGGTGGTTTGGAAACGGGCTGTAGGATATATTTGGGTATGGGGTTTCTTGGTACTTGTCGCCCCGTTCATCGATTATCCCAAATTTAGAGCTAGATTGGCGACATTCCTACCAGCTCATCCATTAATTATTTTGGATCCGGAGTGGAAGAATTAATTCGCAATAGCTGGATGAGCAAACCCTCAGGATGGTCCTTCGGCCGAGTGAAGGCTCCTCCCGATTAGTATTACCTAATTCTACAGAGCGAGGAGAAGAGTGTCGGACTTGACGGAGTTAGAAGGTTATCGAGATACACCCATGCAATGATATCATTTAACCCTCCCACACTCTATGCTTTAAATTTATTGATAATATCGGAGGCAGCTAAGCCAGCAAGAGGATGCTTGTCGGGCGTTATATGAGTCCCGAACCCCAGACCGGCGCATTCCTTTCAAATTCGCCGACATGTACTGAAGCTCTTAAATTCTAACCATTCTATTTTGATAATCTAGCTTTGTATGCATGTAAGATGAAGTCTAGGAAGTTCCTTTGAATGAGTAACATTCCTACCAATCAAAGATACGAATCTGGTCTCAGCGATATCTTTGGGGTTAAAGAGGTACTTGAACTCAATATACCTCATTTAATTATCGAGTCAAGCATAATCCCGGAGCGGCTTCAGAAACCCGCCTAAATTCCGAGCTCAAGGTACGTTAGGCCTATAGGTCGGGTCGAGCTCTCAATGAGAATCATACCACTGTCTCAAGATCCCAGAAAAACAGGTAACACAAGACTAATAACGACCGGTATATAAGAACCTCCCCGCATCTGGCGAAATATTCGAAATTAATCCTGTAATCCCCAAATTCTATACATGAAAGCTATCTACACCAATCAATAAGCAAAAGAGAAAAACAACTCAGGTCCATATTAAAAGGCTTCGACTACGAATATTGTAACAATGAAAGTAATCGTTACCGGTGGCACTGGCTTCCTCGGCGCTGAAATCCTGCGACAATGCGTTGCGAACCCAGAAATAACCTCGATCATTGCCCTCGCCCGTCGCGACCTCTCTCAAGAATGGCAAGCTGAGAAGAAGATAACCACCTTGAAAATCAAAGATTTTGGTACCTATTCACCCGAAGATCTAAAGGTCCTAGAAGGAGCCGAAGGGTGTTTCTGGTAAATACTTTACTCCATTGCATTGGTCGTTATTGAGTAAGTTGAGGAATCGGAGTAGAAGCTGACGTCTTGAAGGGCCCTTGGGACCACACCGGATAAAGCCAGACACATGACGAACGAAGAGTTGAAAACTGTCAATGAGGATTGGCCAACTAATGCTGCAAAGGCATGGAGTCAATGGCCACTTCCCGATGGTAAAGTATTCCGTTTCGTTTTCACGAGCGGATCTCTAGTTCCCAGTCCCGAAGATCTCGATCAAAAACTCTGGTTTGGAGAGTATATGAGAAAAGGACGGGTAATCCCCTCCCTCTAGCTAAATTTCCTCTGTAAACAATAAATACCCGAATTCACGACGAATACTAAAGGTTTACGACGTCTTATAGGCATATACGGAACAGAACCTCCTCGGAATAGCGAAAGAGGGTAAACTGGATGCTTACGTCGCCAAACCTGGGTTCATTACGACTGGCACACCGCTCTTTGGAAGGTTGACATTTGGAAAGGGGTGGGTGAGCAAGGAGGCCATGACTGCTGGCTATTTGGATCTGCTACTTCATGGGAATGAGAAAAAGGTTTTCTGGAACGATGATTTGAGGCATCTGGGGGCTGAAGCCCAGAAGAAATTTGCGGCGAAAAAATAGATGAAAATTTTTGGAGTTCTCTATTTCTAGGAGTTATAAGTAAGGGAAGTTCGGGGTGGTGTGTGCACACATGCACATCTTGGCTTATGGAGTTTTGGTTCTTTGTAGTTTTGATTCATTCCCTGAAGAGCCATGCTATTTAACTTCAAGGCCTATCTAATTGATATGAGCACGGCCGGTTCACTACACGGCCCTAGGATAATGTGGAGGCTCTGCTATGCGGTTTATTGATTCATGATTGGGCTTTTCTACTACCCACTTGAAATTTCCTTTTGCTTGATGGATTCGTTGTCTTTTTCTTATGCAAATGCTAGTTTCGTTAATTTTCATGCTATGCTAAATAACTAAATATATAAAAAAGAAACGCACCGAGACTTCCAAGAACAATATAAACAGCGAACATGGTAAAAAGAGTATTAGGGTATTATGAACTGTAAACAAGTCGCGGTAAGTGATAGCACGGAGTATTAGGAGTTATCAAGAAGGAATATTAAAGAAAGTATCAAAAAAAGCTAGCAAGTGTAAAATTCAAATCCGGAAAAGCGATAATTTCAAACCCAAACTCCAAAGCATATTCAAACTCCAAAAGAGTGTAATTACTATCGAATTCCCAAAAACGGAAGAGATTTTAAACCTTAAACAGGGAAACTCCAAGAAATTCCAATAAAAACGAGTGTACTTACAATCTTCCTATCTTAAAGGGAAAGATCAAGTGTAAGAATGCGGCGCAAACCCAAACCTCGTCCTTCCGTAATCAAAAACTCCAAAATTCTGCTTGAAGAATACATCCCCAAAGATATATTGGTTCCCACTGATTGGCTGGATGGCTCCAAAGCAATATGAAACACCGCCGATAGTTCCTAGACTGCTGCCATAGATAACATTTGCACCACTAACACTGGCCAAGTTCGATCCTACACTGAAGTAAAATGCTGGGAGTGAAGAACTTTTGGCGCAAGGGAGGATGTAGCCTCCAACTTGGCTGTTGGCCTGGGCACCAGAGATGGTCTTGTAGTAAGCCTTTGCCGCCCCAGAGCTGACGAGGAGGAGTGTTGTGCCAGTGTCTGCGATGCCCGTGGCGGTGGATGGATTGGAGTATGTTGTGCCTCCGACCTTGTAACTCGTACTGGGGAATTCCCACCACCCGCTTTTGGTTGAAATCGGGGTAAACTTGATGCTTCCAGTATACTTCTTGCTATCGATATACCCAAAGTCGTAAGACCCGGGCTTGTTGTGATATAGATTGGCTGTGAACAACTTATTCGACAACGAGGACATTGCATTCTCGAACCACGTTTTGGCTTGCGCTGGACTGACCGTATTGAGTGTCCCGTAGGCGAGACCGATAAGACCATCGTTACCTCCTGAGGTGAAACTAGAACTCACGGTCTTTGCAATTTCAACTACTTGGGTACCGACTGTCGTTGACCCGATCGTGACTTTATCGGTTCCGACGTCGCCAGAGGCACCTGAGCCGTCGGCGTATTGAATAGACCAAGAGAAACCAGTTAACTTCTTCCAGGTGGATGACTTGGAAGGGTTATAAACGTCATGACCAGAGAGTTGCGAAGTAGCTTGGCTGGTCGAGAAAACCCATAAGTCGGAGCTGCCCGTATCAAGGTTGAGATTGAGGGTTTGAGCCGGTGTTCCGATTTTAACTGGAATAGTATACTCAACGTCACCGGATTCAGGACTGGCTGTGACACTGCTATCGGTGTAGCGCCTTGCGACTTCCTTGTGCATGACCAAGTCCGATTTGAGGTGCTCATCGGTAGGAAGATCCTTCTCGACACCCCATTTGCGAATGGCATCATTGAATGATTTGGGACCATTGTGATTGACCTCAAGGAAGTTATGTGTAACTGGGATTGAGAAACCCAAGGAGGAATCTTCAATTGGCACGGCGGCCACGCTCCCGGCGACCGAAAGAACGGTAACGATGATAACGGTGGAAGAGTAGTGCATTTTAGAGGAATAAAAAAGATAAAATATAACGAATGTGTGCGGTCGCCTCGGTATGATGCAGATGCAGATGCAGATGCAATATTAATATGCGATATATGCAATAGATGCAAGGTATGCAAGTATATGCAAGATATGCCGATGCGACTCTCGAGCCTCGATGCAAGGAAATGCCAAGGGTATATATATAATGCAGGTGGAAGTAAAATACTATGCGAAGATGACTTGAACTATAAGCAAGATGAAACTGGATCCAGATGCAAATGAACTGAAGGACGAATCAATGCTGGTGAATAGAGACAGGGAGGTGGGAAGAGTGGTTCAGACTCGTCCTTATATATGTTTCTTTCACGATCGATCGTGAGGTCAGGATGGGTGGGCCGGCGCACTGATCGGAATATGCGCCCAACGAAGAGAACATCGAGTAAGGTTTTGAAATTCCCAGCGACATGGCGCTGAATTTGGATCGTCAGGAACGATTAATGGTGGTTAGGACGACTCAGTTGAAAAAAGCTTACCGCAGCCGTAATTTTACTTTCTGCCACGGGAATACGTACCCTTTCGCTCATGTCCGAGTGCTTGGGTGGTTCTAGAAATGACATAGAAGAAAGCTTATATCCAAGTTACTGAAGTTTCGTCGCCACATTTTGTCGCAATTAATACGTATAGGGAGGGCAAATGTGTCCACCGCTTGCCTCATCGTGAACACAGGATGCCGCACGGGTTCAGACCTGTCAGCATCTAACTGGCGAATGTCTACAGACGAGAGTCATGAAATTCGTTTGTGCGCCTCCTTTGATCGCAAACAGTAACATTATTGAGACACATACGATTAATCAAACGCACAGTGCATCCTCGAGACCCTTCTCAAAGTCATAAACTTCTACAGAATAACGTCACTGTGAATAGGTTTCTTGCATGGACTGCATTCTAGATTTAGCCTCTAGAATTGTCAAGCCGAAAAAAGATATAAAGGCCAGATGGGGGGAAACGTGGAGGACGGGCAGTTTCCGATGATTGATAGCCATTGGGGACTCCCTCTATAGCTTTCCCCGTGCCAAATCTGGATTTCCAGAGAAAGATACTTTGACCAAAAAATACGATCGGATTGGAGGAAATAAATAATGCCGTCAAGGCATTCCCAATCGGTGCACGAAAGTATGGCAGAGGGCCCGAAAAAAGCAGGCGCCTCGTGGTAGATGTAGCCTAGATCATAAATATGGATATGTGATACTTCCTGCATGGCTCCCATGATACAAAGGTTGTTCTCTGAGCCTTCTGGAAACCTGCTGATTCCGGAATGGAAGGAACCTTGCTCTTGGAATATTCGGTCAGGAGGCAATAGTTATGTTGTACTCTGAAGTTTATATATTGATAACCTAATATCAAAAACTTTAACAGCCTTTGCCATCTCGATTAATTTTGTGGGTGATTGGCTACTCAATCATATCGGTTGGACCCTCCAAATTTGCAAAGCATCGTGGGTCTTTTATAATTTATTGGTCTAGGCTGTTGGCTCTTGCTATTCATTATATATCGTTAGCGATATGTCCGCATCATCGAATTCGCAAATACGAAAGCAAGGCTGCTTGCGGCTCTAATTTAGCAAATATTCGTAGGATGAAATCTTACAAACATCAATCGCCCATGACTTTTTAGACGTTTTGTCTTGGATATATCTATAGAGAGAATTATCAGTCTCGTGCATTGACGTTTTCAAAAAAATACGTGACTGGGGAATGAGCTCAATAGAACAGTATCGTCCTGTTGATGCTGACGCCTTCGTCAAGTCTTAAAGCTTGGGTGTTAGAACGTTAGAGCCGGGTGCATGCATGCACGGGACGCCCACGATCTGTGCTTCCGGTCTCTAGTTCGTCGATTTCTAAAATTCTTTTTGCATATATATACATATTGTTAATAAGTGAGTGTATTATAAATATTGATGCTGATGTTTTCAGTCGGCATCGTGTCACGAGGACTAGTTTCAACTTCCAGACAAAGACCAGATCGGTCTATATAGTTGCTAACATTTTTTATTATATTGAATCATCCACATTTGGCGCATATAATCCTAATTCGTAGCTCCAATCTAGATGTTCTAGATTCGAATATTCACGCAAAGGATTCATCAATGTATTATATATATATATAGTCGCAGTCCGATGATGGTAGGGATTGAGAAGTAGTATTTAGCCAATTAATTAACGTAAGAAAAACTCCAAACGCCTGCAATATAAACAACGAAGAATAAATCAAGAAATTTCAAACTCCTTCCAAGACCTTTCTAAGAAATTTCGAAATGTTAGAATCATGACTTCTGCGCAACTCCAAACCTCTTATTCCCATAATCAAAAACGGAGTAAACGCCCTTGAAAAATATATCCCCATATATCCAAGGTAATGTAGAAGAGTCTCCTAGACTTTGAAGGCCACCAAAGCACATGGTACCCGCAGAGTTTGCATAAGCATAAGTCATATATTTTCCAGGAACGTTGATCCAGTTATTGCCAACTGGGAGAGAGATAGTTGGCATGCTGGATGAACTGTCGGATGTGCAAGGGTAAACCCAAGCACCCATATCTGAACGATATGATGCGCCTGAAACCTGTGCGTAGTAGAGTTTGACAACAGAGGTTGGCATTAGGAGGAGGGTGGAGCCGGTATCTAGTATCAACGTTAGTTCCCTATGGTTGGAAGAGGGTTATTGAGGTGATTAGAAGCTTACCAGGGACAGCGCCCTTTGAGTTAGAAGCACCGCTGGTATAAAGCTTTCCATTGACTTTAATACCCTTGGAAGCAGCGACATGCCACCATCCGGAATTCAAGATTTTGGCATACTTGATCTTCTTGGCGTACTTCTGGCTGATGAATCCCCAAGTGTAACTTCCCACTGCAGATTTCCTTAAATCTGCAGCGAAGAGTTTGGCTTTCAGTTGAGGCATAGCATTTTCAATCCATGTCTTCTGCTGAGTGGGTGATACTTGGTTCAAACTGCTGAAAGCAAGGCCGAGTAATCCATCACCTTCAAAGTCTTCGAATCCAGATGTTACCGTGTTGGCGACTTCAACAGCCTGCTTAGCAACGGTAATGCCACCAATTTTGACACTATCTGTAACGACTGTTCCAGAGGCACCACTGCTATCGGCGTATGTTATTGACCATGTCAAACCACTAGCGACCTTTGCTGAAGTACTAGGGGTATAGATATTGCCGCCGAGGTTCTTGTGCTTTGCTTGCAGTGTGGATGAGAGCTGATTCGAAAACACCCAAAGATCTGAGCTGCCAGTGTCGAAATCCATGTTCATTTTTTGGCCACCGATAGTAATCGGCGACAGATACATTGTATCGTACGTGACGGGGTTTGCGACAACGGTGCCTGTACGTGTACCCCTTTCTTGAAGTCTTGAGGGTTTAGTGTAGTTAAGTAGGCCCGGTGGGATGACTAAGTCTGAGAAATGACGTTTATATTTCAAGTATGCCTTTCGGAGTTCGTGGAAACCATCGCGCCCAAACTCAGGATTTGGAACTACCGGTACGGAAAATCTTGACGCTAGCTTGTGATCTTCGGGGAGGTCAGCCCCAGCACTCACGGTTGCTGCATCGACGTCGGAGTCGACGTCGGAGTCGACGTCAACTTCTAGTGGCGCTGCGAAGACCGCAGAGGCAGATAGAAGGAGGGTGAATGTTTTGAAGTGCATTGTCAGAAGAAGAATTGAATGAATGTCAATAGTAGAAATTTGCGAGCAAAACGACTGATTTATTGTGATAAATGAAGGGCTAGAGAGCGAAGTTCCTGAAGGAGAAAAAAGAGAGACATTTGGACGGAACTGGGGATGTTATATAGCCGTAGCTGCACGACGGGCGCATGAAGCTTGAGTTGACAGGCAAACTAGATATGGAAATGACCTTCTACCGAAAGGGCTGTGCCCCTAAAACGGAATGCTTCTGGAAAAATGGGCGAAAGGGTATCTAGGAACGGGTTCTTGCATCTTAACCTTGATATTCAGGGGCCTTGGCTGCGACGACAGCTGGTACTGTTCGAAATTTATATGCGAATTGTGGTATTTTTTGCGTTGCAGGCCGGCCGTTAGAGCCGGAAACGGTCCCTGGCAAAGTCAATATACCATGGCGAACTTTGGAACAAGCTGTTTGTGGAAATGAAAGCGGATCGGCTAGGTTTATTACTACGGAAGTTAGTTAAGCTAACGAAGGCCTACGCATTTAGAGACAACGGTCTGTTGGGTTCCAGACACTCCTCGTCAGACTCCTTTCGTCGACGGTAGACGAGTCATTACTAGAGTTGTATTATACCCAGTCCCAAGCTTCCAACGATTCTGCGATGATCTGCTTTTTTATGAACCTTCTCGTACACTCCTAGCTTTAGCCGAGTCAGCAATCTATATAGATCTACGGAGTATAACAAAACTATTTATCGAATTTCAACTTCTTTGGGGGTGGAGTATTCGCAGGGTAAACTCTGAAGGACACTGCACTCGGGGTTGATAAAGAACCAGCCTCCCTAAAGTATGAGCAAACGCCCTACGATTACACCTTTGAATATTGCTCCGAGGAAGCCCAAGTTTTAGGGTGAATGGCATCACCAACACACCAAGAGGATCTCGAGCTGTTGGATGTTGGGTGAAACTCAAAGCTCACCGGCCAATCATAAGGGTCGGCTTGATTATTCATCCGCCCCGGCGCCATCTCATGTGACTGCGCGTACGGATTCAGTTCGAGCTAACGGCTAGAAGAGAATTTAGGGGCTTGGGACGCAGTCTTGTCGCCAAGTGAGTGAATGAAGAAGATCTTAAGATCGAGTCGGAGGGATTGATGCTTCTTGCCGAAAGGGATTGGGGTATTTGTTGAGCGGCTGAAGTTTTCGTAGTTTTGTATAAAGAGACTTCTTGAATTCACAAATCTTCCTCCTTTCCACCACCGTTCTAAAAGATTACCGGATAGTCATCCATTAAGATAATTCGGAACCATCCATCTAAATTCTGGCGTCGTTATTTCCTAGCTTTGCCCTGCTCTTTTCATTAACGTTAATATTAATATATTAACATACAATATGTCCGACACGAACGCCCCAGCCGGAGATTCTAAACTGGAATTGCCCACGCCTGTAAGAAAGTTACCCCAAACCTTTGTCTCGTCGCCAGACTCCTCAACTGTGCCCAAACCTAAACTAGACTACCCAAACCTTATTAATTTATATGATGATACCAAAGTTAACCTTTAATTTTTTGTCGTTTAATATAGCTCGGCTTCTGCTGGGTCGAAATCCCCGTCAAGGACATGAAACGTGCCCTGAAATTCTACGGTGATGCCTTTGGATGGACCAGCCAGGAACAGGGCGAAGCCTGGTATCAAATTGTTCAAAATGAATTCAAAAACCTCAACGGAGCTCTCCGTCTAGTCACGGAAGAAGAACATGTTGCTGGCACTGCAGCTCGCCATACTATGAAACCATTTATCGGTCTTCATAGTATCAAAGAGCCTCTAGCTAAAGTCAAAGAAGCAGGAGGAGAGATCATCAAGTCAGTTCCACACTTTCACGTAGAATTAAGATCCTAATGGATGGATGCTAATGTCAATAATCTTTCACTTAGTCCTGGGGAAGAGATACCTGGAGATATGGGCTTCTGTGGCGAATTTTATGATTCCGAGCGCAATGTCGTTGGGGTTTGGGCGAAGAAAATGTCACTGGACTAGTCTCGTAGGCATGATTGATCGATATTGAAGGAATGTAATGGCATCTCTTAGCTTAGATTAGATTTCTCTGCAGAGTGACAATTGATCTACTCAATTTGGACCCCGATCTTCATCCAGTAACAGCCCGGTTAGCTCAATCGGTAGAGCGTCAGACTCTTAACAACGGGGTTTCATCCCAGTTGCCATGGGCATCTGAAGGCTGCGGGTTCGACCCCCGCATTGGGCTTCCATAGCAACCAGTTTCCATTTATTCTTTATTTTTTGTTCTTTTCCTGGATTCTTTTTGGTGAATCGTGAAGATCCAACAAAGGAAAGAGAATGCAGATTTTTTTTAGCGAAAATTTTTATTTGCGTGTTGGATTTTTTTGCGGGAGATCTAATTCTCGTCCAGGGTGCAAAGCTTTTAGTGTCGGAACCAGTCCTGGAATCAGATGCTCGACTGAATGAATTGTGCAGGAATCGATTCTTGAAACCCCAAGGCTTAGACGTCAGAGCTCTCATACAATCGCTTAGAAGTGAGAACCCTTTTATTTTTTGTTGGTCCCCAGCTGCAGATATCAGATCGTAGAATTTTCAATCGTTAACTCGGCTGGGTCATCTGGGGCCCGGGGGATCCCGGGAAAGCTTCGAAATGCTAGGAAAACTCAAGTTGAGCAGAACCTACATACATGAATACGAAGCAATGCGTGGAAAGAAAATTGTAAATTGTATACATCTTAATAATTATAAAAACGAATCCACTTTACATCGATGCAAAATACAGGTAAAATCCGAGATCAAGATGGGAATTAGCATTAGAATATCTAGAATAACTAAAAAAAGAAGTACTCACCGCTGCTAACCGGCCCAGACAACCTCGCTTGGATCAAACCATCATAGATCGATTATTTTGGGCGTGTGTAACCTAGCGTAGCTCGTCGTATGATTGGTTCAATTCGCCAAAACTAAGCCGAAAGTCCTCCAACGACCATCCGATATGGTGTAGTGGTTAACATCGTTCGCTCTCATGGGTTCACGGGCTTCTAAACCTGTTCACCTGCGATCCGAACAGCCCCGGGTTCGATTCCCGGTGTCGGAATACCTCTTCAATAAATTTTGATTCTCAATCTTTTTGCCCTATTTATTACCCTTTTACTTTCAAACTGACCTCTAGATTGTACCTCTAGATGATGGTTTTGGTTTCTTGAAATTGACGCCAATGCAATTGTCAAGGGTTAGCAAATTTGCAAGGCTGCGAAAGTTTATACGTTTAGCGTTGTGGCCCTAAACCTCAGAAGTTGAAAGTAAGTTTTTCAAATGAACGGCGTTGAATTCAAAGCAGATGCCATTAATTCCCCCACCTGAGGTAATCTGATAGTATCAAATTAACTTTTATCACACGTAAGCACGAATCCTACTTTCCGGAAACCCGTTGAAACCTCTCTAAACGTTACTCGCTGATCCCTAAGCCATGCTAAATGTCAACTCAGAAGCGTATTTCGGAAAACGATTAATGATATCGATCTCATCCTTGACTCCGTGATATCGTGATACCCGACGCCTCTAAGGATGACCCTGCGACAGCGTGTCTTTAAAAATTAAACAGAGCTTTCATGAAGCTGAGCTGTTATATTTTTGTAACCCTGTAGTATGCGCCTATGTGTTGCATGCATATGAACAGAGGATGCATTGAACTCGCACCCGTCTTGCCTCCAGACCAAGGATCGATGCATGATAATTTTCAGTTCGGGTAGATTCCTGCCTCGTTTGTTAGCAGAGATTAGATTTCCCTGACCCCCTTGGGAAAAAAATTGATTATTTGATGGAAGGGCGAGTCTCGTCTATGTATTTTGCTTCACGGCGACGGCACACGCACGTGTTAATATCCTAAAGTGACCTGAAAAATAGGCATCTGATGTAGGATGATGTGCATCCGGCCCCAATAATGGACTTTGGATTCCGCCAAATCGCCTTTAAGAGTTGCCTTGCGTAGCGAGGTATTATCGTAGCTGGTTCATTGATGGGTCGTATATATCAATTAATATTATGATATACAGTGCGCATGCGTATGCTCGCATTATCGAACTCCAATCCAAACGGCTTTCGATTCCAGCCTCCGAGAACAAAAGGTAGCAACAGACTATAGTGCTAGATTCTATTAATTAAAGAACCATCTAGCCCAAGTTATCTGCTTTCCCCAGTCCTTCCATATAATATAATGCTCCAACGCTATTTGATACATATGAATGGCAAGTTCCGTGTCGCCTGGATGCCGCAGACAATTAGGCAAAATCTTACATGGGAAAGACAAACACAGAAAATGCCTCTTCAACTTGTTGCAAAACTTCCTCCTATCTATAGCTACTATGTAGACCGTAGTTCAATCAGCGCAGGATCAGGATCATTACCCATGTCAAAAACAATGAATTCGCTAAAGATTTCTCCATTAGACCTTTCGGTTAACAACATGCATAACCATAGTCTACCTCTGGTACCTTTTTTTCCTTGGTCGATAGGACGAATTTTGTGCGTATTTGGGTAATCAATTCGCCTCGCTAAGGCTCTAGAAGCTCGGTTCTCGTCGTCCACAACGGTAATTGCGTTTTGACCCTTTGGCTTTTTACCCCAGAAATATATGCGCGCAGGCCCCTGCAGCGTTTATTTCAGCTCTGTAGTTCAGGCAGTATGCATGCAGCAACGAAAAGAAAAATTGCACAAGTTATGATAAGTTTCGTCTCATTTTTCTTACATGAACAACTACAATTCGATAGCTGAAAGGCGTCCCCTTGATAGTGATTTTCACGCATGCCATTCGAATCCAGGTACCACTGTCATTGAAAGAGAAGACGGATTCGTAACCCGCCAGAAGGCGCCACCAGAAGCGCCACCTGCATATGTTACTGGTCTAGATATTTTTTCGTCTCGGAATTCTTTTCGAGGCTTAGGAGAGATATTACTGCTTATGAGCTTGACTCTATTTGCCCTGCATATTGCGTGCAAAGAACTAATATAATGTCACACAAAAAAAATCGTTCGCGCAGCTAGGACTGTTCACTATCCAACTGCTTAGACACGCATGACATGCGGTACTATAGGTATATGGTAGTACTGGTTCGTGGTGTAGGCAGCGATTCAACAGACAACAGGCAGTTCGTAGGTGACGAAATCTTTCGTTTAAACTGAAATGTATAGCACTTGGAACTTGGCCGGGTGATGCGTTTAAGCTCACCAAGAAATCCAAGAGAAATCCGCACGGCCATATTGAGGTGTCCTATACCTATGTACCCGAATCTATAACACTATTGAATAAATTGATCTTTGTTTCGGATCCGAGTTTTGCCCCTACATTAATATCCCACCTTAAGAACTCGATATTAGCCTTGAACAGTTTTTTATTGGTTCAATTTGAAAACTATGTCCAAGAGTAGTCTCGTACTGCAGACGCGGTCCACACTTTGGTCCAAGAGTGCTTCTTTGAGAACGCCTTAGAAATGTCACCTCCGAGACCTTATGCACGCACGACAACCTGCCATATCTGGACTTACAGTGCTCTGGAAAGACAGGAGTATTGAGAACTCGATCAACTCCATATGTACCCTTAATTCACGGCCCGCATCACCGTCTGCATTCCCGCCTCTAGATCCTTTCCGTATGTCGTGATTTTGAACCTCTTAAGCTTAGATAGGTACTAAGTAGAAAATTGTATGTCAAGATCTTATCTTCAACGTCGAAATGAAATGGAGCTTCTCCCTCCGAAAAAAATCTACATCACCATCCCTAAAGATGTCGTGATACAGCCCCCAGGACCATTCCACCTACTATCTAGCGATTTGGAATTCATCCATTGATTACTGGGATTGTTACACAGCCGATAGCTAGAGCGAATATGTTACACCCCTTACCATTGACCTGGAAGCCGTCTAGGCTCAATACCTAGAAATTTTCGTCGCGTAGTACCGAGTTCGGCTGAGAATCTGGATGGACGGGTTCGCTTTCGCTAGCTGAAACTATTCCCGTGGCTATACCTTAATCAAGTCCGGTATCAATCTTGGGGCAATACTTACCATTAGAATGGTTGGGCCTTGTGAGTGTACGACTGTCTATAAATATCGAGGCTGGAACCCTTCTTCTCTTACTTTCTTTCTCACCAACGGCAACAATCAGCAAAATTCCAGGCAATACTGCCAGGGAGAACATCCAAAATGAAGTTGATTAGTGCTTTGCTCGCAGCTTTGGCTGTTGGTAAGAAGCCGTCCCCATTGATCTCTGATATTTATAACCATTTGTCTTTTAAGATATTAACCTGATACTTTCAAAAAAAAAGGCGATGCTTTTGCTGCTGTGGCGACCACTCTAGCCACCCAGACCGCCAGTCCGGTAACTTCTGTTCCAGGCACGACTTCTCCAGTTTCGAGTCCAGTATCCACCCCCGGAACCCAAGTTTCGGAGACTATTGTACCTCCAAGCGAGCCTTCCTACCCACCAGCAACTGGTACACCAGGACCAGTTGATCAGCAAATCGATTCAGTCGTTTCTGAGTTGAGGAGCAATGTTGTCAACATTAATGCCAGATATAGTATGTTTACAAATCCACCTAACTCATTGTTTTCATTTCAAGAACTTTGGTTCTAATCGGAATTTTAGATGCGACTTGTGCAAATTCCTGCAACGCTGGCCATATTCAAGCCTGGGGTGATGAGCACGCCAAAGTTGCCGATGTTGCTTTGACCAAGCTCAGAGCCATCCCTGTTGGATATGTCTACTGGTGGTACCCAAGACTGTAGGTTCCGTCCACTTCCATCCAGCCATTAGACTTCATGGGAAAAACATCTAACGTATAGTGGTTGATAAGGGTCTGGAACCTTGGTTGGATCTGGATTGAAATCTACTATACTCTTTACTTCATCTGGTTCCGCGCTGGACTTGGTAAGTTCTCTACCCCGGCTGAACTTTTATAAGGAATGAAGTAAAGTACTGATTGGCATCTGTACAGTCTGGGAGTTGATCTACTTCAACCGTTATCTCTGGAACTTTTATGTTTCATGGAGAGCTCTCTTCTGGTACTTTGGCCGATTCGGTGGATAGTAAGTTGCACCCTCCTTGCACGCACTCCTGATCTAGGGCGTGATACTAACTCGGCTATCCCGTAGCTGCTTCTGGCCATACTGGTACGGATGGTTTTACCGCTACTACTGGGGATGGGGATGGGTTTGGTGGAGTTGGTGGAGAGTTTTCTGGTGGTGGTAGATGCAGCACCTCGTGCCTGGGACCTGGTTACGAGGAGCTTCGGACAAAGCAACCTTAGGTATCAACGAAAATTAGCCAGGCTTTCTAAGCATCTATATGGATATCATGCATCGTGTAGTTAGAAGGAGATTCAAATAAAAACTTATACCTACCCCTAAATTAGTTCCACAGTATCCCTACAATGCAATGTAATTCTAATCTGAAATCAACTGGATTGTACGTAAATATAATCTTGCGTGACCTGGCCTGAGCAAGCCATGGTAATGATTACCGTACCATGTTCAACGTACTCTGACGCCCCAGTATACCATCTGAGGCAGGTACGCAAACAGATTAGTCAACCTCGATATCTCGTACCACGAAGGGATCCAAAGAACCCCTGCCAGTAACTTCAACCCAACACGAATCTTCTGTTGCATTTTTCTGTTGCAGCTTTAAACCTGGTCGAATGTGCACAAGGAGAGAGCTGTGAGGTTATTTCGGTAGCCTTATGTGTCTTTGTGTAAGTGAGTACTTGGCTGTAGTAGAGTTTCTGTTTCAAGTCTAAGTTAGTTTATGAAGGCTCAGCAAGATAGGAGGGAGATATACTTGAATATGTGACTTTATGCCCAATCCATCAATCTTGGTTCTGTATGTCTGTTCTTCTATAATCTCGATGGTGTCCCAATAGAACCTATGTCGTTTTTTGAGATTTGAACTAGGAACTGAATCATTTGGTCCTTTACATGCACGGAGGCAGTTTCTTCGTGAGTTTGTAGTCTTGGTGGTCCAGAATGAAGAATTAGCTGTGGGATGGTCGATATGTGGTGTTGGTAGGAAGCCTTCTTTGAGAATGAGCAGTGAGCAGTCAGAGCGGTGCCGGCTATCCCACGCTTCCTTATCATAGTCAAATATTTGCCCTCAAAAGTGAAAACATCTACTTTCATCACCTTCACCAACCATCACCGTCCCGTATCACCAGCTTCACCAGCTTCACCAGCTTCACACCGCAGAAACGTCACCAGTCCGTCTCTCGTGAATCTCAAATTCTTTCTTTCAAGTCTAGTCGGCTGAATCCAAGATGTCTCAATCCGTTCCTTCTTCCCCTGTTCCATCCTGGAAAGCTAGATCTTCAGCTAGCAGGGCTCCACCTCCCCAGCCTCCCAAACGCCAGATATCCGTCATTTTGGACGCTTCTGCCTCTTCCTCCCTCTCATCTCTCATATCGCTCTCAGACTCTGAACTATCTCGAAAAGAAGAAAAGGAAACTTCAATAGCAGCTTGTGTTCCGAAGGACTTCAACTGCTTCTGGGATATCGTTACTGACGGCCTCAAATGGGACGCAGATGAAACCACCATGCCTTCAAACATCCAAGCACAACTCCTCAACCTCATCCAATCCAATAGGAAGTTCCAACACCAAATTGGTATCGACAGTTGGGTCCGAGGTCTCCTCGAAGAACACTTTGTTGATATCAACGAGCATTGTGATGAAATCGCGTCGGGAAGGATCACAAAACCAATGGGCAATGACTTCATTTTGTCGTTGACAGAACCATACACACTTGGGTTCCGAAGATTCTGGGTCGATTGTGTCATTGGTAACCAGGAGAAACACAAACTCGCTCGTCGTTCTGTCAATCAGTTTGTGAATATAGTTGTTCCGCGCCCCCAAGGTTCCAGAGGGGGTACCACCTCAACTTTCAACGCTCCAATCACTGGCTTGCCCGTTTACAGGAAGGTCTCTGAGAAAATTAGCGGGAAGCTAGATGAGCTCGTCCGTTTGGGTCGATATATGGCTGGGATGGTCAAAGATATCGAAACCACTACTCTCCAGTTCGGCATGAGGTACAAACCACTCACCCGAAAGGAGCACGACATTGTCGACGAGGTTATCTGGTGGGCAGAAAGCATCGTCAATTTCTATACCCTCGATTGCGATAGCCGACAGAAGGCCAAAAACTTCGTCGGTTTGGCTAGGTCGCTATTTTCTGGGGACCGGCTTGCCTCCCTTGAAGCTCGCTTCAAGGAGTGGGAAATCTCCGAGGATGACCAACGAATCGTGGCTGGCAACTCTTCTTCCCCCTCTTCCCCCTCCCTTTCCACTACTGGGCCCACAGAAGGGCACCAGAAGGCGCTCTTGATCCGGCACATATACCTCATCGAGCGTCACGTGAGTGCCATCTGGCGCGAGCTCTTCTTGGCCATCGAGCTTTGTCTCGATGTCCAGTTGGCTTGCCACCAGTGGTACCATGTGATGCAAGATAGGTATCACCAGGCCGTCCGTAACATCAAGGATATCAGGAGCAAGCCCGATATGCGCCTGTATATCGGCTTGAAAGAGCGGCGGGCTGGGAAGAGGATGCACAAGTGGGAATAAGGGTGAGGTAAGGAGGGGGGAAAGGGGAGAAGGAAAGATGATGGTAGGCGGGTGGGGGTTGGTTTTATCTATGGTGTTCTGGCGTGCGGCTACGGGGTGTGGGGTGCGAGGAGTATATTGTGTTTTAATATGTTTTTTTTAAAAAGAAAATATCACTGCACGCTCCTAGGCGACTGGGGGTGGTCACGGGGGTGATCCCTCATGTACAAGCAATATTTCCAGCTAGCTCCGGTTCCTTTGAATTTCTATCTCGTCGACAAGTAAGACACGCTGTGTATTTTTAAGAACGCGCGACAAGTCCTCTACAGCATGGCCTTAAGTTCCCTGAATTCGCCATCCGCGTGGCCGGTAAACCTCCGCTCCGCATACCCCCAGTTGATGATATTCCAAATGTTCTCTACGTAGGCCGCTTTACCATTCAGATACTGGAGATAATAGGCATGTTCCCACATATCAACTCCAAAAATAGCAGTTGTTTCCTCAGGAACCGTATCCTGATCCTTCGTTGTGATGATATCCAATTTCCCGTCCTTCACAATGAGCCACCCCCACCCGCTACCTTGGATACCCAAAAGAGCGGCATTGAATTTAGTCTTGAAGTCAGAAAAGGAACCGAATCCCCTCTCAATTGCTTGAGTCAGAAATGGGGCAGCAGATTGCTTTGCATCTTCGGACGACGCAGGGGTGAGGTTATTCCAAAAGATGGAGTGATTGATGTGTCCTCCACCATTGAAGTGGACTAGGGATTGAGTATTCGAAGCTTTCGGAGATGATAAAGCCTTGTTTAAATTTGCAATGTATGTGGCATGATGCTTGGAGTGGTGAAGCTCCATAATTTGAGAAGAGATATACGGTTCCAGTGCCTACATGTGTACATTAATATACTGTCCGAATGATCTATTGACCTCAACCATTTACTGTAGAACTCCCCACGAGATTAAAAGATAGACAGATGCAGGGGGATAACTTACATCATAAGCATAGGGTAGTGGAGGAAGTGTATATATCTCTGTCATTATGGAATTTTTGTTTGAAAAACGGCGACGAAAGTATATATCGATATATCAGACAGCTGTCGACAGGATATTCTTAGAATCCTCTAAAAATTGTAGTATGGAAGATATCTTAAACAAAATCGGAGAAGATTTTGGAATTTTAGAACGAGGAATTTTGATTAAGAGAAGCTAGAGGAGGGGAAATTAAGGAAGAACATTGGGTCGGCCGCGCAGTTTTGCTTTAACGTCCAGCGCTACAGCCATCAGCCATCGAGCATCAGATATTTGTCATCCATCCTCTCGTAAGCCTAGTTCAATCACGTCACAAATGAGCATTTTATTACCAATCATCATCTCTCAACTCCCCACCCTTAGTGTCCAATCATGAATAGTGTCTATTTCGAACCCAACTGTGGAGGGAACATATGCATCGCAATGCAAAGGCTAAGAGTTGGAACTAACCGCACAACGCTTTGTAGATGCAACCTGTGTTAGCGTGGTACACGCCCCTGTCAAATTCACGAAAGATGATTCGTAGCCAACCCAAAACTTGAGCAAGTTTGCGCTCGTAGGTGTGGGGCTTGGGTGGAACCAGTTACCGAACATGCATTAGCGGCAGCAGTTCGGAAGTTGGAGGGGGGGATTCTGGTATGTGGATTTGAGCGAGTTTTCTTGCAAAGTGGACAAGTGCATACGAGGCAATGCATGGCCTTGTGAGATGTGCCACATGGGATTATATTAGGAGTCGAAAGATAGAAGCGTTCGAAATTGGAGAGGGCGTTCTTGAGGGCAACATTAAGCGTGAGGTGAAAGATGTTAAATAGGAGGGTTTTGGACGGGATTCTAGAAATCTTGATGTCTCCTTGACCCTTTTGTATGTTTGTAAACCGTATACCAGTACGCTCCGAGTTTCAAGCTCTAGAATACTGGATCCAATTTTTGCCATCCAACAAAAATCCCAAAGCCACCAGTCCAAAAAATAAAAAATGTGCCACGGCCATTCCTCCAGGAAGAGCGAAGGTGGGGCTATTGCCATTCTTCGAGGGGAAGGGAGACAAAGTGGTGCTCTTTTCAACGCCAAGATCACATTGAAAAATTTCGAAGAGGACGTCTCGACACATGCAACCTTTTTATTTGAAAGGACCAATAGAATACCCTCATTGGGTTCTTGTACGCTCATAATCCAGTAGGTTTGCGGGTCGAGTACAGATTCAAATAGAAGCTATGCATATGCTGACATCGATATCCAGTCAAGACGGGAACCTAAATTATGAAGATACAACCCAAGAACCATTGCACTACATCCCATTCAATATATATGGGGAGCAGGCGTGCGAAATGTCGTTGCCCGCGAGACTAGACCTCGGAGTTGGTGGCCAAGGCGTCATCGGCCGGAAAATGTCCCTGATGAACAGCAGGCAGGTGATTGCGGAAGGCATCATTGGCTGGAATTAGAGGCAAAAAAAATCCTGTATATTATTTCGTACAGTTCTGATATTGTTGGATAGGCGCGTACAGGTGTAAAGGAGTTCTTTCGAACCGACGGCGGGTCGCATAGGTAGGGCTTTTTTTGGCTTTTTCTTTTTTTTTTCTCTTCTTTTTATAAACTTCGGTTTGTTCTGGCCTCGTGATTACTTTTCAGGTCCAATTTAGATCCGATTAATCAATTAGAGTTCAGTTTTCGCGGCCTTTCTCACGAGATGTTTCGTCCCCGTATGTCGCAACCCCATATGATCATGTTACGTCGTTGAAACCTCAAATAAAGTCAGAGTTTAGCCACCAAAACATTCATTTTGGTGAGATCTAGAAGCTCAAGAGAGTAATATGTTCGGAGTGAAACTCGGTCCTTGACCATCCGGTCTCTCTTTACCCCCTTCTCTTAATTCCATCCAAAACTTCGAGCATTCCCTTAGTTCATCATCGATAAAGGCCTCCCATTTTTTTATAAACCACGGCTGTGCTTCCCAACTCCTGGGATTCCATGGCTCCCCGCCATGCTTCCCCTGACCACTGCCCCAGCACATGAGTGCAGACTTGCCCAGATCTGCGCAAAATTCAATCTCATTGAGAAGGCCTTTACTTCCCGCCTCGATAACTTTTTCTCTGAAACCGGGGAAGGGGAAGACATCAATGTAAGCTTTATGAGGCGTCCGGCATTGCAGCGCAGAAGGCTTCAGCGAGTCCGAAACGTTCGCAAACTTCTCCTGGACTTTTTCTACGGATTGATCGTTCATAAAATACGCCTGTACGAACGGTGATTTGTAAGGGTCTTTGAAGTCCTCCGGTAGAGGATTCCGAAAACCTATCATTTTTGCATTAATGACGACTGCTTTGAAGGTTGTAATTTCGTGGAGGTTCATATGAGTTCGACATGGTGATGGAGTGTAGATAAGCAATTCTTCGAGAGCCTTGGTGCTAATATCTTCGATAGATGCTTCCCGTTGTTGTCGGTCCCGAACTCTTTGGCTTCGCGATAAACGAATGTCGAGTTGCTGATCTTTCGCTGCTAAAGCCTCTAACCCCGCTTCAATAATATCCTTTAGACTGTACCCTCCACTAGCCCGTTCTACTGGAGTGGGTGTAAAGAATCCTGCCGGTTGGCTGAGTGAATGAGATCTCTGTACTTCTATGACGTCATCATCGGGATCGGGAGGGGGAACAAGTGGCGACTGCCTAACTTCTACGGAAGGCGCATGTTCAGGCCGTGTAGAGCTTTCCCCATTGCGAATATCAGAACCTGGATCTGATATGTCTGAATTGTATGAATATGGACCAGTTGTAGGAAATCTATCATAAACCCCAGGAATCGTATCAGGTGTCGGGGCAGGCTCATCAGGATCGTTCAAGAGCCAGTGAAGACTGATTAAACGAGGAGCCGATGAACTACGTCCGGCTTCCTTTTCTCGCGCATAATCGACATCGGAATTATACAGCTGCCTTGCAGCTTCATTTATAGCCCGCTCGTTATTGAGTTTGGTGGAGAACTCGAAGTGTGTGTCTGTATATGCATTAATAGGCGCCCTTAATTCCACCGACGGTTCTATCGCAGTATTGACTGCAATAGGGACGTCCAAAGCCAAATTCGACGGATGATTCCAATATTCTGGATCTATGGATTGGCGGAGGGCTGCGAAGACCTTCTTTCGTTTCCGCTCGCCTATATCAAATTAGACAATCCGCTGAGTCAGCCAATGTATTACAAACGAACACCCCGTAAAGCCCTCTTGTAGTTGCACTATGCATAACCGCTAGGCATTCACACTCATTTGGGGAATGTGTCGAAATGTTACATACGAAACAATCTCTGGGCTTCGCGATTCTGGGCCCTTCTTTTCTCGGTCAACTTTCTGGGCTTTCGGGCTGGTTGTGAAGTTAAAGCAATGCCAGCGGGGATTTCGCCGGCCATGTTTGACATTTCAAAGGTGATGGTACCACTGTACGTGTAATCCGGGCCGGGACGCGGGTCAGAGGAGTTACAGTGTACGGTCGCGGATCTTCCCCCTACAGCCAGGTTGATTTAAAGAATTTTACGACACAGGTGCGGATTACCTCCTGGAAGAAGAAGTATTCGAAGAAAGTGTCGAGTGATGTGGAGACTCGCATATTATCAGGCAACTTCATGAATTCACTCGGGTTTTGGGATCGGGGCAGGGAAGTAAGCCACTTCCATCCGGATTGACAAGGTTCACAGAACTCGGCCGACGGAGCTACTAACCAAATTTAGTTTAGTCAAGTTCAGCTCTTAACCTCCAACATTCTACAACACGTTTTGAGTGTACGTATTCACACCTGCATATACTAACAATTATACATGTACATGTATATGCACAAGAACAGCTTCGGTTCTAGATAGGCCTTCGGTGGGTAAAAAAACGCTTTAGCTCAGGACAGTCTAGTTATTTTTCCCAGCATCATTAACAGCGTCCGAAAATCGTGAGCCTGTGCCGGAAAATATCGACCGTCGAGGAGGAGAGTAGTTTCGAGTACCCGGGCTAGAACCCGGGTGAAGCAAACTGCGAGCTGATGGACTTACATCCGTTGAGAGCAATTTCAATTGATCCGCGTTGGTAGGGTCTGAGCCTTCTCGTACTAACTGTACCCCTTGCTGAGACTCTAAATCTCCATCCGACTCCCTTAAGTCGATAGATATTGGTATAGCATTGATTAAATCCTCAAATGCCCTGTCCGTGCGGTCTGTTGGCTCAAGTCCTGATCCACCTCGCTCTTCGAATTCCCGAAATGTAGGATCTCCATTATCTTGCTCCTCTAGCCTGAGTAAGAGCCCCCTGGGCTAGTATTTTGATTCATTGGGCTAGTATTTTGATTTATTGGGCTAGTATTTTGGTTCATCGGGCTAGCCATTGTTTCAATATTTGATAATCTCATATACTTCGGTGCCTCGATGGCATTAAACGTTAGATCTTTACCAAGGTGGGCCGATTTTTCGATTTGGGGAAGCTGAGGCACCTCCATAACCCTCAGGATTTCGGCCATTACGGCAAGATCATCTATCAAATGTTCGGGTATAAGGGTTACCTGTCGGACGAGGTCTTTCAGAAGCTGCCACTTTTGGAAAATAGGAGTTTGTTGCTTTTTCGGAAAGAAGGTCATTCGTTGCGCTTCCCTAGGCCCAGTATCTTCAAAGCTGTGCCAGAAATTTGCAAAGCGGCTTCTCGTCCCTTTCTTTTCTTCGGCAATCCGAGCCCTCTCTTCTGCTACCTTCTCCCGCTCCTCCATAGTTTTGTTCCAACCCGCAACCCTTGAGTCATATTTCCCCATTGCAAGCCGGATGTCCCAGGCTTGCACTAACCCCTGTTTCCGTATTTCTAAAAGCCGATCCCTCAATTTTAAGAATGTTTTCCACATTCGTGTCGTTTTGTTCGGGTCGACAACGACGGTAACCAATTGATGCTCAAGCGAAACATCAAGGTTGCTGACCACGAACTTGAATTCATGCTTTCGTATATCTACTCCTGGCTTTGCTGAAACCTCTTCAGCATTAAGAAGATACTTTTCGATTTGCTCAGACCTCGACTGAATGTGAGAGCCATATCGATTATTCGGGTATCGAGGGCCTTTGAAGCGAGGCGTGAAAAGTAGATGTAGGTGATCGGCCGTTGTTCTGACGATGGGTTCGTCTTCAAACTTAGCAGAATCCCGATAATCCTCTGGGAAGTCTCGGTTGAGCATATCAACAGTGTAAGAATATTCGGCAGGAACATTCCCCAGGTCGAGTGTGGCGACGTTATAAAATGGATTTTCCCATGTGCTGATTACGATCTCAAATAGTGTATTCGCCCATTCCACGACCTTGTTCTGGAATTCTATAGGAGGATCCCTCCCTTTACTAACCATCTTGTAAGTATCAAAGATAGCCTCCTTTACCCTGTTCACCTTCTCTGTATAGCACGTCGATCGAATATGGTAATCATATGGCTCTTGCCCAGGACTTCCATAGAACAAGCTCTCCCATTCTTCTTCTGCACCCCTATAGAATGAAAAAAAGACCTCAACTAATTCGTTATTATCCACTACCCGCTGCCACTTCGCATAAGTCTCGCCATCAATCTCGATGCGGTGTTCACCGATATCGCCGGTGAGTAGAGTGGGCTCTTTTGCAAGATCGCCGATATCATTAAAATAGTCTAGACTTAGTGCCTGTGGCAGGAAGTAGCAGAGGGAAGCGAGATATCGAAGTCGCATGATACGTATAGTTGCCAGCTCAACTTTACGTCTATCAACGAAGCCTAGGCATCAACATGTCCGTGCCTTGTTGGCCCTGGTCTTAGGAGTTTCGCTAGTGCTGCGCTTGATTGACTCAGTTTAAAGAATTTGCTCAAATAGGATGTTTCTCTCGCGGGCTCAAGCTCGTCCCTTGGATCGAAGACTCGGCCCAGATCTGAAAGATTCACAGACACCTGTGCGCGGAATACAACAATCTCAACACATCTTCGTAACTCCTGGCTATATCCTACTAGATCCAGCACCGGAAAATCCTTTCCCATATTAATATTATCTTGATTGGGCTTCAATATCTAAGGACCTTTGTAGAGCATACATACTACCAAAAGCTTAATATTCAAGTGTGGTGTGGCATGTAAACATTAGTACATACTTAAGTATATATATATCTGACCACATGCAAGGGGCCGGGCTCAAGAATTCAACCAAATATACCTGTAAAAACGGCAAATCAGGTTGGTGTTATAAACCTGTGGGGGTGAGTACCACCTAATAAACAACCTATACACTTAGCTTTGAGAGAATTCTACTTAGGACTACTTTGCCTGGGTACAAGACAAACTGTTTTGTTTTATAGGGAATTATCAGCTCGTGTCATACCTTGTGTATTACGATGCCAGTAAAGCCCTCATAAAAAGCCAATGATTCTGTACTTTTGAGATTTGATGGCATACTCCACTTCAAGAGTGCCTAGATTCGAGGACAGCTTCTATAGTTAGTAGCATAGAATATTGCAATATATATATTAATAGTCAGCTTGGCCCTCTTCCGAATTTCCTCTATCTATACCAAACTATCAAGACGTTTTTGACGAGTTCAAAAAATACTGGCTTCCAAGGAGGGTATTCTCTTCCCAAACTCAAGAGCCACAGAAGAACTTTGCTTAGTCTAGGGCTAAGCTGTGCTGTTAAATTCTTTTGCCGAGAGTAGCTAAACACACGCAGTCTCGGACTGCGGCTAGCGTACTGTAAGAAGCATAACATCTAATACCATGAATGGTATTAGGATCTGCATGGTTATGGCACTGCGATTCTAATTAGGCTGGCACAATAAGGCTAACTAAATTGTTTGAGCTTTATAAATTTAGAAGTCAACTCGCGGACTTAAAACTTTAAACCCGTTAGGTAGATCACTTTGGTAGCACTTTTCGGCATTCCGGCACTGAACGGACACAGTATTTACGGTAAATTCCTAGTCTCGGGGCCGTAATCTCCATCCACTAATCTTTAATATAGTGGTTCTAGTGACGTGAGCGCCGCGTATAAATTGAGCCTAATCCACTTATGTATTTTTGTATGAAAATGAAAATTTGCTTTTCAGTTATTGTTTCCGAGACTCTTTTGAAGCTTTTTAGTACAATAGAGGAATATATACCCACGTTTTTTTTATCTCGGAATATGACGACCGGTCCTTCTCAAGCATGCCTATGCACCCCTTCGATTCTGTTCAAGAGTTATACTGCTAAAGGCGTATTCCTTGAACCCACCAGTAGCCTGAAACTATGTATGTTGTATTCCTGCATTATATTTCACGTTTTGTAAACGTGTACTAGATTAATTAAGAGAATTGTATGGATCTGATAAATTTTGAAGACGTCACTGGCCCTGCAACTTCAAAATCGGTTATAGTGTTCATATACGGTGCATACGGATATTCAGGCCAAATTCTTTTTGCAGCCGATACCCTCTCTGAGCTATCGGGGACCCTTGTGATCGTTCCTGACATATTGGGAGAGGCGGCCATCCCACCCAAATACCAATCTCTAGATGAGGTCACCGAAGAAGAAAAGAACCGTCTTCTGACAAAGTTCATGGATAAAATCAACAATTTTCATGATTTTCCGGGACAGATTCTGGAGGGTATGGAGCGATGGAGAACTTCTTGGCCATTGATTGAGAAGTGGGGAATTTTCGGACTGTGTTTTGGGGGTAAAGTCGCCGCTCTGATGTCAAGAAATGGGACACCGTATGTTGTCTCCGGACAGGCACATCCTTCGTACGTGTCCCCTCGATATGTCGCAGGTGGTTCAAAACTGAACTAATATTTTATGTCAGATTTATTGCAAATGAGGACCCAGAACTCATTAGTATTCCGCATATCTGCCTCGCGTCAAAAGATGAAGATCCAGAAAATATCACACAATATAAGATGATGCTTGACGAACGGGGCTATGTTAACACATATCCCGACAGTATACATGGTTGGATGGGTACGAAAGCTGACCTGGAGGACTCAGAAAAAAATTTATCATTCAACAGAGGGTATGTTAGCCATAATTTTTACATCGTTCCACATATATGTATGGGTAGGAAGGTTTCTTCTCGGGCCTGACTAATTCTTCGAAAATCGAAACGACATGTATAGCTACCACGAAGTTTCAGATTTCTTTAGGAGATATCTTTAAATATCGTATTGAAATTATGGAAGGGGCAAGCGAGGTAGGTATCATACGTCTGTTCGTTAGAACTAATGTGTATTAATTTGCGACGGCGCGGTAAGGCGGTTACAATTATCACTAACATCCTCAAGCGGTACTCGCTGGGCCTACCTGTAGACAAAGTCCATCTATATCATGAATTTCGATACTGGAAAATTCCCTGATTTTGAAGTTTAGAGTCCGTGATCAGTCAAATTTTTGAAGATACATATGTATCGATGCTTATTTAAATATTTGCAAGCTTGGACCTGGAGTCCGGTGACCAATGTGGCGAGATTCTGAACTTGGTTTGGTCTACAGGGCATCATAAGGGTATTATAAGCCCGATACTTATCTCGTAAACCAGAAACCCGATGCCCCGCTTTCCAATACAAACATAATCTTGTAAATTTTCACAAATTATCTGTAAAGGTTCCCGACGCGACTTTCTCCATATCTTAAAGGCAACACAAATAATACAACGAAGAGTTAGCATGCCGAAGTTAGCTCCCAATGCAAAGTAGCTATAGCTAATTGCTGTGAATGTGCGGATCTTAGCCTCGTCTAGATCTAGATTAATTTTAGTGCTGCGACCTGAATTTTCGATATGATAGGTCAAAAATACATCAATACTGCATAGCTTTTTAGGACACTTTGTCGATAATATAATATTATATAGATATGTACATGGCACGAACGATAAAAGTATTTACAAGCCCAGCAAAACTTCCTCTAGTTCTACAACTCAAGCAGGGATGCACTGAGAATAGTAAGCGTTTTGAGCGGAACATTTGTAGCCACTAACGCAAACGGTAGCTCCTGTCCAGCCACTACCGCCGCACTGCGACCAAGCCGTAGCTGTTCCACCTCCAGAAGATGCGGTGGTGGTGGTTGTTTTAGCTGTGGTGGTAGTTGTTGTGGTGGTTGTCTTGGCTGTTGTAGCAACGGTGGTAGTAGCCGCTTTAGTGGTGGTGACGGTTGTAAGAGTCGTCTTAGCGGTTGTCGTGGCCGCAGTGGTTGGATTGCTTCCTCCGCAAGTGAATGGTCGAGGGCCAGGGATAACATAGCTAGGGAGAGGTGGGTAGTAACTAAAATACACAAGTTAGCATAAGAGAGAGAAAAAGTACGACTTAGGCCTAGAACACTTACATGTTGACCAAAACACCTGGGTCGTTTTGTGCATATGCACCAGGGAAAGAGACAGTAGGTGGGCTTGCAGTGCCTCCACCAACAATATTGATCTGTGCGCATTCCATATAGAATTGTGCGCCAAGATTTGAACCAGCACCATGAAGAGCGAGAAGCTCTCCTCGAAGGAAATAGTTTCCAGGAGGGATACAGTCTGGAAGCTTGAAGCTCACCAAACCCTTGGCAGCATAGAGCTTATCGACAGCCCAAACGTTAGTGGCGGAATCCCAACCATCTTCATAGACTTTAAACCACTTGAGTCCAGTAACAGACTCTTGGAGAGCATTAGGAACAGCGGCCAAGTAGGCCATGATTGGTCCTTTATGGCCTGGATCCACCGGGTCAGCAGTATCACCAGCGTCTCGCCCGGCTAGGGTGTGGTGCCATTCTAGACCAATAGTAGCGCCCGAGGGCACTTGAATTATTGTGGATGGATATGGCTTGTTCAGTGGATTAGGACTAGGGAAATTCCATTAGCAATTGAATAGATACCGAAACTAACTCGAATGAATACCTACCCTCCGTTACAAATAATATCGTTAGACGTAACATCGTTAATAGGGCCATCGTATGATGGCACCCTAATACCGACGGTATGTCCTTGTGCAACGCCGTTGACCCAGAGTTCTTGGAAGATAGTATGAGCCGAAGCAGCTCCTACCGCTAAAGCAGCGGATGCAAGTTTGCTAAATGCGACCATTTTGATTTTCCTTTTCGTGCGTTAAGTGTAGAAAGGAACTTACTTCGAAAGACAATTAATTCTGGATGCTTGCTATGAAGATAAAAAGTGTAACTGAGTTCTGGATCGTAGGTATACCATTCATCTTTTATACGCTCACTCTCCCATCCGACTAGTCGCGGAACCGCAAGCTAGCACGCGTTGTATATCCATGAGCCTTGCTTGTCTTGGATCTCCTGCTGGGATCATATAATTATGCTATATTGAGATTCCCTAATGACGACGACAAATCTTACAGCTCGCTATTTTTTTCCTTCAAAATGCCTGTTTTGAGACCAATGAACTACCCCATGAAATGTATGGAAGAGTCTATGGTCAAGGCATTCATTCAACGGATGAACGGATATACCTCGATCGAAATACCATGCGAAAACTCAAGCCAACGGATCTTTTCATGGTATTCAACCACGGAGGACCTGCGTCCGAAGCCAATAAATAGACAAGCTTTGTTATAATGCGAACTAAGGCGTCTTGTCCCGTTCTCGTGATCATCCTTCAAAGCTTGTTTTCGAAACATCGAAACATCTTTAGAACCATGGAATCACTTCCAACGCAGGGGTGTGTTGCAGGATTGACGGTTAAATAGTCCGAAGTTGAAGTCTGAGGGCAAAAAACGGCCCGGGATCCGGATCATACGCATAATACCTGGTTGCGCGCGTGCAATCCTCTCTTACTACGAAATTGACCTAAGAAGCTTACTTTCCATGGTTGATTATGAGTTTAAGGCTATTCTTTTCATATTCCTCACGCTCACTTGAGTACTTGGGACCAAGTATTCTAGAATTCTGAGGACTTGTTCCTAAAACACTAGACTAAGATTAATTTATATTGGGTTGTAGATAGTACCCTTGCAAGTAACCTTTGGACCTGATATAACAATCTATTTCCATACTAAAGATCTTAAGTATATCTTATCCTTCGATTTAGTCATGGCCATAGGATGATTCACCACCTTCAAGTCGAAGGCATATCGATAGAACTGTAAGATGAAAAAAACGCCAAGACACCACAAAGATATTACAACAGAATACATTACATGGTAATTGAAAAGAAAATGATGTTAAGCGACTATAAATGCAAGAAGCTCTTTGGCGGTTTATCTGGCCAGGCGCCTATTCCAGAAACATCCTTAGAGCTCGAGCTCGTACTTGGAGCTTCCTCTCTACTTTGTCTTAGCGACTCTATCTCAACACTGACCTCATGTTTGACCACTACGGCAATTGGTTCCAAAGTCTGCATCGCCCCGATATCGTCATCTTCGGAGTCTGGATCTCTCCTTGCGGCTCTGCTTACTCGATTTGTGCCTGCTCTACTCGTCATATCAGAAGAACTTTCTTCGGGCTGTCCGTGAAAGGCCCGGATTGCTCGTCTTCTTTTATGACCAGTTGCCCAGAGTATTAGCCATTTAATGCTGGGGGCGCAAACGACTATCAACCCGCAAGTTATTTCCCCAGAGTCCCAAGTAAGAAGGTCGTGGTATGTGAATGATTTGGCAGAAAGGACGATAGCTGTCCGAGCGACCGTGCAACATATCGTCAGGAGACCTAGAGCAAACATAAGAGCCAGCCCCCACTTTTCGGCTGTTGGAAGCATGATATGTGGAAGAATGAAAAATGGAATGACAAAAACTATATTACTGCGTTAGTATCGCCATATACTGAAAGATTGACCATGGTAAAGATATTTTAACCCACTAATGATATCTGTAAGAAGGTGTAGGGTGGTGAGGTATATAACGCCAGCTTTCCGACTAAAAGAAAAGCAAAACTCCTCAGGGTCGGTACTCCAGTTTGCAGCTACATTTCCGCAGGAAAATATATTTGTGACAAGAAATCCGATATAGCTTAGGAAAACAAGTATGCTAGTAGCATGAATAGACCATCTTAGCCCTGTCAGCCACGGAGGCACAAGGTAAGTGTATAGGGCCATAAATGCCGCCTTGATTACCCAAAATATCGTAAATGTTACGAATGATGAGAAAAAAAGTAACTATGAAAAGTTTGTAGGTACCCGTTAGCCTAGGGCGTTAACGTTGAAACCGGTTAACCCAAGTTTGAGTAAGCCTTACCCTCAACATTATTGATAGTTTATCCTTGTCTTCAGTGTTTTTGAGCAGGTCAGGGTATCCGTTCACACTGAAATTCGCAACCGGCATATTGAAAAAGTTGAGTCTATGGAGCTCAATAGCGATGACCTCCTCGGCCAAATAGAGGGCTACACATAGTGTAATGAAGATATCTGTCCACCCGAATTTTGTCTGCAGCCACCATCTTACTGCTTGTTTAAAAACAACTACGACAACTGCTAAGATGAAGAGGAATAGCTTCAGGCCCTAGTAAATTTGAGAATGTCAGTTTGGTATATATGTATACATAACAAATCAGTAGTGTGATAATTTTAAGCAAAGACAGCTAGCTAGCAAGGATGTAGGATGAAGTGAAAAACAGTTCGTGAATACTTACTATTGCCTGAGAAGCTGTGAGCATTTTGGAACACTGATTGCGAGCGACACACTTGCAGCGAACAAAATACTTTCAGGCACGAAGATGAATGTTTTTTGGTCGTCAAAACAAATTACGGTACTTGACTCCAACCACGGATTTAGAAGTGATCCCCAGATTACTAGCGGAATGGGCGTAAGAATCCTGTCCTTCCATTCCCAGAAAGTAGTATCCGCATGCAAAGGCAGGGTCCATACTTTATAGCTTCCAGAATTCCATGCCTGTGCCATGTGGTTCGGGACTGTCTATCATTAAGCGAAATGATAGTTCGATTAAAGCAGCAAGACCAAGCAGGTAAGACAATTGCAACAGCTACATATTTCAAACATTTCGATAACGACTTCTTTGCATGAGAGGTTTCAGTAAGTTCATTCTCGAGGTGGGTACTAAGGAGCTGTGGCGTCGGTACTACAGCCCAAAAAATTAGGCTTCTATACTATTACACTCCGAATCGAAAGACGCCATAGAAAGGGGTACTCTATGCAGCCTCGAAAATCGGATATTCACTGCCACAAGAAACCGGTCGGATTTCCGTGATACCAGTATAGTGAGCCCGTAATGGACTTGGGCAAACAAAATCATGTAAATGAAAAGTTCCCGAGTGGAATCGAAAGCGAAGAGGGGCCTGTGTTGCCACTGTTGGAGAGCGGCGAAAATTAGATTACTACGAATTGAGAACTTCTACGCGAAATCGACGTTCAGCCACCTGCCTAGTTGAGATAGAACCCGAGCTACAGATAGCATGAAACGATTCAGATGTGGGGCCACTTCGTGGATTGGTTGCGCCATATTAATGAAAATTCAGTGAGCTGCATAAACATAGGTACATATGTGCACGGCCGACATATTGTACATGTACATGTACTATAGTTCCGATGTTGCATGTTTTACCACAGTAGATTTTGCAAGGTTGAGGCTCAAGCATTTAGGAACAATCCACATGTCAAGTGGAGTTCGTGGAGTAAGTTTGGCTAGAGGGATTTTGGACTGAAAAGTCGACAGAGCACTCTAGCTTGAGATATGCTTTAAGTACTGTCGATATCAAAACATGCTAGGATATATATTATGCTTAAATCACCTTTCTCCATATCTACGCTTATTCTTGATATCATGTCATTCGTGGCCTATATTAAGTCTCGGGCCCACGGCCTTCACTTGACAGCGTTCCTAGAGTACGTACTAAGATCCACAACAGATAGTGAAGCTATGGAAACTATGGGCCCAGAAACTTCTAATGACTCTGGCTTCGAACTCAATTTGGAGGAGAACGGCGTGAGTTTTTTTTAAGATTGATATACCGCGAATTAACTAGCATCGGTTATAGCGCCCGAGAATAGTTTAGCTATCTGTTCCGGAGCCAAGCCCGAGAACCTTATCGAAAGAAAAAAACATGCACATGCGTTGCATTGGACCATGACTACGGAAAATCACAGCGGTATAGGGTAGTTAAAATCTTGCGGGTTAGACGTCTCTTGTTGCCAGCTAGTGATAAATAAGATTTTTGTCCTGCTACGCTGAATCTTTACGTTAGGAAACGCAGGCTCTAAGTTTTCATAAGCTTATTTCAAGTGTCAATATTTACTCGGAGAGACATGTATATATAAGCGGCAAGTCCTTAGCAAGAAGCCCATGACATTTTTTAGTTGACCTATCAGGTAATAGTTAACTGTTGATCCTAGTCTCGGAGTTGGTAAGTCCCTAATTCCCCAAGTTTTACAATATTAAATATTGAACCTTGATAGGTTATAAAATGAAAAATAAAGGCAATGTCTTCTAACTGCAGGAATATTCATAGCATTTTTCTTAAGGAAGATCTAGATTTAGCCTTTCTAGTCTCCCATCCTGGTGAATATTTGTTCCTCCTTCCATTGCTGACTCTTCGATAAAGGCGTCCATCAGAGTCGATAGCTCTAAAGATAGTTGATCCTCTGGCATCGTGCCACCGTATGAGGGCTCGATGCTCGGGTACGCCTCCCAGGGGGATTCCCAATCCGTTCCTTCGACTGAAATGGCAGTCGACGGTACTGTAGGAGATTTTATTACAGGTACCGGTGTAGAACCCCAACCTTCTGGACTACTGAAACTCCCCGTAGAAGCAAGATCCCTAACTCCAACCAGTCCAATTTCTTGAGAGTAGCCACTGCTACCGGGTAGATATTGCAATTGGTTCTTAACTACGGTTGGGTCTTCGTGGCAAGAGTCCGGTGGTTGTAGTAGTCCACTAGATTTATTATCTTCGGATGATTTCTCTGAGACTGTACTGTTCGCTATTTGGCTTTTTTTGAAAGCACATGTGCAAGCCTCGCCCTCCATACACCGACATTTGCACCGCTTTCCTGGATAGTAGCCGAGTGAGCCCAGAACCTCACTAATGATATAACGGAGCCCTTACCATTTCCCTCTGAAGCACCATTTCGAGCCATCAATTCACATTTGCATCTGGTATGGAGAGAGCGCGAATGGCGTAAGGACCGACAGTGGTGACATTGTGATACTGGCCGACCTTTCCTACCGAGCGGCTGAAGTGGACGTTCTATACATGAAGATCAGCGAACGCAATGCGGCAGCCATATTATGGCAGCTGACACCTTCCGGACGAAATACCAATATGCTGGCAGTTTGCTGCCCGATGACCGCGGATGCAAGTCTCACAGGCCCAGGTTACACCGTCTATAATCATTCTCGGGGGGTTGTTAGGGAGAAACGCGTAAAAGGAAAACAATTTCTTTTCGGACACATGCGTATCTGTGCCTATGTGGCTAGTGCTCCTGTTTTCCGGCTGCGGATTTAAATGCGCACCGCAGCTGCGGGCTTGGGACTTGTCCAATGCAATGCAAGGGACCTGGAATATTCGAATTCTTCGTTGAAGCTTCGCGTGCTAGCTTCATGTGGTGACCATAACACTAATGCAGGACAGCGAGGAATCCAAGGTATTGACGTCGGCCGGATTCATCCGCTACAAAAGTAGTGGAATTTTGGACAGATCGTATGGTCATAGTATGATATCCGGCAGAAAGTTTAAGCTTAAGGCTCTTGAATTGGATTGACTCGACCCCTAATTTTGTTGGATTTTGGCAGCGACAACGCACAAATCACTCGCAAAAATCGGTTAGTCTACAAGGATCTTGCGCTATTTGTGCGGGATCACGCACATTTCTCGACATCTCTAACATAAAATCTAACAGATCCCTAGCAATGGCACAGATCAAATTCGACCTTAGGCCCTGAAACTTTACCCCCAGACGACTGATGAAGTAAAAATACACACATGTATGGTGTACCGATTCACCTCCACATTTATAGTTTTTCCTTCATCGAAAAATGCGGGTTTGAAAATTCGAATTAGTTGAGGACGCCGGCGCCTTGTGCGTGTCCTTTATCGCCTTCTCCTATTAGTATATTAGAGCCGTATGGTTACCGGAATGGTATATCTCTCCTTTTGAGCATAATCTGATGCTATGTATCCCGTAGAGCCGCCATACTCGAAGCCGGGTGATTGGTTCGACGACTCGAGACTGCATAAGTCCGGCTCTATTCCTATGATGCTCTCACCACTTCTGTGGAATGTCTTTCGTGGCTGCGGCGAAGATATAACTTGACAACGCCAATCTGACCGGGATCGCGGATTTCATTATATTAGCGGCTGCATGTGGATGAGACCACCACTCTCGAGAAAAAAATGATCCAGACATTCCGACAGGGCGCACCAGGAAATGCGGGCTACATAAATCAGAGCGGTGCAGGGTAACAAAGCCGAAGCACTTAACGCTATATTTTCGTTTCGGGTCACGTTCGCCCAGAATCTCCATTGGGGATTGAAAGTTTTCATGAATTCAGTCCATCGATATTGACTTCTATATCACATTTGACAACAATCCATACATATACGTGTTGCTATAGGTGCTAATATCGGCATTATTCCTCTGCTACCAATTTACCCTTCAAATTTTAGATTTCGACATGCTGCTGACGTTAGTACACTTAGTCGCGCTGTATCTGGGCGCGCGTATGAGGCGAGCTTATCTATATCAATAACTACATATTGACTTCCTCACCTCGGCCGATTAGGTAGCAAATTTGCGAAGCTTTTAGACCCTGATCAAAGGCGAAAACGAGAAAAAGACAGGGGTCGGACCAGAAGATGAATTTTTCAAATTTTGTAGAGGAAGCAGTCATCCAGGTGTCAATTTGACGAGTCTTTTCTAATGCGTGACGAGTAACTTGCAAACCATGGAATTATACGTCGAAATTTATGTGACGGTTGTTTTGGTCTGCGCGTTCTCGCCCGTATCGTTGTGATGAATTATAATTGCATATATCACTTCATTTGAGGTGGCGTAGTGTTTTCGTTTTAGAATTTGTCCCTCCTTCCAGCGATGCATCACGTACGTACATTAAAACGAGAAAAGGAGACGACAGTAAGTGACCATTGCCCCCTCCCCATACTCCACTCAATTGTCAAGAGCCTCACAACCACAATACACTAGATCGCAAATGACCTTTTTCACTGTACTAGTCCTTTTATAGTCGCACGGGCAAGATCTGGTTCGACGCCGTGGTAGGAGATTGTGAGCAAAGCTGTTTATAGGATCTGCCATGGGATTTATGACGTAATTGTCTAATCTACCACAATTTCGATCTACACCGTTGGAGCCTACCACTCTAGTAAAACAAAACAAAGGAACCAGGGCTCGTAAAGTTATATCCGAAGGCTTAAGCTTACTTTGTATTTGCTTTGTTCTCTTTTTATTTATATATACTCTGTATAAATTTATTTTATCTTCCTTTTTTTATTTTTTTTTAAAAAAAAAAAACTTTGCCTCAGAGCTTCGGGGGAAAGAATAGCCCCCAAAAAGCACAGCGGGAATAAGAAGGGTCAAACAGCTGAGAGTTGGTATCCAAGATCTTACAAAATATCGATATCCTACATCACACGAAACTGAAAATCAATCACCATATACGGGAAATTGGAGGATTGTGGGGGTCGTGATCCCAAAAACGCCATTCTCAGCTAAGCCTAACCGCCCAGGCGCCCAGAAGCCTTGTAATTGCACATATTCGTATACTGGATGCTTGGCCTTACCTTCCAAGCTAACTATTGCACAACGCTGGTGACATCCAGGCTAAGTATAGGTACTCAGACTGCAGCTGTGCAGCTGTGCTTATATATGTACAAGTGTCAAGCCGTAGTGTACTTATATACCTATTTTCGGAGCGTCTGTACTGTGGCTTTATGTTGATTGGCGGCCCCGCTAGACCCCGCTAGGCTAATTTCTTAGCTCTCCACACTAACAACAACGGAATACATGGTCAAGTCCCCATTTGGGTAACTTGTTGTATACGCTATCGCGCTACTTTCAAGTGACACTAAACACGAAAACTTATATTATTTCGAACTACCAATGGCACCTGATCATTTAAATGGGGTGGCAGGTGCTTGCATGTTCGCGCTGTTGGGAGTGCAGTATTACTTTGGATGCCCCACAAGAAGGGCTCTTGGAAGAAGCGAATCATATCTACCATATCGCTAGAAATAACGAAATCAAAGGTGTCTACGAATCTCGTACATATATGCACATGCACACTGAACGGGCCTTAAAAGAACATCCTTGTCTAGGAATGCTTCCTCAACAAATCGGATGCATTTCTTGGAAGCAAGCGTGCAGGGCTGCTACTGTGCTATCCTCAGAATACAGAGTATCTCATATTTGCCATCGCCTTGTTCGAACGACAGCTTAAACTTCTTTCTTCGAGTTATTTGGCCAACACCCAGAAGCCGACCGCTATAAATATCATCATTACAACTTGCGGCTGAGGAAAGGTGACACTAGAGCGAAGCCTTGCATCAACTCTGAAAGATTACAACGACTTGCCTGCGGAAACAAATTATTCCGTGATGCGTCGATAAAAAAAATTTTTTTTTTTTGAAAGAAAACGAAGATAAGCATCTTTACACCAGTATCTAGGTTCTTTTTGGAGAGTAAGCAAACCGAGGAACTGGGATTCTGACTGCCGAAGCCCCTTATTTCCCAGCCTTCTGGTAACATGGGTAAACACGGCCTTGGTAGTTACATATCCGGATATCCTCTCATGTGCTCAATGCAGGAAAATGGAGGCACAAGCCGAAGAATCTTTAGCACTTTAGCATAAGAAAATCGTGTCAGCCGCCAGCCCTAAATTCAAAGTGGATCCATCCGCACCGTGTTTAGCTATCTCCCGAAGGCCCGGCTACTTCGCTGCTAGCTATAAATTTGGTAGAAACCTTCAGCTCAAGCTCCCATGCATGTTTAACAATCGGCATTTCTCGTATCATTCTAGGGATTTCTCATCAATGCGAAAGCGGGACTACAGCCACTGCACTGTAGCCAAGACACGGGTCAAGATATCCAACTTTGGGGCTACTGAATGGGATCGGAAGCGGTGACATTGTCATCCCACAGCTTGGCTGTCCCGTTCTGCTTGGCGGATGTGTGAAGTTTAAAATCTTGTCATAAACCCAAGAGTCTTGTCCAGCGCAAACAAACCGAGGAATGTCCAAAAACGGACAAATTTGTCCAATCAAAATTCAACAGCCGTTTTAAATTTCTCTAGGATTTACATGGAGTCTCGAGCCATGGAGCTGTAGCTAGATCTAGTTCAATTGAATTGCTAAAGGATGCAGAGCTGCAGGCAGCACGAGCCTCGGGCTAACTTGATGAGTACGCACCACATGGCGTGCTTGACCCACCAACACCATTGCATGAGCATCTCCAACCTGGGACAAAACCCATCAGCAATTTTAGTATATAAAAGACAATTGGAAATGAAGCCCTGAGGAGGTTTTGTCTTCTTTCCTTTGTTTAAATCTTTTGTGACGGTTACCCAGCAAAATATTCACCATTAGGCCCGCCACTTTGGCAGGTAACGAATTTTCTGCCATGTCGTCAACTATCACGTCGGCAGTTGCTGCTGCAACTTCTGCAGCGCCGAAAGTCGCGGACCAGACTGGTATCATCGGCGGAGCAAATCCACAGCATTATAACAAGAATGATCCAATCGTTGTGTTCATCGTTCAGGTAAGACCAAATATCTACGCGGTGAACCCAATCTCATACGACGATACTTTCGCAATTTGGAGTCCTATATAGATTTTATATTCACCTGGCATCAACTGACGAAAAGCTATTGACGGAATTCGTATAGGTCTTCATCATTGTCACGTTATGTCGACTTCTTCACCTGCCACTATCCAAAATTCGGCAACCGCGTGTTATTGCGGAGGTTATCGGTGGGATCATTCTCGGTCCTACAGTGATGGGCCGAGTGCCGAATTTCACCACGACAATTTTTCCACAAGAAGCAATGCCAAACCTCAATCTTGTCGCAAATCTTGGCCTTGTACTTTTCTTATTTCTGATTGGTCTGGAAGTTGACTTCCGCATCATGGTAGAGAACTGGAGAATCGCCTTGGGTGTCGGCTCCATGGGTATCGCGCTGCCCTTTGGCTTAGGTTAGTCATTAGCTTGGGGCCCCGCACCTTTAGTTCAACATGGATTTTGTACTCTTTTGCTAACGAGTATTCCAATTTAGGCGCCGCTATTTCCTATGGTCTCTATAACGAATTTGGTAGTGACGTCGGTGTTAATCAGAATGTCAACTTTGGAGTTTTCTTGCTTTTCGTCGGTGTAGCCTTTAGCATTACAGTAAGCCTTCCTTAGATTTCCCAACTAATTCTCAATTGTCGTTAAGCTCTCAGCAAAATTCCGAAGACTCGCAAGTCTATACCATTCTAACGCTATTCTCGTTCAGGCCTTCCCTGTCCTGTGTCGTATCCTGACGGAACTAAGGCTCCTCGGAACCAACGTCGGTGTGATTGTCCTGGCAGCAGGTAGCGGAGATGACGTTGTAGGCTGGATTCTTCTGGCTCTCACAGTTGCTCTCGTGAACGCTGGTACCGGAATCACTGCCCTTTACGTTCTACTTGTTGCCATAGGGTACATTTCGTTTCTTTTCCTGGCTATCAAACCCGCTTTCCGCTGGTATCTTCGGAAAACTGGCAACCTAAAAGACCCCAGCCAAGGCGCTCTTACCGTCACACTTCTTTTGTGCTTGGCGTCGGCATGGTTCGCGAACGTTATCGGTATTCACGCAATCTTCGGCGGCTTCGTTGTTGGACTCGTAAGTATAGTACTCCTACATATACACCGCAATGACCTTGTTCCTCGTTCTGGGGCAAGAACCTCATGCATAACCTTCAGTCCCAATTTAACATTAGGCCCCTTCCCTCGACCCGCCGAGGGCAGCCTTCAACCCTTAGTTCCCACTACTTGATCGTTAAGCTCAAATTTCTGGCACTGACATGCAACTTTACGTTAGATTTGTCCTCGTGACGGAGGTTTCGCACCTGCAGTTGCAGAAAAGATTGAAGATCTCGTAACTGTGCTATTCTTGCCACTATACTTTACCTTGTCCGGTCTTCGAACGAACATCGGACTTCTCAACAGCGGCATTGTCTGGGGATACGTTTTCGGTGTCCTATTAGTTGCTTTCTTTGCGAAACTTACTGGTGCTGCATTAGCAGCTAGACTTTTCAAACTCCAATGGAGAGAATCTTTGGCAGTCGGTGCCCTCATGCAGTGTAAAGGACTGGTTGAGTTGATTGTGCTTAACATCGGCTTAAATGCGGGAATTATCTCTCAGCGAGTGTTCACAATCTTTGTCGTCATGGCTCTCGTTACTACTTTTGCGACTACCCCACTCGTCAGTTTCCTATATCCGGAATGGTATCAGAAGAAATGCTTAGCATGGAGAGCCGGAAAAATTAACTGGGATGGCACACCAACAGGCGTATCAGATGATACTGATACCCAAGAGCCTAAAGTTAAAACCACTGTCAACAAGCTTACAGCTCTCCTTCGTCTTGAGAGTTTGCCAAGTTTGATGGCCCTGATCCTACTCTTGAAAGGCGAAAAGGAGGCCGCTGCCCCAGCTGTCCACAGATCCAAAACCTCAAAGGTAGGAAAAGACGCCTCTGAGTCGGCTAAAAACGAGGATGGACCTGCAGTCAAGTCCCGGCCTCTCGGTCCACGATTTGAGGTCCATGGTCTTCGCCTTCGAGAACTAGATGAACGTACCTCTGCTATCATGCGTGTGACCGAGGACAGCGAGCCTGCGCGAGACCCTGTTATCAATTTCTTCAAGGCTTTCGGAAGAATGAATAGTATGGCCTGTGTCACAAACCTTGCCGTCATTCCAGGAGATTCGTTCTCGAGCGCTTTGTCTGACCGCGCCAAAGATGCTTCGTCTGATCTTGTCGTTGTCCCGTGGAGCGAGACCGGGAACCTAAGCGATGACTACACATACGAAGAAACCCCAGACAGCAGGAACCAACGTTTCGAATCCGGCCCATATGTCAGCTTCGTCTCTTCTCTTATCCAGAACACTGCTTCTAGTGTTGCTCTTTTCATCAACCGTGGATTTGGTGGTGTTGGAGGCATAGATATCAGCGAAAGGCGTCCAAAGCGCCGTGGTAGCATCATTTCTGGAGCTATCTCTCGAGTCAAGTCTGGTATCGAGGAACCTACATTGCCAATTCTTGACCTGAGCCATCACATCTTCTTTCCATTTATCGGCGGCGCAGATGATCGTGCTGCCCTCCGCTTCGTTCTCCAGCTCGTAAACAACAACATTAACGTCACTGCTACTATCGTCCAAGTTGTTCAAAACAGCACATCCGCAGCTCAGACCTCCACATCTTCCAGCACAGCCACTCAAAATGATGCTGCCTTCTACCTCCAGATTGCTGCCTCTCTCCCCGATGAGATTGCCGCTCGTGTTGTATTCGAGACTCTCGAGACTGAGCAGCCGATCCAGACCATTGTTACTCGCGCTAAGCAGGAAGTTGGCATTATTCCAGACGCAGGAGACCTTGTTGTCGTCGGCCGAAGCCATATCGAAAACTACGACTCTCAAATTGCCAGTGTCACAGTTGAAACCGCACCCAGTGTATCGATTGATGCTAGGAAAACCGTTGGCTCTGTTGCCGCTAGTATCATTGTTTCGCAAGTCAAAGCGTCTGTTTTGGTTTATCATTCTTCTGGTTCCTCTCTTTAGTTTCTTTACGCTGATCGGGTTTAAATTCCGTATGTGTTATGACATCTTTTGTTCCTTTTCTTTTTCTAAATATCTAGCTGGGCTATATCAGGATCAGGACGTGATATGACATTCGTTGGCGCTTTGAATTACACCAGGTGCATGTAATGCTTCTCAAAAACTTTAATACCTCACGATATACATGATATAAAATATTTTACATTTTTCTGTCGCTAAGCTTTAGATAGTATAAGACAGCTCTCTATAAGTAATCGACTATGAAGAATACTTTATGAAGTCGCTATGATCATATGAATTATGGCCTCTTATACCCTCTGGAGGCTGTTCTTCGGCGTTCCCACCGCTCCTTTATAAATATATATATAAAGAGATTCCACATGATTAACCAAGCCACAGTGTCAAAGATTTTAAGTAACAGACAGGGCCAACAATCTACGCGACATGTTAAACTTATATCGTATCGCCTCTTCATACCTCGCGATAGTAACGTCAAAAATGGACTAATATTTACGTAAAATAATACCGGCCGACCACGACCGGCCAAATCATTTTTGAGCCTACAATAATAATGCATGTGCTGTGTGGAGTATAGCCAAGGTAGCGGGAACAATTAACCTGCTAGCCTGCTAGCTTGCGCCTGCCGACGCACGCCCACTGCTGAATAAAGACCGACCCATGCAACGACCTGAGCTGAGCGCCAAGTTCGTGGCGTCACGATTAATGATTAATGTTTGCGTGCATAGCGCGGTGAACTTTCGAGTTTGGTTGCGTCCAGATACATGTATGATAGTATTTGGATAGAAACGTTCGAAACGTCGAAAATTTAGAATAGATGTGGAATTTGCTATGTAAAAGACCGTCTACAAATATTCCAGGACGTGAGGCATCCCATAGGATCATTTGCACACAATGCCGTCATGTAAATTAAGTAATAGTGCCCGCTTGCAAGTACGTACGTAGCATCAGTCGTTACGTGGCTGTTAAGCCAGGGTGCATGGCGCCTGGTCTCGAGGCTAACCAGGCAAGCATCATCAACAACACACATAATCCAACAATGCATATTGCGATTTTTCCCAGATGCCAGATATGTTCATTAGGTAGTTGACCTCAATTCAATCATCAGAGCCAATATTAATACTAGCTTCGTTCTGTCACTCTAGAAAAAGTTAGCACATAGATTTCGAAATTTCCCGACAGATTCTGAGTTTTCACTTGCGGAAATATTTGGGTAGTTCAGTAACCATAAACTAAAATAGTCTAGACCTACTAGACTATGTACTCGACGAACATGATTTATTAAAGATACCATAGCTTGTGGGCTCTGAGGCCTTGTGATCAATCCAAAAACCTGTGGGATAAACCAAACCAATTTAAATTCAACTTTGGCTTCTTGGAAGAGTAAAATGAATATTTTAAGGTGGAATATTATCATCAGAACTAAAAGTATATTGGGCGGAGAAAAGCCGCAAGGCGAGAAGTAAAAAAGGGGTTTCGTGGTTACTTAGATCAAGACGCTACGTTTTACAATATCAACATAGTATGATATGGTGAGATGAAGTCAACGTAATTAAAGGGTAAGAGATTGGTTTAAAGGCGAGCGCGAAGATACTCAACAAGGTGAATGAGGGGTTAAAGGCAATTGGGAGGGGGGGCAGATTGTAATTATTATGGTAATGCATGCACGGATAATATTATTCCCGCATAACATTGTGAAGAGATGCCGCATTATAGTGGCACGTTACCATCCCCACCTAACTGGCTACATGTATCGATTGGTATTAGTATTATTGATGGCATATGCTGTCTATAGATCTAGTTGGTATGAAATAAACTTTCGGATTCGAGTTTGTAAGTTCTCCACGTTTAAACCTAGGCATAACTAATTGGTCGGAATGCCGAGAAACTCCGACACCAACTCGGAGTATTCGTGTTCATTGATGTGTCTTATTAAACTATATTTCCATATTGGGCCTGGTAAACCATCTTTCATGCAAGAATGAAATTTTTTCATTGGCCTCATGATGACTGACTACACCGGTTTCGTTCTGCTTTTGGTCCGCGAGAAAAGCCGGAGAACACTGCGGGTCCAAACAGGTAAGTATATGCGCCCCTGACCTTCAATGGGTCATTGGTGACTCTAAGATAGGAAAGAGCTATCCAAGCCTTTCCACTTAAGAAAGGGTGACCCATTTGCATTTAGTTTAGCTCGTTCTTGAATCAGGGCAAACTCTCCGCGGGTGCATTACAATCAGACCAGCCCACTAGTTAAGTTACGAGATCTCGAGACTGGCCCACAGTGTTTCACTGGCTTGAGGAGAAATGTGTTGCCAAAACGTTAGGGTGCTCGCACAGGGGACCCTTGCCAGCCCGCCAGACCAAGCGACGGCTCGCTTGGACACAAGAATTTTGAACCTCAGACAGCGCTCAGAGATGGAGGGAACCGAGCGATATCGTATGTCGATGTTTCAAGCTAACGTACCTATCAGCTATTGTTTCTGATTTTACTGCTACTATCACTAATCGATAGTTCAATTGATCAATATACGGTACCGTGATCATAGAAACCAGTAGCCAAGGTCCTAGGTCTGAAACATACAGATACAATCGCACAGGCCTACGTACTTCCCAAGAACAATCAAGCACTACTAAATAAATTTAATTACACCTCTGAGTACAGTGAATAGACTTGTACTCCTCCAAGTCTCAGTTCGTGACTCTGGCTTGCCATTAATTCTCACTGGTTGGATGTTGTACACCATTGCCTAAATGACTTGGCTAAGGAAAGCCAATGCCCATTGCTAACAGCTTATAATATATGTACGTAGTAGGTATAGGAACCATATTTGCGGAGAATTTGATCCAATAGATCTAGACAGATCGAAGAGCAAAACCGCAGTTCGTGCATGGCCCCTGCATCTTAAGACAGCCTGTTATATAGATGGGGCTAGACCTATGATAGTAGCACAGTCGTTGGTGTTTATTGCCTCGGCCTGCTTTTGCTGCCGGAGGTAGGTTCCGAAATATGGCTATGTGGGTCCTGGGTGCGCAATGAAAAGCTTGAGCTCCGCCCCCACTAAACGCCTTTTGCGGTGGCTTGTTATGTTAGTCTTTCGGTGCTGAAACTCGCCACGATCTCCAAGCATATCAATTTTTGAGCAGTAGTTATCCTAAAAGATGATAGTGAGTAAACTAGTAGGAATGAGGAGGCAATTAGCCACAATATTCTATCCGTTTAATATACTAGATTTCCTAAAATGGAGCGGTGTATAACAGTTTTTCCCCTCATTTTTACGCTTTCGGATAGCCTCTCCACCGTTCTCCGTCTGTGGCGGGTGAGAATTGATACGCTAGTCAGAGATCGCAGTCGCACATGCAAGATCAAAAACAAAAACTTACGACATAATTTTGAATTTTATTGCATGAGGAGCTAGTTATCAATGTAGAGACATATTAGTTATCGATTGAGGAAACTAAGCCTCCGAGACATTAGGCATTGGATCATGGTGTTATCTACTGGCGAGAATGTAGGCTTGAGCGGAGCGAGAACCGCTTGTACCAAACTATCAGTCGATAGCTACGCGGCGCTATGCATCGGCTCTTTTGGCAGGGGGGCTATGGTCATAGCATCGTAAGAGACTCAGAAGGATGCCGCAGTTAGCATGCTAGCACTTCACCATCTATAAATCATGGCCTCTCCTCCCTCCGATCTGCAACTTTTTTATCATCATCAGCAGCAGCAGGATCAATACTCTCTACAGCTTCCAGCTTAGACATCGCATTCGATCTTCTCCTGAGAATCATTCTTATAGCTTATAGCTTAACAGCCTCTCCAAAGCTATCTACGAGCGTTATATTCACACAGATATATATATATATATATATATCCAAGATGTTGAACCTTCTTCCTACTCTTCTTACTGTTGCGAGCATCGCCTCCAGCGCTTTCGCAGTTCCAGTTGTTAAGGTTGCCAACTCGGGTATCGCCTCAGCGATCCCTGATCAATATATCGTCGTCTTTAAGAATGGTGTCACGGACTCTGCCACCGATGCCCATACTCGCCGCATCAGCTCATTCCATTCGACAATCGAAGCGAGAGACCCTAAGGGAAGGAAGGGCAGGAAGACCCGTGGTCTTCATAAGAAGATCAATGTTTCGGGAAGGTCAAAGTTTAGGGGTTACACGGGAGAGTTCGACAAGGCCACACTTCAAGAGATTCTCAAGTCCCCAGAAGTCGACTATGTTGAGCAGGATGCCGTGGTCAAGGTCAACCTTGATGGTATCCCAACTGAAGACCTAGCCGAGGAATCAACCGAGGAGTCCGAGTCTAATAACCTTGAGAAGCGTGTCTACCGATCCGATTCTACATGGGGTCTCGATCGTATCTCTCATTCAAACCACAAGGCACCATATCGGTATTACTACAATGACGCATGGTCTGGCGAGGGTGTTACCGTTTATGTTATCGACACAGGAATCAAACGGGAGCATACTGTAAGTATCTCAAACCTAATAGAGCAAAAACCCTTCGGTTAACTAATAGGCTTCTTAGCAATTCGGTGACATGTACACCGGAAAGACCAGAGTCCGATGGGGAACCAATACTATCGATAATGACAACACTGATGGCGCTGGACACGGAACCCACTGCGCCGGTACTATTGGTGGCTTAACTTATGGTGTCGCTAGAAAAGTCAACCTCGTTGCAGTCAAGGTTCTTGATAATGACGGATATGGAACTTGGTCCAGTGTCATCGAGGGAATCAATTGGGTCGCTAAGGATGCCAAGTCAGGCTTTTCCGTCGCTAGCATGTCTCTTGGCGGCGGAAAATCCACAGCTGTCAACCAAGCTATCAATGCTTTGCACAATGCCGGTGTTACTGTCGTTGTTGCTGCTGGAAATGAGAACGATGATGCCAAAAACTATTCTCCAGCTTCTGCAGAAAAGGCTATTACTGTCGGTGCCATCGACGAAAAAGGAAAGGTCGCCGATTTCTCTAACTACGGAAGCACAGTTGACATCCTCGCTCCCGGTGTCAACATTCTCAGCTCTGTCATCAGCTCTAATACTGCCTCCGATTACTACACGGGTACCTCCATGGCTACTCCACATGTCGCTGGCCTCGCCGCATACTACATCAGTAAATCAATCAACGAAAACAACAAGGGTGTTACTCCAGATGAAATGAAGAACCTTCTCCTTGAGAGGTCTTGGGGTGTTGCTGAAAGCAGTCTGGGTAGCTTCCTCCGCAAGGCCGCCCCCAAAATCGCTGGAAACGGCTACTGCCCCACCGGCAATATTAAGTGTGACTTCCATTAGTTTGGGGCCGATTCCAAAAAAAACCAAACGTTTTGATTTAAAGAATATTGACTATTACGGGAGTTAACTGGGGCCTGTCTTTCTTTACTTATGCCGGGGATAATTTCCATTCCCTTAATTTAACCGATACCCTCATTACATCATGGATTCCATATAGTTGGGTCCGTCACTAATGGCCTAGTCAGAGGCCCAGTGGTATATATGCCGCTGCAGAGATTTTGGATCTCTTGTATTTGTATTTTTAATCTATCGCGCATGAGTCGGAAGGTTGGAGGGGTTGATAGTGTACTGGATTCGGGTTTCTACATGGTTGCAGGCTTTTTGTTTAAGATTTCCTATTTTTCATGTGTACTACGAAATAATGAAACAAGCATTCTGAAAGCACTTGGCAGTCCAATGTCTATCGCTATAAACCGATCATTAACGTGTAAATGTACCCGCAGTGGTTGACATACTGACTAGCGCGCCAGCCGCATGAAGAAAATGCGAAAATAAACTAATGAACTCGAATATAGAAAGGTAGACTTATAAGCCGTTAGTAAAAAGCATATGCTAGCGTATAAGTATGAAACCACTATTAACAACGAATCTCAACTAATTTCCATAAATGCTGTCAAGAAATAAAATTATATTGTCGAATATTGGCAGCCTCATAGGGAGACCTTGAGATGCGTTGAATATGTGTTATTCTGCACCAGCGAAAAATATTAATAGAGAATCCATGGCGCATGGACTTCGAAGCATAAAATATTTCATGTGCACATTCTGTGAATCGAATGAAGCCAGAAATTTCGAAATTGACAAGCTGAAAATCTAAAGAGCATGCCCTGCTATGAAAAAACCTTATTCTATAGAGCCGAAAGACCCAAAACTGCAAGCCATTTGTCATCAATGACTCTTCCATAGCATTTGTGCGCATAGCGAACCGAGATCTAACCGAGATCTCGATATACTTCAAGTTAACACCCTTGTGATTTAGGATCCCAACTTGCACAAGAGCAAGGATCACGGGCCGTCTACGGCCAAAGTTACCTAAAAGAACACACCCTGATTACTAATGAAATCGGAGGTAAAATGTATACGTAAACGCACATACGTATTTTTATTCACAATGAATTACGGATTTGGAAGGTGTAAGGAATGTAGTAGTGTCTCGTTGATCTCTTACCCTCAATCTCATACAATTTGACGACTTAACTCAGCATTGCGTCACCTCAATCGATGTATGTATAAATAGGTAAAGGACGCAGCAGCACCACGCCAAAGAAACACCACAGCACCACATATATTATAACATATTTTTTTTTGACATTTCGGAGGCCCGTATTCCGAGGAAAATCATAGACATGTCTTCCAAGCCGTCCGACCTCCCCAAAATGAAGTATCGCTACCTCGGCCGTAGCGGACTTCAAGTATCTGCTATCTCCCTCGGAGGTTGGTTGACCTATGGTGGGTATGCTGAAAACGAAAAGACATTCGCCTGTATGAAAGCTGCATACGACTGCGGTATCAACTTTTTCGATTGTGCAGAAGGTTACGCAGGCGGTGAAAGCGAAAGGGTAATGGGAGAGGCCATTAAAAAATTTGGCTGGAAGAGGAATGACTTAGTTATCTCGACGAAAATCTACTGGGGGGATGCTAATGGAGAAATGCCGGTTAATAATGCGGGGCTAAGCAGAAAGCACATTATTGAAGGTGTCGATTTGAGCTTGAAGAGGTTGCAATTGGATTATGGTATTTAGCAATTTCGTTTTACCTGATGTCAAGATGTTTAATTGCTAATCAATTCACGATCACGACATTTAATTAGTCGATCTTATATATGCACACCGGCCGGACAGGAACACCCCACTTGAGGAAACTGTCCGCGCCTTCAACCATGTCATCAATACCGGAAAGGCGTTCTACTGGGGTACAAGCGAATGGAATGCCGATGAAATCGCTAGTGCCCATCGGATTGCCGACAAACTAGGCCTCATTGGGCCAGTCATGGAACAACCAGAATATAGCCTGCTAAAGAGGAATCGTGTCGAAGGCGATTACATTCTCTTGTACGAACATTATGGTCTTGGGTTGACTACATTTAGTCCATTGGCTGGGGGCGTTTTGACAGGGAAGTACCTCGATGGAATTCCTGAGGGATCAAGAATCGGAACCAGTGACGATCCTTACATTCAATACCTAAAATCTGGCGTGGGAGCCGATGAATGGGAGGAGAAAATGAATAAAGTCAGGAAGTTAAAAGTATGTCCCCACTAGTCTACTTCAATTGGATAGATGGAATCGATTTTGCGGCGTTCATGCTAATATAATAATATTACGTAACTAGGGAATTGCCGACAAGCTAGGTTGCAATTGCGCACAGCTAGCTCTAGCATGGGTTCTTAAGAACGATCATGTTAGTTCTGCGATCACTGGCGCCTCTCGACCTGAGCAAATCTACGATAGTGTCAAGGCCTTGGCGATTTTGCCAAAACTCAGTGACGCTCTTCTAGGAGAAATTGATGAAATTTGGCAAAATCGACCGCCTGTTCTGGAAAGAGTCTTCTATTAGATTGGAGGATCTTAAGATTCCTATACTCGCCCTTTGTATAGCGCTATAGCTTATCTTGATTGGGCGGGCTACACATTGGGCTTAATTAATGTATGTGCAACAAAGAACCGTAAAAAAGGGTAGCCTCGGATCCAGGCACTTAAAAAAGGGGAGTCACGGTGGTATATCGGAGTTCCCAACAGAATCTTGCCGTGATTTCCTTGAACTTTGCTGAGGAATTTGATGTGTGTGCCTTGCATTCACGCAATAATCGTTATTGGTCATGTCCATGCTCCAATCTTTGTTACGCCAAAAGCCAATATTTGGACCACTCGCCCCTGTACCCGAACCTGCCGTTGTATTAACTTCCTCCCCCGCAATGCTCCTTTTCCGTTGAAAAAATCCAAATATTTTCCTCCATTTAGACCTTTCACCGGGAGGCATTTGAGGTGCCATACCAAACTCATTAAGTCTGCCTCCTGGTATAAATATCGATAGCTTCCGGAGTTTCCCGGAAGGTCGAGGGGTTGTCGGGGGCTCAGAACCAGACGCTGCAAGTGTCGAGCCTCCATTTTCTAATTTTGAAGGGTCATCAATACCCGTTGTGTGGATTGTCCCGCTCGCTCTATTCACCTGAGGGCGATAGTTACCGCTTCGTTGCGTCAACTTCGCCATGAGCCCTGGACGCCACCTTCCCACCAAAGGCTTGAGGGCTGGGCAGCAAGCAGCCATCACAGAAAAGTTCCATTCTACTACCGACGTTACAGTGAGGTTAAATTGATCCCCTATTCCGCCATAAACAGGTCAGATTTAAATTTATGCCTCGTCCGTGCGCATAGGGTATAATGTGATAGCATGTCCTATTCACACTCACATAACGGATCCGCCGACTCGTTCATGATTTTGAATGCTGGTATCCGAGCAATTGAAGCCGCGCAAGCCCTAGATTATATATAAATCGATTGAATATATATGAGCATGAGAAAGCCTCAAGAAAACAATTAATTATCATAATATCCTGAGTACAATAGAACTTACATAAAACCAATCCCAAAGATACCAATAACCATAATTCTTTCTTTCGAAGAAACTCGAAGAGCTGTAAAACTAGTAAGCTACTGCTAGCACTGGGTCCCCGAAGGCTCTATATATGCGTGAGATTAAACGGGGCAAATACCATCGAGAGGTACGTACCCAACAGCATTTTCAGTGGCAGTATTAAAACCCAGCAATCACACAAGATTGCAAAGACAGACCAAACCCAGCCCAGCGCCCATCTATTTAGACAATATTTATTATATAAATTTTCGTATATGACCGTCAAATCCCAAGCTTTTGAAGGCGGGGTGCACTGAAACTCAAAAACCAACAGAAGGACGATGAAAATCAGCCACGTAATTCCCATAGACCAGTGTACAACCCTCCGGAAGGTTGGATCTGCACTGAGTCGAAGATAAAATGTCAACATGGACATTCGAATTGTTTGTAGTGCGAGAGAGTAGAATGGATCCGTGATGTATTTCAACTATGAATGCGCACCAAATATAATTATTAGCGGAATACTCCTCTCGAGTACATAATGCTGTTGCTAGGATATTAATCGTAACTCGGAAGCAGGTTTCAAGACTGACCTTAAGAGTTGTCACGAGAACGGCGGGTTTAATACAGGCTACATGCGCTCCACCTGCTCCAGCAAGAACGTCTATGGGAAGAAAACCAAGCGCCCAGAGCCGATGATTATAATATTAGCAAGCTGAGCAACGAAAATTCCTCGCTATTTTTGTTAAACCCCCTAATTCCGTGGGGTAGTTCGGAAAGCCGTACATGAAAGGTCGAAGCCAATGATCGCCCATGCTATGACCTATAGATTTATTAAGAAGCGGATGTCTAGTTAGAAATGATCGCTCAAGTGCTCCATCCCAAAGGAAGGTCGAGCTAAGTCGCGTGCAAGTACACTGTGTATACTATTAAGGGAAGAAATACTCACCGCGGAAATCAAAATCCAAACATCGTCCTGTCCGAAGTACTTGACAATGAAAACTCTGGTATATATCCGCAAAGCAAGGAATATAAACGAGAAAAAATGGCAGACGCCATAAAGTATGAAGTACTTCACTCTTTGAGTCTCATTCTGTAAATTAATTATTATCAGCATACAGTGGTCTCGAAGCTTTCGAAGCAATTATCAACGTACGCAGTTTTCTATACGACCTTCAGAAATAATGATGCCGTTGAAATCGCCAGCCCAGTAGCCTCCAGATAGGACGGCATGTGTGCTTGTAAAGTTATAATTACTATTACCTGCAGTCATATTTCCTGTTTGTCGAGTCGGAATGGAAAAAAAAATCGAGATCAACCTTTCCGGCTTATCTAAGACATGAGCGTAACGATATGGGGTGAGTATAATACGAAGTCTGCCAGCGTCAAATAATCTGACAACTGCACAACCCTTGAGTCAATAAATCGAGGAGGCAAGACAATGTCTCTCTCCTGTCTGCGACACTATCAGGAAAGCCAATGATTTTCAAAATCCACAAATATCAATGCTTAAGGTTTTATTGAGAGCATTCGTTTGCAGGGTGTGATTTGTAGTGATACGCTGCTTAGCATTCCCAGATCCGGTGGATACATGTAAGTCGGGTTCATGAATATGGTATATGTCACTCCATTTCCTTGTGGACTCAACCAAACTTAAAACTACTAAGCGAATGTCGATATTATAGGATCTGACCGCTTCGGTCTGAGTCCGAGACAAACTTCAATGAATATATGGATATACAAATACGACATTTAGCATTGCTTTTTAAACTTAAGAAGCTGCCTAACTCCACCACCTTTGCTAGCCGGCCATGTCTCTTCAAAACCGCCGCCTTCAACATGCTGAAACCCACACTTTTCCAACACCTTCTGACTGCCTAAGTTCGCAACTTCAGCCTCGGCATCGAATATAGACCCAGGGAATTTCTTCAGGACCTCGGCAACAACCATAGACATAATCCCTTTACCCCTAAACTCTGGTGCGAGGAAATATCCAAGCCTGAAATGATGTTCCGATCGTCCAGGCATGGGGTGTGTCCCGCAAATACCAACTAACATCCCATCATGCGATTTGGAGCGGATAACCCAAGCCTCCTGAGTCCCTGGATAGCTCGGGAATCGGGTATGGGCTCGATTATCATTGAACCACTGAGCGTCGTTGAGCGTATAGGGATAAGGAGGACTGAATAGAATGAAGGCTAGGTCAGAGTTGTAAAGCTCAACGAGGCGAGGAAAGTCCGAAGGTCTAAGTGATGAGAGAAAGTAGTCATCGAACGGAGAAGGAAGAGTAGTTTCTGGAACGGGCTCGAGCTGGCCACGCGGCTCGTCTTGGTGCGTGTTCTGAAACTTTGAGGTATCGATCATCATGTAAACCGATAAGGCTTTACGCCAATGTAACTTAGATACTTAAATATCAAACTTTTAAGAGTGGAAGTGAGTTGTATTTTCTGCCCGGTTTATCTCTAGAGGACTCTAGACTCTATAACTGCACTGTGGTGTTGAATCAGACTTGCGGTTATGAGTCAAGGTCGCTGTCTCCTCGTCTACGGTGGAGCCAAAAGCTCGCTTGTGAGCTTGTTGCAATGAATTGAAGCTATATCGGGAAGGTGGGCGGTCGGCATCGGCAACTGTGATGAATAATTCTTTGTGCTCTCATAATTTTTCGACTGATATCGATATTAATACTAAAATGGAAAATCAATGGATGATATGGTTGCTATCATGTATATTAGCTAGTTGCGGTAAAGTTTTCTGTATTTCAGCCCTATGCAATGGGAAGTTGGCCAACTGCCTAACCTGGGGAATGAAACCGATAAAAGAGTTTATTTCGATCTACGGAGCTCTGGTCGCCATGCTGCTGTTACTTTGTAAATAAGATCATGAGGTCATCAATTAATTGCACAGCAAACCGATCTGAAGAATTCGTCGACATGGCTGAGTTCAGATGGATGAAGCCAGGGGATTGGTTATATGCGGCTTGACCCTTGTGGAGAATATTGCGAAAAATTATCGCCAATGTTTTGTTGCATATGCATTAGGTTTGAAAGGAAGCAACCGAGATCATGCGCCTAAAAGCCCGGTGGCGATCTGATTGCACTTGTTGCCGGAGTCCGAGGGCTCCAGGCCCAATATCGTTATAAGTTCCCTCCCTGGCCTGGTTTTTCCATTTTTTCAGGCTGGGCTGTTGTGCTATGCCAGGGCACCGAATATAACCACCCGTACTTTCCCGATACATTTTTTTCAATCCGGAAAACATTTGCTCAAAAAGAAGCCAAATTGTTTTGCGAGGAATATCGAGAATATGATAGCGCGAAATAAGCAGCGAAGGAATTCTACCAGCAGGATAAAATGAGTGGAAAACCTGAGCTCATGAGGGAGAAAAAAGTCTCCGAGAGCTTGGACACGTCGTCTACCAGACTCCAATCGCGGCAGTTATGGTGCAAGATCACCGTGAATGCAAATATCAAACTCCGGAGTATCTCATTATGATCCAACTCCGATGTGGATTGACTTCAGGATAAGGTTGGATGGTGTTAGCGGACTTAGTCATCCGGCGTCTCTATTTGGCGATTTCCACATTAGAGCTCGGTAGATAGCCTTAAGTCCTGCCGTCATCACGGAGGTATCGCCACTCGGAGATCAAAATACCCTCCGTGCCGCCGGACCACGGTCCTTGGCGTCTTGATTGTATTCCCACTTCGGAGTAGCTTGCTGACATCGTGAACAAGGGATACGGTTCGTCAGCGCCCACGCATTTTAATCGTAATCCACCCTTTGGTCCACGTTGTTGTTTCGGTCATGCCTGCCGACCGAATGATATGGCATGCTGAAACTTCGTCTCTGATAGAGTGACGGCAGTATCATTCGATCCGTATAGACATGTGGATCCATTCATTTGGGGTCTTGAGCAAACGTCAGCCTCAGATCTTTGGATAGAAGGTAGTACTGAATATTCGAATATTCATTGTGAAGTCGGTCGTACACAAGGAGTAAATTTTTTCGCTATTACCCAGACATCTGGGAAACTTTTCCAAAGAAGTGTGAATTGCAACGTTATGCAACAAGCCTTGTTTACTAAGCCTGTGATACATCTGGTCAAAGAAGCATTTTTCCTTGTCGGCCAAGAGGCCCTTGTCACCCTGACTCATCAAAATCCCAAGTCCGAGGGAACCCCTTAAAGATGGGTTTGTTCCCAAGGGCTAGTCGGATCGGAAAATGTCGCCCAGACCGAGATTATTTCCCACTTTGGGTAGCCCCGGCGTATTCAGCTTGAAAACTGCCACCTCTCGGAGCAAATTGACCTCCAGACCAGAGAAACCGACAGGTGTGATTGGCTGACAAAAGATAATTTGGCTTTTCATGTTGGTGGGACCGGTGATAGTGCAAAGCAATACGGAAGAAGCAATGTGCGGCGCCATTTCCGTCTGTATCAAAGTAATTTTGGAAGAGCAGCGAAGAGGCCTGCGCTGCACCGAGCCACCCAGTTAGAACGTTGGAAGAAAACAATATATAACACTGGCATCGACTCGGGTTTTCTTTGTTACTATTCCATGTTCCTCATCCCTAGAACTCGGTGATATTGTATTATCACAGCCGCGAAGCGCGAAGTGCTTGAAAGTTCCATAGACCTTGGAGGCCGAGCACTAGTCAATAATATCAATATTTTCCAATACCCACCAGAACCTCTTGCAATACAACATCTACACTTACCTCAACTATGGGTGCCCAGGAACTAGCTGTTCCTCCACAAGACGATATGAATCCTGGAACAGAAACATCAACTTTGGCCGCTCCGTCTGTCAATGCATCTGTCGTTGATGCTGATGAAAAGATTGACCGAGGCTCGACAACAAGCCATTCGAACAAGTTGAAAGCCGTCGACGAGGCCCCTATCGATGATGATAGAAACGAGCTGGAAAAGACACAGACCATGGAATCCCTACACGAATACCCGACAGCATGGAAGCTGGGCATTATCTCGATTGCTCTCTGTCTTTCCGTCTTTTGCATGGCGTTAGGTACGTACTTGTCAATGTTCTTCAAAGATCGCAACACCTTTTTTTACAACATCTTGGCTTGGAGTTCCAGCAGATAGAAATATGCTAATACCATAACCCTTGTCTTTTAGATAATACTATCATTGCTACCGCTATCCCAAAAATCACTGATCATTTCAATTCTCTGAATGATATCGGCTGGTATGGTAGTGCTTACATGTTGACAACATGCGCCTTCCAATTGCTATTCGGAAAATTCTATACATTCTACTCTGTCAAATGGGTCTACCTCATTGCACTTTTAATCTTCGAGGTCGGCTCTATTGTCTGCGCCGCTGCTCCAACATCTGAGGCTCTTATCATTGGACGTGCTATCGCTGGTGTTGGCTCTGCTGGTATCTTCGCTGGTGCTTTGCTTATTGTCGCCCAGACCGTTCCACTTGAGAAGAGGCCGACATATACCGGTCTGATTGGTTCCATGTACGGTCTTGCATCCGTCGCTGGCCCTCTTCTTGGTGGTGTTTTCACCGATAGCGAGAAACTCGTAAGTTGTACCCACTTTCATTATCACACATATATATAGGTTTTACTAATATTCAAAATTAGACCTGGAGGTGGTGTTTCTGGATTAATTTACCATTCGGTGCGGTTACCGCTTTGTTCATCGTTTTCTTTTATACCGATATCCGAAAGGTCAAGGAGACCGATCTTACCTGGAAGGATCGTCTTGAGCAATTCGACATCCACGGAACAATTGTCTTCATGCCAGCTATCATCTGTTTATTACTTGCTCTCCAGTGGGGTGGATCGAAGTACCCATGGGGCAACGGACGCATCATCGCCCTCCTCGTTCTTGCATTTGTGCTTCTCGCAACTTTCGTCGGTATCCAAATCTGGAAGCAGGATAAGGCTACTGTTCCTCCAAGAATCCTCAAGCAGCGCTCCGTCGCCGGCTCAGCTTGGTTCGCTGCTATGCTTGGTTCCGCTTTCTTCGTCCTCGTCTACTTCGTTCCACTCTGGTTCCAAGCCATTAAATCCGTCTCTGCTACGAAATCTGGCATCATGAACTTGCCAATGATTCTTACGCTCGTCATCATGTCTATTCTTGCTGGTGGTCTCGTCACTGTCACTGGTTATTACAACCCATTCGTCATCGGCTCCAGCATCCTCGGAACTGTCGGTGCAGGTCTCATATCCACTTGGGAGGTTGATACCGCACACCCAGCATGGATTGGTTATCAAGCTATCTTCGGTCTCGGTATTGGTATGGGTATGCAACAGCCACTCATCGCAGTCCAGGCCGTTTTGAAGCATCGCGACATTGCTACTGGCACCGCTATCATCATCTTTTCTCAAACCCTCGGTGGTGCTCTTTCTATTTCCATCGCCCAGAACGTCTTCAACAACCAGCTCATTAAGAACTTGGGCAAGGAGGTTCCAAATCTCGATCCTTCCATTGTTTTGGCCACCGGTGCTACCAGTTTGAAGGCAACCCTCCCATCTGAATTTATCGGTGGTGTCTTGAGAGCTTACAATCTCAGCTTGACACAAACATTCTACATCGCCGTTGCCTTCATGGGATTGAGTATTTTTGGCTCCCTCGCTCTTGAATGGAGGAGCATTAAGGGCAAGAAGATCGAGATGGGAGGTGCCGCATAAACGGTAGCCTACTATATTCGAACGCCTGGTGTTGCGCCTCTTCCCATTTTCACAGCTTTACTTTCTCCAGATAACCATCTCCACATCACTTTTTTTTTTACTTTTGTATCAAAATTCACTGATAGACACTTACGTCGCACTGATAGAAATTATTAATATAATTCGGCCTTGCATGAACATTAGCTGGAGTTTGGCGTTCCTTTTTTCCTTCTTTCTCTTTACGATACAAAACCCAATAAGTCATGTTCATACAAGCATTAGTATAGCAATCATAATTATAGTCAAATTCTAGACTTACTCTACCAATGCCTATTGGATTTACTATCATAGACGCTAAAATCTCTTTGTTCCGAATACGAGGCCTTCGGTCTAATATTAGGTAATGCCCAATGCCGAGACCCTCCTCGATTATCCCAGTGTGGAGTTATGGATTCCCGTCGGTGAAATTGTGGGGGACGGCACTTGTTTCGTGGGAGCCTAAATACGCTGATGTCTTATAATTTGACTTACACCCAAGCAATACCTGCTATAGGATAAATAATAGAATAAGATAGTGTCTTGGCTATGTCTTTTTAGATCCAACAAAACCCGAGCTTTAGACGGTTTCTTACAGTGGAACGGGTCATATTCTATCTACCGAGTCTCTAGTAATATGCAGGTCCTTAAGGCCTTCGGACTGAGATTTCAAGATCTCGTTATATATTTGGTCCTTTGGAAACAATATCATCACGACCTAAATACCAAGCTCAACTTCAATTATAAGCGTAGGCTATAAGCACCCCCCGAAGCAAACTTGTAAGTTAAACACAAACGATATACCTGTTTATAATACCGATAATCACAAGCGCCCGCCAAAAGGTCCACGCCTGTAAGAATTAGAATGCGCGGGTCTTGTGCAGATGTGCTTGACCATGGAACGAGTTCTGCATCGATCGGCTCAGCCCAAGGCCAATAACACTTATGTATACCTAGGACTTTCGGCTACCTACAAGATCTCAAGACCCCAACGTAACGTTTGTTCGAAATTTACCATATTTTCAATCATAGTAGTTTCCCCCCTGGCTTAGGCTCGGATGTAGGCTTTGAAATACCCATCTCCTGATTTCCTGTGCGGGAGTAGTATGATTCGCGTATTTTCGTTTCCTAACTTAACAATACTTAATTAAGTGATCGGTATAGTTAGAACCAAGGATAGTCCCGTATCTGTGTATTTGCATCATTAAAAGCTTACTAGAATAATTATAACAGGATGTAGGATCGGACTCCAATGCAAGACCGGCCCAAAATTAGCGCCTAGTCGATTAGAGGCTAGTCCGAACTATCCTTGTTGACATGATCGAAAGCATGCAATTTGATAAGGAGAATATGAGTAAAATCAAGGCTCGGAATAGGTACAAAAGGAGGACCGAAACTTCTCACAATTCGTTGCATTACACCTTCTCGGCGACATGACACAGAGCTACCATGTCGCATAAGAAGTCGCAGGGTTTGCTGCCGCGAAAGACTTTCCTATCGAAGGTCTTCTGATCCCCAACGAATATAAGCTTATCTTTACGTCGCGAAACCGCAACATTGCATTGAACCGGTGTGGATCAGTCAAAAATCCAACTTGGACCTGCTCCTCCATATCTTTGCCAGAATGCGATTGAATAAGATTGATGATGATAATTCTTGCCTCGTTGCCCTGAAAACGATCGACTATTCCAACGTGAACCTTCGTCGCCATAGATGCGCAATAGTGCTTGATTCGTTTTCAAACTGGTCTAACTTGGCCACGGTACGGGATAACTACCGCAACATCCTCGGGTTGGCAGTCCATTTTCTCAAGCAAGGCGACGATTATTCCACAAGCCTTTGCGTTTTCTTCATTTTGGTAGCTCCCGGTTTCCAAGTGCTCCTCGTTTCCTTGTCTATCCACCCAAGGACGGGATTTAAATTTAGTGGTACCAAAATAGTACTGAACCTGGTTGTCCAATGCAAAGGGGACTGCTCAGGCAGGTCTTCTCGGGTGGCTCTGGGAAGCAGGGGATAATTGGGTGTTCGTTGCATGTCTTTCGATCTCTTCTCCGAAACAGCTAATGAACACACCCATCCTTATCGTCAACTAGAAATCTAGCATAGAGCTGGTAGCGAGGTTCACCAAGACTACTCTTATGATGCTCAGGAAGTAGGCTGAGCTCTTCAGTGACATTGATGGTAGATGCCCATCAGACATAAGATCGGTTAGAATATTTACGTTGACATTTTTGACCTTCATTACGTTTCTTCCTCTTCCTCTTCCTCCTTCTTCCCTCTCCAAGCCTTGTAACTTCGTACTTCCCCGAGCTGCATCCCCTCCTGTGACATCAAATCACACAACTACTACCACCCGTCTCTGGCGGTCACATGCCGGTCCTCAGGTTTAAACGTTTCGAGGGTGTCAAAACTCGTAAGTCTTTCCTTTGATATACTCCTTCTAGGACCGACGTGGCATCGCTGTTTTGATATAGTTTGCTCACTTTTGCGATGTAACTTAGCTTTAGGTCCCCCCCTCCCTAGGCCTTCCAGGCCAGGGTTCCTTCGGCTGGTAAGTATGCTATACACGCAAACTTGTGCATTTGGAGCCGCTCGACTGCCAAGGCAGAGGTGCGCACCCCCCAGTCTATGCATTTATGGTACCGGTACGTATATTATACGTATGCATAAGGCCGGCTATATATAAATTTAGTTCAACTCGGCTAACATCCTTGTGCTTATGTCATCAAGGCCACCAAGAAATATGTCTAGTAGAAGCCCATTTTTTCAACCGGGACAAGACGAGGCAATTTTTAGAAGGCTTCAGAACCGAGGTTTTCAAGCTATCGGAATCGCTTAGCATTGAGCGCGAGATTTAAGGGTCCATACCCTGTATTATTGATGAGAAGCTTCGGCCTCTCATTCAGAAAATCGTAAGGGAAGAACTAAAGACCTGATCTCGTTCCCAAACGTCACAAAGGGCAACAATAAAGACCATGGACTAGGCAACAGAAGCAGAGTACGACTCCCACAAACCCTATGCCAAACCTGTTGAATCACGATGCTAATTATTCTTCATTACAGGTACATATTGCGGATGGTTAGAGCGTCGAATAAAAACGCTAGTAAAGATAACTTGCAATTGCTTCTGTGCCCTGCAAGGCTTGGAGTCGACGTGAGCCTGTTAGATAAAACCCCAATTAAGGGATTAATAAATATACTTCCTGGTAAGGTACTCTTTATCTAAGATAATGTAAAATAATACCAACCTGAATTATTGTAGAAAAAAGCGCATATAGTGTTTTTAAAAGTTCGGGTTTGCCGACGGGAGGGTCAGTTATAATTATATAATGGTGAAATAATCACAAATTATGGAATACTTTTGTAACCCTTAACGCTTGTTATAGTAAACAACCACAGTTTGGTTATAATTGCGAGACTGGCGAACAACCACCTATTACAATTATTTTTTTAAAATGGAGAATGCAGGACCCTGTGTTACGATGTTTCCCATTGGTCTGCGAATTCGCTCTTGAAGCCTTGCTGCTGTACCTGGATTTGATTCTAACCGGAACTTTCTACATATTGAGATTGTGCGAGTAGTACTAGTCCCTGTATATACAAGCCTGTGGTTTCTCTGCATACCGACTTATTACTTATTGGGATATACTGGTCTCGTAAGGATATACCAGCAATGCTATATCCCTAAGACTTTAATTGGATGCAATTCTGGCTCGGGTATGATAGGACACGATAACTACTAGTACGTTGGATCCAAGAAGAGTGGGTTTTAAAATTTTATAACCTAATTATGAAATCTGCAGTATAATACACGTGACTGGAAATATCACGATTTCTAGAGCATAGAACTCGGAAACCGAAATATATCTAAATATACGAACATAAAAGTCTGATACTCCAAAAAAAAAGTCGACTACCAGACGCAGTGTCTAGGCATCTTCTATTTAATGGAGCGTTTTCGACTACACGGTAGGTGATTTGGATGAGGTCCCGTACCTGGAAATGGTTATTGTAAATATAAATTTTGCCTTGAACGCATCCTTCAAACAGCCTATATATCCGAGCATCACGGCTCTCCCTGTCCCGACACCAGGATTCTATAAAGTTGTCAAGATGGCGAAAGAGGGGAAGTCTGCTTAGGTGTCAGATATGACCACCAACGTACAGCGTGGACGATACAATACCAACCACTTACAAGTCTAGATCTACCTATCCCGAGACACGGCGGGGCAACCCACCTAGAAGCCACGAGTGCCTACCCGCCACTAGGGGGGGGGTTACCTTAGTAGCCTGCCATTCGTTAGCGTGAGATCTCAAACCCTTCTCTAACGATGCCCTACGGGCTTCCGGATCCGTTATGTTTTGGGTGGCTAATACCGAGTTACTACTTACCTATCACTAACTTACTAGCGCCGCGCTGTTTTGACGTTACTCCCCTACCACCATAGCGGTGTCTTACGAGTTTCCGCTATGTTCAGGAAGGAAAAGACGAAAATGCGAGCCTAGACAAACCCTCTGCCTCCCGCTTCCTCTTTCTTTGGAAATAATGGCCATTGATAGTCTTTCTAGAAGAAAAGCTTCATGTAAAATGGTACTTGCCCCACAGCTAGTTCTTGAATGGCATTGTTAACCAGTGAAAATAGTTTTAACAAGCGGATGCCACGCAAAGTCCCGATGGTATGCATTTACATAGTAATATATATATAGAATCCATCGCGCAAGCTAGATCTCAATCATATGATCATTATATAAATATATAAGAGAACCCGAGCCTCTTTCCCGAAATTACAAGCAGCCAATAGTTCCTCGGACAAAGAGGTGGGCGGCTTACGTTGCTCCTAAGTTTCGTCTGGAATCTCGATATTATGGATGGAAACATATCCTTGCTGTTTTCCAATAATGGCATTATCAATGAGTGGCCTAGACTAGGTGTAGTTCATAGGCGGTCTCGGCTTAACACCACCCTCTCGCTACCCGGGCCCCTTCTATGAGGTATTAATTGGGCCAGACCCAAAAATCAAGACGATTGGTATATGCGGTTGGGTCCCGGTTAGCTATAGCGCTAGCTTGCATAAAGGGAAAAATTAAGCACCGAATAAGAAACCGCGGTTACATTTTTCGGAGGTACATCATATTGGTTCCTGTTGATTGATCCATACCTACACTTTTGTATAGGATCTAGCGAGATGAAAATTTCCATCAGCCCCAGCTAGCCATTTCGATTTCAAAAGCCAAGTAAAGGGTCAGGGTTCGATACGTACGCAAAACTAATTAATGCATACATACTATTGTAGATATAGGAGGGCCCAAGTTTACAGCGACGGCCTGTTAGCCCCCTAGCTTGGTAGCGACGAAGGATATTTTGTGATCGGAGCCCCGACTGCAGTAGTTAACTTGTGATATATTACTGCGGGGTGAGTGAGCTGTAAAGCTTCTATATTACATTAGTAATACACTTGGATCAATCGACTGATCTCTAGTTCCCTCCACGGATTCAGATATCACGTAAAGCTAACCGATTGGCTATAATATACCAGGATCCGTTAAAAAGGGATATTTATTGGTTTTCGTTCGTCACTATATACCGGGAGGGCCCTTTGCTTACCCGCATTCCTCGGCTCTGCGTCTGCTATTTCGTATACCGGTGGTTAAGTCGAGATATCGAGATATATCGAGACACTAATATATATATACATCGTACCCCGCTTATAAGGCTCCCGTGTCCTAGTGAGATAAGCCCGAATGGTTGAAATAATTATTATTATCGCTCTTATATTCGGAAGAATATTGAGTCTACACGTGTACACGGTCGCAATTGGTTGAACGGCTGGACTATCTGGGCACGGCTTTCTTTTTCTGTTATTATAGTATCGATATCCCCAAGCTGAATTATAATCAATTTTGCAAATAAAAGCGTTCCTTGATTAGAACTCATTGGCTAGCTATACCAAGTCGCAATTTTCCGATATTTCCCGCTTCAGAAATTTAAAATAAACCGGAATCCCTTGTGGAGCTCATGGAGGACAGAACATAAATTCATCGGGTCAAAGGATGCGACCTCGACCGCGAAACAGATTGATGTACATGTAGTGATTCGCTTGGCGGACGAGTATTAAACTCGCATAGAATAGAAAAACAAGGGCTGAAGTTGCACATATGTATGTACTCTGTAAAGCCGCACGTCTAATCCCTTGTCTTGCCTTGTTTTTCAAACCGTGCATGTATGCATGCACTTGAATTGAAGTTTGGCTAACTAGGCCTAACACAACAGTTAACAGGATTTGCGATCCGTTAACCGCTCTTTCGTTGAAAATGGCGCAGGGCACATGCGCTCTGCAACCAGTCCCCTTTGTGTTTCTTCCCCCGTGAATCAATTGATATCAAATACACTGCAGAGCCCGTCAGGCAGGCCAAGTGCTATCGATGCGAAAATTCTAGACCGTGGGATGCGTTTTATTTTTTTGTAATGATGGGTCACGAAATAATTATAGTGAAACATCGCAGTCTATATCTTCATCCTCACCTCGATACATTAGTACTGGGTCGAAAATTAACCAAATATCAATCAACCTGAAATAGAGTTTTTCCATGCTGAATCCTAACCGGGCTAACTATTCAGGGCCCAATCGTGGATCGAAGACAATCTACATACTATTGTCCTCGTTTAATACATATCGATATCGAGCGAGTCTTGATCGGGCTAGCCTAGATGCAAGTCTTGAAGTTGAGATCTCATCTTAGTAGAACGCGTCGGCGAGAGGGGTATTTGTTGGCTAATCTTCCAGGGTTTCTAACTGGATCCCTGTCCTTCTGCGGCACTAGTACTATAGCTATATATCATTTCCCACAATGTGACCAGCTGGATAATATTCATGGTCGGTGGAGGTTCTCCGTATTTGCGAGTTGGCTCGACAGCCATTTCGTCATCGTGCAAAATTACATTAATAAGAAGCAAAGAACTGCTGAATCGGTTGAGCTTAGAGTCGCAATAGGAGCTTTAGGCCTAGGACACATGTAGAAATCGATCTGCTAGCCTCCTTTTTTTAGCGCGCATTTGCACGATAAATGCTGAATTCATGGATCTTGATGATCACTTCGTTAGTGCTCCCCAGTCTGTTGAGGACGAAATTATATCTGCTAGATTTTCTTCCCAAATTGCAGTTCAGAAAATTTAAAACGCTTTCAGACCTTGGATTCATAGAGTTGACGGTTACCGCAGACCCATTTCCAAGCCTACTCAGCACTTCCAACAAAACGACGAAAAGTAGTCAAGTTTGTGAACATCGGCTAGTGAGGTTTGTATGACAATTCGAGCTAGCCAGTCTTAAAAAAAAAAAAAAAAAAAAAAAAAAAGTGGCGTTCCGATTAATCGACTTCGACTGTCGATTCGGCCCGTCCTTGAACTCCCCGCTGCTGTTTCTAACTCTAAATATGCGTGCCGGGGCGCATGATCGAGACAATGTGTGCCTATCGATCAAAAAAACTAATTTTCCGGACATTAGCAGATCTCCCGCAATTGAATCTAGATCTGTTATGCATATATGCCGCCGCCGCCTTGCTGTTCGATTGGGTAGAACCCCTGGATGTGATATCGGACCCACAGCGCTAGCAAGATCCCGCTAGCCGTATTCAAAACACAGAGCCACCCGCAGCCAACCGATAAACCACCCGCTCCCTCAATGCGAGGAATATTGAGTTTATGAAACCTTGATTCTCCCTGCATCGGAAGGTTAAAAATCGCTACAGCTGCACTACCAAATCCTATTCTGGACTTCCCGCAGTTCGAAATGGGTAAAGCGGCGCCATATATGTCCCTTTTTAGCTCTATGGCGCTCCTCCATGAATTTCAAGCATCTCGTTCGGGACGTCACCTCGAAATCAAAGATATGTGGTGCACATGTATATCCTAAGGGTAATATTCAGAGTTGTTGGAATATGGCCCTGCCAGCTGCCTGCATAGATTCTGTCCCGGGCCCACTCTAAGACTCGAATTTATCCATAGCAAGTCGGGCCTATCGCTGTTGCCGCGGGTAGATTCTCGACTGATGTATCTGCAGGGTGACCAATTAAAACTTCAGTGATCGATCGCAAGCCTCTAGGTCAGAGTCGGCCGGCCAGCAGCTGAAGGATCAGATCTGGGCATAGTGAGATGCAGATTGTAGTCTAGAGACGGCTCGCGCGCGCCCTCTTAACTTGAATATAGTGAGTTGTAGATAGACCAAACTGTGATATTTGGAAGCAGGGTACAATATAAAAGGAAGAGGATCCGCTCTCGAAGAAGATCTTTTTCTCTTCATCCAGCACAGCAAAATAGTCCTCAGCCTCCAAGCCTTTCATATCTCTACTACGAAAAGCCTTTTGATAGTTATCAAATTAGTTTAATACCATTTTTACTATAAATAAAATTTCAAGATGCTCTTCTTCAAGAAAGCCGTTGTCTCTGCCCTGGCTCTTCTCGCAGCCCCATCCATTGCAGCTCTCACACCGGCCCAGATGGTTGGAAATATTGAAATGCTGACAACCAAGTCTAAGGCACTTCAGAACCCAGCCAATTCTATCACCCTCGTAAACGGCCCGCTTATCGTAATTGGCTTGGGTCCTTTCCCACAAATCATTGCTGGATTTACCGAAATTGTGACTATTACATCTACTGCCATCACTCAGATGCAAGGTAGTGCCGTCATTACCAACCCCACTGATGCGAAGGCCATCGCCGATGCCTTCCGAAAGGTAACCCAGCTATACTTCCTCAGTGATTTGTTTTTGTAGGTTCAAGCTAACAATTTTCTGTGGATAGTTTGTCGAAGTCCACCAAGTCCTTCTTAATATCCTGATCGGAAAGGCTGGACTTTTCAATACTGTTCCAATCATTGGAACACCCGTTGCTGCTGTTCTCCGATCCCTGGAAGCTGTCGTAGATGTGAGCCACCTATAATACTACTTCAATCCCAATACGCACCCGAAGTAACCCTCAAACTAATTTTTTGAATATAGACCGTTGCTCTTAGAATAATTGATACAGTTGAAGTTGCAATTCACAAAAGCACAATTCAGTCCAATGCAAACTCCCTTTCTGGAACCATTACGGTTTCCATCAACGCATACCAAGGCCTCTCCCTCAAGAAGCGCCACACCCGCGACTTCACCATGATCGATGCTTAAAAGGATTTCGGTCAAGTTTTTATAGTATTTACATGGAGCTTTACGCGCCTTGATGAATACCGTGGAATGTATTTTGGGGTGGGGTTGAGAATCGCTCGCACGAGCTGAAATATGTGAAGAAGGGTTAGGATGGGGTCCTGGAGATCACAAACATGCTGTTTTTGAGATAAAATTTCTTTCGAACATTATTTTTTTTTTTGCTTAATTTCAACGCTCTTTAAGCGCTAGGACGATGGCCAAGTCCTAGCGTGAAATGATAATGTATTTATCGAACTATATAGGTACCTAGGTATATACATATACAAATACATATATTGTCTCATATACAGTTCTTGTGGATCTATAGATCTAGGTGGTTTTTTAGAAGACTTAGGAGTCTAGTGTTTTATGCTTAAATATACTAATTAATTATATATAATAAGCTCTCAAAATTAGCAAACGCAAACCCATATCTAGCCTATCACATATAGGCCTTAATCATATGGATATATTACATATTTAAATATTATTTATGCCTACGTTATTGACTACCGACATGAGCCTGTGGCCGTCCGCTACGGAAATAGATTACCTTCAGGTTGTTTTATGTGTCGTTGAAATCAAGTTAGATGCGTATACTAATTTAAGATCACACCTCAGACATTTTGTGATACAATAAGAATAACCTAGGTTGTACTTGCGTTATAATAATTTGTGTATCCTCACTTCATACTTTTCTCGAGATCTCTGGTATGTGGTCTTACATATTCATCAAATTGAATTCTCATGCAGACTGAAGTTTTTCAACATTAATTTGCGTTGTTTCTGTTGTAAAACTAATCCTCATCTGACACCAAAATCTTGGGACAACTACAACTACTTAAGTACTTGTGGAGAGCACTTATCACCACCGGAAATTTTATTTTAAAACAAGACAAACAAAATCTGTAGGTGTAGGGGCGTCTCTCTACAAAACTTCATGCATCATGCAGCGAAAGAAGGGGGAAAAGCCATGGGGAAAGCTTAAGCTCCAGCTTCAAGCCGGTTTTGAGGCTGGTAACTAATCTGGGAATGATCATGTCGCGGTAGTTACTGGCGAGAAAACCAAGCCATCAGCCACTACTAATCAGATATTGAAATACAGACATGTAACCAATGCTCTATCAAACATCATTTGTAGACACTCCATTTTGATCGATTTTGATGGTCGAGTCCACCGGATCCGAGCGGTGCAAATTCCCCGCGACGTTCCAGAAGATGCAGGGCACCGGCGCTAGTCCCTCGCTACGGTTCTAGCCGTCGAAAACCTTCTTCTTTTGTGCAACCCTAGGCCCCAGAAGTCCAGCCCAGCCGAAGCAGCAGCTGTGTCTCTTTGTCCGCATGATTCGAGCGAATTCATGAACCACCTGCAGATATGTCTGGACAGTGCGCATGCATGATTTGCGGCTGGGAGGCCGGAGAGTGGGACATGAACATCAACGATCGGGTCCTGCTAATAGTTTTCCTCAGGAACAATTACCGTAGATTAGACTTGGGTAACACAGACTACTGCTAAGTCCGGCAAGAGCAAGCCTTAGCCAAGATACCTCAAACTCGTGTCGTCCGTCATGCATGTCACTGTCACCTGTAACTGCTCTGGCATCCCTGGTTTCGCAGAGCCGACAGGCCAAAAAAAAAAAATAGGTGCTTCGGAATTTGAGGTCTGGAATTGGTCATTTTTTCCAAAAATTTCCTTCTTGAAAGCCTCGTATTTGGTTTATAAAAGGATCACAAAGGTCCAGCTATTGAGTCTTTTTTTTTATCATCATCAACAGCATCACTTTCCAATCAATCTTACATTCTCAACAGCTTTACAAACAATTCAAACCATTCTTTCAACCAACCTCTTTCAATAAAAACCAAAACCTTTTAATCACTTTTTATTCAATTACCGATTCCAAACCATTCAAAATGAAGGCCACTTTCATCATCGCTCTTTTCGTTGCCGCCGCCGCCGCCGCTCCAGCCACTGATCTCGCTAGCACCGCAAAGGTAAAAAAACCGCCTTTCGATCAATACGCAATTATATTCCCAATATTTCGATGATACAAGAAACTAACAAACCATTTTAATAACAGCCCCCAACTGGCTTCAAGCCATGTGGTGGAAAATCAGGCAAGACCTGTGCTTCCGGCGAAATCTGTGTCGGCGAGAAGGCCATTAAGGGAGGTGTTGGTATTTGCGTCTCTGATGCCTTCGAAAACCAATGTGCCAATGCTCTCGGAAGCCGCTGCCCACTCGCTACCGACTACTGCATTGAAGATCCTCGAAATGCCGACTGCCCACCTGGAGTTATGGACTGCGGTAACGGTCTCTGCATCCGCGATGCTTGGGCCAAGTATGCTGGTTTGAAGAACTAGATGGTCTCTATCTGATCCCTGGCGGATCATAGTTACTATAAGAGAGAGGGATCGAGAGAGAGTTTATTAATTGTAATGCTGAGAAACCCTGTACGATAGAGATGAGTTTATATATTGAATCCAGAAAATCCACCCAAATTTCAAAATTTCCAAATAAGAATGATGATAGGTATATGACAGGCTACAACCTCTTAGAGTGAGAAGTGAGCTGCGGAATTACGAGGGGGAAATAGTACATTATCAACAAATGTACTTAGTAAGAAATTACAATTCGTATTGGAATTTTGGTTGAAATTGATTGCTAACAGAAAAGGCGGCCCCGATTAGAATATCGTCTACCGAATAGCAAAGCTCTGAAAGATACATAAGTTAAACACATTCGTAAAAGCGTCATTCCTCCTCAACTGCTCGAAATCGATACTCCACTCTGTCCTCAGTTGTATACCTCATGGAACTCCTCCTTGAGGAGATCCAACCAACAGTTCGATTTAACAGTCGGGTTCGTCTCGGTGACATCGTCCAAACGCAACTCCTCTGCAAGAATCTCAACCCAAGATTTTTGTTCGAAATTTCCCAACCCAACAAAATCGTCTCCAAAATCAATCAAGTTTTGAGATCCGGTAGTCTTGAACTTAGAAGCGGAAGAAGTAGACAGCGATACCAAGATTTGACAACCAGCAGGTCCTGGACAGGGGTCATCAAGTATGTGGCCTTCAGAAGCTGTCGCTTTGGGACCTGACTCGGCTTCCGAAACGACGATAGCAGGTATCAATAATTTAGCATCAGGACTCTTGTCTTGAGGGCTAGTTGCTGTTGTAAGCTTTCCTTCGTGTGAATCCGGTGGAACAGATTGATCAGGAATCCCAGATTGCTCTGGAGAGTTAATATATGCCATTAACTCTGGTGGAGGACTATCATTCCTCTTCTTCTTCAACTTGCTCTTCGGATCCCTTAGGATCTTAAGCAACGTCTCGGAATCAATTCTTATTAGGAACTACCGTCGAACTCCTCATCAGCCAAGCCATTGCTGGTGCTACCCCTTAGCTTGTACGGAAATCATATCACTTACATCATTTGCAAGGACACCTCGCCTCAAATGTCCTTGAGGATCAAATGTATCACAGATCTGAATATCCAAATTCCCACATTGGAGATTCCCAAGCTCACAGTAGTTAAAGAACTCTGCGCTGATTTGACGGCCCTTTGGACATCGCATGTAAAGAGCATCGCGCCTTTCAGGAGTATCAGCACCTGGGTAAGCTTGAATAATCTTCCAGGAAGAGTTTGGGGCCTTAGACTTTAGCTCCAGCTGGTTTTTGTATGTTAGAATTAGCTTTCTCCTTGATATAACAAACTGGCACTCGGCAGGCTAAAAGGGGAGGGGAGGAAAGGCATACCTGTGGCAAAGAGGCGGAGAGCAACCAAACTGACGCATTCTCCTCTCCATCTCCACGTCTATAGTAGACCACACACTTGTGAAACTCTGTGTATTTCAAACGGCCGATGCAGAAATTGCCGGAAGGGAACGTAATGCAAAGGCTAGACATTTCTTTTCCTTGGGCGACTGCCTCTGCTTCAGCGATTTCAATCGTTAGAAAGATAGAACCATCACCATAGTCCGTAGAGATATCTCCCAAAGCCAATGTTTGAACACTAGCCATGTATTTCATGACATCGTAGGGCATCAAGAGGATCTCGAATCCTCGAGCAGTTGATTTGAGAGAGGATGGTGAAGTCGGCATGTTCACGAACGATGGACACTGGGCTTGGCCGTAGGACGGTGATATTCGAGTTTTCACGAGATGGGGACGGTTGGTTGGTGTGACACGAAGAGCTGGATGGGGCGCGAGGTCCACGATGTATCGGGGAGGTGTCAATAAACCGTTGCAGCGTTGTCTAGGACAGGTGGGGGTTCATGGAGTTGTTTTGCTAACCTGTGTTGCTAGAGACACCATCCTTCCTCTCAGCTAATGTGAGCTTCAAGTATGAGCTTAGGTTGAAGCTTTCGCTGAACCCTTTGGGAACTAACTTGATATACTAGGTCTAGTTTTGAGACTAGGGACTAACTACGGAGCATATAATGTGCTATCCGGGGGCAGATTTGGTTCAAAAAGTGAATCTATTCCATCTAAAGCTAAAGGGTATTGTATATACATCAATCAATATTACTAACGAGATAGTTAAAACCCATAAAATCGAAGAAACCCATATATGCATATATACATATGCATAAACCATGCATCGTTTGCCAAAAAAAAAATCCCAAAAGTCATTAGATCGATAAAAATAAAAAGATGCTAAAAATATATAAAAAAAATACCGCTATGGACGGCGATGATTTAGCAGCACCAGTCGTATGCCTTCTTAGCAGTTGACCACTGGGCCTTCTCCTCGTTCTCTTGTCTGATAATCTCAGAGATATCAAGATCCCTTCGGCCGGCGTCGAGATCAACTTCCATAAGGTTAACACCGAACTTCCAGTCACGGGTGAAAGCCTTATACCCCAAGAACATTATGAGAACAACTGGGGCAGCGAGGTAGCTCTGGAAGAAAGTTTCGACATCTGGTTTGCGACCAATGGGCTATAAATAAACGTTGTTAGCAATTTTGAACAGTAGATGTTTGTAATTTATCGCGGCTGAATATTAAGAGTGGGCTAGGTACTTACGAAAAGAGCAACGTAGAACTGTGCAATCAAGCAGAGAATATTGAGACTGAGGCCAATATACGAGCCCCAAACGCCAAATCCAGCTCTGAATGGTAGTTCATCCAAGGAGCGCCCCTGCATCTTCCAAGCACGACGGAATTGGATATGGGCAAGGTTGATAGAACCCCAAGAGAAGAAGTTGGACAACCCAGACAAAGCAAGAAGCCAGAAGAAGATGGTTTCTCCGTTTGGTGCAAGTACGATGAATCCGAGGAAACCGAAAGCTATATAGTGTTAGAGCGATATCTTCATATTATGATAGTTGAGAGATCTAGAGATAACGCGGCGGACTTACTGAGAGCAAGCAAAAGTGCATAGATCGGTCGACCCTTGGAGTCAATCTTGGCGAAGATCTTAGGGGCATGACCACGCATAGCCAAAGCTTGAAGTGTACGGGTAGATCCATAGGAGCAAGTGTTTGCGACAGAGATAACGGAGATCAAAATAACGGCATTGAAGATACTGGGCAAAACTGGGATACCGGCGAGAGTCATGGCGCGGACGAAGGGGGAGAACTTGGTTTGAGCACCGCTAGCGTTGGCGAGTAAAGGATCATTGGATGGCACAACGAGACCGAGGAGGAACAGCGAAATAACGTAGAAGATCATAATACGCCATAAGACTTGTTTAGTGGCCTTTGGGAGAGTCTTGCGAGGATTCTCGGTCTCAGCTGCCGACAAACCGACAAGCTCGGTTCCACCGAAAGCGAAAGAAGCAGTGACGAACACACTACAGAAGCCTTTGAACCCGTTGCGAAAGGCGCCAGGATCACTAATATGCTTTGTTAGTTGTAATTCATCTAACTCTCGGGTTAGTTTCAAACATACCTCCAGTACTTGGCTCCGAGATAACCACGAGTATCCGTAGGAACACCGCCGACATTGATAACGATAGCCAATATGATGAATCCAAGTATGGCGACAACTTTGACACTCCCAAGAAGGAACTCGACTTCGCCATAGCCCTTAACTCCGAAGATGTTGATAATAATGACACCGACAAGGAAGATCGCAATGAATATACCCTGGTTTGGCAGTTTGTCGCTCCAAAATTGTAGTGTAATAGATGAGGCGACCAGTTCAAATGGTAAGACGATAAGCCAGTTGAAAGCGTAGTTCCAACCCATGGCAAAACCCCACGCAGGATCGATGAAACGAACTGAATAAGTGTAGAAAGCGCCATTAATGGGATAAAGAACAGCTAACTCGCCGAGGGCATGGACTGTGAAAAGCAACATGATACCAATAATTGTGAAATCTATAACCAAGGAAGCCGGACCACCAGCGGAAAGAGAGCCACCGGATCCAACAAAGAGACCGGCGCCAATCGAACCGCCAATAGCAATCATCTGCATATGCCGATTCTTAAGACTTCTTTTCAGTTCGTTAGTTGGGGCCGTAGTGCCCAACTCTGTGTCGCTGACATCGACGGCGACGTCTCCAACAGGAGGTTTCGACTCCGGAAAATGCATCTCGGATTATATTCTGTGGCGAATAGCTCACGTGTTGTAGGTGTGGTATTTTCCCACCCCCTTCTGATATGGGCTGTCTTTGGCCGCACAAGCTTTTCAACGTTTTGAAGTTGGAACGCTAAAAATATAAGTTCCACAAACCCACGCCGAACAGAAATGGGGAAAAGAATGAAAGGGAATATGAAGGTATAATCGTGTCGGCAAGCGACTAGACTGTTTTATGAGAAAGATGGGAATCCAGATATCCCCCTCGAAGGCGGGCCCTCGGCTCCTTTTAATCCCCATCACGCGCAAGATCGAGAGTAATTCCTTACCACCAACCTAGGAGATGGATCGTCCGGAAGGCAGCACCAGCAGGACCCTTGAACGCTTGGGTTCTTACAACATGCAACATCCTGTCCTCAATGGCACGCCCGAAGATACGGTCATCATTTCTGAACCTTCCAAATTCGTGAGCTTCCAGGGGATCTCGAATACCTGCTTACATTGTCTCGCTTGCGGTCGTACATTTACAGCCGAAAGGCTTCATTTTCTTCATTCTCGAAACTTTGATCCACATACATACAGGTGTGTACGACCTGAGGGAATACGCCATATGGAGACCGTGAATCTCTAGAAACTGATGTTTGGTACCCTGCATATCTGCAAGTATTGGCTTTGGGTCTCCCGTTAATGTTGTTATTTGGAGCTGTGAGGAACTAGCTCGAAAGTGCTATCAGTTGAGCATGCGACCTATTGCCAGTCTCGAAAACGGGTTCGAGAATGATGCCAATGCTGGACTGTTTCTGCTTCGAATTGCTTAATCCGACTTCATCCTCTTATCTACCTTTAGGCGGCAGGAAGGAAACATAGTAGCGTGAAATCAGGCAGCTGCAACACCCCTGCCTTTCAAGTCCATATCGGGGCCCTGGCTATCGGAAAATAACCAATTGTTGCACGCTGCAGCAAACCTCAAAATGCAGGTCTGGGTTGGAAACAGCGGCTTGAGCCAAGACAGGCTTCATCGTGGAACCTCCCGATTTCATGTTCGGTGATATCGAAAGAAGTCCGTTGGACATTAGTTCTTCTCGGCGTCGTAAGACTTTGTGAGCCCTCCTTCTCTATTTTCGGGCAAGTGGTAGTGAATTCTGCAGACTTTGCAATCGCACGGTGTGGTAAAGCTCGCATGTTCTTAGTACCATTATTTAATTTAACAAGAACATGCGCTACATGATCACCTGTTAGATGTTAGATGTTCGGCGATATTGAGCTCTAGGACACAACATCAGGTTATATTAGAGTCATTTGCTCGGTCTCACAATTCTCGCATGGGCATGGCATTTTTGTCTAACAGTCCGACCAAATTTTAGGCCGCCTATGGCCAAATATTTAACACCAATCTCAAGGTGTGGAAAAAAAAAACTTTTTTGCGGCATATGCATGGATTCTCCAGATTCCAACTGGTCAGCCGCAACACAAACCAAACTACTTTCAGGGATGGGGTTCTTAAAAATAGTCCCCAGCTTCACTATCCAAAGGCAGAAGGTTGCTGTGGGCTTATGGTTTATCGGAGGGAGCTGCATACCAAGCTGAATGCCAACTTCAGTTTTGAGATTCACTATCTCTTAAGTGTTCTCTGTGATATCAGTTTTCGCAAATACCGCGTGCCCAGCTCTGGCCCCGGATAGCCGACTAAGCCAGGGCATATCTTGGAAGCCTGGATATCACAGACGTTTGTGACCAATGTTTGAAGCTTTATCCTTACCCGGGCAGCTGGGCAAACCATAGTTGCGGCCAAAGGACACCCCGGTGTTCGTGATGAATAGTATTAATATTTTATCTGCTAGTAACTTTAACTAGCATGTGTCTATGCTGTTAGCGATTAATTCGACACTGAATTTAAAGGTCAAGATGTCAGAATCTAAGAGATTTTAAAATAAGCATACGGAGCGAGCCCCCGCCCTAGTATTTGACGATACAAGATTTCAGACGAAAAGCTTGTTCAGACGTCATCCAACCAACCTGCATAACCTGAGACTTCTAGGGCCCTTTAGAAGCCTTGAGGGATAACAATGTTTGAGCTTCAAGGCAACAGTCTGAAACCCTGAGAACCGAGAGGGCCAAGAAATTTCGAAAGTCACGGCTCCTTTGTATCGAGATGTCGCTCGGCCAAGGAAGCCATGGATGCTAGCGTATGTTATAAGCCAAGAGAATAGATTGTCGCCAATCCCACGGGACATAAAGTCTGGGCCAACCCAGCCCGGCCCAGCTACGTAGAGGTTTACTTATGCCCACCGTCCATGGGGAACCTTGCGGGACACGTTGGGACTCCCCAATTGGACTAAGTCGAGGAGGCCAGGAATTTAGAAAATGACAGGTACTAAAACGGGCGCATGCGCACGCCGATCCGCTGCGGTAAAAGGTGCGATATTATACTGTATTATATTATCTGCGAAAACTATGGTACAATATTGCGGTTCTGTGAAAAGACTCATGATCGATATCAATGTGGACTATTTTGATTGACATGACTATAGAACGCCCGATTAGTAATATTCATGGAAATTTGCAAGCTAATTGAATGCCCTTCCCTCACGATTTCCTTCTTTCCCCTTCGCTATTTTTCCGAAAAATGATTATGACTTCTTGGAAGAAATTCCAGAGAATATCAGAGATAACCGTCTATATAGCTAGGCCCCGAGATCCGCAATGGTGTACACTCAGTCGTAGAGAATTTGACGGAAAAAGCCGGTATCCAACCATATACCTACTTAGGTAGGGTTAATGTGCACTCCAAGTTGGAGTAAATTTACCCCAAAAAAGTGCATATATTTCCTATAACATTTATAGTGTAAATGTAGGGCATGAAATATCCAAAATAAAAATAAAAATAAAAGTAAGGTTAACAGACGTTCGGGAATGGTAAAGATAGCAGCTTCATGGTAGAGAAAGATGGTTATAACAAAAAAAAAGAAAATACACCCTCAAAAGCATGAAATACGATGAAAAGTCTGAAAGGAGTCCGGGATACGCCCACAGTACTAGTTCCAAGTCATTCCTATTACTTAATCGCCAAACATTTCCATCTCTTCAACCCACCCTCCGTTGTTGGCTCCAAACCGCAAATCTTGATCTTGGTGAAATAACCAACTCTGCAAACCCTGAGAATACCAATAATCTTGTGAGTCGGAATTCCCACTATGTGCCAAAATATTGGCGTATCCCTCAAGGTCAAAGCCACCACGTTTTCTAGCCTTCCAGAGTTCCTGGTAAGCACGGCTCTTAGCTTTTCCAGCTCTTTCAAAGGACTGCAGTAGCTTATCGAGGGTAGAATCGAGATAGTTGTAGAGGACTGGGCCTCGTAGATCTATAACGCGGGTAATTTCCTGTATTTGTTCACACGTATAAGAATGATTTATACCGTATTGATCGCGAAAGCTGTTTAGACAAAAGAAGAGTGTGTGGAGAGATTCTTTGTATCTCCCGGTATCAGCGTAGGCCCTTCCTAAGAGATGCCTACAGGATTGGGTTGGGTTAATAGTAGTCAGGTCCTCTGCCCAAGACGAGGGTTCCAGCAACAAAGAGGCAGCTAAATGAGGTCTCCTGAATTTTAGCAACAGCGATCCTAATGACCGGAAGCATGACGACATAAATATCATTGTGTAGCTCGAATAGACTCGATAAGTTGCCCTGAGAGTTTGAATGATGCCAAACGCCAGCAATTCCCCACGCTGTCTAGTCTCGGGAACCTTCGAATGAACCATCTCATACGCGAGGTCGGTAAAAAAACGCAGAGTTTTTAGATGGCTCTGCCCGTGCTTTTTGAGAAGCAACTTTTGTTTGTTTTCATATGCCTTTTTAGCGCCTGAAATCAATTCAGGATGCTCAAGCTCCAGGTCGAATTCTAACAACCAACAATCCAATGCAAACTGATGTGTTCCCATGCCGATTCTATCGAAGACGCACAGCAAGGAAAGATTTATGATCTCACCAGCCCTTCGCGCGCCAATGAGGTCATTTAGGACATCTTTAGCCACATTTAAAGCGCGGGCTGTGAAATAGTGGCACAAGCCGTACTTGGATATAATGAAAGGAATGTGGACGGTCCAACTCTTGAACATCACCATACTCCAACTGTCAGGGGGAAGCTTACTGGCCGCCTCAACAAGTGCAGCAAAGTTGTCTTCGAGAATCTGACACAGAAGATCGGCATCCACACCCGCGATGGATTCGGATTCGGTGATCCCAGGTGTCATATGCATCTCTTCTTCTTCTCCAGCTTGATTAAAGGTCAAAATTTGTTTGTGGATGTGGTATGGAAGTGGTTCTTGGCCGTTTCTGTCCTCCCATTCAAGTCGAACTATCGCCGCTGCCTTTGCTAGGGAGATGCCCCGTTCTTCTACAACCAACTTTACCTCTTCAAGAAAGGTCTTTGCACGACCTCTCAATACGCCAATGGCAGCCCAAAGATGGTGCCTATTCTCACGTGCGTATCTGGTGAGTGGGCTACCATGCTCTTGAGCATCAGGAGCTGGACTTATGACTGCCTCAGCTACGCCATCGTGTCGATCTTGACCCACGGCATCGGAATCCCCAGTGCTTGCAGCTTGATGACCCTCCGAAGGTATTTCAGGCTCATCTGTCGGATACAGCTGGCCGAATCCAGCCGATATTACCTCTTCAAGTTCTTTGTCCTTGTCTTCTTCTGTTTTGGATGGGGATGCAGCATGATCTTCTGGCGCCGCGATAAGTGCATTTTGGTTCTCCAGACCTAGTCTAATAAAGGTCGCAGCACTAATAATATACGTAGTCGATCAATTAGCAAAACTTTTTCTAGCATGGCTAAAGAATATTGCGGTTCCTCCGGCTTATAGCTTACAGATCCTCTAAAGCTTCGTTATTCATCTCCTCCGGCTCCCCTTCCTCCTCCTCCCATTCTGGCTCTATATCTGATTCTGTAAAGCGATTCGTCGTCTCTATGTCGTCGGAGATCTCAGTATTACGTTCTTGACCATCCTCAAGGACAGCATTCGGAGTAACGATAGAGAAGATAAGCCCTCTAGGGCTCGAGTTGACGCCTGTTTAGAGGAGTGATATTATAAATTAATGGATTTATCTCCGAGTAAAACATGCATGCAATTGTGATTTATGCAACAAACTTTGGGAATATTTGAGCGTAGATCTTATAATACCAATGACCTCTTCCTTGGGTATTTCCTTCTTTGATCGTTTGAGGATAACCTTGTGCGTCACTTTTCCAAGCTGACGTCGTTTTTCAATCGCATTGGCAATATCTACTCGGCGTTTTTTCGTAAGATTTTTCTTGGAGCTCCCCCATTTATCGAGCATACGCTTCAGTTTGTGGATTCTACCGTGCATAACATTAACGCGTAATATTAGCCTGCGGGCTATGTTCCAGAAATTCAAAACCGCAGGCTGAACTTTCGATGGGGCAATAGCCTACGGTAAATCAATTCCCCTCTGAGTCTTGAGCTCTTTCACTATGTCTTTTTGTGTCCTACCGGCCTTATGAAGGCCCTGTATAAAGTCTTTGTGCACCTCGAGGTCCTCAGCCTTCAAATAAGACCTAGTGGGTGCATGGGCCGAAAAGAGTTGAAATCTGATTTGTTCCATTTTTGGAGATGGAGATCGTGAAATCGACTTCGAAAGCGGTGGTAGTGGCGGTAGTGGCGGTAGTGGTGGTGACTTGGGCCGTGTTCAATATAATAGCTTACATGGAGGTGTAGGTTTTGTTAAATGTTGATTTCACATGAAAGCGAGAGATAAAGCAAGTAATATGAAGCCATCGATGGATTATAACGATTGAAATCTCGAGATATCAGTGGCAGGGGGTCAGGAAACGTCGTATTTACAACTTTTCAAGGAGAATCTGCTGATATTTCGGTATCGAAATATATACTGACATTCGTCACAAGGCTGCGAGGCGCCGATAACACAAATACTGACGTATCAGCTGCATGTCATAGGATTTGCGGCTCACCTGACCCACATTCAATCGGACATAACTCTTATTTCCTGAAAATCACTCACAAGGCTCAATTTTTTCTGACGAAGAATAAAGCTCAAGAGAATCGACTTCGAAGGCGTACGAATGCATGCATCGAATGAGGCGGCGAGAAAAGGAGTTTATTTCGTTCCCACTTTCTTGGCAGAAATAGCCCTTTGGGCATCATTACTCGAGTCCTCCGCATGATACTTGATCCCGGTACCACATATGATGCACATGCGTCTATACCCGCTTACATAGCCAAGAATCTTCCGATTGAGATCCTACGATTTGGATTCAGGGCCGCTGCGTCTCCGATGACTACGGTTAATCTACCAAAATTAAAGTTGGTTGTGTAATTTTTCATCACGGTTGAAGGTAAGCCTTCTGTAAACCATGCTTGGGATGCTATGATGTATACCGATATTTGCATTTGGTCTCAAACCAGACCTCGCAAAAAAAGATTTATTCGAAAGAACGCAGTAAATGTATAAACCAGAATTCATAACCAGTTTACTCAGTATAAATATAATTAATTACTTAGGTATTTATATCTAACAAAATTCAAAACTAAAATGCTTTTGTTTATATATTAATAAGTATCTACGATCTAGCTTTTACAAGATGATTGTGACGCGGTGCCTGGAATACCGGGCCACGCCGGGTGGCCTTACCGGTCCGAAAAGGTCAGAACGTAGGTTTTAGCATCAAGGCTACCATACAAGCTGGGGCACGCCATAGGTATCCCCGCCACGGTAAGGCCATCTGGTCTAACAATAATTTTATACCTAACAAAAATCATATATATAAAATTAATTATAAACTAACTAGCACATTAATAACTTAATATTGGAATTAAATAAATCAATTTATATAAAACAGCCCGGTCGCTACCTATAACCTTGGTTCTCGACAACATTATATTCCAACCCAATTCTGGACGCGAACCGGATTTTAAGAGGTATGTGTGGTGCGGGATAAACAACAAGCTTGCTCGATCGTTAGATTTTTGCGGAGATCTCGAGAGGCTCTTGTGAGAGGTAAACTTGAGTAGAATTATATAGTTGGTCAGAAAGGCAAGGCAATCATGTGAATTGGGGGTGTGTGGATCGACCTGTTCTAAATTCTCTGCTTACTATCCATGGCTGTTAACTGCTGCGGTGATTATCATATCGATGCAACTACAAAACAGAGATCTATCGATTTTTATATCGGCTGAACCATCGGTTGTTTTAATTAGTAAAATCTTAGAAGGTAGTATACCAAAAAAGCCTTTGCCGAAAGATATTACATAAATCTCATTTACAAGCCTTGATAATTTCAGCAGGTACGCTTCTGGATTTTTTCATCCCTTCCACAATTGTGATTTTGCCACACATATACGTATGATCAATCTTTAGAGCTAAACTCAGCCTGAGGTTCACATGCATTTCTTCGGCCTCATTGCTGTGAACAACCCGCTTTCGAGCTTGCGTCGTTGATGGGACTATAGAGTATTCGCGTTTGGAGTCAGTTTAGCCAATCGATTAAGGGAGAGAGCAGATCGCATATTAATATGATCTCTCACGAGTTTTATCTCCGTAGCCGAATTCCAATACTTTACTGACTACATATATGGACATTGTTATATTTCATTATCGGTCTAGAATCGGAAAGTCTCCTTATAATCTGACAAGCCAATAAGCCTACAGTGTATATACGTATATCTGCTGACATCAGATATCAATGCTATTCAACGAATTTTTAGTTTGTATCATGTTCCGTATATATATAGGCTCAGATACCCGCTACTTCTGTCTTTGAATGACTAATACCGTATACCCTGTAGGTCTAGTCTCGAGGTTGTATATCGCATTGAAATGGAAAAGGTCTGCGAGAGAAAGCCCAAGCCATGCCAAGTACCGAACTAGCGCACAAGCTCCAAACTTTCAGGATCGGTTTTCCAAAAGACGGCATGGATCTCATCGAAACCTCAGCCCCCACCAGAGCGCTAGCCGAGTCGGTTCATATGCAACCGAACCTAATCTCCCTGTTCCAGAAGCTGAATGTCGAACATCAGAATATTTCTACATTTGTAGTGCGCCACGTTTTCCAATGTTCTCGGCCTTTTAAAAATGGATTAAAACGCATGAGCTCAGTAGATATTAGAATCCTAGGATCAGATTGTCGCGGAAAGGTGTCCCAATGCATATTAATATAATTACTCGACTTTTTATCTACCACGATAGGCGTAGGGATCCATGCTATAATACAAGCAAGCCGCAACTCTTCTAGCTAAACGGATATCTACTGTCATGTCAAAATAAATTAATACTGATCACGAATCGAAACTTGAGACAGTCAGGCTAGCCGGTTGTCCGAGCTCGAGCTGACGGGAATTTTTTGATTGATTAGTCAAAATTGCTCACCAAAAAGGGTCCTAGTTGTAAAAGAACGGGCGGTCACCATATGTGTAGGCTACTTCAATTCGATTCCAGCAGTTGACAATAGAATTCGATTCTCTCCACTAGCCTTGATAGGCTTGGTGGTTGATGACGCCTTGCGGACCAGGTAATCCATTCGGATCCGTTCCTCGATCTGCTTAACTTATATTACATTAGTGGGCTGACATGAAACTAATCCATAAGCATAAGTCATTAGCTACCTACCTGTAAGTAGGTATAAACATCGATATAGAATTATAAAAGGCCGGATATATCCCCCATAAAAAACCCAATCTCGAGATCTCGAGCTGAGCAGAATATCGATCACTTTCGAATTCTTCCCCTAGTTCAAGATGCGCTTTCTATTATCCGCGGCATTGGCCCTTTCTTTTGCGGCCACAGCATCGGCCATCAGAACTCCAGGTATCCAGCAGATTTTGGGCCCGAAGCTATCGAGCGGAGCAAGCATTGTGTTGTCTTCCTCTGGTGCTCCAAGGTGGTCGCAATATGAAGCGCCTCGTGCACAGATAGTTGTCAACGTCGGCTCAGAGAAGGACGTCGCGGAAACTGTGAGTTCCAAGTCTATAAAATTAATGTTATTCTTTGGGGGTAGGTCTAACAGGGCCAGGTCAAATACTGCAATGAGAACCGGCTTGGGTTCCTAGCCCAGACAAGTGGCCACGGCTGGGCGAACACTTGGACGCTCGACAAAGGGGACGTCATCATCAACTTACGAGCTTTAAATACTGTGAAAGTCGATAAAACCAAAAAGACAGTAACCGTCGGTGGAGGTGCGATAATTAAGGAAATTGTCGAAGAAGTTTACAAAAATCGGCTCCATGTTGTATCTGGAGGCTGCAACTGTGTTGGCACTGGCTTCATGCTTGGAGGTGGATTGGGTAAGGATTAACTTTCAAATTCAAATTTACTCGGCTCCCGATCGCGAGCTACGAGTGCTAATATGAATAACCCCTTGATGCCTAGGGCGTTTGATGGGGGAGTATGGCCTGGCAATCGACAATCTGCTTTCTTTGAACCTTGTCACAGCAGATGGAAACACGATCACTGCGTCAGCTAGTAGCGGCGATTTGTGGTGGGCACTTCGAGGGGCGGGTCACAACTTTGGCATTGTGACCTCTTATGTCGTCAAGGCACATCCGTGGATTAACAATGGTACTCATTGGAGCGGAAATATCGTCTTTTCAGGCGATCAAGTGGAAGCTGTTACCAAAGCTATTGATAAGCTCGTCTTCCAGAAGGCCATTGCGGTTCACTATTACTTTGCAGTCGACCCTTCTTCTCAGCATCCGGTGATTATCGTTAACCCATTCTATGCCGGCAAAACAGATGATGCAAGGAAGGCCTTTAAGCCCATCTTGGACCTCAAGTTTATCGCAGACACCACAGGGCCAATCGCTTGGAACGACTTGAACACAAGCGGTGACTTCTTCTGTGAAAAAGGGAGTCGAAAACCAGCTTACAGCGCGGGATTAAAAAAGCTAGATCCTAAAGCTTTCAGAAATATTTGGGATGCCTATGTCCAGTTCATAAAAAAAAATGGGGTCGACAAAGTCGGAAAAAGTGCTGTACTGGTGGAGTGCTACTCTTATATAACCGCTCGAGCGATTAATAGGGCATCTACAGCTTATCCTCACCGAGATGTTAACTTCCAGGCATTGATATTGGGATGGTATGACGACAAGGCCCTAGATAAAGAGGCTGAAAAATTGGGGAAATACGTTAGGGAACAATGGCTTAGTACTTCTGGCTTCCAGCGCGATCATGCGTAAGTAATGATTGTTCTTTACATATAATCCATTTTATTGTATCCGGGATTTGTGCCTTACTAACGTAAAAATCTAGGTATATCAACTTTGCACGGGGTGATGAGCCGCTTGCCGCTATTTATGGTGAGAGCTGGAGAGTTCGCAAGCTAGCTATGTTGAAAAAGAAATGGGACCCGAAAGGCCGCTTTAGCCAGTATTTTCCTATACCTGCCGACTACTAAAGGGGTTCTTTGTCCTTCTATGGGAATATCCCGATGAATTCCCTATCGGCCATCTATTTTTAAAGGAGGGTGTATATATGCAAATTATAGTGAACTGGACCCTTGGCCTCTGGCAGTATATATTTTAGTAGCAATACTTCTAAGAATCTCTAGATTTCCAGGATCTTGGGAACTCACCTGCAAAACTATTACTTTCTTCTTCGCAAAAATCAAAATTAAAAGCCTCGACGTCGCGACATGCTCACGGCGGGATACATGTTCTCGAAGCCAGGATAGCTAGGTAACTGTCTCATGGCATATGTATGGCGCGAAATATCGCACCCCCCCGGCACCAAAAATAAACAAATCCAACAAACTCAAACAGAACAACACAATTTTGTTCTTTTTCATACCATTTTGTTTAATAAATCAATTTTAAAGTTGGAAAATCACAAAATAAAATAAAAAAAAATAAAAAAAATAAAAAAAAAT